AACCCAAACTTTTTCAGTGTTTCTCTTCACCCACAGCCTTCAAGCAGCAAATTCGTTGGTGTTAGACTTGCTTTTTGAACAGAATTACAATACCACAGACCTTACCATGACTTTTATTTGTGACCAGCAAGAAGTAAATTGACACCATCTGGTCACGTTTTGGTTCACTTCTATCGCACAGTTTGTGGATTCGCAGCAATTTGAATGATTGTTTGAACTCACTGCATTTTGTCATCTAAAACAATATTCCACCTCTTTTGTCTTATTATTATCACCTTGGTACTAACTGAAGCGTTATGACCTAAAATTACCTTTTAAGTGGAGGGGCCTTGAATTAATCTCAGTATAATGCTTTTCCAATTCCTCACATCTATAAGTAAAGCTAAATCCAATAATATGTCTTCGGTGAAAACGAGTATAGCATGAAATTTGCAGTAGTGGGGTTTCGGATATCAAACGTGTGTGAAGAAACTGTAAACGAAGCGACAAAAACTGTTTTAAAAAGGGCTTTAGGCTTTAAAACGAGGCCTCATTATCGCAGATTTTAACGCTGCAGATTCGCATACTACTCATTTTATCTGCGAATTCTACATCCAACCTCAGTGAATTAGGGTCCCAAAAGTTATTCCTACTATTTTCTAATTAAATGCGTCTGTTTTCACTTATTTCCAATTACCACAAAACCATTTCCTCCAACAGGTTTTTTCTGCATTCAGATAAGAATTAGGCCTTGAAAGCACTTTTGCCTCATCGAATTAATGCCTCTCAGAAGTAGGTGTAAACAGCCTTTCAATTATACGGCACCATAATCCACATGCTAATTGTGTTTGTCAAACATAATAAGTATGCACATGATGTTCATCACCGATGTTTGGCTGAATTAGTGGTAAAGACGATCCCTCAATGTTTTGTTAGGCCTTTAGTTTGATCTATTATAGGCGACCTTTCATTTAGCGCCGTCACATCCACAAACAAAATGCTACCTCCAAACCCAAGCTGCTTCTCGTTTCTTTCGCAGCAATTATTCCTACTTAGAAACATGGCTCAGATTCAGGAGCTAGTACTTAACACTAGGCGCTATCAATTAGGAGTAGCAATAGCCCTTGAAAGAGTTTTTTTCTTAACTTGGCGCAGCACTTATGTAGTTAACTACCATCAGACCTCGAGAGGAAAAAGGAAAGAAGGGATAGCTCCCACTAAAATGGTTTGTTTAGCTTGGAATGCTGGATCATGTAACACGTAGAAGGAGGGCAATTACAGTCATCACACCATAATCTGATGGTATGCCTTTAAAATTCGGTGAATCCTTTTTCTTTAAAAACTACCCTGTTCATTTATCTTGGTGAAATATCACTGTCAGAATTGATTTTGAGATTCGAAGGGCTGATGTTCCCAATATACCACCACCAACGATGTCTCGTTTAGCCAACGCGAAGCATATCTCCAATTTTAACACTAAACTGTGTTTTGTTAATTGTTACTGTCGACTATATGTGCGGTTGTGGTCCCAAATAATAGGATACAAATTGGAATACGGATAGGTGAATAAATTGTACTTGTGTTTTTTAGGTTTGTCTGCCCTATAATCAAAATAGCAAAAAATCCTGACATCCTATAACGGAGTAGCTACACTTAATGCTGTCTAGTAAACATCAGGATCCCATACGTAATAACTCAACTGACAGGTTTAGTAAGAATTGTGAGCTCACTTTTTGGTATGTTATCCGCTGCACTTTTATTTTACCGCTGTGTATCTAACATAACAAGCCCAATCTCCATCTTTCGAGGATACCTAAACCTCAAACAAGCCTACGTGCTTTTACGGAATTTCATTGTTAAAGCAAACATGTGTTTAGTCAGTTAGGTATTGACGGTAAAAAAAAGAGAGCCGAATCCCATTCTTGCAACCACAAACAGCCGACAGTATGGCATATACCTATTGATGACACGTAACTCATAGTTTAATCCAAAATCTTGGTTTATTTTGATTTTTTTCGCAGGCTAGGCAAACGATAAATTGAACCGCCTGGAGCATTTGACATTTAAGCGCCGTAATGAAAGAGGATTATATAAAGTTCACCATAGGGTGGAGATGAAGGAAGAGGAGAAAGGCAAGGGGGAGTGCCACCCTCTTCCCCCACGGTATAAAATTGTGTTCCCGTGGGCATAGAAGAGGGTCCTTTGATCTCACATCGCCATGGTGAAGGAGGTTTGCTTTGCTGTTTATATACCTGCAGAGGCCCGCGTACCCATACACACATGCGTACCTGTGTGAAGGCGTGCAAGTGTACGTATATAAATGGGCCCGTGGGCATTTTAATGCTGCCTCCAAACCATTTTTATTCTGACACCCAGTTGGGTAATTAATCAAAAGACGCCTTGGTATGCACAACAAGGCTGGTGTGGTAGTGGTAGCACTAGCAGGAGAGGTGTTAGAAGCACCGAAAACCCCAACATCCCACAGCGGTCAGGGCTTGCTTTGAAAAAAACATTTCAATAAATATGTTTCGGTGATGTGCGACTCGGTGTAAAAAGTCTTGGGCTATATCTGGGCCAAGTGTTGGACGGAAACAACCACTTTACAGATGTTTCACGACTGCATTAATGCGGCGTTTCATTCCCCTTCGAAGAAAGCTCGAAACTTGGGACCTCTAGCCCACGGCTTCACCACAATCCGATGACACTTTTTATATTGTTTTCGAAAATGTGGCGAAAAAAGTGAACTATACGTTCACGTGGATGTCTCACTTTAACTAGTCTTTCGCTAGCTTCATTGAAGGCTTTTTTAGAGGTCTGCACATTCTATTAACAGGTGCCATGTGAACTTGTTATTGAAATTTGGAATTATTTTTAACCATTTATAAATGCTTGTTAAGATTTCTCAACCCAAAACATACTTCCTATGGATACCGATCATTTGCTCGTGAGTAGCACAAGAACTAGCATAAACTGATTTGATTCTAGTCCAAGAAAATAGGTCCTAGACGAAACTGATTAGCATGCGCTCAGACCATCAAATGTGGCCAACGACGTAATTAACGCTGACTGTCGAACACCTACTTCTTTGCAATGGTGATGGATGCAAAAGATATCAATTTGGTTACTTTTCCATCTACTTTAGCTTCTTACATGGGACTTCAAGTTGGCAACATTACTCTGAACGCATTGATGTAATAAAATAGTTAAAAAGTCGCCTTCCATAGTCTACATACAATGGGTTTCAGTATCGGAATCGCGTGTGTACTGCATGTTTATAAGGGCATTACAACAGAAATAGCTCAATCCGAGTCCATAAGTAAGCATGCTCTTAAAGAGGCTGATTGATGTGATCCCGCATTTGTATATAAGTAAACTACTTCAAGTTATTATGTCATTCTTATCTTGTTGATGAGAGAATGACAATTTTTAGAAGAGGTGGGCCTGAAATTTACTTTCGGCAGTAGATTTTTTGCGTGGGGGCTAAAAGAAGGTCGAGATTGCTAACTCGTAAATTAGGTTGGTCTAAATTGCCACAGAAACCGCAGGATGGCTCGAGAACACTGGTCAGGATATCTGATTTCTTCTTTTTTTCGCTACATAGATGAAATTGAGCTAGTTTGTCTCAAAATCCAAGTCTGCCGACTTCACATGACTGTGTTTTGCGCGTTGTGTGTGTGCGTGTGTGGTAAGTAGTTCAAAACTACTTTGAATTTTATTCCAAGATTTTTTAAATTTCAAACTTCTTTTTATCCCGCGTTGGTGGTCAAAATGCTTTTAAATTAAATTAAAGCGGAAATATTCATACCTTCATACCCTTTAATGGGGCAAGAAAAAATATATAGAATGCTCTTGGTACATTCCCAAACACACTCGTTAGCTGACATTATGTGAACCCAAGTAGTGCATGCGTAAGCGGGTTTTGTTAACTATATTGAACGGTAAACCACCTTCAACTTGCATTTGCAATCAGCGACATCAATTCCTAGCTCATGGGATCCTTTTGTCCGCAAATTTAAGGCGGCCAACTGGCATTTATGTTCTAGCTGTGGATCCTAGTTATGAAGTTTGCTTTGTAACTAAGTTTGATTATTATCAGCAATGCCGTCCATAGGCTATGAAAACCAGCTGCACAAAGATTGTGAAAGTGGAAAAATCAGACCCGATTGCTAACCAGAAAACAGGATCGTATTGTTGATTGTCGTAAAATTGTTGAAAACTGTTTGGTGAGCTAAGGGCCACTTCAACACCAATTTTAACTTGAAGTCATTGTAATTCGCTTACTTTCCTGTTAATTAAATCTAGAAAATCATTTTCACTTTCCAAAGTGGTACTTTTGTTCGTAAAAATGCGGCATGCTTGAACCAAGTGAAAATTTGTTACTCTTCATTTACATTCCTTCTCAGTGTGATTAAAAATTTTTGTAACATGTCAGCGCTTCTGTCCGCAGCAAAATCGTACTTACAGCCTGAGGAAACGCGATTTTTGTTTTCTAACCGTTTGAAGCTCTACTGAAATCTCACCAATGAGTGTAGATCTTTAAAAGGGATCCCCTTAACTGTACTTCTGCTTAATACCAACTATGGTATCCACCTGCAATGGATAAGCACGAACGTCCAAGGCGGATATATGCTATGATTGGGGCTTTTTGCTCTAGTCAAAAAGCATCACATTTCACTTAAATTAAATGATTTTATTTGCGATTAGTGCACTGGTAAAACTTTTCCAATCTTGGTTTTGCAGTGCTCGCTCATTTACATTCCTTGCCCTCAAAACTAGTTTGCCTGCCAGTTATGCTGTTTAATAAATGAAATCTTTTCGCCTAATTAAATTTCCCTTATTCAAGAAAGGGTGAATTAATAATTAAATTTGACATTAATTATTTCCAATAGCAGGAGGTGGTGGTTTTAATTTACTGATGCGCAAGTCACGCCCGAAAGTGTAGCAGACAGGCAAGAGGCGGCTAGCCAATTTATTATCAGGATCGCTTAATGAGGTTACCTCAGTCGCCTGTCAAATTTCACATGGACCTACTTTCTGCCGCCCTTTCTTTCCTCGTTCTTCTCTCCGCTTCCTCACTCTGTCTAGCGTGTGTGGCTTTTCGGTCGTCCGATATTGGCCTGCCACCACCGCGGCTACATCACGGCTGCCGGCGTTGGTTTAAAATCGTTGGTATTTTTTCCTTGCCTTCCCTTTTCACGCACATACACATGCTCTTTGTAGCTCTGCTAAAGTTCAGTTTAACCGACCTTAAAGGCCACCATCACATGCTAAATTTTGATCCCAAAATTCGAAAGGAAAAAGCCCTAAATTACAACCTGTCTAGGTATAAACGCCTGTTGGACATTCTCCCAAAAGGCAGGCAAACTTTTTATGCAACGGATTGTTGTTTGTTGTGATAACCGGGATTGTCAGTTAGAAGAAGTGGATCTATTTTACAGTCTGTGTGATGATTCAACTTGGCAGTAATTTCTCGGAATTTGGGGGCTAAAGCTAGATGGACTCTCACCTTATGTCTACTACAGTCTAAAAAATGGAGAGGAGCTTACCAATTCCATGTGGCATAGAAGTTATAAATTTGGTTGAATGTCACGATCTGCGAGGCTTTGACTGGGAAGGGCAGTAAAATTAAGCCTGCTATTTGTCGAATTTTATTAGTTTATGTTCCTTTGACCTCGTCCTTATCTAATTGACAGGTGATATTTTCGTTCAATCAGGTGATTAGACCTCATGTAATCCAGCCCTTACATTTTAAACGAGGATTTATTATTAATTAGTTTGAATTTGCAAATAAGTTTAAGTTTACATCAACGTCTTTGTGAGAGAAGCTCCATTTCAATGAGTTACGAATGCAAAAATGCTTTTTTAATGTTCAGGTATGCATTCTCTTTATTTTTTGCCGTCTTTCTAACATTTAGCTACAGCAACCCCACCCGTGCTTCTCTCAAAATCCCTTTTTTTAAAGTCCAACTGCTTCTATGACTACTTGCGAAGTGTCATTCACATTTTTCCTGACAAATTTGATCCTCAGGTATTCATAGTTTTCCAAGCTGCTACAGCTTTAGCATTTAAAATTCCATATCAGTAGCTGACTAGTTCAAACATCCGGAAGCAATTTGGCATTCATATCTTTTGACAGTTGGAAAAGCCTCACTTAAACTCTGACATCACTTTGACTGTCAAGTAAGCAACGAATACAGCTAATCATACGAGTACACTCAAAGTAAACAGCTATCACACCTGTCACAATGATCTATTTAGGGCTTAGCCTACACGAAAAGCACTTGTCTAGACCATGAGTCATAATTGACTTCGGCATATTTCGGGATTCTGGGTATGATCCACCACCTGGATTTGTGGGACGGGTAGTCACTCTAAGTATAGGAGGTGTAGCAACCAGAATCACACGTAGAGTCTGGAATGAACGTTAATTATGGCGATGTAGCCATGGTAACGCCCCTATTAAAAGATTGACACTCGGCAGCACAGCAGCACTTTGACAAGGCGAGGTGTATGCTGAGGGTGCAGGAATACATATCCCAAACAGCACTCTTCTCATTTGCCAACATGATACGCCTGAAACCCTGAATAAATGGGTAAATGATTCTGCAGATAGACTGAAATTACACTCACCCACGAGTTGGTATTATAACGGGAGATTTTTTTCTAAATGCCTTCAAGAGCCTGCAGCAAAAGACTTTCGTACAAATCAAATTTCGTTTCTGCTGTAACCTTACAATTTATTCACTTACCTTCCATCCGTGAAGTGAGTAGCAGCACTGTCTTTTGCCTTTACGCAGACACCAACAGAGATCACGTGTTTGATGGAGTTTGTTTCCAATGTTTCCTTTTTTTCCGTTCGGACAACCACTCATGCCCATACACAATTTCTTTTCCCACATTCTTCTCTTGGTAGAACCTAAGTAAATCAACAAAAAATAGCCAGTCAGTCCGCAATAATAATTTATTCAATTACGCAGTATTGACTCGTTGTCAAATTGAATAATTGCGTAGCCAACACTTCGGCTTTCTTCATTCCCCTGAGAATTGGTGTTGGGTTATGAAAAATGGTTTCAGTTTACCAGTTTTAATGTTATTTAATAAATGAAACTTTTTACCATTGTAATTTGGCAGTAATTTTAACGACAATCTTTGTGATACAATTCAAGCTATTGCCTTAGGCATGGCAGTATAAATGAACTAGATTGAATAATCTCCTATTCATTCGATTTTTGCCCAAACAAAGACAGATTAGACGTACCTCTTTCCACCATGCCAATAGCTGAATTTAACATGGAGATGCGGTGAATTTTGAACCTTAACAAATCTAAGCAGAGACTTTTAACCAATTTTACCGCTTATAGCCAATTTGTGAATCTTGGTAAGCCTTCATTAACTTCTAGTCATGTTACCTTGATTATCAGTCGATTAGTACTTCTTCGGTTTTACCAAAAAGCCTCAAAAATTTGTAATAGCAATGCTATCTAATTTCTTCTTGCTTAGCATAGGCTTCCTGAGTCATGGATTTGATCTTCTCTCTAGTAAAGTAATGTTGATTGTCCGAAACTAAAATAATACTGTCTGCAATAGGTGGGAAAACATGATTTAGCGATTCGCATTATTGCTACATTAACTTCATGATGGGGATGAACATCGGAAGGACTGATAGACACCCGAAGCGTAAGGAATTATCATGACCTTTAAATTTTCCCACACTCAACAAGGCAGAATGACAATTGTTTCAAAATTAGGGTGAAATATTTGAAGTTACATGAGCCCACACACTCTCCTTCAGCGAAATCATCCTAACTGTCATGTGATGGCAGATGCGATTCTACATAAAAATTGAAATGTTAACGGATAGGTGGCAGTAGACCCAACAAATGCCCTCACATTTGTACGGACATGTCTTGCCCGTCAGTTGTGTGTGCATTGAATGGCCTCACTAACACCACCACTGGTCCCAACTGTTCGACTCCCACTTCACTCGGCAACAAGCGCGCGTTTTACCCGTCAACAGAGGCTTCTACGAGGCCAATTAATCACAAATCCCACAGGAAATAAATATTCGCAGGGCAGGGAGGGATGGAGGGAAAAGGATGGGAGGGGTGGTGTGCGCGTCTCCACTTGCGGTTTAACATTCACATGTTAGTCAGCGCCCAAAACTTGTAAATATGATTTAAACTAGGTAGTAGCCGCCGCTACATGGCGTCTGTGAATCACACCTGGACTGAGTGAAAGAGAGCCGGGAGGTGGGATTGGGAGGGGAGAGGGGGGAAAGGAGGGGCGAAAGGGAGGAGGAGGAATGTATTTGATGCCTGCGCCTTCCCCTGTTCCCAGTAGAGAACGGCCCAGTGACCTTTAAGCCGCTCGCGTGTGTGTGTAGGCACATGTGAAGTGATAATTTAGTGATGGGCGTTTAAGACGGAGGAGAAGGAGGAGGAGGAGGTGGAGGAAGAGAAAGAGAGGCGGTCATCCTGGTGACTAAGATACGGTCTTTGTGATGGGGGTGTCATGCGGTTTTACTCCTTACACCGCGCCCAATTTTAGTATTTTTTAAAAATTCAAAACATTCATCATTGACTCCATCACTCATTTCACGAGAACTTGAATGCCTTAATCGTTTCCAAAAACATGTGGGCACTTGATTACGGATTGCTGTCTCTTGCCAGTTGTCGCACAATGAACATTTAGCTATCGGTTGGCCAGGTCAACTGGAATAAATGAGAGCTCCTACTCTCCTCATTGAGATAGCGAATAAATTTAACCACGGTGGTGACACAGTTAAAGCACTCCTGCAATTTGAATGTTTTGAGTGAATAAAATTTCTAAGATGCCAAACTGCTGTCTCAAATTTATTTCAGCATAAATTATTAATGGGAAAACGGAACTTCATTGTCCAGCTTTCACTATTTATTCCAGTCCCTCCCTTTAAAATCGCCTCCCACCTAACTACCCCCTTCCTACCCACTCGCTGCCTGTTCTCACGTCCCCATTTTCCCAGGTATAGTTAACGTGTTCTGTCGACGTGAAGTGTTAAGTGTTAAAAGTAGGTGAGTGAGTGAGTGAGTGCAAGAGTGGTGTGCCTGTGGACTTCGCCGTTTTCGAGATTGCGCAAGCAGATACCACGCGGACTCCATTAGCCGGTCATCGGGGTATTCAAGTCATTGCTGCACGAGTGCGAATTTTAACCGAATCAATCAGGAAAAGGTAACTAGATAAGTAAAGGATTTTGCTGCAAAAAATAAAACCTGGAAATTAAGAAAGAAATTACAAGGCTAGTTAAAATTTACTACTAAATAAGGCTATTTAAATTTTGAATTTAGCATTATGCTCCATTAATTTGTCTTCATTGCGTTTGCAATACATTTCCCTCGAGTGGTTGGAAAGTGTCCCAACAGCTCGAGTAGTCCATCTATGAAGAAGCTACGAAAATAAAATTGCATTAAGGAGCACGCCTAAGTGAAGCCACTCGGTTTGGGTGTATGATTTCCAAAGATATTTACATTTTTGCATCTTTCAGATGATTCAGCGCAGCTATTTGGCAAGCTGAACCTTTTTAAACATTCTTTAGACATTTCAGATGTTTAAACTTTTACACGATTAAAATTATTTATAAACTCCATCTAAATAACCGTTAAGGAAACCTCGATACTTATTACTTCACTTTGAGATTTACTTGATTCACTGCATTTAAATAGTTCCAAAGTTTTATTAACTTAGTAAAAGTAGCCGACAATTAGTTATACAGTTTGGCCTAAAATAAAATTCTTTTTTTTTTGAATTACAATGGTTAATCAGGAAAGTGGATAATTACTCAGCCCTACTTGTTGCCACCAGTGCTGTGGTCCACGTTCGCGAATTTAATAAGTTGCCAAGGCAGAGGCTTATCAAAACGGCCTTATTTAATTATGAAAAAGGGTAATGGAAAATTTATTCATCATCAGGTGCCAGAAGCGAAATAATTTGACTTGATTAAACGAAAATTAATTTATGTAATGGAGTAAACTGTTTGAAAATGACCACAGACAAACGCTGGGATAATTTTGGAAACGGGCTTGCTTAATGCACTCTCGCATGTAATTCTAAGTCCACAGCTTCGTATATATTGTATTTGCATTTATTCCATATCCACGAGGTGAGTATTGAGTCATCCATTGGGCAGTTTGTCTGATGGCAACGCGGATCTTGGATAGGCTCATCAAAAGGCAAGCCAACCACTTTAGCCCACTTAGTGCAACGTAACGATCACAGAAACGGATCACCTTTTAGCACTACTAAACTGCACTGTTCCCAAAGTTGGACAATGTGTGTATACGTTTGTGTTTGTGTATGTGCTTTGAAAAAATCCGTGTGGTGTGATATTGTTTTCACACGGACAGCTGGAATCACCGCTTTTGATTTGTCCGATTTCCAGTAAATTGAGTTTTATAATCATCTCTTGCATGTGCCCACGCATGTCGTGTTTGCGCAACTCGATTCTGGATGAATTTTCCTATATGAGACAAGTTTATCCTACCTGGGTGTGCAAATTTGGGTAGCCAACAGGCAGTCAACATGCATTTGAGAATGCATCTTTGGCGCTTTTTGTCAAGAAAATATCGGCGCATTTAATAAAAATTGTCGATGTCAGCTAAATGCACCTTGAAGGTATGCAAATTTCCCCATGACCTTATTTTAAAATATGCATGCTTCAAATGCCATTTACAGTAGTAATTCCCTACTTAGTGGCCTTAATTCAATTGGCGCCGCCTTAAGCGCTGTCGTCAACAATCTCCTGTTTGTCCAACTCACTAAATATTTTCACATTAAGCCGAGTCAATTATCATTAGGCATCCATTCCTCCGCTCTTCAAGTGCTCTACTGGTGCTACTTTGAAAGTGGACAAAATTCGACTGGGGCGGGGTGGAGTGCGGGGAGCACGACAATGACGTTGGTGCTGATGCTACTACTGCTGCTGATAATGCATTACGCACGATGCATTTCACTATGCTGTGGTGGAGTGGGGCGGGGTGGACTGGGGCGATGGGAAGCGTGTTGCTTGTTGAGCAGATGACCTAATTGACGCTAATTTAAACCCCCTCTTCTCTCTCCACATGCCCGCTCGTCCAGCCCCACCCCTCCCCCATTGCATTTTCCCTATCCCATGAACACGCTAGTATCACGTACACATACACACGGGCAGAAAGATAGTCTGTCATGATAACAGGAGTGCGTGTGTGTGAGAAGGTGAGAGGTTTGGTGGAGGAACAGAAGGAGGAAGGGGAGAGGGACAAAAATCACTTTTAAAGTGAGAAATATTTGGGCTGGGGGCGGAAAACAGGTCTGTCTGATAGACAGGGGACCATGCAAAGCTGATACTGCTCTCACTGCTATCCCTACTACCGCTGTTGCCTAATCTCTTGACAGGATCAAGTGGTACGTTATTTTTTTAAACTTACAATAATTTACTCTGTCAAATAACCATAAAATATCAGAGACCTCGAATCTTGTAAACCAACATCATAATTCTGTGGATTCCTATATAACATCACCTTCCATAATGTTATGTGCACTTTTGCGGCAGTTTAAAAACTAATTTAATTTCTCAGGATGAAAAAAAGTAGTGATAAAAATAAACGCTTTAGTAGTGCTGAGAAGGTTGTGCTTACTGTTGAAAAGAAGTTAGAATATAAGTCGTTACGGTCTCTGTTCGCCCTTGATAAACGTGTAATTAAATTACTAGTAACCAAAAACAACTTAAAATTCTGACTTAATAATTAATTTATTACAACCTTTTGTACAAATTACCACTTAAGCTTTGTCATTTGCTCGGGATTTGTTTGAAGATTACCAGATATTCAGGCCATGATATAAGCAGAACTTGATGACTCCGCTTTAGAGGTCCAGATTATGCCATAAAATTCATGAATATGGTTGTGAAGGATAAGGAAACTAAAATACTTATCCTCATATTATTCCTGCGTATAAACATTCAAAGCGTAACCTTCATTTGTAATCGAGGTGCGATGCATATGCGACCAAATAAAATGCTCGTAAGCCCCCCAAAGCCAAAGCAGCCGCCGGGGTAGTAAATACAACTTATGCCTTCATTAGCTAAATCAAAACCGATCATCTCCTGCTCAATGAATTACCCAGACTAGAGTCTGCTTTGTCTGGTTGGGAGGTGGTTTTTGCAATCACAAGCGGGACCTGCCTGATCTCGGTGGCCACAATCCCCATCCACTTGCCATATAATTGAGCTGTGTCTATAGTCACACACCCAGGGAGAGAAGAGGCATAATCCATCACCCACCCCATCCTACCCCTTCGCAAATACAAGAGGTTTGCATAACTTATCAGGCGTCGGCTCTCCTAAAGATGATTGCGAATACAAACTTGATGTCAGCATAAATTTTTGATTAAGACGGAACAATAATGGCTCGATTTCTTAGCCAGTCCCCCACCCCACTCTACCGAAGCCCAACCGTAGAGTAAGGCTTCTGCTATTGATGCATATTTAAACAGACAATGTAGTAAGGTTATGATAATGGTAATAACACACGGGGCAGTTGGTGGTGGAGGGAAAGACATGGGTGGTGGAGAGTAGATTGCCCCTGCTCATTAATCTTCTGTCACATAAATGCATGCAGGGAATGTGCATGCCAATTTTCGAAATGAATTTCGCCCTCCTTGCCAAGCTCAAAAGTACATGTATCGTGCCTAAGATTGCGCCCTTGCAAAACATCTTTTCTAGAATTGCTGCCTTAACTTCCTTTCCGGTTATCTGCATCCATTTTTACCTTTAAATCTCTTGAAAAGATTACTAGAGAAACTCATTTAGCTCAGTTTGAGAGAGATTGAGATAAAATTTAAAACATTTTCCCCTTTATGCACGCCTAAATGGCATTAATTTATTTAATAAAACGCATTAATCATTGGAAATCATCACCTTTCCACTTTCATTCATCAAGACTTTTAAAAATACCGGATCCTACTGCCTATGCTATATACCTTAGCTAACTTCATAAATGGTCATGATATTAGAGACAAGTCAACCATTTCTCTATGGTTTCGGATTACCTAAAAACAGTGTAGCTATAACTTGATGGTAATGCACTCCTTTCCAATCTTCCTCCTCTTCTTAGTATTTCCTCCAAGTTGATTTTGTGCATCAGATCCTGGCAGATGGTAGAGATGATTTACAGTTTAAAGGTGTCAAAAAATATACAGTCCGCCTCCTGCCCGCCGGTGGGTCGAAGGAACCCCTATTCTTATGCACTTTGAAAATGCTGTCAGGTGGAAAAAACAAATGATTGAGATTAGGAGGGAAGAGAAAATCACCAACCCTCACCGTTACAACCCCCACCACTACTATCACAATCAGTCATTCCTTTCGTGGGTAACAGTCCCAGCTAATGGCGTTGATGTCACAGTTTTTATTGTGAAAACTGAGCCGACTTCGAGGAAGACCACCGCACATCTCTCGACAGACCTCTAAAGCATACCACCACGATGGGTTGTTTTATCAAGATTAATGTCCAACAATTAATCATTTTCCTGAGGTTTTGTTGCAATCCGACAAGAGCGTCCCGACATCAAACTGACTTGAAGTGAGAAAATGACAATCAAGTGATGAAGTATCACTCCATCTTTGCAAGATGCATCCCACGCACTCTAGCTCCTTACTGCTCGCTAAATGCCACATTACGCATCAAAGTAGGCAGGGCAAATTGCAGTTAAGTGCATTTGTTTAGTTCCTTTCATTAAAGAAAATGGTAGCGAAGGTTAAAGTAATTACTCGCAACCAAAAATCGCTTTCTTTATGTAATTGGAAAGTTGTACTAGTGGATTATTGGGCGGGCAGGTGGGTGCGCATATACGTGCGTGAGACCTGCCACCGTTTGTCAATCTTCTACGTTTATTAGAGTCCATGCCCACGATAGAAATCTCCTCTGTGATGCCACCCTCTGCCAGTCAGAATGCACGCCAACTCGGTCGGGCATTGTTGATAAGTGGTAGTGGTGGTGATGATTTGTGTGGTGTGGTAGTTGTGTGATTTGTCAATTGTCGGTTATCACCTTTACTTATTCCTTTCTTCCCTCCTTCCTATTCCCCCTCCTCCAACCTAACGCCAATCTTCCCTATCGCATCATTGACATTGAGGTGTCCGTTAAGGTTTGATTTTGGTACGCCACGTCCGTCATCCACGGATCACAAAATTCTCCTATCAAATTAAAACAGGTAGAATTTATCTTACCCAGTGTCGACTTTGCGCGCAGGCGTTATTCGACGAAAAAGAAAGCAAAACTGATTGTGAGGACTCATTCCAAGCCTTGGGCCGACATCAATTCCAGTCCCATTTCTTCATACACAAATGGCCCATTTAAAACAGAACGACAAGCAGTCAGTCTTTTACTTTAATGTCTGAACAAAACAAGGCTCTCCGTCTATCAAATGGATTTATTTTCCTTCCCACTTGCTTGGGACCTTTCAAAAAATCTTACAAAATACACTTTGATAGAACAACTAACAACCGACTTAAAAATGTTTTCAAATTACAAAAATGAATGTATCTTTGCTACTCCTGACTTTTTTTGGTGATCGCATTTCATTTACCATAACTGGCCATAGCTTGGCTTTTGGTACCGACCTCATAATAGTACTGTTTTCCACACTGCAATGAACAATCACCATTACCGTTTCCCAAAGTTAGCTGCATTGAGTTTATTTCACTTTGGTCTTGTGGAAAAAGATGCACTACTTTGCGTTTGAAAATTTGAGAACAAATGCTACTTGTAAATTCTGATGCTATTCGTTCGTTATTTTGATGGTTGTACCCACACGCTGGTTACCGCTTTATTTACTCCGAGATTTTACAATCTTGCGTTATCTAACGACAGAACGCTTGGAACGTGTGGACCTAACCAGGCACGTTTACTTTCCTGTCAAACAGTATCACGAAGTGACATTTACTAGTGGACAGCACTAAATTATACTTTTCCAGCAATCGTGTTCTGCCCATTGTAAATTGTCCGGGTAAGACATGTAGGAGCGTGTAGGCCGTAGTAGGTGCACGGAGTCAATGGTATGATTGTTTGGCTCAATTAAATTGGCGAATAAGACTGTTTCACTCGTGTTTAATGTGTCTATTGTGATGGGTATACCAGAATTAGACCTGGGACAAGATTAAGGTTTGTCCACTAATAAATTAACAAAAGCGAACTTAAGACTCCGTAAGAATTAAATAACTACGGCACCCTAGGGAATACTGAACAAAATTAAGAGGACGACACTCGTTATGACCAAGGATTCCGGACCGGACTCTCATCATTAAGCTTAACGACAAGTGAGTTTGTTGAAACAAAGGGAAAATCTAACAGATAAACTCGAAGTAATTAAATGATAATGACCACATCCCTTACTGTTGGAATGCCTTAATGTGGCAGAATATTTTTAGATCTCTCAATATTTACGTAAGCAGTTAAATTTTTGGATCTAGTTGAAACTTGTTTTCACCACTCAGCCAGCAGTGAATATTTCTTACCCTTGTCCCTGTCAGCCAAAAACCTGGGTTCAATTTGCATGTTTCTGGGCCACGAGATTCAAAGATGCAGTACCAATCTATGCTCACAGCAGAAGTCCCTGAGTTGCAAACATTATTGAGTGCAGCGGTAATATCGTCTTCAGTTATTTTAGACCTTTAAAGTCCAGAGTAATCTATAAGGAGAAAAGACTTCTGAGCTCGTGTAATTTGAAGAAAATTGTTAAAGGTATGCTCTGGTGAAATTTAATATATGGCACTGAGCGCCTGACCGTCCGTCCGCCGCTCCACTTCACGGATAGCCTCAATTTGTAATTTTCACTTGCAGCCAGGTGTCACCTGAACAAATAGCTTATAAAGTGAGCTAGCACGGCAACCTGGGACACCTGCTTTTACAGCAGTTTGTCCGATTTGCCTGGGCGGCTCTTTCTTTCGGTACCTTTTTCTTTCACTTGCCCCCAACTGCTACTCAACGCCAGATGAGTCAGTCGGTAACAGGAGTGCACGAGCCTCCAAATGTTGCTGGAACCCAGTTAGTGGTGGCGATGGCGGTGGGAATCAAGTTACACCAGACTCGTGCGCAAACTCGCCTCCTTCAAGTCCTGTTAACACGTGGCGTCGCTGCCGCTAAAACAGGCTCTACGGTATGATTTACAAGGTGTTCTCTTTTATCCAAGGTTCTTGGGCTAGGCGGGCTCTGCTTTTCTCTTCTCGATACCTAATTACCGATCACAATGGTAGTTGAGTAACAAATTCGCTCGAGTGGCTAACAATCGAACAAAACTAGGTGTTGCTAATTGTTAAGCCACGATCAAAGAGAAATGGTCAGTTTCTGTTTGTTTAATTTGGACAGATCCGTTGCATGGATAAGGAAGTCAGATTAGACAAAACTTGTTCACTAATACAGAACCTTCTTTTGCTGTCCAGCAAGGCGTTATGTTACCCGTATTAATGAGGATTTCCAAATGTATTTGATATCGAAATCAGTGAGGCAAATTTTTTAGCTATTCGTTAAATTGATTATATAAGTGGTTTTTAATAATAGCACAAAAACAAATGACTTGTGCTAAAATTCGTTTTCATACTTGAGATTTTGGTTGATTATTACGAATCGAAGATCACTAAAAACCCATTTAAAGTAATAGGTGAGGCCGAGTTCAAGCCCGTGGACATAAGGTTTGCAAAGAGAGAAAAACTTGGTTAATTGTTCATTAGGTTTTTCCTTATCAAGTTCCCACATTTTGAGAAATCAATTCAACTGTTATATACGATAGAATCATTTTGATCAGTAGTAATGAAGTATACCCACCAACTTCTCTCATATTACCTCCGTACACACCAAAAATATCGTTTAACTCCTAAGGTACGTTAATGGAGAACTAAGTAAAATATAATCATACGAAATTCCGAAGGCTTTTTTGGCCCTGGTAATAAATTTTCCCTTCCCTTAGCGGCAGTCATTTGCCAATTTAAAACTTAATGTGTACTTATTCACAAAAACGCGAGTAAATGTCCTCCCTGAAATGCCAATCAAAAGGGGAAGCTTAGAAACAGCAGGCTTTTGCCAACCTTCTCCTCTGTCTCAAATCTGTTTTTTATCTGGTTTTCTAAAAGCATGTGGACTAAAAATGTCGGCTTTAAATGATCCTGAAAGTTTGAAGTGGACGGAAGATTGATAGAGGTCGACAGCTGAGATCCACACAGTTCAAAATAACTGGCTGTTTGTGCTTTACTGAAAATAATACCTTCGAAAATCTTGGTTAGGAGCAGGCTTTTACTAATATCTAAATTACCCTGTATAAAGGGAAGATAAATTCAAAATTCGAAATCACGCGAAACGATTTCCACTGCAGTCTAAGGTCCACTTCCGTTATCAATCATTTGGAATGCAAAAAGGTGCTTTTCTGCAATGACAGATTGACACTGTTAGCTTTTTGCGGCATTCGATATTGTCCAGCACCCATGAGGTTTTCTTGACTGTGATAGAGGCTCCCTTTTTACTGATATTTTGGACAAAAACTAAGGCTCGTGTGCATTTGTTACTGCATTCACGCATAAGGTCAAATGAAGACCTGCGCATTACATGTCTAAGTCCAGCAAAACATAATTCCTTAAAATGAATTATTATATCCCTTGCTTGGTTTCCTTTCAAATATTTTTTCCTGACAAGACAAAGACTGATATTTTCGCAGGATTTAAGCACTCTCTAACTTAACCGATCAATTTATATCAATGATTTATGTTTCGCTGTCAGAAATTTTTGTTCAAACAGTTTCGATTGCGAATTTCTGTACAAAGTTGACATTTCATAAACAAAACTGGTAATCTTTCTCCTTCTTATGTCTAATTTACCCCCCTAGACATTGCCATATACAAAGTGGTGATTTCGGCAATTTTTTAAAACCAAATGAAAAATTTTGTGAGTTTGTGGAAGTACTTTTAAACTTATCTCTGCCATTTCGCATAAAATTAGCTAATACTTAGAGCATTATCAGTCGAATATCAAACCCTCAGTTAAAGTCACAAATTAGGGAGTTGCACTTTATTTAGCAAAGCTTAGATCAAACACGTAGGTGTCTTCAAATTTTTTTGCAGAAAATGACCTTACAAATGTACTTTTCGGTCTCAAGGTGATCAAATGTCTTTGATTAGCTCAAACTTTGCGATTGCAAAATAAGGAAGGGTGCAGAAGTAAGGCATAGAGCAGTGAAATCCACGCCGTTTTGTAAATGGCTCCGAATAGCCATGTGTTTAAAAGGTATTACTATTTCACTACCAAAATGCTAGGATACCTTCCCAATAAAATCTCAAACTTTCGGGCGTTTAAATCAACCAACTCCTAAACGATGACCTAATTGCACCTTGTTATTTACGCATCGTTTATAACTTTATTTTCGTATGCTGATTTGGAATTCCGTTTCATTTAAATAAACAAAAAAATTGACTTTGAAAAAAGGTTGTTTATGTGGAGTTGAGTATGGCATTCTTATGGAGGTTTATGAAGAATTTGGAAAAGGCTGGCAGCTGGCAATCATTAATGAATAAAATTCAAAAACGCAGACTGAAAGTCTCTACAATAATTTCGTGGGGATGATTCCGCGAACAAATAGTCGCAGTTAGAGTATGCTTGGGGAAACCAGTTAGTGTTTACCTTGTTTGAAAACTGCCGTCCGTCTGTCAAAGCATCATACTCGCAGCCTTGCCCCAACCCGCCATCCACAATGTGCCTGTGCGCGCTCGCGTCAGACCAAATCTCAGTAATTGCTGTGTTTGTATGCGTGTTAGTTTAATTTTTGATAAAGCGGACTCCTGACTCCTCCCCTTGCCTCTTCCCAGCCTCCCTGTGAGTCTGTGTGAGTGAGCACTGGCCTCCCAACCCTAATCGGTCGTTGTTTGCCCAATTTGTGTGCTGTGTTTACCTACTCAAACGAGCTGACTCAGAGAGAGGGAGTGGGCTACAAATAACGTAACGAGGATGGAGGGAGGAGTGGGGTCTGTACAAGCATACAGTGTGATAATGGAGAACCTATTGTCTATTTTTCGTCTCCTTTGGACACAATGATCACCATTATTTATTGCGGTTTGTGGAGTGCTAGGCATGTGCTAGTCGTATTTCGTTTGCATCCGAAGTCCATTATTTACAGTCACTACACATAATTCGACAATTCACTGCATCATTAAAGTATGTCACTTGCTTGCAACGATAATTCACCAATCGAGATCATTGCAAGCTTTGATTGGTCAACTTCAGTCTGTCTGTATGGAACGCTGGGCTTTATTCAAACTAACCCCAGTTTGGAAATAAATAGACTGATTCGTGGCCCTAAATAGCCTATGGAACCGTAACTTTCAATTGACAGCCGCACAAAATCCTGTCTCTACGCGCATGCGTGAAAATTTTTGTCGCGCTTAAGATTTTAACCAATCACCTGGCTGCCGTGTTTTAAAATGCAACCAAATTAAAATTTCAATCCGACAGCGCGCCCGCAGGTACGTACGCATGCACGCATGGGAGCATCCACGCACGCATCCATACAAACACGAGTAAGTAGCGAAGCGCGTTTGTGCGCATGAGCGTGCCTGCACGGCTCAGCTACCGATTCAACTACTCACTACCACTCCCCTTGTCCTCATTCACTCTAACGATCCCAAGCTCATGTAAGCAAGCCTGCTCGCTAAATTTTGCCTCTTCCACCTCCCTCCTCTCTCCTCTGACTGGTTTATATTAACCTTTATGGTGGATCAGCAATAATAAAAATTGACTCAACTCTGCTAGCACGAGTGTATGGGTGCGTGTGTATGTGTGTGCGGCCGTATGCCCCATGGTGGGCGACTTTTAAGTTTGCGCGCAATGCAGGTTAGAGGAAATTCGCTCCGAATGGGTCGATAGACGTGAACCGCACCGGAGGCGGAGGTGAGGCTAGAGGAAGGGGAACGACGAAGGAAAAATTGAGGGAGGAAGGCGGGACAGACTAAGGAGTGGTAGATTTTAGAAGCTGAGGTGAGGCAGAGAGGTAAGCATCTACCAATTTTAAAGATCTGACAACAAACGCCAACCACAGCTTACGTCTACGCTTTGGTTTGATCAAAGACAAATCGGGTGGTAAACTAAAGCATGGCGCCTTAGTGCTTGTACTTTGCACCCATCATTTCTTCATGCTGTCCTACTCCAACGTTGAAAAGCAACTCGTGAGAGTGAATTGTTTTTACTGACGCCTGTTTCCAGTGGAATTTAAAAGATCCATTATTCAAAATAATTAATCCACAGTCGTGCACCTATATACATTCGGCATGTGCACTTTCAGTTCTGCAAGATGGGGCTTGTAAGTACAGCTTTTGAATGAGTGTCTTGGGCGTTTATAATGAAAATTACAAACGTGTACTTCATTCTCTTCATTTTGCTTCATTGAAATATAGGCAACCAGAGAGCGCATATTTCTCGTTAATTTAAAACATGAAAAAGGCAAATTTTGATTATCCACTCATTTGTAATTTAATTGGCACTGACTATTTGACTTCGGTGGCTTTAATCAGAAATGTGACATTAGGCCAATGGATTGTTGATTACGTGGACCAAATCATTCAGCACGTTGCGATTCATTTTTAATGAAATGGACAGGCAAATAGCAAGCTTGTGATTTGATAAACAACTTATCAAGTTAAGATGCAGTTCGTATAAAACAAAAGTTCTTAAAATGGGCTTCAGGGCAAGCTATAGAATCTAAGCCCACCCAAATGTAAAGGTGTTAAAAGCACAACCAAACATTTATGCTAACCGTCCACATACCTGGTTGACACATAACAAGAGTTTCCAAAATAGGTTTCTTGAGTAATACTTTGACCATATCAGCATACTTTAAAACCCCAAATCCTACCACGGACCGATCTAATGAGACAGAGTTGTGATTTAATGCTATTCGTCTTGCAGAAAATTTAAAAACCGGCATCTCTAAAATGGAAAATTGCTTGTATTAAAAAGAAGCATTGAACTCTTATGTAAGAATGCAAGTTAATAAGGCAAGGAACCCTTTCTTGTGTAGAAAAGAAACCATAACGACACATTTGCACACTAAAAGAAAGAACAAAGAAACAAGTTTGCACACAAGAAAGGGTTCTTGTGTGGTCACAGGTACACAAACACCCATCCCCTCCCCATCCACCACAATGTGGTGGATGCACCCACGCATGCACATATTGCTCTTCCTTTGGTGATTTGGAAGGTAGTTTCGAACCTACACTAGAGAGGGAGCAAGAGGAATGAGGAATGAGACGTTCGTGGGTTTTGTGACAAAAACTTCCCCCACCGAGTTACAAATGGTAAGTGATATACCCTAATAATTCGTTTCGCGCTGAAGTTCTCACGTTGGGATAGCCAATACCACACATCAAAGCCAGCTCATTTGTGTTGCAATTTGTTTCAGCTTCCGTGATAGATTGCTGCCTAGTCGGTGTTAGCTTTTTCTTCTTAATTCATTCTCCCTGCTTCATCCTATCTGCCCTCCCCGCACACCGAGGTGCAGTGTGGAAAAGCACATGCACGCAGTCGCTGCAGCACCTACTGACAAGTTCGCAGTTGATATGTTTTATTTTCTAATTATTCACCTTCTCGTAGTGGTAGTACGATTTGTACACACACCCGCTCACCCTTTCTTGTTCACTCAAACTTTTTCCACACTTCCCCTTCCATCAAAGTAATGCGATGTGCTCGTGCTGGCAGATGCTGGATTGGTTCCGTGTTGCTCCCCGGCGATTCATGGGTCATAACCCACGCAAGAAAAAACCAATGACAAGACTAATCACTCACCTAGAGCAAAACGTTTAAGGTGGAGGTGAGCTTCAAATCACCCATATTAACACCATTAAACTTAAAATTCATTATTATCTGCTGTAAGTTTATTGCTTGGCCTAAATGTGTTAATGAATGCTATTCTTTAAGTGCCACTTTCAATAATATAATATTTCAATAATCCCTATTCAATGATGAAAATTTTGGTTCCGCTTGCGATGCGCAAATATATGAAACCAATCAAAGATGTAAAATACTATTGGGCTAATCACTGATCCCATTCACATGCTCGACCGACTGTGTGATTTGACGAGTGTCAGCCAAATTAACTTTATCAACAAAAACAACGACTTTACTCATACTGAATAGAGACCAGTTGCAGCTCGGCGTTTTGAATTATTAGCTTATGACGCTTTTTATTCTCATCAGCAATGTTCAATACGCTAAAGTGTGGCAAATGCTAGATGAGATTAATTTTGGGTAAACGCTTAAGAGTTTATTTAGGCTTTGAGGAGGGAGGAGTTGACCTTTGCCAAATGTTTGAGCAGGCATTATTAGATTGCCTGCCACACGCCGGTAAAAAACCCTTCATCCTTTTGCTTCGCATTCAGATAATCGTATAAACGCACATGCCGATGTTTTCCGTTCTTCCTTTCCATGCATAGAATCTGTGTTTGAAAGTAGGCAAGCAAAGAGTGCGATGAACCCTGTGCAAGGGACAACTGGGGAGGTGCCAATGTCTAATAAATAGCAGATTGAACGCACACACAAAAGTTTTCTAAATGGTGCATATTCAGCTTGAATTGGTTGCCTCAATCTCCAAAGTAGGAGTTTGGGAAGCGATTCTCCTCGGGCCACAAGTTCTCCACCTTGACATAATTTAAAATAGCTTTTAGATAATTGATGGTTATTATACCCATTAGATGTGAATATGAATTTACGAGCAGTTACCACATTATATACTTGGTGTAAGCCAAAAAGTTTGCAAATTATGTAAAGACACCACTTCAACAAGTCTTGCACGACTTTTTTATCACAGGAAGAAAAAGAGGTAAAATTAATGTTCATTACTACTCATATGAGCGAAATTCGGGCAAATGATTGCAATTTTATCTACTAAAATAAAGGCCATATATTTCATTCAAAATATGTAACTAATACATTACTGACAGACTATACATAAAATAGGAAGGACATCAAAATTTGATTTATTTTTGACATTCAAATTTATTTAATAAAGTATTTTTCACTTAAGAGATCAAACCATTCTTCGACTTCTTGGTCGTAGATATCAGAGTAAATGACTTGGCTTAAGTGCAGGCCTTAAGGCATGAACGAAAATAGGTGTTTATGAATATTCAGGCGTTCCTTTGAGAAGACTAGGGAGGGCTTAGGTTTTCAGGGGTAGCACAGGTTCGATCACAGGGCTGTTTGTTTGAGGTTCAAAATGTAACTGTCCAATGCGAATTATTGGATAATCAGAGAATGCAGTCCATAGCCTATACCACAGGACACAAGTCGCTCGTTGAGTAAGTGACTCTTAACAGTCAAATTAGGAATTGAGTTGGCTTTGGTAATATACCGCTTTACATATTACAAAGCCATAATTCGACTCATACAGTAACGGCATTTAACTTTCAGGAATTCGTAATTAATGATGTCAAGGGTCCAATGATACAGTGTTCTACAAAGTTAAATAGCGTATTTGGGTATTGGCGGAAGGATTATTCTTTCGTACAATTAGTCTGATAAAATTCCTTTCATAAGCAAAAATAGTTCTTGCCAGGCCCCGGCTATAAATCGGCTACGAGTGGGAAACAGAATACTGACAACAAAAAACCGGCAGGCCAATCGCACTTATAAACTAATCAGGTCTGGTGGTAAAAGCTCCTCTTTAGTCAGAGGCATGCAACAAGGAGTGAGGAATGTCAGGAATGTAGGAACTAGAGTGTAAAAAAAGTGTTTGCCGACTAATATGGTGGTCACTTTCGAACATCGTCATCAAACTGCTAGTATTTACGACTTTTTGACTTATTCTAATTTGAACCGTAGTCGTTACTTTACTAAATGCACTAAATGAAAATGTGGTTGAGGTAACCCCACTGATAGTGCCAAATGCTTATAAGAATATGGGTGTAGAGTGAACCCATTTTCTACTGTTTACAGAGAAATCTCGAAGTTTAAGTACCTAATTCGATGCCTAATTCAGTTCAAATAAGATCAAAACTGTGACAAATTAGTAGCATGAGGGACTGAAGAATTGGACTTCGAAGTTGTCAACCAAATTCTGACCCTTCGTTTGATTTTATGAGATGTTCATGTTCACCATAAAGTGGTGCCTGTTGCTAGGTTTTACTTTGCTTCAATGCTGTCAATGTAAGTGGTTACTAGGCTGACATAAATCCTTTTTATTTCATTAAGCCATCTCCTTTTTTGAAAGGCAGACTGTTATTAAGCTTCGTGTGGATCAAAAAGTGTCAGATCGTGATCTTAGTGGGGCTTACAAGCATTTTATTGGTCAGTGACGCCATGTTGACAGCAGACTCCCCAACGATGGTTTTAGTCCACAGGGGTGTCTAAAAGCTTGTCTAACGTGATGATAGTTAGGGATCGGCTTTAACAAGCACGTACCATTTAAGCAGAGGATTGTACATGGTGATAAATTGTAAAGTCGGCGAATTTATGGCAAGACCTTTAAGTGCCGACTTACCAGGCATAATATTAATCTGTCTAGCAACATTTACAAATTGAACTTGCCCGCTCGGTGATTGGGCGTTCACTGTGTGATTAATGCAGCAGTTCTTGAGGCCGGCCACCTTCACTTATCGGTCAAGGCAGCTTTCTTACATTAAGGCCTAACACTTTAATGCTTTTACGTCAGGGAATTGACTGAAAGGCAATGTGCTATCAATCTCTGCATGAATGGAAATTTTAAACTTCCTTCAAAGTAGTCAAAGGATGCGAAATTACTTCGTTGACTTTGAATCACAAAATTATCCAACCTCCATTAAAATTAATTCGGAATGGTACTGTTAAATTATATTTCATCTGGCATGACTTCAATAAAAATCTCCATACATACCACAGCAATATTAGAGGTGTGCGGTCAAAATCTTATACATTATTGTTGAATTACCAGTGTTCGTCTGACCCAGAGCTCAACCATCCAAGTTGCTCTTCCATAGCTAATATTCAAATGGCGAACTAATTAGATGTGAGTCTAATTTAAGGCAACTACAATAATTTTCTTATAGGTTGCCATCTTTTGGTAGTGTCAATATTAAAAAATTGAAGTTTATTCATTATAAAAATGACTTGCAAGGCAAGCAGTTAGATTATTCTTTTTTGGTAACAGAGAAAATGTATGTAAAATATTCTGGTCCAGATGAATATATGACATCCTCGATGTAAAAAACGCTAAAGACAGATTTGTCATTAGATGATGATCATTTAAAAAAAACGCGTGTGAAAAGGGAACTTTAAGTGTTGTCATCAAAAATGGCCAGTGTAGTGGTTACGAGAGGTGACGCAACTCGTTACTCTTATCAAAAGAAACACAGCCATAGAGAACTCATACTTCCTCTACTCCCTAAACCTACCCCCCACACCCATCTCTAACATCTCCATCATAGTGCTGCATAACGAAGCCGCGTTGTAAGCGTGTGTGCGTCCCCGACGCCTTCGAGATACGCACCATCAGATTTGCACACTCGCACACCCAAGTGGACATTGGCTGGCTGGCTGGCTAGCTGGATGAGCACAGGTGCCTCCCTGCTATCATATGGAGCACAAATATGATAATTATTCACGCAGGAATTATGCACGTTTTTGGAGGATTTGCATAAGTGGACAGCAAGCTCCGTTTATGCAAAATATTACACATTTGCTAACTACGATGCCTCAGGCCCGTTCCACCTCTTCATCATAAATAGCCATTTAACCTGGCTGACAAGGGGTTAAATCTCCTCTGGCCGTACTCCCTGACATACCTCTAAGCAGTTAGTCTCTATTTCATTGTTATAGTCTCTTAAACCCCGTTAAATGGAGCATTTCTTGTCCAATCACCTATGCAACGGAGACAGAGATTTGACTTATTCACATAAGCTGTTCCGATGATTTCCAAAATTATTTCCTACTCTTCCATAACAAAAGTAAGTAAAGATGCATTCTTGCTGAAAAAGAAATCCATTTAAGGAAATATAACCATGTGGCAACGTTTTACCTATGCAGACTGTACTCATCACAAATTTAGACTACCTTTTGAGTTCATATACCTATCTCAATTTCTCACCACACACAATGCTCAAAAGTGCGATCTCTAAGCTAGGAAATCATAACGTTAGCTAAACAGAATGGTGTCACTACGACAGTGACAATATACAGTTTCAGAGTATCCAGGCCATAAAAACCCCCATAGAACCAAGCCTGCTTGATTATAAGCCACGGACTGTTTGTTAACAGTCTAGTATTTTCAAGTGCATTCACGTGGCTCTGAATCGCTAAAAGGAAAAGTCTCATTGCAGTTTGAAAAGTGAGCACCTGACCAAATTTAACATCTACTTGGTTTTGCACTCAATTGCATTGATTGTGTTAATTTTCTTCTCCTCAAGCTTAAAATTAGCTCATTATTACAAATTAGAAAGCTTTTAACCCGAGGTGCATAATCTGGTAAATTCTTCAGATAAGTGAGTCAGGATTCTATTTCGGTTGGATGACTGCGACTGGATCTCGTTTCAACAATTATAACCGAGTCAGTCCCTTGAGGCTCGGTGTTGTGCTATTCAATACCGCGAAAAGTGACTATCAGTTATAATAAATTTTCGTCAAGATTTAAATCATGATAAACCCGATCGTTAGCATCTCTCACACCCCTCCAAGCCATCTACTTTTGTACAGTCGCATTCATTATCCAATCTAAAAGCTTCCTTTTTAATAGCCACAACTTAGCAGGCCTTAGTAAGCACAGGCCTCATAGCGTCCAGATGCCACTTTCTTGGTGCTGTAACCTTTTAAAGGTGCTGCATTACCTGTTGAAGGGGTTCTTCCTGCAACCCAATTATTTACAAACAGACTAAAACACAAAAAGTTTGTGTAATCTTTATTTGATTGTGTCGTAGAAATTTTAAGCGAAAAGGTTTTGCACGGCAACTGACTTGTGATGACAAAATAAAGTAGGATGAAAGCCTTCTTTCTCTTTGTTGCGCTGTCATTGGCTTTCATATTAAATGGTCGCATAACTCTGCGAACAAAAACTTCTAACCATATTTATCTTTAAAAACTAAAGATTTTAGCGTTTTATTTTTAAAATAATGTGAAATAGGCCAAAAATATGAAGGGGACATGCATAATCAGTGCACAATCGCATGTGGATGCACACAGGCATATGCGCACACGCGCATTTGATGCGTGTGTGTGCATGCGTGCGCACGTACGGGCGCAGGCGGGGGTGAGTGAACCAATGAGAGCGCAGACTTTCTGCGGTCACAGTCATGCACGCGGACACATTGGTGGTAGGACGGAGAGGATATGAGAGAGCGATAGGGGGAGTGGGAAGGGACAATGCGACACAATACGCTTTTGTACACACGGTTGCTCTTTCTCCTTCCCTCTTTACTGCTGAAGTTGCAGTTTGTGTGCATTTGCGCGCGTGTTTAGGTGTGTGCGATGTGCAGTGTTTGAAGTTAAAGCTTGTGTGCACTAAGTGCGGACGTGTGTGCAGCGCATGCACGGATGTGAGAGCTCCTACAGGCAGTCGTCTTTTAACAAACCATCAACACACACACATTCACGATTGGCCAGACGTTTTGATTCGACGGTGCTGTTTTTCCGCTTATTACTCCCTGAGTATTCGTGACGGCTGGTCATTGCTACATTTCATCCTGTGCGAGTTTCAACGCCATAGCGCCCAAGGAAACCTATCGCCTCACTTTGGTGAGTTTCCATTTTTGTCGCTTTGTCAATTTTTGATTTTCGTAACCTTTAACTACAGTGACGCTCATACTTGCCTGCCTAATACCACTTAGCCCTTTGAACAGACTTACCAGTTTTGCTAATGCATATGTTTACTGAATAGCATAGGCAATTCACGCAAATTCGGCCGGTGTATTTGTGTTTGAAACTATAGTTATTGTCAAAATCTTTAACGATATTATTTGAAATGTATGTGGATGGTTATAGTGATGGTTCATTTCCGCTGCCAAGATTGCACTCCATTTAAAATGTTAAATCACTGTCCCATCGGTCCATCAATCATCGTAAGTAGCAGTGAAGCCATCTCCACAGGTGGCCTTCGTCTGAACAGATCACATTCCCCTCGTCCCTCCTCTGACATAAATCCTACTGCAGAATTTAACACTACCATCCTCCACCCATCTATCTGTGTGTGCCTGTACACAGGCTCTGAATGAAGCGTTTACCCATGATCTGCTAATGTCTCTCCCTCGCAGCGTGTATGTGATCCATTTCACCTGTTTCACGTTACTCTTCCTCGGATAGAAGGGGAAATCCTATGCCATTCCCACAATTGCAAGTGCTGTGATTATTGCCTCCTATAAAATGCATTCCAATTTTGAATTTAGGAGAAATAAGGATGCTTGCATCGTCATAGCATTGGTATTTTCATTTGTCCCCTAAATCTTTAGACCATCCGCTTCCGTAAATATAAACTAACATTGCAACAGAATTCAAATTGTGTTCTTTGTTGGTATTTAAATTTACTTTTTACAGTATTTCTTCCGTGAAGATTTGCTCGTAAACTTTGCTCATATGCCAAGTTTGAAGTTTTAGGTAATCGGAGAAACACTAGATGAAAAGTTTGTCATTGCTCTATTAGAAACACAATAAACAAAAACCGACTCTATGAAGTCCTGTGGTTAATTATAAGCGCATTTTGTGAACTTATGAAATAATAAATAAATGAAAAGTGAATTGAATTCGAGGCCAAGTAACAACTCCTGGCGTCTGATTAGTTCAAATTTAAAATAATTACCGGATTTCTTGCTAAAAGTGCCAAATTTCGAAGACAACTTCTGCTCCACACTTGCAAATCATTTTTGAAATCAGAACTCACTGGATGTTTTAGCAGAATCCAAATTTTAATGATAACTTTTTCTCAGGCATTTATTGGCTCCGTGTCTGTCAATTCACATATTTTAAAAACAAAATTGCAAGGACTGTATTTTCATAGGAATTAACCACAGAATAACTCTAATTGTTTGCAAACCGGTACTGATGCAGTAAAAGCATTGCACTCGATTGAACCTTAAAGCCAATTTTTCAAACACTTCAGTAGACTTTAGCACCTTAATTACTTTGTTTACAGTGGCCTTATGAATGCATTAACATTCCAAGTCCCACTTGCGAGGCAAGTGAAATATGAAATTCACGAGTTTAAACAGATGGGATGCATATTCACTCCGAGCAATAGTTGGACAAAAGTTATGCCTTGGGCACGTAAATGAAGGCTTTGTGTTTCACAGTCAGCACTACTTTCTCTCCACCATCCCAAATTTTCTTCGAAGACGTCAAATAACTTGACCTTTGGCTAGAAAACTTGACAAAAAATCGGCAAACTAAACTGCGCTCGTCCCAAAAAAGAAGACGCGAATTTTACTAAAACCCGGTGTTTACATTTAGTCCAGACAGCGATAAGCCGACGCAGATGGAAGGAGGGGGTAGGGGGACGGAAGCGGTGGGATGCGCAGGGGGAGAGATAGCAGCAACTCAAAATAAATGGTATACAAATACCAAGCCTCCCATCTAATTCAGTCAATCTGGAGTGTTGCTAAGGCTCTGGCCCAATGTTCACAGTGGCTACCAGCGGTACTCGAATAGCATAAACAGACACGTGGGTAAATACTCCTCACCAAACATACCTGGCGCCATTGGGAGACATTACTCCCCCTCTTATAGTAAGTCACATCGCATATCTTTCACCGTTTTTAATGATATCGCTATTAGTTTTCCCTTACTTGGTATAGTCCGACTTACAGTCCTCAAACGATAATAGTAATCTCACTTAGTAAGATAATGAGAGATCAGAACTTTTAATGATTTAAAAAGTGTTTCGAATCCTTAAATTCCTGGTTGCGTTCTATTAGATGAATGGAGGAATGAGTGAAGGACAGGAATGATGAATGAAAGATCTGTTATGTGAACGGGTTTAAGGAGGAAGAGAGAGAGGAGGAATGAATGCATAACGCACGAAGTGAAACCCAAGCCACAGCGAGGGTGTGCGCAGCAAAACGTTTGGGCAAGGATTGAGCCGGTTCCAAGAAGGGGAGAGGGAGGATCGTTGTTTAAGGCAACGGCACTGCTGAATGCAAATTACGCAAATTTGCATCCAAGTTCAACACACGCGCCTTGGAGAAATAGCCGCTTGAGACTCGGGGAGGGGAGGTGGGGTTGCCTGGTGTTTGCTGCGTTGTGCTGGAGTTATGATTCTTTCTGTGGTTGGAGAGAGAGCGGGGCGGGATCGTTCTAGAGGGGGGTGGGGGGTAGAGGGACAGGAAGAGAGGGGTGGAAGAGGATAATTTAATGCAGGAAATTTGGGTCGCAATCTTAGTTGATCTAATTATTCATCTATTCTTAAACCTTGAATTGATTAAGGTGTGTATGATAGGCCTGTGTATGTGTGTACGTGTGTGCGTGTGCAAATAGGATTGTGTAGACATGGGACATTTCAACTCTTCTTCCTCTATAGCAAGCCAATTGTCAATGTCTGGACCTCAAACATTTTGAAATGAAATAAAATATGTGTAGGCTTTTTCTAATGATTACTTAAAATGATTTAACATTTACCAAGTAGAACTGATTTCAAACACAATTAGTAAGTCCACTCTTGAGGTCTGTAAAGCAACACAAGCAAGAATAGGTCCTTTTAAATTTAGTACAATTTTTCAATATTTTTGCTGTTGGAGTTCTAAAACTTCCACCTTCATTTAGGGAGGAGACTCACCTTTTAGGCAAACATTTAAAAGTCATCATATATTTTGAGAAATGTTGAATTGTTCTCATCAAGCTCTTCCATTACACACTTTTACTTAAATAGTGGATAGTTCTTGAGGGACTTTTATTCGAAGTAATGACATTTTAACTTCCTTCCATTATGGAAAATAAAAGAAATAAGTTTTCTTATTCATCTTATAATCCCCGAGAATTTTATCTCAATGATAAACGTGAAACATTAAAAAGTCAGTATCTGTGGTTCCGAATGCCGAGCAAAGACTTTTGCGAAGGCAGGAGAGATACCTGTAGTTGCGTGTGTTATGCACAGGTAAAGGGAAGAAGGTCATCTAAAGTACAATTCATTCAATGAGTTGGTTTTGGTCCTGTCAAAAAACCGCGAAAGAAGTAAAAACACGGGTGAAGTTTGGGAGTGGCCAAGTAAAGGTCCCTGAGGGTGATTTAAGGTGCATCAAAAAGGGGCGCCCTGGTTCATAAACGGTTTCGTGCTGTCCCATTGTTTACCTTCACTTGAGTGATTCAATGCGCTTGCTACTGTTGCAGTTACCTTCACTATCTCCACACTTCCCTCTGTCCACACGCCCGCACACATTCTATTCTTCCTTGGAATACCGGAAATGCCACCACCAAAAGTTTACATTTACCGTCGTGCGTGCACACAGGATTTATAACCTTGTTTCTTCAAAAAGGAGGCCTTGTGGGGCCAAAAATCAGCCACCTGCCCTGCCCTGCACAACAGCCACCCACGTATGGTTGGAGTCCCCTTATTTTCCTCTTTCAAAATATCCTCTCTTTGAGGAAGCCAACAGTACTTCGTATGACACAGACTCGTGCATGTGTGTACACCAGATGCAAGCGACTTCAAAGACCCTTTTTCTCTCGTTTGACATAGAGGGCTACCGAAAGAGTGCGAGGAAGCGGGAGTTAAGGCTTTGAAGAAAATTTTAATTGCCACCACCCTACTTGCCGCAGTAAAGGACAGCACAAACTTATAATTTTTAGGTGGTTTTGATAAATGACGGAGGCAAGCACCTTTCTCTCTCTCTCTCTCTCTCAGTGTACGTATATGTGAGTGTGTGCCCACAGACTGCGCTTTTAGTAGGCTTGCATGTAGTTTAATTAGAAGGAAGACTTGTGGGTGTGAGGGGAGGAGGGAGAGAGCAGGAGTGAGGTTTAAAGAACTTGTGATAAATGACGGAATAGCTACTCTAAAGGGTGTTCATGTGTGTGCGCTTGAGATATCAGAGATATGCAGATTAGGAGATTGTAAATAGCCAGTAAATTCTGAAGTATTTTCTTCAATTCACCCTTGAAGTTCATTCCTAACAAAGTCTCTCAATGTCAGTTTTTGCTATGTCCGTTTTTTTACTTCGAGTTTTTACGGTTGCAATTTACTTAATCCAGCATTGAATATGAAATACGTTTTGAAGTGATGTAGCAGAATGAAATAAAAGTGGAGAAATCTGATTTAAAGAGGATTTTTAAGTCTCAATAAGCGAAACAGTGTAGTTGCTTGTTAGCATCAGATTAGAAAAGTAAGGAGTCATGAAAAATTTTTCACTTTAATCTTTTGATTGTTTTAGTGGAAGAGTCCATGATTCACTGCAGTCTTATCAAAATGAATAATGTCAGATTTTTGACAACTGGCAAACACGACTGTAAAATTCCAAAAAAACGCAATAAATGCATTAAGTAGGCACCACATTTTTCCACCAACAGAGAGGCTATACGCGTGTACAGAGGTTATTTCTGCTTATTTGAGAGGTAGCACATTTATTAAAAGGAGAGATTCCATGTGATTTGTGCAGTTTTACGCAACCATTAACACGAAAGGTTGTGGCCTCAACGGTGGGCGAATAGTTTATTGGAGAAGCCGTTCGACTCCCATAAAATGCAACAACTTTCTGAACTAGCTAAAGGGGTTGTGAGATACGTATCTTTTAACGCAGAAACATGCACATAAATACGTACACAGGCGCATCACAACCACCACCACCACCATTAACAACACAATTTCCGCTCTTAATTACGTTTACGGATCTTCGATGCGGTCAATCTCAAGTGGCCCTGCAACGTGCAAATCGTTGCCATCCTAGTGGTGTTACCTTGTTTTATGTCCTCCCATCTTTTCTGAACTTATGCAGTTAAAATTATTTCTAGATTGCTTTATGCCAATCTAATAGTTCAGCATATTTATGAGTTTGTGCTAAGCAAAAAGCTTACTCCATTTGCGTTCCATACTAGTCTGGAGAATCCACAACTTAAAGATAATCAAGAAAGAGCCTATGAATTGCCATCTTTTAAATGTAGTGAAGCAGACTGGTAACAAGAGATCCTGGAGTTCTTTTTCTGCCATTCGCGCGAAAGACCACTTTTATCGTGTAGTGCCTATGAAAAAGGTAATTTGTTGGTAAAAATTCCCAGTCAAAACTGCTTTCCTCAATAAATATTTGATAATTGTGTGATCACTGACAGAGACTGGTGTAGTAAGAGATGCTATCAGTTTAATTAATGTATCCGGTGTGGCTAATGCACTTCTGCAATTTTGTTGTAAATGGTACAAGCGCTTTATAACCGCCTATCTTGCACCACGATCTGGATGCATTAAGTATTTTTCTAAGGACTTCACGTACAATGGATACATGAATGGTCTTATTGGGGAATTGTATTACTAACTGCTCTATCATTCGTTATATCTGGCTTAAATGGCCACTAGTGTTCCCGTCTAGCTCCTGCAGCATGCGGGATTCTCCCCTAGCATTCTAAAACAACGCAATCCATTGTTCACCGCCTCATAAAATCCCAGTCTTAAATAGCGGGGACGTGAGTGTTGCAATTTAGGGAGTTTCCAGCGTTGGGAACTATCCACAGGTGGCACTCGAATGGAAGCCCCAATTAGTGCTAGGACCGGAGACTTAAAACTCTGATAAGGCGGACTGGATAAATACCAGAATTTGGTTTGTTCGCATTGTAAACATACAAGAAAAGTAAATAACTTTTTATATTTAAAAGGAGTCTGACAAGTTCACGTTGCATTTAAATACGTGCCGATCGATACTTTTCAGTTGTAGACAATGTTCAACATTCACCACTACGCCTTGTATGGGGTCGGCTGTGGGATTGTGCACACTGTTTCGACCAGTCGGCCTTATTTCTACTTTTCAGGTGGAAAAGCATGACCGACACGAATAACGGCTTCCCTCCGGATGCATCAGCAGTCTTTGCCCTCATGAAATCATTCAGCGATCAGCAGCTACCAATGCCCCTAACATCTGTGGATGGAAATGATTTGAGAGACACTGATGACTTGAAAAATCGCTTATTGGCTGCAGCAATGTCTATGCTGAATGCTTCCACCATTAATCCTTCTGCTTGGCCTTCTGAGGCAAAAATTCCTACCCCTAATTCCAAACCAGACTTTGAAGCTAACTGGGATGAAATGAATCTCACATCACAATTCTTCTCTGGATTGGCGACTCCCTCATCTGAGGCGACGACCTCCACACCCGGCGATTTTCCATTTCCCAATCCCTTCATGATGATTCCACCCAGTTTACAGTCTATGGGGACAAAGGGTCTTCCTGCCATTGTTAATGGCAACAAAGACGAAGATTTTTGTGAGCTGTGCCAAAAGCACTTTTGCAATAAATACTACCTCCGAAAACACAAAAACGATGTTCACCGGATTCCCAGTGAACCTTTCTCGCAAATACGAAAACGTGAGGCAGGTTCTAATGAGTCCGATGATAATGACCCAACAGATAAGTCACCATGCACAAATACAAATGAATGGATGAATGTCCTTACTTCCTCAGCTGCTACAGCTCAGCAACTGGGAGAGAGCATTCCAAACCGAAGAACTCCCGTAGAAGGATTTCGAAGCATCTCCAACCCGGCAGAAACAAATGTAACATCTGAGAAGGAGCAAGTTTCGTTGTGGATGCCCAAATCCGAGCGTAAACCTTCGCGCGTTGAACTTGGTGAGAATGCCACATTTATTCCACCCGTCGTTGCCAGTGATTCAGTTTCCAGTCCTACTCTCAGTTCTGCAGTCACCAGCAAAGCTCTTAATGCTGGAGCATTAGATATGTTCAAGTCAAGTATGGCAGCCGCAAAACTAGCAGATCGTGTCACTTGCGATTTATGCAAAAAGGAACTCTGTAATAAGTACTTTCTTCGGACCCACAAGATTAAGGTACACGGTCTCTCACCTCAAGAGGTAGGTGTACCGATCTCAAGAGCCTCATCTGGAAAACACACAGAGAAGATCCAAGTTGAGAGTACAAGTCAAAGTCTTGAAACCTTTGGCGTACCTCCACCTCTTCCGCCGCCACTTTCACTCATGACTCCCATGCTACCATCCCAGTTCCCTGCCCCGTTGGGAAGTTTGCCTGCCTGGCTGCCTCCACAGCCCCCATCCGTAATGCCTGACATGCCAAGACCACCCCAAGAAGAGGCGAAAAAGGACCCAGTTTCGCAGCTAATGGCGGCAAATGCATTAGTCACTTGTCCACTATGTGATAAAACAATTGGTCCGCGTCTGTTTCTGCCGACTCACTTGACCTCCGTTCATAGTCTAAGTCCGACGGACCCATCATTTTTCATTTTCATTTTGAGCGCCAGAACGCTGGACAACAATGGAGAAAGTGACGCTTCAACAGCCAAGATGACACCAACAAGCAATTCGGACCGCGAAAGCCCAACATCTACTGCCATTCAGCTGCCAAATCCTTCACTCATGCGGCTACCATCCGCCACGTCTGTTGAGAATATTAATCGGGAACAAAGTGGTATACCGCAGCTTAGTGTGCCAAACACTATGAACGGCATACTTCCACCAGCAATATCAAGTAAGTTTGAGGGCCTAAAGTTCACTTTTTATTTAATTAACTGATGCGAAATTCCCTGTACCAATGCTTGTGACAGATGTTCTGTATCCTGAAAAGATTTACCCTAAAGTACATGACAACTTAAAGTTCATTTAAGTGATTGTAATCACCCCTCGTGTTCAACACTTTCATCACTAATTGTGCATTCGGCAAAAGCAATCATCTGAGTTCACTCCTTTTCTGTCAAAATAGAAATGCAAATAAACTCAATTAAGTAAATAATGACTTCATTGCTCCGACTGAGAGTAAGACACATAGTTGGGGTAACTATTTGCCCCTCCACCATTACCTAAGAGTATAATTCCCTTAATTTTTCATTTCTAAGCGAAGGGACATTTAGCACCAGAAATGGGTGGGAGAGATGGCAGACGACTAGTCACATGCACACGTGCGAGCGAAAGCGCATGTAAATATGCCCAATTCCTTCTGGTGCCCGCGTATCACGAATGTGGTATGGTTTTGTCAGCAAATTTGTAGCGCGTGCGCTGGCTTGACCAGTGGGGGAAAAGTTTAAAAGCACAACACGCACGCACGCATGCACATCCCTACAAACGCACGCATACTTAGATGAAGCAATATATTTTTCACAAAAGAAAAGGGAACCTCTTTTAAACTGCAAACACGCGGCTGTTCCCATCAGGCTGACATTCAAAAGTTCCAGGTAGGCGTCTTGAAAAAAACCTTCCATCCCCCGCTCTACACACGTGTTCCTCTCCCGTCCTCCCTCCCTGCCATCTCCGCTGCCACTGTTGGGTATTGTATGGTGGTGGTGGCGGTTTTCAGACCATACCATATTAAATCACACTTCTGTGTGAGGTGTAGCAGGGATGAAGCATACTTCCATTAATTGGGCGTCTGGTTTCCATGTGATTATGGGAGGGCGAAGAGAGACTAATATGTAGCCATCCCTTCTTGCACACGTGAACACAGTGCATGAAGTGGGAATTGAAGGCGGCGGCTTCGATCTGCCCGTCATGGCGACAGCCTCGAACACTCTACTGCTGCCTCCACCGTTGGGACTCCTCTCCCCCCCGTCTGGACTCTACTCCACCCCTCCCGCCATCCAGCCGCCGCCTCCCCCAGCACCACCAACGGCGGCAGTGGGAATGGTGATCAACCCTGCCGCCTCAGCTGCCACAACAACCAAGTGGAATCCTGTACATCTTGCCGCTTCCGGCTTGGCAGCCAAGCGTATCCTGCCTAATGGTACCACTGGCACGACTCCTCGCAAGTCACCCAATCAGATGCGCGTTCTCTGTGACATCTGTAACAAGTGGATTTGCAACAAGTATTTCCTACGCACACATAAAGCCAACAAGCACGGCATTACGAACCAAACGGTGGTGATAACACCGACTTCACAGGCCACAGGAAGTGCAGCTAAGGGAATCGCCGTGGTGCCCCTGGACTTCAGTAAGCCTGGGAAAATTCAACAACAGCAGCCACCATCGGGGACGTCTGAAGGGACCTCAGAGTTCTTCCCCATGGGAGTGGCAGGTGGAAAGGAGGATGCTTCGGCAATCCACCCACCCATTATGGCGTCATGGTCATTTACCAATTCCAGTCCACATTCCCCTCTCCCCAGGAGTCCGCACATCCTATCTGCAGCCAACGAATCTGCCAATCCACCTGGCATTCAAGATGTAAGGTTACTTCTCCCCATTATAAACAGTATTTTATCAACATCCACCCTAATTTGGAAAATATTCACTTTAGTCACTTTGGGTATCTTCAAAATCTGTGTATTGTAGACGATAACAATCTCCTAGGATTTTACGAGGGCATCAAGGTATCTTATGACTATCCTCCCACAGGATAATTGCACCTAAACCACTTGACCTTGTATGTAAAACTAAGTAATATCACGAACTAAAGCAATGATTTATTTTGACCCTAGACCTCTGTGGATCGCGGATGTCCACTTAATCTCTCCTTGAAACCATCTCCACACCGTGCGCCAGGCGTGGAGATAAAACATGGTGTCGATCAGTTCCTCGCAAACTTTCCCACAACAAACACTCCAAGATGGAGGCGTATTAAAATTCGACGAAGGAATCTACGGTTGCAAAAGGGGGCTGCGCGTGTTCTGGCAAGGGCATGCAGGCAGCTCTTTGCATTCTATCAAACATCTTCGTTACTCAGAAGGCACACGGTAAGAGTCCATTCACCATAGATACTCAGGCCAAAATCCAAGGTCTTTTCCACAGCTAAAAATATACACTTGTCTGATCAATAAATGTCGAACGACCGAATACAAGTTGCAAAGTATCTACTCCAATCTCGAGCGCCTGCTCTTATAATTAGAGTGGACACACGCAATCTCCCTTTTTCCTGATTGTATCACATCATACAAAGCGAATGGAAGTTAAGCGATGGTAAATGATATGCCCCCAGTTGAAAGCAGTTAAGTGAGTTTAAAATAATTTTGCGTTTAAACTAACGCCGAGTGTTTCATGCAAAATCGGTAGGAGAGGGTGCCAATTAGTTCAGAGTTGCTGAGTTTAATTCAAAAATACTCACGGCAGTTCTGTCTTTTAAGTCAATCCTCCATCTATAAATGCCAATTATCGTTTTGTAGGATCGCAGCAATGGTAGGGGTGTGAATTACTTCCTTATGCAAATTTACTTTAAGCGATTCGTTAAGCAAGAGGGCAGATCAGTAAAAAACATGAAATTTATTATCCGCTGTGCATAATAAGCCCGACAGTTTGGACAGACTCATATAGATTTTCCTGGGTAGTTTTGATGAACACTTTCTTACTGTTACAGAGGTAAGTCTTGCCGAAGAAGATAGCATTAGTTTAAGGTCATTTTAACTAAAATCTCCGGCCAGAGTGAAATATTTATCTGGTGCTGGGAGGAATGTAAGACTTTCTGCCTGAAATATTATTAGACACAAAATTACCGTTTCATGGTCCCTAGCTTGTATCAAGACTCATCACGAAGTGGCTTTTTTTGTACCAAAAGGCTTGAATAAAACTACAGTTGTGGACAGCTGGTTCATGGGATGGCCGAAAACTGCCATGAAATGAAGCCTTTGTCGTACCTGTGCAGCTCACACTTACAAATGAATAAGTTAAGCTAGCCTCTTGAAAATCAACGAACTTTTTCAGCGCCTATATTATCAATATTATCTTCTCTGTCAATGAAGATATGGTGTGTTAATGAGCTCTCTTCAGTTAGATTGCTAAAAATTTTATATTTTATGAAATTTTAGTCCATCTATATCTCATAATTGTGCATAAGTATGCGATAGACTTGTCCTACGGTTGGTCATACACCTGGATCTTTTCCACGGTAACATTATTTCATTCTTCAGACGGTAGCCGCATCCCTTCAGAATGAGGCTAAGAGAGGTGGAGCTGGAAAGAATGCATCAAGACCATGGCAAAATGCGTGTCGGGTCTGCAGCGTCTGTTTTAACAAGCGCAGCCAACTGGGTGCGCACTGCTACGCCAACGGGCATCCTCACGTTCTCCGAGTCGATGTCCCGACACCTGTTAACATCTTTCGCGCCTCCACAGGCATCTACACCCTGCCAGCTGACTCCGCCCCGCAGAATTCGATGGCACAGATTGCCAGTGATTGCTCAATGGACGAGACCGGTGGTTGGTGGGCGCGTCAGCAGAAGTGGCCAATCAATTTTGTGTCTGCTAAACTAACTTCCCACCAGTCGCCCTCAAGCAACTCTACCGCTCCCGAGCAGTTCTGTTCTTATCAGGCCTCCCATCACCTGATCCAGCCCCCTCTCTTCAATGAGACCACCACTACTCCCACCATTTAGACTGATCTCCTACTGTTCCCCCACTATCCACTCCCCAGTGGGCCCAAAGCTATCGTCCAATTATCGTAATTCTAGGCAATGACTGCACCAGTTTTCTCAACTTTATACACGAATACAAAGGTACAGGTGCACACAGCACACACCACCCCTGGCCAGTTTTTCATCCTGTGAAACTGCCTATATATACATATATATATACTTATTACACCTACAATGATGATGATACTAATAAAGCTATCCTCAAGTCCCATTTATCTCAACTACCTTAATGAGATATACTACTTACAATCGTCAGTAGCGGAATCACAGGTGGCCCAAATGCGCGCCATGGCAACACACAAATGGGGGTGGATGTGTGTCCAGCCGGCCTCATATATCAAGGTAAAGGCAGCCTCGAATGTGTTTTGTCCGAACCAGGAAGGGTCGCAAAATTTATGGCATATCACCCGACAGGGGCAGGTTTGTGGGTGCTCCTGGTAGTGGGAAGGTAGACGCAAAGTTCAATGGTCCAAATACAAATCAGGCATGGTAATGGTAACCTGTAAAATCAAATGCTTCCTTTTTACTTCTGTATTCCATTTGGAATGTGTTAAAAACTGGATAATAATTGCTGCTGCTATGAACTGAGTGGTCTCTTAGTTCTATAGTGCATTCGACACTTGAAGAAAGGGTTGAATTTTTTGTGTCGTGACCTAAATAAAAGTCTAGTTAATGTTACAGCTTGGGGATTTGTGAGTTTAAAACTGGATGAGTGGCATATCACCATTCAATTTCAATTTCACGGACTGCATTTAATCAAAAGTACCGCTTTCAAGGAGGCTCAAGCAGCTATCCGAAAACTCTCAATCTGAAAAATTGTTTAGTGCATATTAGAAGAACCTTATTTTCATGTAGTCAGCCCCACTATTGAGGCGCTCTCTCAGTATTCCAAAGCATTTGATACTAATACCTTCTCCATGCACGTTTACTTGGCAATATGGCATTTGGACTCTTGTTAGTGTGTTTTAATTAGATATGCATAGTTGAGTGTATGGAGCATTAGAAAAACTCCCCCTATTGACAATCACAGTGTTCCATCTCCTAAAATAGACACCGAGTTATTTGAAACTGTACTTTCCATCCAGTGGGAGGACAGTCAAAATTGTTCAAGCAAGTACCTTCTAATTGTTGTATTAAGTGCCTATTAGCTAAAAGATACCACCGCCATTCGTAAAATTTAATGCATGCTACTAATTTTTAATTGACTTGACACTTTACACCCCATCGCATCCCGTAATTTGAATCTATCGAAAACTGTTAAATCATTAATAAGCTTTCAAGAATCTACCATTACTGTGGTGCGAGTGAAATCGTCACCATTCTCATTTCAGCGCTTCATCCTATTGGCTGGAGATTTCATGATAGAAATAACAATTATCCATGAATGTGTTTATTGTGAGATCTCAGTATTTTATAATGAATCGTATCTATCCCCTAATCTTACTTCCCAGGACCGTGTGACTATTCTTGTGTAGGTACAGGGGAAGAATAGTTGTGCAAATTAAAAGCATCCCATGGGAAGAGCAGGCTCAATTAGGTCTGTCTTGCAAAAGGGGTATTTACTATTGAGTGTCCGTGCGCCCAAAAATGCCCAAAAATGTTATGCCAGTGGAAGGCAGGGTGGTGTGTTGAGAAGCTGGGAAATTTTGAACAACTCTTCTGGCTTGCATGCAGACCTCAGAGTTCTTTGGCCCCCTTCCTTCCTCTCCCCACCACTGTCCTCCCCGCCATTTTGCTGCTAATGCGCATTTTCCATTTGTCTTCAACAGTTCATTGGCGAGTGTTTTGTACAAATGGAATTTCTCCCTTGGTGAGTGTGCCTGTCCGTGCAGTGCATACACGGAGGGTTAAGGTAAAATGATAAGTTAATGGCTTCTTTCCACCGAAGGATGAAGGGAGGGAGGAAGAGAGTAATAGGGGGTGGCCATTCTGTCAGGGCTATTCCGACAAAGGAGTCCGATATAGCTACTGCTCCTCCTGTTGGTGCTGCTAATGTTAATTATGCACGTTGATATGGCAACATGGTGAACAACTAATTGGTAAAGTTTACTCCTCAACGAAATAGCACTGCCACGTCCGAAACCATATTTTCATGCATCTGCTAAAGCGAGACAGATGGCAGTTCAAACTTGTGGTAGACAGAGCCAACTCAGTGGTTTAGAAAATAGCCATATGGGAGGAGAGGAAAAAAGAAAGAGAAGCTGTAGCAGAGGTGCAAATTTAATAATAATGTTCTTACTGATGGTTCGTGAGGGGAGTCGTTTTAAGTAATGGAGGAACCAAGGAGCTAAAAGTTTGATTCAGTGAACATTTTCTAACCATAGTCAGTAGTACTTAATAAATTTGTCAAATAAAGAAATGAATGCTGCTTAATCTTAAACAAATTAATTCACATCAAACAAGTTGGTTACAAAAGAAAATCATGAAGGGGCTCTTTTATTCAAAGCCTCTTCATCAGTTTACTACCCCCACAAAAACGTTGGTTTTTAGCAGCCTTGACATTTAAAAACATCGCAGATGGCCGGTGTGCGTGTGTGGATGGTGGTGGAGGTAAATGCTAGATCGTAGTCTAGACGGTCGAGGTGAGGTCGTAAGTAAAGTCCCAATCTCGAAATGCTGCTTAGCTAGAGTTGCTTGTGCACAGCGACCATTTCAGCCACACGGAAAATTAACGACATTGAAGGATCTCCAGACGCTTCCCTGCTACTTTAATTGAAACGTTCCTACAATTGTATGAGTGAAACCATGAATACTTAAATACATTTTTAATAGCAACATTTCCAGAATTTAGTTTCAGTTTAAGCTTAGGGCAAAGCAAACCAAATGTATCAACTTCCGGAATATTTTTGACTAAAGAATAAGCAATACAATCGTCTGGGTGTAAGGAGGGAAGCTGGAAAAATTGGGATTCCATAAAGCACATAAAGTGGGAAGAAGTAGCACAAAGAAAAAAACTGAAGTACACGATAACCCAGAACAGCTGAACAGAAGAATCAGAGGAGGGGAAACACCTGAGCCTGGGCAGCACCACCACCATGTGATGTTTGTTAAATTTGTTATTTGAGGAAATCCAGTTGTCATGAAATTCACGACACTCTTGTCTCCTGAAAAAGGTGAATTCGTCCGCTTATTAAAGAGGGTCCATCTGACATTTACTCCAGCAGTGGGAAGGTCCCCCCATAAAACCCACTTGCCTTCCGCCCTCCCTCCAGTTTGCGTGGTTGTGGGATTCTAGTCGTGGCGAAGATAAATACAGGTATGGGAACCCACTCGAGTCACATAAAATAAAGCCGGCGTCGCGTTTTGCCAGACTAGATGGACTGGGCTCTGAGTTTGGCGGTAGCAGAGGTTAAGAATGTCTAAACAACCAACCACCAACCGGGTAAAATGGGGAGTTAGATAAATGCCAGTTTAAAAATTAAAGAATGACTTCATAAAGGCTGAAATGCCAAATGTTGTAGAGAGAATGTCTTGCATGACTAAGCTCTTTTATCTGTAATTTAAGTCCCACTTTAGTCTCCTCGAAGAAAACGGTATATATTTTTCCTCGACACTTACCACAAAAGCTACAGTAAATTGCCATGCGGCTTTACTAGTGAGTTACGTACGACGTAGCATTCACTTTGAAAGTATTTAAAGTGGAAAACAGAAACCTCTCTCGCGATTGGTGATTGTCTTTTTTAAAGAATCTATGGGATTGGAGATCCGTTGATTTTCGCTTTTGCTTTATGCTAACGGTAAACAAAATACCCCCGTCACACACGAAGTAGCGCTCTTATGCACTTTATGGACGATTTTTTTTAACTCCCCATTTCTATGGATGCAAAATTATTGAAACTTAATAGATGGTATTAAGAATAATGGATATTATGGGATTTTTCATTTGAAACAGGCCTCCATAAACACACGCTGTTGATAATTAGGCGAGCAATAAAACAAGACAAGGGAGTTGTTGTGTCTGGCAGTCGCTGTGGTTCAGTCACGGATGAAGAATAGCGCAGTTGGGATCACCCGACCCTTTAAACTACTAAAAGGTACAGAATATCAAAGTTGTCAAATTACCCAACACTTTCTGTCGAATTCAAATCTATGCTGTAGCAGGAATTTTAAAAGCTGCGGTAAAACGAAGGTAATCAGAAAAGGCCGCGACGGGTTTATCATAAATAGTACTTACGAGAACTCGAACTTAAAATAAATTGGAGTAAAATTAAAATTTGAGAATGTGTTAAATTTAAAATAGTTACAGCTAGTGCCAACTTCCATTCCAATGTGGCAGCCATCAGCAGGGTACCGAGTGCTCTTACACTTGCTTTTCTTTTCTAGTAAGAAAGGTTCCAAGAAAAATCAAGTAAAGTAATCCCCTAAGGATAATCAACACTGCTGAAAATACAAATTTCACTCACGTCTCTAGAGCCATTGTCATGTTTATACGCTTCCACTGGATAGTTGGATGGAGACGCTTTTTTAACTATTTCAATTAAGAGACTATGGCCTGCTTTTTAAGGATCTTAAAAGAGTGCACCTTATTTTAGTTGGCGAGCCTGTTCAAATTGGCATTCATCTTGTTTTAATTAGTAAAAATTCAAAAAATGCAACTGTTATTGTAGTACGGCTTCAATGACAGTTTCAGCTAATCATTCGGTTGAAGTTTAAAAGTGCATGACTGCCTTGGTAGAATGTTTGCAAACAATAACTCCACACACAACGCCTAAGTGATTATATTGAGTCTAGCGGTGGAACCCCTTATTTGATATATCAGCATTTAATTTTGGTGAACCATTGGAAATTAATTCAATGGGTCGACCACATGTGCTTACTTAAAAGTCTCCAAAAAGAATGGAGAGTGCCTTGTTTAAAACTCCGACCGTGTTCGACTGCTTCGTAGTCCCTTAGCACGCAAAAGGGGCTTTGTCGGCACAATCCATCCCTGTTTGGGTAAATACCTTTGTAGGGTTGCCAAAAGGCTTGAAGATCAATGCTAAACTACATCGACGGTAGGAAGTTTTAAGTGGTAAAGTGGGAGGAAGGACAAACAATTGCGGGTAAACTATGAGAATTGCTTTGGTAGGCTTCATTTAGGGAACACCACTGAAAATGTTCCGACATCATTTTGACTCAGTCAAGGAATTTTGTAAGTCGTTTGCGCGAGCAACAGTGATTCTAACGCAGTAGTTTTCAACGAACATGAGAGTATCTTAGTGTCTTATTAAGTGAATTTCTGAGGTAGATTATTTCGTAAACGCATCATCAGAGACAGCACTGGGGCGTTAATTTGTAAATAGATCTCTTAGTTAAAAAAGGTTCAATTCAATTAGAAAATCTGACACCAGTTAACTGCTGGCCCTATTTCTCGTGGTGCTGACATACCAATAAACAGTGTTTAAAATACTTCGCATTTGAAAAAAAACGATCCTATGGGCCACGCAACCCGGGGGTTTCGAACTATTATAATATCCACAATACATTCATTGTTCGAGAACACGCAATGATGGGTCTTGTGGAATCATTGGCATGAAGCCTGCTTTTAACTGTTTGAGACAGGAAAGGTTGATTTATAGGCAATACAGTGCGTAAGGAAGACCTTGAGAAGGAATAATTTGCTTAGATTGAATGCCTTCTCAATACGTGGGGAGGAAAATCTTCATTATTTCACGGTAGCTAATTTATAACCTTAGAATCTATGATTAGAATAAAGGTGGTAGTATTGATAAAATTATGCCTTTTACCACTGGTCAGCATTTTATATGAATTTTTGTGAATTTTATCAAACCTATCTTCTATTTATGCTATCATCTGCTGCCTCGTACTATCGCATTAAGTCGATTTGGCATGAAGCGGATCCACAAAATTTTCGCTTTTTTGGACTTCATTGCTTCTGAATGGGTAAAAAACAAGGAATTAGTGATTACTGGTCAGTGCAACGCAGTCGTGTCTGCTACTTGTCCATTTAAGTAGAATATATTTTTTTGCTGTATCCAACAAATTCATGGTTCCTCTGCAACGCGGATCAAACTTCCACAAAATAGCTGTACCTGACTTATACAATGCACAAATAGTAAAGCACTCCATTTGTGGACAAAAATGAATTGTTTTGACAAAGGATGACCTTTAACCACAGAAAACTGTTGTTGCGTGGAAATGGCAGCTTTTTGCAATACTTGGTGCAAATACTCCAATAGCTTTGAATTAATCAAGCTTCCTTAGGATAGCTGATTTTGTCAGTCTAATATGGCAGTTATGAACCCCGACTTACTAGCTACTTTTTGAGAATCGGCTCAATCGTTATCCGCCAAATAAATAAATAGGTAATGTGAAATAAAACCATACTGACTTCAACTGTACTTGCATCTTCTCTTTAGCCATTTATTTCGGGAAGTAGTTGCAATCAAGACGTCAGTGACACGAACCATGAAGGGATACCTAGAACAATGGCATTTGTATGAGGGTCATAATCATCTGCTTTGGAATTCACTTAAAGTGGTTGAGGCAATAAGCAAAGTGATGTACTTGATCTCCAACTTTTTAAGCAGCAACCATGCAGTCATCTAGGAGAGTGAAGATTTCGATCGCGCAGTCATCAGGGGTTTTACACGGAAGTGTTGTCGGTCCACACTTCTCCCGCAGACAGCTGCACACCAACTGGTTCTTCGTGATCCCACCTCCTTCGTACGCGTCTTGACAGTGCTTCACCATGACCCTGAAACACGGTAGGTCGGGGGGTGAAAATAAATGGTTGTCAAATATTCGTAAAATATTATTTGTTGTTATAATATTATGTATTATTAATTTGTATTATCCATCTAAGATGCGAATGGCTCTGAGCCAACAGTCCCATTTACTTAGCTCAAAGTCCAAAATGTGTACAAGTACCTACGTCCCAAGGACTAAATGCGGATCACTACTGTAATATCTATTTTGCGTTCTTAGCCTTAATAGCAATCTGGAAATGTTAATGATAAAAACTACTAATAATCGACTCATTCGAAGGTAGTGTGATATGACGGATCGGTGCAGCATGAGTCAGGAGGCGTATTTGAATATTCAACTACGATGTCATCAACACAGCATCCAAGTTATGGGCGCAATTTTTAATAATGCCACAGAGTACGCTCCATGCCACAAATCTCTAGCAGGAATATCATGGTAAAGCTGACTAGATGTACAGCGTAATGCTGTACATTAATGCAAACGACATCAACCGTATTCCACATTAAACGGTAATGAAAGCACAATTACAGACTAAGGCTCGAATTAAAGCCTATATGAAAGGGTTTATAGGAGCTGTAGTATCGGTGTTTTTAATACTTAAGGCTTCTTCCACAAATATTTTATGAGGATATTCCATCGACGCAAAAAACACCGCTCAAAGCAAGAAGATATGAAAATTTCATGATAACAGTACCAGCGAGCATCCTTTCTATAGAATCTCGAAATTGTGTATGCTTGTATGAAAAAAGGGTGCTAAAACTCACTCGCAACTGGGTCTATCAACTTCTGCGTTCGAAATCACAACTACAACTACAAGTACCAAGGCCAACAACTTTCCTATTGAGACGTGCGGCATTTTCACTTTGTGAAGTGTAGGAGAATAAATGAGCTTGGTTGAGGAGGCAAGCCTATTTATGCACACAGCCTTTGTGTATCGAAAGCGAGCTGAAAAAGGATCATGTTTCCGTGCCTATGTTACGATTTCATGTATGAGTAGCGGCCTAGGTATGCGTTTGAGTCCCTAATCCTACAGTGAATTAGATGTATTAATTTAAAAATTCACATATTATGGGTACTTACCTAGTAGTTTCTTGATTGCGCTGAAAACTTCGGTTTTTCAACATGACTTTGAAATGTCCATTGCAATTACGAAGTGATCGGGATAACGAGCAGAAGCTAAAGTTATATCGACTTCTTTAAGTGAATTTGGATCTTTATTCAAATGTCTGCACATCCTGAATATTCAGATTGAAAACAAGTGATCCATTGACTTTTAAATTTATTATTTACTTACCCAACTCTTACTCATGGCATTAGGAAAGCTCATGGCTATGGATTAATGCCGCATTGGTTTGTGTTTGCTGCGGTGACAGAGGTTAGTTAATGAAAATCCTACGGTGAAAAAAATAACCCTGATAAAAGAACTTTAGCCTTTAATGAAGGAACTTTTGTAGAAAAAAAAATTTATAAAGTGAAGTGGCATACTGCTATGGTCGGTATGTATTTATACATGACCAGTAATTTATTCTGCTTTTATAAACTCGTTCCAACAGCTAGAAAGAAAATTGGGCTGACTTTCATAAAACTCGTAGAGGTTAGCGATTCCCACACAAGCCATTTCCGCGGTTGCAGTTAGTACCCCTCTCCTCCAATTTGGTTGCCTTCACGTGGAGTTCGAAACACCGTACTTGGTGTAGCCTTTCATGCTCACATAAAATTGTGAGAATCGTAGCATTGTGAAGTAAATACTGATGCCCAGTGAAAGCAGCAAAGGAGGATATGATTTCATTTTATTTAAGGGTATTTTGGCCATTTTAGCAGGCATCCAAGCGGCTAATATCTCTCGATTTTGTTCAGCTATGAGCAAAGATGGAAATAAATGAGCAGTCGTTTGTCTAGAAATTACTTTATTGTGGCATATAGTGAAGGCTCTTCATAAGACCTCAACAGCCACATAATGTCTGTTGGTGTCGTCTCATTGGTCCCTCGGGCTGCTTCCTGCCCCCGCACCCCAGCGATGGGGTATTGTTAACGGACACGGGAGAGCGCAAGTGGTGTGGTATGAGATGAGGTGAGGCTGGAGTGGGGTGGGGGTGCGGAAGTGGAGGTGAGAGTGGGGAGAGGATCTCAATAAAGCAACTTACAACAACGTGCACACGCACACAGAGGCCCCAGTGAGCAGCCCTGCTCACTCACAACGCGGAATGTTTCAAGCGTGGCCAGCACTGCTGCAACCGCAACAGGCTCACATCTATCATCTCCATATCGATCCTCGATCCGACGATGGACATGAAGCAGTTCCAATGACGTCGATAACGGAGCAGAATGGAGCGATAGAAGTGGAAAGGACAGAAGCAGCGCTGCTAGCGGCAGAGGTGCGATTTCGGGGAGAAGGAAGGTCAAGTGAAACAGAAAATCAGCGTAACGAGCGAGAGCGACGGCGGGTGCAGCAGGTGAACGCGGCTTTTGCCTTATTGAGGCAGCATTTACCCATCCAGATTGGCCCTTACGAGACCACTGATCGAACGCGTCGGGCGCCAGCACGAAAACGACGTAGTCAACGCACCTCTAAGGTGAAGATCCTGCGCGCTGCTATTCGCTACATCAACGAACTTACAGGAATTTTACAAGCATCCGAGGTGGTGGATAACGAACAGTTCGTATGATAACAATTGCTCTTTTGTGTCCAATTCAGCAAGATTTATGCAATTCTGCTTTGCACACATTTCTCTCATCTGATTATACTTTTGAAAAGCTCTAAATCATTCGCGTGAGGGTTTATAAGATTGCTTAATACCTTTATTGGAGGTACGGTAATTGGCATTTTCAGTAGGCTCTAATGCGCAAAAAAATTGACTATACTTCAACTGGCTATTTGAATAATGCACAAATAAAACAGCGAATGTAATATTTTCTCAGGCATATAGAAACAGCAACCAGCAGCGGCCATCTTTGTGCTAAAATCAAAGTGTAGTTTTGTGCAATAAAGCGATACGGCCATTGTCCAGACTTACCTGGAGCACATGTCCACCCAGAATGCCACAACTACATGAACTTCATCGCCATCTCGATAGCTAAAAATAAGGGTTTCGGCTACTTACCACCCAAACCGCGAAACTTTTTTGCCAGGAAATCAAAAGTGACAGTAAATTTTTCCCACAAGTGTAAGCGCGATCAGCTCTCTAGATTCTCCATAAGTTGACGCAATTGAATCGTACATTGGAACGGGGGGAATCAAGCTGAATAATATGTTCAGTTCACACATTTACATGCACCTGCAGTTGTTTACATGACATGGCAAGCGTGCATCCATGCGCTCTGCTAGACAGCGGAGCTAAAATTCTCGCCTTCGCTTGGGCTCTCCTGCGGTTTATTGCAGGTATGTATGGTGGACCTGAGTGAGTGAGCAGGTGCGCCTTTGATGTCACCTCGCCCCGAAGTCGCCAGTCTCCTCCTTTCTTCATGTGCGTCCCACTAAATCCTAGACATGACAGGGCACAGTGGATTGGGTCAATAAATATACTCTTCACTTCTGCGCATTGTCTCAGTGAGTGAACTCATTGTTCCACCGGATGAGGACGCTGCGAACCGAAGCCATTGCTTATGCGATGTAGGGCCAATTCCCGTAATTTATGTTTGCCATCCGCTAGTTTGACCGCATTCCTGAATGCACCGTCACGGTAAAATCCACAATTCTATCAAATTTTCGTACTATTTCTATGGCGAAACCGTATTTAGTAAAGCAATGTCATATTCATACGTATTTTAGGTAGATGAACCCCCCATTAAGTATAATCAATCTAAGGAGGGATTGTAGCCATTAAAAGGGGCTCCTTCTGTAAGAATGAGAATGAATAATCTTCCAGGATTGTGTTAAGGCTTGGTTTTTGCAGAATGGCTCCAAGGGATCCGAGAATAATATTAATTTAGCAAATAGTAACAATTGACACAAGCCCGTTATACGATTGCATTTGTGCGACCATCTTAACTATGAAGCAAGATTTTTTTGCCAAATTTATCTGTATCCCAAAGCTCTGTGTAATGAAATGAAGGAAGCGTGGAAATTAACAATCCGTACCACTCGGAAAAAGGATTTTCGACTCAGAGGTAGAGATGAATGGCTTCGTGCTCCCAGCGCAGGTGACCCTATTACCGTGGCAAAGGTCTGTAGGAAAGATCCGAACACAGTTTTCATGCGACGTCATATTATGATCATGGTGTCTCACTGTATCATCAAAAATGTCTTCTGCAGTCCGAGGGGCGCTAGTCCCACAAATGGGGGAGTTTATTAATTGGGGGCCCTACCGTGAGTCATGGTGTTATTTTTCATCGCCTCTCGGGCCGAGCGCCGAGTTGCCATGCTGGTAACCGCCGCGAAAGCCATCTAGTTAATGAGTTAGGGGCTGGGGGAGGAAGGACGGGAGAGAGCTGGAGCCACAGTGTCCGCATCCAGTCACTGTGATCGCGTCTGCATCGTCCCCCCTATAGTCACAGGATGAGCTGTGTACGGGAACGGACAGCAGTGGCTCGCCACGGACACCAATATGGCTTAGCAGACGCGGGAGCCTGTGGGAAACATAAGGTCCTCTCCTGGGGCAAACACGTTCACGATGAAGTGTGAGCAAGTGAAGTAGAACTATGACGCCCTACTACCGCCAACGGTTAAAGGCACCAAATGTTGCGCACTTAAAACAGAGCCAGTTAGAAATTGTTTGAGAATGTGAAAAACGCAACAACCGTAGGGTAACTACGACTGTTCGAGAAGCCCCCACCTTCGATATTGGCAACTTATAGCGCCACACAAGGCGGAGGTCTTAATTACACAGCTATCTCCACCTGAATTGAATCTCAAGTAATAGGGAATTCAGTGATGCAGATTGGATAGAGGTGACCAGAGTCAACGATGACAATGGTGTCCATAGGCAGAGAGGTAAACTTGAATACTGCGGAACTGATCAAATAATAAACGTTTTTATTCCATCAGTGCACACACAGAGACAAACCAAGTAGTGGCGCTGCCATTTAGTGGTTTTTCGAGTTAATATAAAAGGATAGAGGGTAAATGGGAGAGCGGTGATAGGGGAAGGAAAAGCCACATATCTGTATCTGTGCGGAAATAAAAACGCTAACAATGGGAGTGATGGGAGGCTTTGTACAAGAAGAGCGACACGCGTGTAGCCATGGGGAGGTCTGTACACACAAACAGCGAGAGTAAGGCACAGCCACCTCGACCTCGGGTGCTGACAACGATAGTGAAATAAACGCCAACAACAACGCCTTATGTTTTGCTGATGCTGACGGCGGTGGCAAAGGTAGCAGTAGTGGACGGATCCTGAGAAAAAACCTACTGGCGACGGCAGTGACAGTGGGGGGCTCATCGCCAATAGGAACGAAAAAATGCCCGAGATCGACAGAGACGCGAATCTTTGCTGAGAACCACTTGCAATTCACGCAGTCCGGCACGCCGTGTGCGTAGCGAGGCCGCGAGGGTGAATCGTGGAGTAGCTGTGACCTGACCACCACCGACTACCACTGCAGCGGAGCTGGAGGAGGCTGAGGAGGAGGGTTGGACCAGACGCAGACGCGGGGCGGAGGAATTGATGAGAGAAAGGCGAGGAGCGGCTGTGGTAGTGGTGGCGGCAGGGGCGGTAGATGAGGAGGAACCCGTAGTGGTGATACTAGCACTAGTAGACATACCATGATCACTGGCAGAGGAATTCGCAGATGTTCGTGGTCTTCGGTTGGCTGGCAGTCCAATTGCGTTCAAAGCCGTCCGGTTAGCTTGCTGTTGTCGTTCACGCTCATACTGTTCATTTTTTAGCTGATGCGCCATTTCCCGAAGTCGAGCCTGATCCGGGTTCTCGCTCCGTGTTCGAGACTATGTAATGTTGTAAAGAGAAGTTCAAGTGTAAAAAAACTTTTCGGAACTCATAGTTAACCTGCTCAACCAAGCATATGATGCCGAAATACAGAGTTCAGGGAGCAAAGATACATGAATCTACCAAAATCACACAGTTAACTTAGTAGAAAAATGTGCAATCTGATTCATTTTGCGATTAACAATATAACAGGAACCAAAGGCATGAAATTCGCCACCATCCCACCAAGCAATGCGGTATAACTGGCTCAAGTAACGGCCGCCTTCCCATGAGTAAATACAATGTACTAACGTATTTAAGTAGGGTACATATACGGTTAGACGGAGCCAGTATTTAAAAAACAGAATAATCCACAACTTGACTTCAATTTCAAAAGGAAAAATGATTCGGTATTAACATATGACAGCAATAAAAGACACCCTCCTTGTGAAAGAGTAGTCCGTTTACATCATGTGAGGAGATAGACAGAACTCCAGAAAGCCATCGCTACACCTCCGGAAATCAGACCAACACAATGCAGAAGTACCGGCACCGCAAAATATAGATATGTGCTCAAATTACGTCTAACACGAAGGAACCATCTAAAGCAAAGAGCAGTTAACTTTGCGAAAATATAAAAAAAGAAAACATCGTAACCTCATTAAAGCATATATTACAGAAGATTTTCGTAAATGTGTGAAATAACGGGATCAGAAATAGGAAAAAAAGTTAATTGTGATATATCACGCTGTCTTATGATTCAGAGGAGTTCGTTCACATTTCTTAATAATAATAAGCAAAGCCACGTTTCCAGGGAATATCAATGAGGAAAAATTTGGTAATAGGAGGAAACGGTCAACGTCCAAAAAGTATCGGAGCTGTTTCGAACAAGGAACCTAATTTGAAGCCATTCAAAAAAGCTGATCAGCTTACTTCAAGGACCTAAGTGGGACACCGAAGATGAAAATATCGTGTTGTACAATGGAACCGAGTGTGAAAAGTGAGGAAATACAATAGAAAAACATGGATATAACTGTGACCATGCTTTTAAGTGTGGTCAGTGGATAAGCGATTCCTAATATCAATGAAAATAAAAAGCGTAGCAAATTCTAAAGAAGTCCAAACACAAATAGCTCAAATAATGCTTAATTAGATGAGATAAATCGAAATCTAACACGCAAGTGAATTATCACACATTACAAAACAGTAGCACCTTTAAAAACCCCCACCCATACCAGAATCCTAAGTGCTTGATAGTATTTTGCATTGGACCAAAGAAGTTGGTCAGTTGCAGACAGATATTGGATGAGTCAATAAGTTCAGTGAATACTACGGAAGCCGAGTTTTCCCATTCGAACGGGGAATCACACAGTGGTTGAATTCGTGAAATAAGGAATTGAGACTACCGTTCAATGAAAAAATGTTAGGCTATTATATAACCCTTCTTTTGTTCAACTGTCACACGTGTAGTGTTTAAAAATATTCAAGTGCTCATCTAATCTTCTAGAATTTCTGTAAAGTAGGCCACATTTAGCTTAAAAGTATAGACGACAACTGAGGAAGAATGAGATGCACAGTTAATGGTTCAAACGTATGCATGTGTACTAGAATATGATGGCTCAATTCATCCAAATTGTTCCACTAACAAAATAGGGAGTACAGAACGTTTTCTTAACCAGTTGCCATGGTGTGCAAATCTTTATGACATAAAGGATGATAACATTAAACTAATCAAAAGGTCTAGATGGGTGATGAAATACTACGCGTTTTACTCACAGAAAGCACCGAGATAGCAATGGAGCCATCCCAACAATAAATTTTCATCCAAGTGACAGGAAAGGGATGAAATTGATGTGTGGGTCAAGACAACAAATGCATTAATTGGTTACTAAATTATTCTAAAGTAGATAAAAAAACCGATCGATTGGTTCCAGGTCGCAGTGCACATATACGTTGTCAAAGGAGGTTTGGATACAAATACACTTGAAAACCAGTAAATTTCCATTTATTAATTACAGCTATTGGCGACTCGCCACGTGTCTTTCAAAACGGATCTAATTTTTGTCTACCGATAATTCCTATTTCAGTGGAACGTTCCTACTTTAACACCCACGTTTAATTGGAACTAGGGTCAAGGCGTCGTAAGAGAATAGATAATTTTCGCAAATATTCTAACCGGCAAAACAAGAGAAATAATTCGCAAACATACCATTGAAAAATTAATTTGGAATCCCATAAAGTACACCCTATTTGATTAACCATTAGTCGTAAGAATTATCATTGAAACAGGTTCGACTAGCACCATCCACTCTAGCCAATCTTGTTCAATTCAACACCAGAAATTAGAACAAATAAAAATCATTAGCGACACCTAGCAGCTAATTTGTTGATCAAAGTGAAGGAAACACTAGGAAAGCAACAAGGATAAGAAGGATTGGTTCAATGTTGGTATTCAAAATGTAGTCAGAGAAAAATAACAGTGACCAAAGAAAATAGTTGAATTATACGAATCGAAGAGATAGCTGATCTTAAAACAAAAGATCAGTTATGGTGAACCTCCTCATCTATAGACTAATCAAAGACTTCAGAAGTAAGGAGCTTGAGGAGTAAACAAGTATTCTAAATTTCCAGTCGGAAATAGTCTGCATTGCATGAACAATATGATCTTGAAAGACTTCGGAATTGCATCTTTAAAGCGACGCCATTTATGGCTAGGATATTATTATTTACACACCTGAGCGGATAATGTTTTAGCAAATGACGAAAGCAATACAAGGATGACCTTTTAACAGTGTGCCCTAAGTATAGCACTTCAAGAGTAGCAAAAGCCCATCAACCCCCCGGAAAAATCACCTCGAAATATGGAGAACCTACCTTTGCAGCTTTCAAAATATACTCCTTTTCCAGTTCAGACTGCTTCTGTCTATCGAATTCGCCTAGTCGCTGAAGGTAGTTTAACTGTTCTCTAGCAAAATCCACTTGCGTGAGATGTGGGTCTTCCGACAATTTCACAGCCTTGTGACCAGCAACCACAGAGACACGAGCGAGTATACTCCGCAAAAAGGCATCTAAGCCGTGCGCCATGCAATTAATCGCCTCGTCAGAAATCATTGCAATGGATGACTGTGACAGTTGGGTGGCCAAGTAACTTCTTATCTGGGATACTGGGAAGAAAGGTTGGTTCATCTGACTTGACGGAGATGGTGAAGCGGCAGCAGGAGTTGCAGTAACAGCAACAGTTGAGACCCCCGGGGCTGAAACTATTGGGGTGACAGGAGGTGCAGGGGAGGGGACGACTGAGGACACTGAAGGAGGCGTGGTGGGATAGATGGGACGCACCACTGCTGCACCAGGAAGGAGAGAGCCACGTTGTGGAGTAATAGCGGTGGCGCCAGATAGAGGTTGGAACACTGCAGAGCTGGCAGGTGCTTTCATACGAATAGGTAGAGGTTGAGAAGGCTTTAATTGAGGACGTATGGGGTGCGGTGTCGAGGGGGCTATTGACGTGGCGATTGATCGGGGTGAGAAGATAGAGTTTTGTACAAGTGGCGTGGCAGAGCGGGGAAGGGCAGGACTTAGTGATACCGTGGCGGCCGGGGAGAGCTGGAAAGTTGCGTTTGCGGGAAGACCGTCAGAAGGACGCGGAAGAATTTGCGAAGTAGACGAGACAGAGTTTATGATGGCGGTTGGACTGACAAAGACTGTTGTCGAAGGAGTGCTAGGCGGAGGTCGAGAAGGAGGAGTGATGTGCGGCAGACTACATACACCGTTAGCAAGGTCCCTGCGAAGCTGTACAATATTGTTCTTCAGCAATGATTCCACGTCCGTCCTCTTATTGACACTTTTCAGGCTGGCACATAGTTGGGTACAAAAGCTATCACAGTCAATTTCATCGTCCTAAAATAGGTGGAACGCAGCAGATTCCAGTAAGATGTGGAGTTTGGAAAAGGTAGTGAAGATTCAAAGCACTATAAAGAGCACAAAAAATATCTTACGATAAGCCGTTGGACAAGCTTGATAATAGTGTCTTGGGTGCCAGCAGGAGTGCTCTTCTGAGAGAGCTCCATTAGTTGTTTAATGAATTTAACCACAGGTAAGTCGTTGATAGGAGGAACTGCAACGTTATTAATTGTGGAGGAAAATGGACCTAAGCACAAAAAACAGTAACTATCCGAAAGCAACTTTGTGCAACCAAAGCCAGGGCCCAATGAATTAAAGAATGTTCATTATCAAGAGGAAGCAAGTCGTAATGGAAACAAAAAAGACCATGTTTAAATAGAAACAATGCGCAACCCCCAAAACGAGATGCATCTACGAAGTTATGTAACAACTGCATTTTTAACAGCACAGCAAATATGGTTCCAAAACTAAGAACCTACGACTGGGAGCTGGAACTCCAGCTATACCATTTCCTTGAGCAATTGATTGCGCGTTTGTAAGGCTCCTTGCGTGGAGAAGGTTTGGTTGAGATGCCGGCTGGATGTGATTCAGATTTCCACGTGGAACAAGATATACTGAGTGGCTCATTAAAGGTGGCCTGGGAATCTATAAATGTAAAATATGGAATAGGTATACAAAAGTGCCAAAGAATAAAATCGTTTTAGAAGAAGCAATAGCCAAAAAAGAGTAGAACGCAAAAACAAGGATCCAAAGGCAAGAAAAGTTAGAGTCAAATGGGCAAATCGCACCATTGCAGGAGAGCTAATATTTGTACTGATAGGTCGAAGGCCTGCCCGAATATTGGAGGCCGCTAGTCCTGAGGAAATAGGCAGCTGTTGAGGTTGACCTGAAGCAGTTCAAAACAGAATTCTACACATTTTTAGGCTGAAAGCACTTATTCAGCACTACGATCAAAACAGACCTAGCCTGGAGGCAGTTACATAAGAAGATAGAAAGATAGCACAAAACAGCACATCGACTTAAACACAGGCCAAACATGTGCCAGGAACAATAACTCAAACCTCTCTCTTAAGAAAAATACTTCACGGAAAGGTATTCCTATTCAGAGCCTACACAAGCGCTACAAATAGTCTAACTCGTGCACAACAACTCAAACATGGCCACCTCTTGCAGGATCCGCCATGGTTGAATAATGCGCCGACAGGACCCCAAATCAAGTATCTAAAACACATTAATAATAGTAAATTAAAAATTTAATGCCACTACAATTTTACCAAATTCAGTATTATTGATATTTTGTCAGAGTAAGGTGATTACTTCGGATGAACTACACAGGCCCCAAAGGTAGACTATCAAAAAAAAATAAAATAAAAGTAACAAAATGAAACAACGCAGTCTGACCCGAAAAAAGTTTAAAAAGTACATGCTTGCCAAAAACAGCAAGTGGTTTAACCTTTGACGGAGCTAATGACTTCACAATAACTTAAACAATTCATTTGAAAATGACGGCATAGGAACGGTGAGATAGCCACGAACCTCTATTGAAAAGGAAATTACCTAACGTCTGATAACTTGGTTTTGACTTTGGGTCCTAGTGAAGGGGTATTACTAAATTTTAGACTTACCATGTATCTGGTCAGATCAACTATAATTCAAGGTCTTGGCACGTGTCAATGTGCTTGATCAAAATGGAGAACGAATGAATTACTGACCTGGAGGCCCCAGCTTCTGCTTGCGATCCAGGTAACGACTGTAAAAGTCCCACTTTAACGCCTTCATTTACTCATAATTTGATGCATTCATAGCATATTTTGAAACCACAATGTATTGTTAAATCGATTTCAATTGCCGATTTCCATTAAGTTATACTTTAATGCTTGTATTATCTGCCATAACGCGCAAATTGGGTTCATCGTTGTGCATGCCAAAATTTAGCTTACTTGTTTATCAAACTGGTGACTGACACAGTGTTAGAATGCTGGCGGTTTAAAATACTTTGTTAAACTTGCCAAGATTTTCTTGGCACGCTCAAATTATACCGGCACAATGTATGGCTTCTGCGTTACTTTGGCTCTTTAATCACACTGCAGTATTTAAAAGCTCCTCAACTTTTCATCTACAATGGGAATGAAATATTTATTACTGTACTATTTGAAGGGTCTTGCGCTAGTGCGCTATATTTAAGGCGGTCTTTCGTATCATTAGCAAGTAGTGGCTTAGGCTTATGGTTTTCATCACAGTTAAGCGGCCTGCCTGTCCGTTTTTTTGCAGTTCTTTTCAAAACTCTAGATGCCTTTTTGGTACTGGAGGCAGTTGCTTTCTGTTGACTTTTATTTGCTTCCATTTATAGCCTTTAATAACTTTGTTTCCTGTCGATTTTTTTGGCTCCTCGTTGTAGCTTTTCTGTTTGAATTTGCCAGTTTCTTCTTAGAAATTGAGTGTCGCGAGTCCTAAGAAAAATTTTAATAGTTAATTTAGGAACAAGAAAATGAATGCGACTCATGCTCTCTGACGTCTTGGGCCTAATTTCGTATGCGTATTGTCTCAACTCGTTTGTATCTTATTATTCTTGTTGACCGATGTCTATGTCATCACGAATACATTGCTTTTTCAAATAACTTATCAATTTTTTTTCAGTAAGGTTTTTTCTCATAGCTCTTTTAAAGTACATATTAAGGTGTACTTTGGTATCATTTGCCTCGTTTGATCCTCGATTCAAAATGATGCCCTATTGAATGATTGCAGAGCTGGTACACTACCTTGTTTTAGGAATGGTCATTCAACTTTTGAGAAATTTCGTTGTCGGTTGAATTGCGATCATTTAACTTCACCGAAAGATGCCTCCATCGTGAGTCATATTTTGAGTCTGATCAATTTTGTTTCATCTACGTTTGGTTCCGGTGTTTGTTGCCACCGGTGCCATTTGTCCAAAGCTACTTTTTAAAAATAACTCATTCTCCCTCGTGATTGAAAATCTGCGGCTAGTTTCTTGGCGGACTTGTGCAGTGTACACGTAAAAATAATTAAAACAATGTACGACTGAAATTGCTGGAGGTCTGTTGGTCAGGTCTTTCAAAACACCGACGACTAAAGTAACTCCAAAAGCATCTCAGCAAACTATAGGGGCGATTAACAGTTCGGACTAATCTGAACTTTTGTTTCTAGATGGAGAGGTTTGCCTGCGGGATTTTACATGGACCACAAATCACCCCAGAGGAGGCTTCATGCTTTGCCACCATTCCAGAGGTTCCAGTCTATCGTCCCAAAGAGTCTGAGTTTCGTGAGTTTGCCATGTGTATGTCGCTCATTGAGCGTATGGGGGCGCAGCACATGGGTCTCTGCAAAATCATCCCTCCAACCTCCTGGTGCCCACGTCGCAGTGGCTATAAGGACATCAACTTCACCATCGAGAAGCCCATCATTCAGTTTTGCACCGGCACCGGTGGCATCTATCTTCAAGTGTGCTGTCTTATTCACTAAAGCTCTCCCATTTCGTAGGATGTACGCGCTCAGAAGAGTATGAGCTTCAAGAAGTACGAAAAAATGTCGAATTCCTCTAGACTCCAGACACCCATACACGCTAGCGTGAATGAGCTGGAGGAGATCTATTGGAAGTCAATCCATCGCTTGCAGCCATTGTATGGAGCCAATGTGAGTGGAAGTTTGACGGATCCCGATCAGCCCTATTGCAACATTCCCAAACTGCGCTCCATGCTGAGTGATATTCTGGCCCAGGAGGACATTGAAATTGGTGGTGTAAATACTCCCTACCTCTACTTTGGCGCCTGGGCCACCACATTTGCCTGGCATGTGGAAGACATGGACCTGTACTCAATCAATTACCTACACTTTGGCGCGCCTAAGCTTTGGTACTGCATTCCGCCAGCTTTCGCGAGAAAATTTGAGGCTTTTGCTCGAGGTAGATTTTTTTTTTCAATTGCGGTATTCGTAGAGCACTTTAAGTCGGAATTCCTCGCATGCCGCAGTTTCCTCCGCCACAAGTCTATACTGATCGATCCGAAGGTTTTAGCCGCAGCCGGAATCCCCACACGTCGCGTAAGTTCATTCGACTACTCGCACCGGTTGGCTCCTGGTTTTAGATCCTACAATACGAAGGTGAGATAATGTGCACCTTCCCCTACGGCTACCACGCGGGTTTCAACACAGGCGTGAATTGTGCCGAGTCAACTAACTTTGCTTTGCCGCGCTGGGTGGAGTATGGCAAGCACGCGAGCATTTGCACGTGCTGGGACGACACGGTGCGGATAGAGATGGGCCCCTTTGTGCGACGCCTCCAGCCCCACCTCTTTGAGGCCTGGCAACGGGGTGAGCAAAGTGGTCCGCATCCCCTTGAGATATACACTCCTCACATGCGCGGAGAGATCACGACGTCAATCAATTTTGAAGGTGGGAATCTAGTTTGCCTGCTTCATGTGTGTTTTAGGTGGCTACGTTGTGGAGGGCGATGGTCTAAACTTGGCGGATCTCAATGTTCGCAATCTCTTTTACACCAACAGAGGTACAGAGTTCTGCTTTGAATTGCGTTGGGGGATGGGTTCCAATAACTAAGTTTGCATGGATCCTAGGTTTATCACGCTACGATTGCTACAATCATAACGGCTGCATTAACGTTACCCCAACATTGTTTGCACTAAACGTCCTTTTCTGAGTTTGAAACCACAAAGGAGAAACGTTATAATAGTTTAAGAGGTGTGACGTATCAAAGACACCTAAATTTGGGCAGAACATAAGGCGAGGTATTTGATAAATTACACCTTATTCGTTAGTAAATTTCGCAACTTCATCTACGCGTCGAATGTGGCTTAAAAGTTAGGCAATCTTTGTATAATCAGCTAATTATCATTGAATTCAACTCCTAATTCAATGTGTCCATCGGTTGGTTGTACAGTAAGGTTAGGATCTAATGCTTTTACCAAAGGCACGTACTGAAATGCCTAGACCGATATCCTAATTTTATGTGGATAAAAGCGTCTTCTCTAGTCTGATTTAATCCTAGAGTAATTGTCACTTTGTTTGTCCATCCAATCCGACTCACACGAATGTGGTAGGTGAGTTTGACTGCAAAGCCCGTAGAGCCAAACGCACCAATTCTTTTGGGCGCTTTCTAATCTTGAAGATGCGAAGTTCTATGAGATGGCCATTAGTCACGTTGAGTGCCAGCCAAGTCGATGTTCTGTTGCGCTGGACGTCAGCACTCACCTATTTATCATGTGTCTAAAACTTTCGTTAATTTAAATGCTTATTTACCATTTGAAAGCTTTTTGGCCTAAATTTTTACAGCGAAGCTTGCAAATTCGATGGGATTGCTGTCATTTGAAGAGATCGTACCCAGTGCCATATATGTATCCGAATTAAGTTTGCATTTTTATGTCCGACACCATAGCATTGGGTAGCGAGATTGAAGTTTAAGCATGCTCATCTTGCTAACCTTTCATACTGGATATGAGTCATCCTACACAAAGTAAGGTTTTGTGTTCAGTAGTGCTAAAATCCGTTACGTATAACAATATAAATGATAATTTGTCAACGGATCCTTGACGCTACTTTTTATAGTGTGGTTTATTCTTTTGGTAATCTACGCTTAAAATCAAATAGCCAACTACTGTCGCAACTTTGCTTAGTTTTTTTTTTTCAATTCCTTTCCTATTCGGATAACCTACCTCAATAGCCGTAGTCCATTTTCCTTTTTTTCAGCTTTGGCCGAAGCAGCCTTGCCGATATACTTAAAACGCAACCGTAGGCTCCGACCTCTTTGGTGTGGATTCAAGGCAAATCCCAGGACAATTGCTCATTTTAACCAAATCGTAGGCACTCAGGAACCCTTTTGTTCAATCTGCGCGTTTTTTTGGTCTCCACTGGTTCGTCAGTCCAATTTTAAGCTTTGTTTATTTGTTTAAAAGCATGGTTGTGACTTTTGACCTATAGGCCACCCGGAAGGCGCTATGTGAGCCGCACAAAGCGAAACCCCTGCTCGAGTTCAGTGAGCCCTACCTCTCTGAGGTAGCCTTCTGTCGGTCATCCGCCGACTTCGCTAGGATCCATGCTAAATGTGACTCTAACAGCCGAATTCTTGTCTGCTCCCGGTGCAAAGTCGTCGTCCACGCCAGTTGCTACGGTCTCGATGATGAACTTGACTATTACTCGCCGATGTGGAAGTGTGATGCGTGTAATTCCATTGATGACGAACCCGTATGTACTTGTTTCCCTTCCTACTTTGCTCGAGTACGTGTACACCTCTTTTTTGTTTCTGGTCTCGTGTTTACGGAGCACTCATGTTCTTTTGAAGGATAATTGTGTTAATGATGCATCCCACTTCTTTAGTGTGTAGTTTCAGTTGTTTCCGTGAGTCAAAGTTAGTAAACTCGTTGAGTTAGGTTTTTTGATTTTTTCTCTCCATCATTCTGAAGTGTTATCTCAAGAGCTAACGTTGAAGTACCGTCGCAATGAACTTATTTTCCTCAGGGGTTGTCCATTTTTTGTGTGATGAATGAAACCAATCTAAGTACGTTTACATGGATAAACAAATAGGGGGGAGCCGTGTTTTGTGGTTTGCTTTTACTCCTGGAGTCAATTTATTTCGAATTGAAGTAAACTGTAGTTAGTTCCTTTCCTAACCCATTAGATGAGCCTTAAGCTGAGCCCCACTTTCTTTCACTAGCAATGTGTACTGTGTCCAATGCGCGGAGGAGCCCTGAAGGCCCTGGCCAACATGCGCCGCTCGAGTCGTGGAGAGCGGTTCTGGGTGCATCTGGCCTGTGCTATCGCTGTAGGGCCACAACAATGCTGCTTTCTCGATGTTCGTCGTCGTTTACCCGGTCTGCTGCAGCACTTGCCGCGGCACACAGTCCAGCGCTTTAGCTCACCGCCACTCTCGCCACTAGCAGGTATGGCCAGGAGGTCACGACCACTGCCGCCACGTGACTCTCTTCCGCGTGGTAGCGCTCTCCAATGCCTGGCGTAAGTGCATCTAGTTTTTCACTTGTATCAAAAGCGTTACTTTTGGTGATTCTAAATATGCCCTGTGGGTTCTTAGAGGTTGTTTTTTGTCAGGGGCATCTGACACACCGGCATCAATTGTTCTCTACATGAGGTTGTATTTTTTATGGCAGTACATTTCAGATTCACTTATAGTGGTCATTAAAGGCGAAAAGAGATGCGTATTTCTCAATACTTATCTAAAACGGCACAAGTCACAGCTTTTCTGAAACTTGTTTTTGTTTCATATCCATGAATACAATCTCTTAATAAGTGGGACAAATTGGTTATTGACTATGTTTCAAGTGAATATATATTGTGGTAATTTTCTACAGTTGTGAAATGAATACGTTAACTGTATTTCCCACCTATTTCAGCAAACTCCATCCATAAGATTTAAGTAATTGAAATGAATATGGCTGATCTGGCATATCGGGAAGACCGCAGCTGCATCATACACTTATCAGAGATTGTTTCTCAGTCGGTGTGAGTATTAACGCTTCTCGCAACACTTCTAACCGATGATTTTATTTGTTTTTTTTTCATTTTTTAAGTCAACTGTCCCCCTAGGCGCAACAAAATGGTGCCTTGTATCAGACCCCCGAAAGTGTCGATGTTTCATGTCTTTGCAACACTGCAATCAGAAATGTGTTGCTACATCTACGCTTTTATAGCTCAACAGTTGAAGCTACATTTTGTCACCAGCCTTTTTGCCATAAATTTTTTCTAAACTGCGTATTCTGCAGCATTTTTGTCCGTCGAATAGTGTGAACACTGAAGTTGTTCCATCTTATTTTAAGCTATTTCTCCTATCAGTAATAATAGAACAATCATAGTTTATGCTACTTTAAACTGACGATAATTCGTTTGTTCATCAACAAGCCAAAAATGGCATATTTGCTACATTTTCTCGTAACCTCATTCTAGTACTTATGTTCACTACTGTACCGCAGCTTTGACCGACTTGGGAATCGACGGTGTTTATATAATCCTCTTTCCAGTCCAGACTCGTTGACATCTACCTTCGTCGGCCTCTCAGAAAACGATGTGATGGAAGTGAAAGAAAAACCGATGGAAACGTCTTCCTACCCATTTTTGCCCCAATTGCAAGTGCACCCGTCCGGCAGCGCGCTTGGCGAGGCCTTGGCCTCTAAAAGCAGCAATTTGATTTCCAGGTATCTCAAGCTTATCATGTGGTATTCTGTCTCTTCTATTATAACGGAACTTGAGGTGTAGTTTGTCCTTATTTAGTAACCTAAATCCTTACTTGAGAACACACCCTTTCAGCTGAAGATAGACCCACTAGATCCGCTTCGTGATTTTAAAGAACTAATGTCCACTAGAAAGCAGCATCCATTTGATTTGTAACTGTTTACCCTCCAGTGTACATTCATAGATGGAGCGGAATATTACATGGTTCATACTTCGATACTTGTCTTGTTGCGTCATAACCTTGAAAAATATGACAAATTGTAGGATTGGCGGCGATGGCGTTGTAGCCGATACCAACGGGGAAGTAGTTGTGGCAATTGGTGACACCAAAGACGATCACCAAAGTGAGGGTGGATGTCGCCATCGCTCGCGGAGACGAGCGCGTCCACCCTCTTGGGTTACTCAAGATTATCTTCTTTCGCAACCCCCAAAATTGTCCAAGTAGGTCATGTCAGCCTCCTCAAATCGCCGTGAACTGTCCTTTTAAATCTTAATAAGGAGAGCTTGTCGCGCCTAGCAGTCCCGAAAATCAACTAAATAATCTTTAAAAGTGCTGATTTGATTTTAGACCAATAAAAACTCGGCCAATGAGCCCACAAACCTTGCTAACAGACACCAGTGTAGAGACACCAACTTCGGCAAAGGTGGAGCTCAGAGACCACTGTGATGAATGCGGTCTGCCCTCACCCGGCGGCCCTTATTTGGATCTGCCGCTTGTCGCCTGTTGGCACAAAAACTGTCCCGGTCGCTTTCACCTCACCTGTGCCCAGTTTAGTGGTATCCTCATTGCCACCAGTCAGTATCCGCATTGCTTCTATATCGCTTGTCGTCGGCATTTGAGCGAATATCGGGAGGTTAGCTCTCTACTCGCTTATGGGCCTTCGGGCTTGTTAAATATTCTACGAATTTACTCTTCTCAAAAATTGGGTGACGTATATACGTGTTTTTCCATATTCAGTAGATTGTGATAACAATAATCAGGCCGTTATCCCTGGATCTAGGGAAGGATTCACATTGGAGTGGTTTCACCACGCCTACCAAATTTAATTCGTAGACCATTCTGCTGTCCAGGAATAATTTTTGTAGTCGAAGCATCAATTCGTAGTGAGTAACTACTTCCAACTTCATTCCCTCGGTTTGATATTGGATCCGTTACCATGTTCACTTAAGCAATCATGCCACGCATATTACAATTACGTACTTTTTAGTACAAACCACTCATTGATAACACTGATAATAGGATAGATGTTGAACATCCAAATCTGTTTTTGATCTACCTCTTCCAGCCTCATTTTTCCTGCCATTCCAGTTTGAGCACGATGAGGAGGAGGCACCTCTGCAGCCTGGGGATATGGTGTACGCTCTCCATCCTGGCAACGGTCGTTATTACAAGGCTGTCGCTGTGAAACTGACCGGTCCACAACTGTGCAAATTGGTGTTCCCGGATGGCACCTTTTCGCGGGATACACCTTCTGACTATATCGTCGTAAGTCGTCTTCACAGTACCCTCGCACAAGCCTTATTTTACCCATTATTTATTAAAACTTTAATTGGAATAAAATCCTGACCGAATTCAACCAGCAAACAGGCTTTATTGGGAATAGCCACTGTAATGCGATGCAGGTGTTAGCCCAAGGTAGCTCTGCAATTCTTTGTGCAATCGTCGAGGCGCTCATTAAAATCAGCGTCACATTTGCCGGCCTATTCGCCTGTTCATCCCCTCGCTGGCCAAGCGACATGCCAGGGCAGCCCACGTCACCGCAACAGTGGAGTCATTTGAGGTAGAATTAAATACTCACACCGAAACTGTCTCCTAATTGCACTGTTCTCTTTTTATTTCAGGGCCACGATTGGCACAAACTCGGGCCACCAAAAGTGGGTTCGCAGGTGAAAGTCAAGTGGACTGACAACCTTGAGTATTCGGCCGTCTTTCAGGGTGCTTCAGTTGATAAGTGGAATGTAAGTAGCGAATGCATTAGAATAAGACCTTATTCTGCAGTATCACGATCATAAACGCCGTTGTGATCAAATAAAGTCCGATAAAACAGATGAGTCGAATTTGTCGTAGGGGGATAGCTCAGGGCTACAAAACTACATATTTCAACTGCAATACATCTATGTGTACCGTTGCCTCATTTCTACCTGCTCACGTCTTTGCCACCTTTTTTCATATCACAAAACAGAATTTTTACCTGGGTTCATCTTCCCAACACAGGTCCGCTTTCCAAATGGCCAGACTCTCAGGCTTCGACGTGATAAAATTTTCCGGGTTAATGCACGAATCCCCACCCACATTCGAAGCCTTATCATGCGCTGATGGCATTCCCACCTCACAATTTTACTTCCACTCTGTAAGTATGTTCTCAGGAAATGCAAATACTACATGCTATGTGCATGAGTTATCAGTCCACGCTCACTAGCTTTCTGACAAGGCTGTATTCTTCACACTCTTCCAATACTTCCGATACTTTTTACGACAACCACGTTTTTGTGAGTTCGGATTTAGCGGACATCTTCAACTGTTGCATTTTGAGATCAGGCCTATTTTTGAATAAATTATTTTTGTGCCGAAGTTTCACAAGTGAAGTTCTCATGTTCGGGCGGGGAGTCTACGATCAGAAATAAATGGACTGTTAGATAAGAGATGTACAGTTATCGGAATCGGTGGCACCAAGGCAACCGGACATAGACAAGCGTTTCTGTCGGTTTCCGTGTTACATAGTGCCAAATTAATTGGGGTAAGGTTCCGGGGATTCCGTGTTAACCCTGATTGACGCAGCAGTGACGATACGGAGCAACAGCCCAAGGCCATTGGAAATTTCATTTCAGTCTGGCCTAGGAACGGGTAATCTTGCTTTTATTGCTTCGCGTTTCGCGTGCTTGTTTTATTCCTTACTGGTAGACCATAAGGCATTAAAAGCCAAGAGAGCTGAATCTAGAAGACCATAAAAATGGGAACAAGTCGGCCACTTGTACCAGCAAGAGCTGTGTACGAATGACTTTCTGGTATCCGTAATAATGATCGAGTAATGTTAGTAAACCAGAACGTTTGAGCAGGCACCGCCCGTGATAGGGTGCACTAAGTCAAGGAAGTTACGCCGCCATCGTTCGAAGACAGCTACCTTTACTTTCCATAACATAGTCTTTTCACGGCGAAGAGTCCCATGTGGGGCGTTAAATGCCTGGAAAAACTCGTGCATTTCATTGACAACCATGATGGCAAACCTTTCAAATTTCAGATGGCTGAGCCATCTCGAAGGTTATCCAACGACCATTGGGTTGTAGACAAAGAAATCAAAAAAAGATGCCGGTTCCACGCTGCATCCACAAATTAATTCATCATAAATGATAAGAACCGCCGCTAGATAAACATGTGGAAGAATAGGTAGAGTGGAAGAAAAGGGACGTAAGGTCGGGGGAAAACTAATCTACAAAGCGGTGATAGGCCACACCAGTGACTGCGACAGCCTGCCACGCGGCAAGGCACCAAAAAAGAGCGAAACCCAGCACGCCCTGGCAGACGTAACCCGCCTGACATCGCAGCGACTCCCATAGCTCCCCGAAGGCTTCACGGGTGTGTTGGAGGGCAGAGAACCAGGACGCTGTAAAGATCAGATCCCAGTCTTGCCCCGCGAAAGTCTCTATCAACGACGCTAGTGAGGTGGATGGGGAAGAGGCAACATTGATCTGTGGAGCCAGGGGAAGCCACCCTGTGCCAGTAGAGGCCTTGTAGGAGAAGGCAAGACCAATGAGAAGCATGGCGGGCGCAAGGTATTGGAGAGCGGCGAAATTGAAGCAGTGGAAGACGCTGGCGACGATGCGTTGCACTTCACGATTAGTAATGCGACCTGGCTCGCGATTCAGACGATCAAGACGCGTTTGAGCAGTGTCCAAGAAAGCCTGTCCACAAGAGTGGGGCTCGAGATTTAGAACTAAGAATAAAAGAGATCGCCAAATTTCAGAACCTTTTTCTACCTGCATGTGTCTCTTTGTCATCGCCACACGAAGTATAACGGTGAAGAGAGTGAAAAGAAGACGTAGGCTGCAAATTCGTTCAGAGAGAGCGCGGGCGCAGAGGACGACGAAGGAAAGCCAAGTAGTACTCATTTGGGCTCCGCCCAGAGCCACTCCTGCGTGCTGTAGCAGTAAGGCGGGGAGTCGAGCCGTCAGCGGCACAACCCACAGGAGGAGAGTTAACTGCGGAGCGATGAGGTTGAGATTGAAGAGAAGGCGTGTCAACCACGAGGATTTGGGGTCTCTTTAATAGGTGGAAATCCACCAATTTTACAAGACGAAGTAGGTAGTCAGTGGTGCAGATGGAAGTAAAACTCACCGCAATGTTTGTACATAAATGCGCCCATATTGGAGACTGGGGAAGGCAAATAATACCCCAACCATAGCCGCGTAAAATGCAAGATAAGCCTGAAACATACCCCAGCTCATCGCCGAGCTACCAGACGCTTCTGGTGACAACGAAAAGGTCAAATTGCCATAGGCTGGCGATATCCGTAAGTCAAGAAAGCTAACGTCAAGGGAAAGGCATAGCATTGCAGCGATGAATGATGAAAACCCAGTAACCATGAGAAGAGGCCATTCCGAAGAACTGACAGCTCTCTCTTTAACTTTCGCCTCATTACCACTACCACGACCAAGATAGACGCGAAGAACGGAGAAAAGGGAGCCCATCGCAAACCAGACAATAAAGAGACTCCACACGAGGTTCAGGTTGATGGTACTGGGCGTGAAAAAGCTATGCATTGATAGGAAAAATGAGGTGGTCTTATTAGTCGATAAAGTGGGGGGTAGAACGTGTCGGAAGAAAGAGACGAAATCGTTGGCGAAGAGGACGAGCAACGCACACAGAGAGAAATCGACCAGCCATACGAGGTCTGTATAGAAAGGCAGAACGGCGATTTCGTGGCCTCGAACTTCCGCTTTCCTGAGTTTGAGAGGAGTTGAGCGAGGGAAATAAAAGGTGGCGGGATCATTACGACCTTCGTAACTACCCTCCGCACCAGCTCCGTTGCTGCGTCTTCCTTTGGACTTAATTTTTGTGAGTCCAGCGCTTCCCAAGATTTCTCTATTCGTTGGCAAAAGACTGCGATATATGCCACCAAATACAAAGACGCTGGTGAATGAAAAATGAACGCTGAGTTTAGTAAGCAGACTGATACCAATCAAGGTGGAGACCAATTGGTAGCCAAGAATCGCCATGATTAAAGTTTGATGGTCCGAAGAAAACGAGGTATGAAAATCCTTAAATCAAAAATGCACCGATTCGCTAAAATAGAGGAAGCAAGTTGGTAACGCATTCTAAAGAAATGCAGGCACAAAGGTTTCGCAGCCATAAAATTACGTTATAGCGCAAACATGACATCATGCCTATTGAAAAAATAGATGACAAAAAAGGCTACATAATGGACAATGTAGCTGGTGCATGACATTAATCTGGTTAAGGTGAAAAACGAAAAAAAGGTGAGAAAAGACATGCCGCAACTAGCTCTGAATAAAACATTTGTTGCACCAAACAGAAAATTACTGGCACAAATTGCAAGTACTGAAAACCACCCATGAACCAAGCGGCATTCACGAGGCCCGCCGGACACAAATGGAGCATTTGAAGAGCGAGCGTGGATCTTGGATGACCCAAAAAAAAGAAGACATACCGACTAAAAATTTACGGTCCCTATTTTAAAAATTAGGAGAGTGCATTAAATGGATAAAATAGGCTTTTTTTATTTATTGAATGCATAAACATTTGGCTTTAAAAGGCCAAAAAACCTCCACTGCAGTTAAAGTGGTTGTGATGTTACACAAAGTTCGATCTCTTAATGCAACGAATGACAGTTGCATCTGCTGCCGTGAACGACGTTAAGTGGCAGTTAAAACTCATGGCAGAGTTTGGCTGTCGCAAGCATTTTACCAGTTTTGGTCCTCATTCTCTTCTAACAAGCGGACATATTGATTAGTGATATTCTTTGTCAGTGGCATTCCGGGCAAAACACAGCGAATGAGGCTTCGCTTATCTGGGACAAGCATTTTCTCCAGGGGTTGATGACATCCACTCCGTTGAGTGGTTCGCGTTCAGTTAACACTGAGTTCCCAATAAGTGTATTCGAACAAACATGCAAAGCGTAGGATAAAATTTTTACTCTGGTAAAGAGGGCGGATTTGAGCACTTTTGCATTTAAAAAGATATTTTCTGGTCGGAGGATGTGTGCTTTTACCCAAATTGAGTGCACAATGGTTCATAATTTTTATAGGATTTCAAATCCCCTAAAAATATTCCCAAATACCAGACCAATCTTCAGTTGCAGACGAAGAATACGCAATGCCTTAAGCAGAACATATACATTAGACAAGCAGTGAGACATGGTGATTCTGGCTCAACTCACAGGTCGGCCCATCCGGACATGTACACTGACCCATTTAGCAAAACCAGGAGTAAACAAACTTTCAACATACTGTTCAAATATGCCTTGCATTACTCTTTTTAGGAAGAAGAAGTTCAGTAAACCTTTAAGTCTATCGTTTGAAGGCGATTTCGCCACTCCACACTCTTGTAATTAATAAATGAATGCTGAACCGGATACTGAGGAGTACTCATTCTTTAACTTATGGCACTTCTTTAACCCTTTGTTTAATTATATGTTTACCCGGCTGACACTCCAATACACCTCCACTCTGATACACGAATTCAGAGTCAAGCTGGTAGCTCTCCAGCACTTCGGCACAATATTCATACAAGTTACTACATATTGCTTCGGGTTGGCATGCATGAAACGCAAGCAAAAGTCGCAACACTTGTCAATCCAGCAAAATGAGTCCTTATGACTAATGGCCTTCTTAAACCAAAATTAGAGTATTTGTGAGAATAAATGTGGTCAATCTTCTACATTTTGCTTACTAGCAAGCATTGCTCACATCTTTATTTTGTAATTTCGCCTCCGTAATTTTCACTAAGAGTTTGACCCGAGCCTGCTCTTTAGTCGCAACAAACAAAATTGCTGCGCAGTATATAATAAACAGGGGCGTTGGAAGGCTGCTGGCATGGCTTAGAGGCTGGCCCTCAGAGCGAAAGTGCAACCTGAGTGAACTGAACCACCAAAGTAGTTAAGCACGCGGCTAAACGAACTGTTAGGTCACTGCTTGCTATTGATCCAGTTAATCACATTTTGTGAAGTTGTCTAACGACTCGCTGCGTGTTTATTTATTCACATGCATGTTTTGAACATTGAGTTGGCACTTAATTTTGCTGACCGCAAAATTCTTATTATTTATTCTTTCCGTTTGTATTTACGCAAGTCAGCGCTGTTATCCCGCGAGGCAAAACAAACTGGGCGCCTTTAAAGAAATAATAAATTAGTGCTGTTTTATTGGCACAGGCAGTAAAAAATAGCATCTTTTTTTCTTGAATTACAACAACTTTTGTAACCTTGGTTTAATTTGGCTCCATTCCTGATTGGACGTTAGTTTTCTGGCATCTCGTAAAACTATGCTTCATTTTACAGCTTGGGCATCTAGGGTTGGTGTGGAATTATGTTGGATTTCGCCAAAAACATTGCCAAGGAGGCGGGATCTGTAATTTCCACACCTTTTTTTTACTCGAAAAAGCTCATTGCTAGTGCCTTTGACCAACCACCACATTATCACGAGAAGGTCTCCTTCGCCGACCTCGTTACAGACACCGACAAACAAGTTGAAGACTTGGTCATGTCTCGAATTCTTGAAACTTATCCCGATCACAAGTAAAAATAGGATTTTTTTTTGAATCTTTGTAGAATCATAGCAGAGGAAAGCGCTTCGGGTAGGTCCATTTTGACGTCAGATCCTACTTGGATCGTTGATCCAATTGACGGAACTTCCAACTTTGTTAGCAAGTGGGTTTTTCATTTCCCAAAATCGCTTTCAGATTTCCGTTTTGTGCTGTATGTATTGGATTTTACAAAGAAAAGCAGGTAAGTTCACTTTATGCTTTTACTAGTCTTCTTAGGCTCAGTTTGCTGTTGTTTATAACCCAATATGCGACCAAATGTTTTATGCCGAACGAGGCAAGGGTGCATTTATGAATGGTCGAGGCTTACGTGTTTCCCATTGCACTGGTAACTTCCGTCGTTCCCTCTCGATGTGTTTTCCCATTAGAGTTGCACAATGCTCTTATACTTACCGATTGGGGCGGTGATAGAAATGCCTCAAATTTAGACACAAAGGCCGCCAACATCCGTCGTCTTATATCTGAAGCTCGTGGGTAAGTAGTAGTTGATTTGCATTCTTGTAATGGTGTAGTGCTGATATTTTTTGTCGTCAAAGAGTTTTTAATATGTATTTATTAGTTTGAATAACGTTGCTGTGTAATTGATTTGTACTTTGGAAATGTTAGCTGCTTTTTTGTGAAATCTCAGTGACTAACTTTTGTTTTGTTAGAATTTCACTAAAATACCCTTCAAAACAGTTATTTTTTTCGTAAGTGACAGGCCTGTTTACCTACAACCCAGCATTACTTAGGCATTTTTAACCCAGCAAATTTGCTTGGCTGCCTATGCACCCCCTTCTCTGACACTTTTCTCATCAGAATCATCAAATATTCGTACTGCTAACTAGTCTTGTCACTCAACAAATTAGACTTGTTTTTCTTTTATCGAAACTGTAGTATCGTATTTCATTCCATAGACCAGTGCTTTCTGCGATGAGATAGCGGTAATTTTTTGTCTATTTAAATTGCTTCACACTTGCTGTGTACGCATAGCTGCATGAATAGATCATTCACTTTGTGTTTGGTCTACTGTTTTTGCCTGGATGATGTGTAATTTCGACGCCTTCTTGTGTCTTTACAAATAAATTAATCATAATTTTAAGTGAATTGAGTGTGCATACATACATCCGCAACAATTCCAAAGGGATTATTTCCAGGACCTTTTTTTTGTAGGGACGGCCGATTCTGCATTTTATGAAATAAAGTGCTCAACATTTAAGGGCTTTTGTCGCGATTAAGAAAGCTACTAAGTGCTTCTTCTCAGCTGATATCAGTAGAACAGTAAATAATATTATCGGATCCCCTCGTTATCACCAAAATTGTCTGTTTCAGTTTTAAATAGTCCAATGGTATTTATCACTGTCGCTTGTGAAGCACGTGTGTGTGTCGGCCTAGATAATTAGGTTGATTTCATCATTACCTCAGAATGCCTTTTTATAGTCCAATATGTTCCCTTTTCGCCTCTTAAAATAGCGTTCACTATGTTGCCAATATCTTCTGGTAATTTTGTCGGCATTAAAAATGCCTTTTTTTGCATTTATTTCAAATTTAATGTGGATCATTAGCACTCCTTGTCCTGTAACGCTTGACTCGCACAAATGGGTGCCTACATCTATCACCATCGTAGGCCCCTGTTGGCGACGCAGCTTGTGGTACCGGTCTGTTGTATATGCATCAATGAGCTTCCGGTTATCGCTAGAATATTTAGCAAATTGTTTTAAATGCAAATTGCAGTCTTATTACGGTATAGGTAATCAATGCACATATCTTTGTAATCGTTTTACATCGAAATAGTCCTAAAAAATAACTTTTTTGAGGATGAGCATCTTGTTTCTGTCATTTATTGCTAGGTTTGGGCTTTATATGTAATTCCGGCAGTTTTGACACCAACTTATTTGAAGAAATTTCTTCGTATTGCGTATCTGGGTCCACCAAATGTTGCTTTTAATTATTCCGTGACGGCAATTATTGCTTCCAACTTAGGTTGAGGTCGCAATACGATAGTCATGTAATCACGACTGTCACATGACCCACTCTTTCAAGACTCGTTCGGTTAAAAATACGCTTAAAGTGGAAGTGCACTCATTACACGGATTTACGAGCACTTTAAGAATTAAGCAGTTTTTCTTCCTAATTTACGAAGTCCATGAAATTGAGAATTATTACATTATATCTACATTTGCTACAGTTCCCGTTTTAATAAGCGGAACACTAAGCGGTGGTATGTAAAAGTACTTATCAGTTAAACTGATGTTCGTTAAGTTTTAATAAATACGAACACATGGTGCTGTCTGCGGTTCCTGCTCCCTCGGATAAGACGGGTTGATTCAAAATCCACGACAAAAAAATCCTCTTGGACGATATATTTAGGCGTTCCTAGTATTTTTGTGAGATCACTATCTTGTAGCGTACTTTTGTTCTGATATCCTCAACCATAGCACTCAAATCAAGCCTTTAAATCTCGCCCATATGGTAGAAAAAACGACTAACCTCGTGGCATGGCGGACTGAATTATCGTATAACAGGGCTCGTCATTATTCAATAAGCAGTCTTGTTTCCATGCCCACTTTTTATTTTTACCCTTATGGGTTTTCATGTTTCACGAGGCTAGCTCAACTATTGTTGTACATGCTCCATATGCTGGCTTAGCGCTACCCCTCTTGAACGAGACATTGTGCGGCCCCCTGTCAGTCGACTCTACCTATTTCCCTCACAGGGTGCGCACGATGGGGTCGGCGGCATTGCACATGTGTCAAGTAGCCGCGGGTCAGGGTGACGTCTTCTTCGAGTTTGGCATCCACTGCTGGGACTACGCGGCTGCCAGTCTCATCGTCACCGAGGCCGGCGGCTACTGCTGCAACGTCGACGGTGAGTATGGCAAACGCACTCGCTCCACCAAGCACCTCACTTCACCTCATAATTATCCACTTCACATGGGCGGCAGTTGGCTCTGTCTCTATGTGGGTGTGTTTGAGTAATTGTGATTGTTGAGTGGGTGATATCGTAAGTGATCGGATGGTCACCCAACCAAGTAAGCCTCACTCATCCTGTTTCAATTTCAGGCTAGAAGTAGTGGGGATCTGATTTTAACAGCGTGCTAACAACGTTAACCATTGTGACATTTTGAACTAGCTCACACGTGTTTCTAAGCTGTTCAAGGGGTATTAACGTCTTTTTTAAAAAAGGCGCGGTGTCGGAATCGATTCGAGCGTCTTTTACGTTGGCCGCATGCAAAGTATTCACATCGAGATCGTCTTTTTTCAGGTGGTCCAGTGGATTTGATGGCTCGCCACTGCGTGGCAGCTTCAAGCAAGCAGCTGGCGGAGATGATATGTCAGAAGATCGTTCCAATATCTTACCCGCGAGACTGAGGCACCTCCAGTATGTTCTCTTCCCAACTCCATCTCTGTGCTTGCGTGTGTTGAACTACTTTTTTTAAGTTTGCCCCGTTTCTTACTTCAGCCAGTTTTGTAAATTGTCTGGTTGCGCAATGGAATATAGTGTCTATTTTTAGTGGGATTTTTGCACCGTACATCCGAGGTATTTGTGAATCATGGTTTTATCCGCACTTTTCTGCTAGCTTTCAACGTCTCATTTTTAGATAGAATCAAGATATGGCGTGAAGTCCACAATGCTACCACTCTTAAGCATTGACGCTTATTTCCCGTCGAGAAATGATCACGTAAACTCGTTTATTCATTAAAAATGTAAGTACACTACTATTTTGGGTTCCAATCCACCTGTTTTACTGTAACCCTTTTTCTTAAATGGGCGAATTATGTAAAAAGTTGTTTTTAGCTCAACTGCTGTTATATTTGGTAGTAGCTTTCTTTGTATTCTCTCTCCGTAAAGACGGTTAATTCCTCAAGGCGAACATGTCTGTAACCACAGAATGCGGCTCTTTGAAGTCGCCGCCGAGCAAATCCCTTAAAGCTTACAGCTAAAGCCAACCTCCATTTTCGTACTGAAACGCATTTGTATGTACTACTACAACTCCCAGAACTAATAATTGCTTCATTCAGACAGGGAAGTTGCTTCTCTGCAAGTGAGGCCACGCGGAAAACTATTTTTTAGCAATGGGTAAGGCTGTTACTACTTGGCCCCTCAACGTATTAACTCAGTTCTCTCAGGGGCTCTTTATTAGAAGATTTTGAAACCATCAGGAGGAAGCCTTTGCCATCCTTTTTTACGCAGCATTATTTGTTCTAGTGAAGTCAAAGGGGTCAGTGTATTTTTGTGCAGTCTAGTCAGCAGGAAAACACTATTGTACTTTTGACTAAACTAACATCCAGGCTGCGCCAATGTGCAATCTTTGCCAGAATACGAGCATTCAGTATTGGCGCTACAGTTAGAATTTAATTTTAGGCTAGATTAAAATGAATTGCGCTTCACATAGGATATCTTTCGCGGAGACTCCGATGTTATTGTCTACAAGCATTTAGGATCCAGTGAAACTGGTAAAATGACCTCAAATCGCTATCCTGAAAGAAAATACCGAGGGTAATCGGCCTCTTAGGCAAGGGGTCGCGTCAGGATTCTGTGCCCCTAGTTGGTAGTAGCTCCTTTCTCGCACCGAATATTTTTCCCTTGGCAGTGTGCATTTCAATATGGGGCTGCAGTCACACTTGGGTGAAACGCACAACTCGGCCAGCTCGTTTGACTACTATATTCACAGGGATTTGAGAGGGGCACGAGTGCGACCTCTTACAAAGTGGAATCCGGGGTATACCTTAGTGGAACGTTGAGATACCTTTTCTGAGGGACGGCAGGTCGGCGGCACTTTTGTCGCGAAACTAATGCGTTTCAGAACCGTGCAATTGGAGCTGAAGTGCCAATACGTATAGAAACAGTGAATCAATTGCAAGGCTGCATCATTGAATGTACTGTAACACAAATGATAATAATGTGGTCGACTGATTTGCAAGCTCCCCATCTAAGGGTTCAAATTGCGGATTTTTTACTTCAGCTTTTGCAATTAAATCGGCCCATTTTCAACAGGATCCGAAACCGTCAGCCTACTCAGCTTTGCTATTAACGTTAAGAACACTGGTTTCAGACAGTGTAAATACTAGTTTATGTAACATCTAAGTGGTAATAAGGGTAATTAACATCCAAGTCAAGCGTAAAGTCTGTTGTAAACTTGCGCAGTTTAAAGAACGGTTTGAGGAATGCTATGACCGAAGCAGGATGTGGATTCTCCTGGTCAATGTACAGTGATTACCATGCTCTTTCCTCCCACCCCACCTAACGTGGCGTGTAAACAGTAATTGAAGTGGTCATGCAGCTGTTTTTGGTTCTTATTTCCCGGAAATCAGGAATGGGAAATATTGAGTATACTGTAGCGTCCCAAGACTTCCCTGAGGACGAAAGAAGACACAACACTCGGGCAAAATATATATATATATTCAGCACAGAGAGGGTGTCTGGGCTATTGGCATGGCCCCAAGGCCAGCCCACCCGAGGTACAAGAAGGCTAATTCAAAAGTGGCGTCTCAACGATGCCGAAGTATAAATCACAATCGTGTTACAGTACCCAAAAGTGATATAAAGATCCCGCTTATATATTAATAAAGGTTGTTTATAGTTTAGTGAATTCCCAAACTAGTGTGTCCTACTTGTTTAGATAGGTTTCTCGGGAATGATCCTATTCATTAAATAGACTTTGTGATAATATCAGGTAAATAAATTTAAAATGTGATCGCCTTCATTAGTAATCATCGTAAAGCATTTTTGGCAATACTCAGAATTTCGCCAGCACTTTAAGTACCTACACATGTTGGTTTCCGCCATCATCTTCGGCAGATTTTGACATTTTTTATTATATGAGATTGTATTATACTGAGTTGAGTGTCTGCTTAGCTCTTGGTTTTGGTAAAGGGCCACTTTGTGCCTTGGCCATTGTACCATGGCCGAGTGGACTGGTCTCTGGGCCACTCCAGTAGCCCCAAACCCTACTGTATGCTGCATATACATGTATATATAATCTACCCAAGGATTATGTCGCCTTTCGTTTCCAGAGGAGTCTCAGAGCGGTACAGCATTGGTTAAATAAGGTTGCGCAAAGGAAAGCAAATAATTGCTGAACCCGTGATTCAATAACACTTGTGTAGCGCCCGAGACTTCCCCGAAGACGAAAGAAGACATGATACTGGGGCAGGATATGTATATTCTACCAAGCTACCAGCATGACCCGAAGGCCAACCCACCCAGAGAGGCACAGTGGGGAAGAAAAAGTGGCTCTTTACAAGTGCCGATCGTTAAACTGGTAGTCAGCTTATTACAAACTGCATCCACAATTATTTTGTCACAGAGGGAGCCACATTAAGGTGATTTAAATCGACGGCACTTAATTCTTAAACAACTCCATAGTTTGAGTGTATCAAAGCATTTCTGGGGGCACGATATGCTGTGCTTGTTTATGTTATTCATAGAATACTAACAATATCTAAACCGTAATAGAAACGAGCGTCAAATCAAGCTGACCTGGTGAGTAAATTAGCAACACTTAATTTTTTTTCCCAGAATACATAAATATATGCAATCAAATTGTGTTGAGGAATATTAACTTCCTGAAGTTCATCGCTTACTATCCTGAGGTGTGGATAAAATATTCTGGTGTGTAAAACCCCAATGTTGCGTTTAAAGTTTTAGTTTTTGGCACCGTAATCTTGACGCAAAATGCTAGTGAGTTTTCTTGCTTTCTTGTTTTTTATATTGGCAACTTCGTTTAAGCTTATATGGCGTGTTAACTGATTTGAGCCAATAGAATATTACCGGTTGTAGTCACGCGGCTTAAACCTTGTGTGTACTTTTCCCCTGGACACGTATGTTTTGTCGCCTGTGGGTGGAACTGTGTGTTACTCATCATGCCTTCCCATCATAGTCTTCGTAGACTATCACTAAAATTATCTCAACTACGTATTCTCTCTGAATATTTACCCCATACTTTCTTCTTATCGTCATATTTTGGGTATGCATAAATGCCATTTCTATGATTAAACGTTAAACTTGGGTAGTTGAACCAAGTCTTTGTCATTACAAATAAAGTCTCCCCGCTGTTAAGTTCTCTCTCATAATATACTTTCTGTTCGCTGAGTCAAAAGCCCAAAGCCTCGTCTTTTTCTGTGCAAGCTTGTTTCTCGTTTTTGATAACTAAATTTTCTGTTGTTTATCTCTCTTTAGGCTATATGCCACTGCATTTCTGATCGTCGTTTGCCTTAACTCAATATGTCACACTATGCTTCCGCATCAAAATCCTACGATGAAGGAGATTATGCGGGAGACGATGATGATATGGAAGATGATGATGGATATGACTGTCTGAGTGACTACGATGGTGATATGGATGGCGCCAGTGCTGCAGCTAGTGGCGAAGGCCCTAGCAATGGAGGGGACAGACGCAGTGATGGCTGTGCATCTCGATCCTCATATCATCACGGAGGAAAAGTCAGTATAGGTGGTAACGGCCGCCACAGAACAGATTTTCGCCGATACCGGAATGCCAGTGACAGAGTCATGCCCGACCACTCTGACGATAATCGGTCTGTATTTCGGTGTATTACTCTGCCTCCCAATTTTTTTTAAGCCTCGATTTTATTCGTAAAAACAGTGTGTTCTCTTGTAGGCGGGATCATCACAACCATCTAGAGCGGAAACGACGTGCAAGCATAAAGGGTAGCTACTGCGATCTGCGTGAAGCCATTCCTAGTTTGCGGGGCTCGAAAGCTTCGAGAGCTGTAACGCTCCAACGGGCTGCTGAGTACATTGAAACACTGACAAAGTCGAATCGCGAACACTCGTTTTGTGTGGATGAGCTGACGCGACAGAATGAAATTCTTGAACGGCAGGTATGCCCATAATTGTAGATGTGGTCGTTCATTAAAACAAACGAGAGGTATACTTTTGTATGGAATTTAAAATGTCGACTTGGGTTTTTAATTTTTTCTTTAATAGGTTCAGGATCTTTATCGAAATTATCAACGACTGGAGAATGATGAGTATGCACTGACCCAGGCGGCAGCTGTTGCACAATCAGGAGTTCCTCTCAATCAGGCAGGCGTTTCAGGGTCATTCAATGCTCCGCCGCCTCCATCCACTTTGCCCGTCACTTCATCCTCTCCTGTCACGTCTTCTACAGGGAATTCCACCCCTACCACTGCAGCGCACGCTCTCAATTGCGGTAGCACTGGTAGCAGTTGCAACAGCTCAACGGGGTTCACGATTCCTTTGCGTGTAGTTTCACAACAACACCAACCTGCAAGCAGTAATACGTCGTCTCCAGATGATCCGGTAAATCGGGTTTTTATCAAGGACCCAATGCTTTTATCATTGTACCATTTTTGTGCGGCTAAGTTTAGTCTCTTTTGAAGCTATCCGTGCCGAGTTGTCACGATTGGAAAGGTCTGTCATGTCACCACTTATTTTCACAAGTCATTTAGTTGTGTTTAGACAAATTTGTTCGCTAAGTACCTTCGCATGATTTTGAGCTACTTATTTCGTTTCATTAAATGTACACTTAAACACTACCACGTGCTTATTTTTCCTCGCGATGTGCGACATCTTCCACCTGACTACTGCCTGTTTGAGTGGCTCGATTATGCACTTTGTACTTATTATCTTAAAAGGGCAAAGGCTAACTGCGATGTGCACGCTTTCGTTTCACTGTGTTAGATCGAAATCGCCCAGTATGGTTTATTTGCTATAAGTCTACTGGTCTATTTGGTATTAGTTTATTTTGCTCTTCTGCTATTTTTTACTATTCACTTAGTTTGAGTGCGTCTTCAGTGCTCACCAAACTTCTATTTCGCAAAAATTTGCCCTTGAAAATTGATAAAATCGGTGCGGTTTTGACTTTTATCCCCTACTGCTTCACCGCATTATTGATTAAACTTAAGGCTTACCTATTCAATTGCATATCTAGGTTTTTTTCAAGTTCTTGCATAGGTTAAATTTGACTACAAATAGATGCAAGATTTGTGGGATTCACTTCTCAACGAATTAAGGCGCATGTTATAAACATGTTTCAGACAAGAAAATTAAGTGTTTGTCTTTGGGCGCATCATCTTCCGGGCCAATTTGTATAGTAAGTTAGTCAGGGTGATGGATGCCAAAGGCACATCGTGCTAGAAGTAACAAGTCTACTAACAACGTACGTGACTATTACTGAAGACTCATATATTAAATTTACTTTGGTAAAATAGAGAGCTCCATATTGGCTTGTAGTCGTCAAGAAATATGCTACAAGCGTTTCAACTAACTTAATGTACTTATTTGGACCAAAATGGTTTCTATTTTAATTGGACAGATGGGTGCCCTCTTTTAAAAGCAGGTTTTGATTTCTTTTATTTTTTTTTGAAATCCTCCACTATTTATGGCTGCAAAGTTATTTGACTTGTAGCCTTCCACGGGAATTCCGTCCTCAGGTCTGGCTCAACTGAGCTATGCAGCATTGCAACTACAGCAGCAGCAGCAGCAGCAGTCGATAGCACCCCCCCACACGGTTGCTTCCAAACCACCAGTTTCTGCGACCACTGTTGTGACAACAAGTTCACCACCGATGACGCGCCTCATCACCTTGGAGCCGTCAAGTGGTGTTCCCTCCTCCACGTCGCGAGGCGTCGTCCCACAGCGCATACGTCTTTCAAACTCCCTTTCTACTTCTAGCGGAGGGAGGCCCATTGTCGTAGTCTCGACGTCATCGTCGTCTTCTGGTACGCCAGCGGCGTCCACCACCTTCTCAGCACTTGACACGGCTGTTTTGAAGGCGCGAACGGCCCGACCACCCCTGGATCAACAACAGCACCACCACCACGTGGTGGTAGGCAGCAATGTGGAGGTGATCAGTTCTCCTACCACTCCTTCTGTCTCCATTCCTGTCACCCCGGCGCCCAACATGGCGTCGCCTTCTCAAGGTTTGGGGCATCCGCGTCGTGTGGTTATCGTGTCGGCGCAGCACCATCAGGAGTGCCCACCACCACCAATCCAGACTGCCCCTATCGCCTCGACGAAACAGTCGCCTCATTAGCGCTTTGCCTCTCCCACCTCATGTCCCTCCTCTCTTCTTTCCCCTCTCCCACTCTCTTCTGTCCAGCGATCCCTATAAGGCCTTTTTGTTGTTTTTGATCTCAATTAAGTATAGGAATTGCTATTTCTGTTCATCCACACTCGTCTATGTTATCTTCAATTTTCTCCCTCGTGCATATGTGTATATTCCTATAATATGATATGTTTACTTCTTTTCAAACACGGTTTTCTCTGCATCCAGGTCTTAGCGCCTCTTTTGGCTTGACTGACTAATAATTGGTGCAACTCGCCGCTTTTTTGTGCTCACTTTAGTGACTAGCTTGTAGAAGCGCGTTACAAATCGCATTTGATTAAATTTGTGCCCGGCAAGTTTACTGCATTTCCATAGAGCAGGTGCTCCTCTAGGTCCCTTAGTTTTTGGTGCTCTTGCCTATATGTCCAGCAATTTCTGTTCGAAACATGGTTCCTCTGTCTCGGGAGTTTTGTCATCCCGAAGTTCTAATAAATGGTTTGATATCGAATGACGGCTGTTTTGATTTTGCTTTCGCTACGCGTTTTCCCCAGCTCGTCATGTAGCACTTTTATGGTTTCGAGGCTTGAAATATTGGGGAATTGATCGTTGTGTGCTTTATGTCGCGTTTTTGTCGTTTTGAAATCCACAAATTCTCACTTTGATACTATTTTTCTGGAAGTTGTAGCATTCGCATTCACAATTGAATACTATGCTTTTCCATAGTTATGGTCAGGCTTTGAACTTGAGATCTAAGGGCGCAGCCGAGCATGGTAATTTAATGATCTGCGTGCGTTGGTGCATTTAACGTCCAACTTCCTACTTGCGCACCTGGCCGAAACAAATGGGCGATGAGGCGTAGCAAAGTGCAATTTGGGTGGGAGGAAAGAGGGCGCAGGTGCCCCACAATAAATGCCGCCCCTTGAGAGGCTTATCACGTCTCTGGGCGGTTGCATGGTCTTCGTTCGCTGCACTTATTTTAACCGTCGCTCATGTGGCTAATACGCTCATTTTGATTCCAAAATATTGACAAAGTCTATATTTTGCTTTGATTGAAGTCTCCATTTCAATCCAATGACACTGATTTATCTACCTATTGGGGACAACAATGCTTGAGCTTAATACCACCACCGAAATTGATAATTTAGTGTTAAAACTGTTCATACATATCTTGAGTCCACCAAGACATTGGTGATTTAATTTGGTACTGCATTATGCTAGATCTATCAACCTTGCAACTTCGTCTGACCTCGTGTTCTGCTTTAACATACCCGTGTGCCTCTGCATAAAACTGTTTCTTATTTGTGGGACTTCCTTTGAGGAAGAAATGCATGTGAGTATTTTTTGGATCATAGATATTTTTGAAATGTTGCATTTACACTAGGAGTAAGTTACTACTTTTTCAACGCCTTTACTCCCCTTAGCTTCACTAGTCTCCATCTTTTCTCCAAATATTCATGTTCGTGATTTGAGAAGTGTTCTGGCCTCGGGTACACTTCTAAGGTCATGCTTCTGAGGTAACTCATTGGAAACGTCTTCCAAAGTGTTTTATTGCAAATCGATGGCATTTTATTATTTCTATCTAACCATCACCAAACCATAGGTACAGCACGACGTATGCACGTGTTTTTGCTCGTGAAGAGGTTACGTTGCTAAGTTCCCTTACGAGACATTGTCTAATTAGTCTTCCTCAAGTTGTCCTTGTGATTTTCTGTACCAAACTTGTACTAGCCGGTGCCTTAGTACGATTATCGTAAATGGATGGTTGGAGCCCTCGAGTGCCAACATCTTCAGGCTTGTTTTTTTGCATTGCCTTCATCCACAATCTTTCTCATATGTCCCTTAAGTAGATATGCTACCACTTTTTTCCGTCCTCCTTTTTCAAATGGTTCTTTGCTACTTTAATCTGAGTGCTATTTTGCTTTTAAGAATTATTTAATTTTCGTCACTTATCCCAACCTTATTTTGATCTACTTGTGGTGATAAATGAAAGTTCTTATTGCCATTTCTGACGTCTGTCAAATTTTCCAAATTTCCAAGACGTGTATTAGCAATTGTACGTGCACCCTATTAGACATCTTGAATATCTCCGCAAGACAGAAGCTTTGGATACTTTGTGCTTATTCAATTCACTTCTACGGAGTAATTCTCCATGAAATTTAATACTAGTGAGCTATTTCGCAACTATATGGCATCATGCGCATAGCTTTAATCTACAAATAGTAACTCCTTAATGAGATCAATTTGTCTTCTCTGCAATTTTTCTTTAGGTAATTTACTTTCGTTTCCCTTCACGACCGCGACTCATCTCGATTCGAAAAATGAGTTACGATTACATTAAACTACATCATCCGTCGTGCCTCTTTGTCTCATCCTCGAGTGATGGCATTGATCGCTTTGAGTTCCAACTGCCATTCTTCCCCAAACTCACCCTTGGTCTGGGCACCAAACCCGGTCGCATCTTCGCCCTGAAGCGCCCTGCCACTGAGGAGTTCTCCAGCTTTGCGACGCGTCTCATTGAGAACATCAACAAATACTTCGATCGATCTCACAAAAACTCCAAAGCGAGTAATCCTAGCGTTTGCCTACGGGCAGTTGATATCAAACTGGATGATGACCGATGGAAGCCCTCCGATACACTGGGCTCCATCTTCTCCGCATCTCAACCTATGCAAATGCAGCTGTGCATTGAGGCAGACACCCCGAAAGTTATCGTATTTGATGTCCGACTCAATCCCGCCTGTGTGAAGAGCATGAAGTTGGATTTGACACTATTTGTGGGGTGCCCTGCCTTCCCTGCAATAGCTGGAGAAAACTTGGATTTAGGAAGGTCGAAGTTCGAGTGGTTTGTCTCTGCGGTAAGTTAAGTCCTCCTAGGGCCTCAACTACTCGTCTTCCGCTAAGCCAGTAATATCTTTCCGATCAAAAGCTCCACATTCTTATTTTAATTCTGACCATAAGTGATTGAGTGATGCTAGTGTGTTTCTAGGATCATAAGATGCACGTTTTCCGACATTAGCCAACTAGTGCTGCTTATAATGCGGATTGTATGAAGATGATTAAGAAGCAAACACTCAAGTCCTTGAAAGGGTCGAATAAATAAACATCAGTGATGCGTTCATACGCAAACAGTTGTTTTTCTGTTTAATTCGAGCATTCATAATGCACTTTATGCGTATCATTGAACTATAAGAGGGTTAAATAATTTCACTCCCAGGAATATACATATATTACCTTTGTATGTATGACATAGCTCTTAAACACACCATGATAACACTCTGATCATGTTGGATAGTTGGAGTTTTTTGCTTCAGTAGCTGCCTATGTGAGGTCCTATGTTTAGAATGCTCGTGTTTAGAGTACTTCTGTGGTTTGCTTATATTTAACCAGAAAGAAATGGTGCCAGAAGAATTCCATTCGTCGATTAGGGATGGTTCCATGAATCATTTGGATTTATATTCACGCACTCGGGATTGCTGGAAAGTGTATCATCCGTTTGTCTCTCTTGTGTATGCATGATCGTTTAGGTGCCGCAGGGGAACAGCGATTTCCCTTTCGAATGCAATCAGCTTGGAATAAAAGTTGTTCTTCCAGAGACCTGTTTCCATTGCACTCCTATATGGTGCTCCTCATCTATTCCTTAAAAACTGCTTATCACATTTACTCGGGGCATAAGTCAATTTCCTTATTATGACATTGTTCGCTCTTCATCATAACTGAAATTATTGTTTGACACAATTAATGATGTGCGAAATGTATTCCTCTCATCCTCCTTTGTTTTTGCTTTGAGACCCTACGGCATGCGACTTTTTGTGAAAACATCCAAAAATGCCCTTTTTATCGTCATCTGCAATTATTTGTGAGAAAGGGAAGGTGAATTGGCTTTTCACAATCAAAGTGGCTAATGTATTTCCGTGTCGGGTAAAATTAATGTCCCCAAGATCTTTTTCACTTCACCAGTACTAGCCGCGGTGTTTAGATGCTACCTGTTTCACTGTAAAATATTCACTAAAATCGGCTATAAATATAATCTCCTGTAAATAATTTTGCCATCACTTACTCATACGTTGTTCTTAAGGTGTAGGCGATGCTCCTTGTGCAGAAGTTGCTACATCTAGCGCTAATGTGATACTATGTAGACTCCATCCTGTGTACGCCCAATCGCGATGAGTTGCTGAGTTGCATTTGCTTCTGTGACTGTAAAGGACGTTGGTTTCATCACCTTGCTCATGTGTGCCCCATTAGACAATCAGGTTGTTGATTTACGATAATTATCTGTAATTTTGGCCTAAAATATCCTGTCCCGTGCCTGTACCAATCCGTTCGATGTCTGTTCAGAGTTATGCTTCTGGTTCAAACACATTGGTTAGTTCCCGTTACCATTCGACAACTGCTATTTCCCAAATGCATGAATTTTTAAAGCACGCATGGAATTCACGTGGCCATGCACTTGCGTCTCAGCGCCTCACGCTAGCAATGCACGTGACCCTCTCCTTTCACCCTAAAGGTGGATGATATGCGCACACACCGAAACGGGATAAACTAGTACTGAAAATGTTTTCTGTGCTTAATGGTAGTAATCCTTGTACGGATGCTGACCTCGAATGCAGTCAGCTGCGTGGCCTAGGGTTGTGCGCTGCGATACAGTGCTCTGTTCTGATTCGTCAGATGACTCATTTTCGAGTTACGCTTAATTCCCATCTCCCCAGTCCTGGTCGCGCCTCTGCGGTTGCTTGGTGCCGTGTATAAATCAATTTGTGACATGTGATGAAGTATCCGTGACAATAATCACTGCCACAAAGTGGGCTCTCACTTGGTGGAAATAATCGGATTTAAATCTGGTAGGTCGTGTCTGCAAAATTAAAGTACACGCAACCCGCCAGAAGATTGATGACAGAAACACATAAACTCGTCTTTGCTCGGTCAAATCCGCTGACAAACGCGCGCATTTTTGGGAATTTTTTGACAGAGTCTCTTGTAAGCTGAACTTTCTCACTGTAACCCACCTTGGTTGAATCGAAGTTAAAACTTGACTCATTCTTAACTTGCGGTTTACATGCAAACCAAAGGCGAGCGGAATGGAGGAAATGTGACGACAGCGTCCGAGCTCATGCCATGTCCAGTTTTTCTACTCGTCTGAGCATTCCCGTGCCGCCCTTCCTCACACGTACGACCATGCGCATGTGTGTGTGTGCATATTTTGGTTCAACACCTTCCACTCCCATACTCTTGACAAGTGTGGGTTGATACCTTTTTGGGCATCACCAAGTTAACATGCCCTCCATTCCCTAGAGTTAACCAGACCCCTCCTGCAAAACATTATTGCATTTGCTCAGCGTACCATAACCTGTTAATTGTATTAATTATTAAGTAATCATAATCAATTCCGAATTCTACTTACTTCATTCAGCTGTTTTTCAACGTGTAGTATTACTGCATGTCCTGAGTAGAGTAATTGGTAAATAGTGCGTTTTCAATGTAAACGAAGTGCTTTTGAGATGGGACAGTCTGCTCTAGTTCCCAGTTTCGTCCGACTACTCTCGATTGTTACGGCACTGTGCATCATGCACTCGGAATGGTCAGGTAAACTAAAAGTGTGTTTTCACACCGCATTTTAAGTACAAAAAAAAAACAATTATTTCGTGCAAACTTTAAACTATTCTGTAGGGCTCCTGTGAGTTTTTGACATTTTTGTTTCCCGAACCAAACTTTCCGCTTCGTGGTCAGCCTTTTTGAGTTGGTTGACGTCCGATTTAAAACACACTGACAATTAATTTTGGACCTTTTTCACGAGAATGGGATCAAGCAGTATCTTGCACAAGTTATTTCCGTTGAAGAAGGGTTAATTTTGAATGGGACTAAAATAATTTTGGTTCTAATACTGTACGAGGCTGAATAGTCTATTACCACTGTAGCAGCCTTAACCGATTTATTTCCCACTTCAAATTCATATTGAGGTACTAATTATCGATCCTTTTATTCTAAAGGAGGCCAAATCGGCGCCGGATCCTGTCTGGGAGGGGCAGGAGATGGTACATGAGGGTTTTGTGTTCACCCCACGACCCGAACACATCGGCCGATTCGTCCGCCTGAGGGTGCTTCCCTTCGACTCAGGTGGTCTCCCCGGTGTGCCGTTCGGCGAACCCGAGCTGTCTGCCCTCTGCAGCAGTAAAACAATGCCCCATCTGCTTCCCTTCTTAGGCCAATTTATCGTCTCCTCGGGACCCATCACTGAGGCACCTCCTCAAAACCTTATTTGTGAAAGGTCAGTTTTCGTAACTTCGACAGCAAACATCACAATCATTGTATTTGTCATCGTGCCTTATCATCGTGATTCACTCTGGCCAGCTCATGCTAACCAATGAAAGGCTCGCTTCTCCTTGCGATGTCCTGGCTCTGTCCCTGTATGCGTTCAGGAGGCCACACTCTTGTGTGACCTTGCTCCCGCAGTGAGCGCAGCCATCCAAGCGTTCTGTATGCGTGTGTGTGCGTGCTGCTGTTCTGCCCTTGTAAACACCTACTGTTCGGTTGGCTTTGGAAATGGTGCAATTGGGGACAATTTAGCTTTTGCCAATCTTACATACACGCGTCTGACCGCTTCATGGCGGTAAGAGAAATGTTAGCGTTGCATCTTACGTCCACAGGTCTCATTCTTCCCTCTCGCACTTTGTTTTGCTCACTCCCACCGCCTGGCGTGGCTGGTTGATTTCACTGCAAAGGGTAATTGATGTGGTACTCTACTAATCCAGGCCAAGGCAGGCAATAAGACTAGTGCATATGTACTGTGTCACGACTCCCGCGTGTTCCAGTTCCCGTTCCTCGACCCTGGCAACAGCCAGTCGTGTGTGTGCGCGCAGGTGAGTGAGCGGGCAGGAGAGAGGCTTGTTTCACGTGGTCAAGAAATAAACACCTAGGCTGCCCATCATAAATCTATTAAATGGGGCAGGAATAAATTCAATGCAGACAGAACAATTACTTAAATGGTGCTGTTTACATGCTTTTACTAGGGGTAGGAAATTGGAAAGTTCTGGGCATAAAGCCAAAACAAATTGCTGTAAGCAATGCATAACCTTTGATACAGGTATCTAAACTACTCACAGATGAAGTTCAGCTCATTTTATCAGGCTATCGTTAAATCCACTGCGAAGCGTGATTATTACGGACACTTGTCCCTGTAATGTTTCCTCACAAAGACGGTGGGTGAATTTTTCATTTGTGAACAGTTTAGCGTTTGTTTACTCGATTGATAGAATGCCTTAAAGTGGAATTAGTGACGGATGAAATTATCCTTGATTAAAAGTCCAGTTTAATGATCTGATGTACACAGGTTCAAGGAGATCGCGAGTCGAATTAAGGGGACGAATGAGTTTCGACTGATCTGCTACAACCTTCTGGCCTTCATGTACAGCGGCACGGAGAGCGCTCGCACCTACTTTTTTCGCCATTGCCCACCGGCCTATCTAGATCCGAAGTACCGCTTTCCCCTCATTTACCGTGAACTGCTCGCCTACCAGGCGGACATCCTTTGCTTGCAGGAAGTGGACACTTCACACTTCCAGCGCCGTCTGTTCTTTCTCCTCCAACAGGCCGGCAAATTCGAGGGATGTTTCCTCAGCAAGCTGTTGATAAACGTCCCAAGTGCGCTGTCATCCTTGCCACCGTCGGATCCTGTCGACTCCTATCCGCGTAAGGTATGAATGTGTCCTGCATTTGCACTTCCATTCATTAAATGCGCTCACTTAATTAAGTACTCTTATTCCCCATTGTTGGTATGAAGCAGAATTGCTTTTAGGCCTTCCGGTTTCGTGGTGACGAAATAACTTTCATTCCTTTTCCAATAAAACTTAGTTGCAAATCCTAGTTAACTCACTCCTACAAAAAAAATTTAAGGCAACACTGTGCGAAGAATTGTTTAGAAATAAGGGAGGTTGCGTAATTTTCCCTCCTTGGGAAGTAACGCATTTCGTCTATTCATTCTAATCGTCCCAGTGATTTGTAAAATAACTTTTTTTACTCCTGTTGCTCAAATTAATGACTGCTATTGGTAAATAGTATACTATCCCATGGGATAACTCATTTGCATCTCAGTCACACCTTAATTACTCATGAAATTGCATAACTTATTTTATTTCGTCTTGATGGTGATTTCCAAATTTCAGTCGTTTTATTGAAGAGTTTTACCCTGAAAAGGTTTGTCAAGAAAGTGCTTTGAGCATTGTTTAATGGGAGAAAGAATTAGGTGGAATGATAAAAGGTGAGCTTAAACTCTGCCCTTCATTGGACCACTTTCCCACCCACGTACGTGCACGCACGCAACCTAGGAGGAGGGCGTGGCAATTTTCTTCCGGCGTGAGCGATTTTGTTTGGTGAAGGAGGTGGCGCTGGACTCCTTGATTTTACACGCGGAAGCAGAGTACGAGGACCTGGCACGGGCCTACCACGCCCTGGCTGCGTCAGGCGAGGTGCCGCTCGACCTCTGCATGGGGGCGCGTGCCCACGGTGTCCTTGTGTGTCTCCTCGAGTGTCGCCACACTGGACACCGCCTCCTTCTCGCCTGTACCCACCTCTACTTCCATCCAAAGGCCCTCAAACTACGCAACATCCAGTGCCTCACTCTCCGCCGCTTCCTCCTCCAGCTAGCTCGGGATCTCGCCGTAAAGTAGGCTTCGTACTTTTATTTCATCAGTAAACCGAAGTGTGAGCATCTTATTCGTCTCTCTCAGGTTTTTGATTTCAAAAAGTCCGATTTTCTTGAGATTCCGTAGCTTTTTAGTGACCTGGGACTTTTGTGGAGGTCATTAGTGAATGCACATTCATCTTTCATCACACTGCCTCTAGCAGAACAATTGTTGTGAGAAAATTGTGGGGAAAACTTGCGGGGGTCCAACTTATGAACACATAATACATTTGTCGATATCTTGGGAAAATAATACGTAAACTGTTTCCAAGATGAATGGCGATGAACTGGTGTTGGGTAGCAAGTCTTAAAAACACGAGCAAGCAATGTATTTTAAAACGATTACTGGTTCAGCAACATTTTAGCATTTGAAGTAAATTGAGTGTCGGATGAGGAAGCGCCATCAAGCTTGCCCTCTACCGTCACCACATACCGATGAATACCTTTTACGTGTGTCGGATTTTCTGCAACCATCGAAATGTTGTATGAAGATGTTGAAATTTCCAAGTACCTCGTAACCGACCATTCGCCAACAAGTTGGTAATGTGTACTCGGCCAGAAAATATTCAGCATTGAAAAAAGTAAAGGTAAGGAAGTTGATTTCTCGGTAAAAATAGGCAGCTGTCCATAGGAAGGGTTCAACCCCACTTTGCTCACGTAAAATGGACCTGAACTTGAAAATCCTTTGTCTATCATTTGCCATATTCTTTGTACTGGAAAACTTCTCGAAAATCGGACATTCCTTTCTCCGCAAGCGCTTATTTTTTGTTGAGACGTAATAAGACAAACGCATTTTGTGATCTAGTGTTCCAAACGCATTACTGCATTAAAGTTGCCCATAGAAAGGAAAGTATATATCTTACTCACTTCTATTTCAACAGCATTGTTTTATCAGATTAGCTTACTCCTTTGTAGATTTGTACACGTGTTGGCTGACCTTTGTTCATAAGTGTGGATGACCTGATTTGCAACTACCAAACTTTTTTTCTGACAGCCTGCAAACGGTTCTTGCCAGCAAAAATGACCCTTGATATGGATCAGGCACTGTATCGCATTAAGTGCACTTAGTTTGATGGAAATATTTCATCTCCAAGGCTTGCATAATGTCGGATGTTGATTTACAGAGAACCGTTGCCGATAGTCCTGGCTGCAGACTTGAATGCAGACCTGGACTCGGAGCCCTACCAGAATCTAACGGGGGCAGTGAAAGACGGGGAGGTACCAGGGCCAGTGCTGGAGGCTGCGATACCTCTACCGGATGGCGTCTACACAAATATAGTCCCTGGTTTCAAGGCTAACCTGGACGCGGTGCTGTACGCGACGCCAGATCAGCAACAGGCGTGCCTGCGGGTGGCGCATGCCTTCCCCGTGCCCTCCGAAGCGGCGGTGCTGGCGGATGGCCGCAGCGCTCAACCCGCCTTTCCACCCCTCCTTCCCGAGGCTAAGGGTGGTCTCACCCTCCCCAATTCTCAGTTTCCCTCCGATCACCTCTCTCTTGCTGTCGACTTTCTTCTCGAATGATCCACCGTCACCTCTATTTCCTCTTAACACTTAATGAAATATTTGCCCTGTGGCAGTGATGTCGTTATTAAAGTCTTCTCTTCATGATCATTAAATAGTATCGAATTTTGAGATGTATAGGCCATTCGAGCTAGTAACTGTAGTGGACGATCCGGGTCGCATTAATTTGGTGGTCGTTCCATTTCTCGAGCAGAAGGGTGCGTGAGGATGGTGACTTTGAGATGGATAGATTACTTGAACAAAAGATCGCGATGGCATCAACTTAGACCCCTTATCTGCCCAGTAGCTACTAGCTACATAGAGATTTGAAGATGATTCGTTAAGGCGCGATTAGCCGTGTTGTGTTAACAGCCGTAAGCGATGTGGGAATCCAGGCGGGTGGGTTGGTGACTGTGGTGGATTCCGCAAATTGTCAATAAATGGGATGGTTGCACGTGTGTCCCGGGATGATTATTATGCTTTCTGGGGTTTAGATGAAGGATGCACCACTATGGAGAACAGAGCTAAAGAAGTTCGGCTACCCTTCTTCAGTCGGTCATTATTTGAAAAGACTGACCAGTTAATACCAAGAAAGTAGGGTAAAAGAACTCCTTATTACCAGATCTTAATTGATATCTTTGAGGTTGATTGCTGCATAGACGTAATTGAACCACCGGGACCTGTTTTAAAAATTAGTTGCAACCAAACGATTTAACTTAGTGTCAATATGGGAGCAAGTACCCATTTTTACCTGCTATTATTCCTCTTAAAATTGCTGATGTGTTAGGGCGCATCTATTTTAGGGAATACGATGCTAAACATTTTATTCCAAGTATTATGGCCTTTCAGACGTGGTGGAGGCCAAATCACGTGAGCGACGTGAGGACATTCCTGGGCTCCATCGTCGTGAAGTCTGAATCACGAAATACTGATTGGCTATGATAACATATATTCAACTAAAAACAATTTTTTACAATATTCCAGAACCACATGTTAGAGTCTCCAGAGGGCGTGTTTTTACTGAAATGTGAGTCTGCTGTTTTTATTGGAGTTGCTAGTCTTAATATGGGTCGGAATTCATGTACAATCAGCTTGAGAAATTTCCCTTTAGGTAGGGCAACAAAGTGGAGACGGATTACCTGCAAACTTAACTCACAAAACTCTTAGGCCCGGTTTAAGATCGAATATTTAAGAGACTATCATTTCCGTCCGGACTTGATACAGACTGGTACTAACCAATTTAAATGGGTGGATAAGATCGGTGTATGAAGAAAAACCACTCTCCCGCATTCGCAGTAGTTGGTTCAGTCTTAAGCTTTCTTTCAACTTGCTACCTGTAGAACACCGAGGAAATTTCGAATTCATTTGGCTTAGATAGTGAAGTGCAATGACACAAATATTCTTCGACTTCCATAAGAAAGAGGATTATATTGTTTTAAACTCGATTTCTTCTATGGTAAGCTATTTCAACATACCGGTTCATGATTATGATTATGCATTATTGTATTCAGTTGTTGCATTGATAAAAGACTTATGACCTTCCCCCTATTTTCTGACAAAGCTTCACGGTCAAATGAAATCACAGGAAGCGACATATGCTCAGCCTCTTTTATTGCGTAAACTAAAGCATATCGTAGTCCGTGCCAAATAGTTGTAGGACGGCATTGTTAATGTGTTGCTGACAGTATTATCATTATCCTTAAAGTCCTGTTCCATCTGCGGACATTTCTTATCCAGTTTTGAAAAATTTCATTTTCCTGCGGTTGTTCTGTGTTTTCAATGCCATTGAACAAAAGAGGACTGTTTAGTCGGGTACTTCCGCAACAAAACTATTACCTCTACAACAGTATTTGCTGGCCAAGTTATCAAGTGCATATCCTCTGGTAGCAAAGTGCTAATTCAAGGGGCGAGAGGACACATCGTCTTTACCGTGTCTGATAAGTGGTGCCGCCCAAGACCAAGATTTGGCGTTCTTTAAATGTACCTTTACGGTTGGGAACGTTATTGGTGGTACATTGTAGTACAAAAGTCACACATCTACGTTGCAGCAAGATGGCTCTAAAAGTAATCGTCAATTGGAGCGCATCCAGTGTCATGTCTGGCGGAATTATTGCATAATTATGGGCCATTAAATGTGAGTAGCCAAATCCGATTGCAGGAGTTCCCCCGTAGCCATATCTTCTTTACCTTGCCCCCGAAAAGACAAGCATATAGAATTTAAGCCGACAGCATTTACCATTTACATTGCGTTTATTCCATTGGAAAGGCTAAAATATTCGCGGCTACTTTCTCCTTTTTTTCTCTATGGTGAGTCCACAAGGATCTTTGTGCTTTTTAATACAACCTCAAAGGCAAATTAATGTGTGTGATTAAATTCTTGCTGATCACAAATTCTAATAGAGTTAAATTGACTTTGGGTCCCTTGTAAGACAATCATTAACTTAGTAAATTAAATTTTCATGCCTTATGTAGATTCGAATCCTGTAATATTCGCAATTAAACAAATTCACTTAGCAATTTCAAAACAGCCCTTATTTGACCGTCTTTACTTTTCACCTTCATAAACTTCATTAAGTACACTTTAATTACTAAATACAACATAAAATGTTCTTCTTTTAAAGAAGAAATAGTCAGATAGTAAAACATCTCTTCCGAACACGAGTTACTCAATTTTAGTTGCTGTTGTTCCCGAATTTCTTCATGGGGATCTTTTTCAGTCACGCACTTTTTTGCATCTAAAGAGGTAATTTACAGATATGTCTTATACCACATGCTATTGCAGAGATTAATGGGGATCATTGACCTAAATTTTATCTGCTTAAATAGCAGCTTTGAAAGGGGGCTAAAAAAACGTAATCCAGGGCATTTTTGGTGACGTCACTTGACTCTGATCCATTTTGCCTCAGAAATTCCTCACAATCGAAGGGCCAGTTATTTCTATGTGTACTAGTCAGAATAGCGTAACTAATAATGCAGTAAACATTATTTGCGATAACTAAGCATACATTATTAAGTGCAAGAGGAAGATAGGATAATGTTGGCGATGATGGAGGGGGGTCGAGTGCTCACGGGGAAAGGTGGATATCAGAGCCACGGAATGAAGAGGGGCGGAGGTTAGGGTGGGAGAGAGAGAGGGGAGACGAGCTGCTCCGCGAGACGCCGAGCGAAGGCGGCGAGAGCGATGAGGGCGACGGCGGTGCGGTGGGAGAAACACGCCTCTTCCGCGCTCTTCCCACCGCGCATCCAGCTCTCGGAGCGTTTACGGTAGTTGCCGTAGCGCAATGGGTTGAAGTTTTCCGGGTCGAAATTTTCACCGCGGAATCTGTGGTAGCAGCCGGAGTGAGGATTCTGCCAGGTCACTATCCGGTCCAACCACTCCGGACGTGCGATTTGTGTGAATCCTGCCACTCCACACATTCCAACTTGAATCAATGAAACAATGATATGTTGCTGCTTTGATTGTTAATATTGCCCACGGATAGCGGAGCAATAGAGTGGGGTATTTGTTACACGCACAGTAAACTAGTCAAAATGAAGAGAATGGTACCACACGGACAATGTGTAACGTTTCTAGAGATAAATCGCGTCATTTGTGTTGTCTAAATAGTTGAAAAAATCTAGCAACAATTTGTTAAACATCAATTAAATTAAAGGTAAGCTTGCTGAAGTTCTTAAATTTGAATGATTAGCTTGTCAGTGGATGCGTTGGTTTTCGGGTATTTATTAGTAAGATTAATCAAATTCAATTTGATCAATCCTTTAGTTCACGTCCACCTTCAAGAATTGCCTTTCTTGCTCCGCTTCATGTCCCTAAATTTAACACCACCACACATTTCATGTGCAAGTAATTTTTGCTTTTTTAGCAGAAGCAATCTTGGAGGTCGAGGACAAGATCATTAAATTGCGGAAACCCAAAACAAATGTAGGGGAAGGACTACTTTGATGTGGCTGGTAAGGCCTAATGCCCGAGATCTAAACACAAGACAGAAAGACTGTCCAATAGTTTTATCGAGTACCAAATCAAATACCGGTTTAAATTTAAGCACAAAATAATGATCATATACATATTTACTTATAAATGAATGCGAGTTTTGATAGGAGTAAGCAGATAAAATTTGCTCTCGAAACACCTGATAATAAGAAGCAAATAGGAAATGAAGCAATACTGGAACAACGAACGTATAATTAGTCATCTTAAGCATCGGAACAAGGCAGAAGGTTGATGAAAGGAATGCCAACTCAGCATAAATGCGTGCTTAAAATTAGCCTTAACTGATTATGTCAAGCCTGTCGTAGTGGTGCGTTTTACCTCGTTACCACGTTAAATATAGTAATTTTGACTTTCTACACTTCTGCCTAAGGCTGTTTCCTTTCAGTGCTTGAAGTGATGGTAAATTACCAGCATAAAACTGTTTCCTGGGCGATGTAGTTATTTGGCAACACGAACCTCTACACATGCATCTAGTCCGGTTATTAATAGACGTGATTTCGTAGACGGCCGATTTTATTGATGCTTCTCAGGCAACAGAAGGTCCGCACTCGCCACATGGCTACATCTGGCTAACCATATTGTCGCCACCACTGCTGGAAGTGGATGGGTTGGTCATAAATGCTAAGAAATAGGGCGTGGATTCGATTAAATCATGCGCAGTCGTTCTTGATTAACTATATTTGCAAAAAATGTGTTTTAAATATATATTTCAAGATTAATAACAGTGGTACACCTAAGAACAATAAGCTCTAGTTTTAATATAACTAGCTAAAGTAAGTGTTTTCTATCTCCAAAAACTTTAGCAGGCAGTTTGAAACTGCAAACATCCCCTTAGTTAGTTGTCTTCAAAGGAGAATTTTTGGAATTGAGGCCTCAAACGCAGATAGGAAAGCAAAAACCGCAGGTGAAGCTGCACTGACATTGAAATGAGTGCCTCTTTGCGCAGTATCCTTACCTTGCTCCATGAAAAGGTCACGGGCCTCTTTTGGAAAGTCGTTTTTGGCCAGGGTCCTCGCTTCACTGTCGATTTTTGCGCAAAATTGGGCCATTTTTTGTTCAACTGATTCCACATGAGGTTCTGCTCCGGCCAGATCAATCAGTTGAAGATCACAACGAGCCTCGGTAAACAAAAAAGTAATGCTTTTGTTTCACTATATGGGTATTGTCAGCCATGTCATGATCAAAATCCGAAATGTTTACCTTATCAGGGCAGTAACTAGCACCAAAAATGCGGCATTTATTTTAACTGATCTGACCAGGACTAGCGGTTTCCGAAAATAACCAATCTGAAAGTACTGCAGTTAAAAATGTTCTTCAATGTACTGGTGCTTGTAAAAGCTCAAATGTCAACATTTTCGTTCGCAATTTTGAACACGTTCATTATACTTCATTCCAAGGTACTTAATTTGTTCCGTAATGTATTCCTGGGAAAAGTAATTAAGGAATTCAGCAGCCTAAATCCTCATGTAGATGTCTGGAGGAGTGTGTGAGAATGGTATTCAAGGAACGCGTGAGACTGGGGTTTTATATGCACCCGCAAAAGGGGAATGCAAGATTTAGTGTCAGAGTCCCGTGTCACTCAGTTTTTCCGAAACCCATTTTACACCCTCCTCCTAGCTACCCACTTGTGAGAAAGCCATCTACAGGGCAAAACTAATGGCTTAAAGTCCTAACTAAATAAAAGAATACAATCGTCCTGCTGAGAAGCTATCAATAGGAGGACTCATGCTTCACTCAATTGTACTTTTTAAAATATTTTCACTTTGTTCAAATTCTGTAAAATTTAGGTTTTTTCGTGGTCACTAGAGGCACAGTGAATAATGCTGCAGAAAAGCATAAAAACGAATGAAATCTACTTTTATTATGGCTGCCACTTTATCGACATTGTTGAGGATAATTCGCCAAATTCCCCTTTTTGTTTCATTATTAGTGACAATCTGGAGAGCCGACTCCATTGTGCTACTGATTTGCAACTAAAACGTGTGGTACGAAGTTGCAGGGAGCGGCTGAATTGGGAAAGTGTCCATTTTCAGCAACATGAAAAATGCGCGTCAAAGTAAGCACGCCAACTCACCCCAATACCAACGAGGTAATAGAGGATTTGGTGTGTTAAACTGTATGATGTGTGATTATCCGCATTCATATTGGCAAAGCACTCTCGAGAAATGGCACATTGTGGGTGTCTAAAGACAGTAAATAATATAAGTGGTCACGCATAATCAAAGCTAAACAACGTTAGGATTATAACTTTAAATATCTTCTCTGTGAATAGTCTTTAAGTATGAATGCAAAAACTTTTTCCAATGTGTCACTGTTGAATTTGATAGTTCAACTATCAAACATTTGCTGAGTCGAAAATTGCAACTCACGAGTCATGTTGAGTGAATTCGAGGAGACAGTGATCTGATAAAACTTCAGAAATGTTGTCATCAGTGAATATCGAGTTCATATCGGTCGTGGGTAAGGTCTCAAAATGCCTTGTCGGAAGAATAAACCGCCAAAGTTCGGCATTCAGTAGAAAGCTTGCTCCTAAAAGTATTCATACATTGAGTCTAACACTTGTTGCATTGAAACGACTAAAAGTATTGAATTCTAAAGGTTTGGAATAATAGATCAGTCCTAAGTGAAAACATTACCACTCGGGCCTGAAGTAAACCCGTACCATTTGATTCATGAAGTTCTTGCAGTTGTGGTTCCCGAAATAAAAACAAACCCCAATGGACTAATAAAACCTAATTTTGATTTTATGCTTGGCCCAAAAAGGTAAACATAAACCCGAGTAAAATCAAACTACCGCTTGAACAGAGCTGTACACTCCATAAATAAAATTGTATCCGTCATTTTATTAATAGATTTTAGGTACTTTTGCGGGCACTGCATTAAATGTTAAATAAATGCGAAAAAGGCGATATCTCTACATTGCTTGGCAGTTGAAAACATCTTACTTGAAAAATAGAAAGGAGTTTTGATGGCAGCAGTTACTGTACCGAGTGTTCCCACCAGATTCGCCAACTTCTGCAGTTGTTCCATTTTTTCAGCCATTCGCCTCGGTAAATCCGGGCCACATGCAGCAAGGAGTTGGTCGTAGACACCTACAACAATAAGAACGTATTTGCCTGATTAAAAAATGACATTGTTCTTCCAGTTTCATTAAGTCTACGCATATGAACGAGTGAATCTTTGTGCGCAAAGAAGAAAATGGGGGGTATTAAAATTAATTGTCCAGTTTTGACAAATGGAAGTCGAAAAATGTAAAATAAGGAAAGGAGGAAAATAGGTTATGGGACAAAATCTGACGCACTTATCTTGCAGTCCATCTTAGGATAACAAAATGGTGATGCAACAATGATTCAAAGATTGCAATCATATTCAGTATCTCAACAACATCCCAGGCAGATTTGACTGAGGAAGCTAAACAGATATCGAAATCTTCAACCCTTAACTAATTAAATCTATAGACCTTGAGCCTTACCCTGGTATAGAGACATTATTTTTTTCACTAGAGACTAAACGCACGGAATGTGGAGTCACACCATGGCAAAGAAGGAATGGCATGAATAGAGGAAACACATGCATTTATTCACGCAGATAGTCGTTGACTTCTACTGTTTCCATTTACGACAATGAAGTGATCGAAGAGAATACGATCTTCATGAATACACGGTTTTACACGTACGGTACAGACTTCTTGATCCATTTTTGATCAACTTTTTGACTTAGGTAACCACTAGCGCTAGTCATGAGGCCTAGAACATTATAATATTATGAAGAATCGAGGTGTATTTGAACTACTAAAGCGACACGATTTTAGAGGGAGAATTATGTACAGCATTCATACCGCATGTCATTATAACATCAAAAGAAAGGAAACCACTCAGATTTTAGTGTCAAATTACAATCCCATTTGATGTTATTCACTTCGTAAAACAGTTAAGGGCCAAAGATTAAAGGTATGAAACCATTTTTTGAAATGAAATTGAATTGGATCTTGAAATTCACCGTTAAACCTTGGTTTGTAACTTTACCTCATACTTATAACCTTAGGATTGGGGGTTTACTTCGGTCTGTACCATCAGCAATAACTGCAATGTATTTTAGCAAGCAAGAAAAAGAACCTAATAGACATTTTAGGATTCTAGAAAACCAAATTTGTTTCATCCATCCAGAAATAACGCTGCCATCTTTGTAGGCCCAAAAAGTTTTAAGGTGCCCGTGCGATGCCGCTCAAGCTGACAAAAACCGAAAAGGTATACTTCCGTTTGTTTTTCAATAAAATGAATTTATACTACCTCTTTGAAACCATGCGATGGCCTTTTGTATTAGGGCTTTCATTATTTTTTCCCTATTTTAAAGCATAAAAGTGAGCAAAAGCGTTTTCATGAGTGCACCAGCTGATAAAAATAGTTAATCTCCAGGCAACGGAAAGTGCTGATTCCATCTTTTGACACGATTTATGTTTGTAAAACCCAAACAAATCCTCATAAATCGTTTTAGCTGGGGTGAGTACCTTACAGGCCACTCGGATATAGTAAGTATGACTTCCCGTCTTCGTAATATGGGAAGTACTGAACGCGCTTCAAGATATATATATATATATATATTATTCCAGTATTAATTCATTAAAAACGTTTACACTGTTCCGTTACACCACGTGAAATTTATTTCACCATTTTCTAAGCAATTAAAGGCAACGTTTTTATCATATCTGAGGTATAACTAGCCAGGAGAGTAGGACAGTTAGCTGGGCAGATTTTGAGTTCAAAGAGTCAACAGTCTAAAGATCCTGCAAATTGCACTAAAATTCAAGTGGTGAGATGCGTAGCCAATTGCAAAATAAGCAGAGAAGTACCTTTCTATCCGTAATTTAGCCAGGCTATTGAAATCGGAGTAAGGATAAGGAAATTGAGCACCCACCTTGTAGTACTCTTACGCCCAAGACACCGTCCAGATTTAAGGCGTCGTAGTTGCGCAGCATGAAGACGAGGGCGCGCTCGGTGGCAGCGAAGAGCTCCTCGGCCTGGTGGGCCGAGAGGTTGGCGTCGATAGGGGAGCGAGACCATGACGCCCCCACAGCCAACGCGAGACAGGCAAGCAGGAGCACCGGTCTGTACCACATGCTGCCTCATGCTCCCCAGGAGGACTTTACCCCTCCTTATAAGTCGGAAGACAACAAAAGGCTCTGACGACAACTCATTTGAACATTCTGCTGCAGCTGTCTGATTCGTTCGGCCACTCTACTATCCGATTGGCTGGTGTTCAGAGGCGCTTATTTGAAAAGCCGCTTTCAATGGGGACATGATTTATAGATAGAATGGGCGTATTAACATCATCTTTTTTTTCGTTCATAATACCATTCAAGAATGGAACAAGGCAAGAGCGAAATCATCAGCACATGCGTGTAATTACTCAACTGCAAGCAATTGATGTAGTGTAATTCAACAGGAGAATACCAAGCACACTATAGTAACCGTTGTTCGATATCGGTACTCTACATTTGATTCTGAATTAAGGATATGTTATCCAAAATGATTTTGTGAGAGTAGAAGTAGAAAGTGCGTTTTTAACACACTTCTGTTACAAAATAAGGCCTTTCCTCCGAGCTACCCTTGCATGCCATATTAAAGGCAGCAGATATGAGCTTTCACGATTTCCCTATTTTTAGGACAATAATCCTTCAATTTGTATTGCTTATGAATTTTAACTGACACAAATGGATCGCGCTATAGCACTATAACAGCGCATCTTGATTAAAAATGTGTTTACTTCAGGCCTGGGACTCCTTGAAGCTGTTATCACACCAGGGTGAGCCTTTTAGGTGACTCATTCACCAGAACGGCTTTCTTTTGATGCTAGTCCAAAATAAACACTTTTCTACTGCATTATCCTTTGCTTCGGTGGGCGAACTCCCCGCTTACTGTGAATAGGTCTCGAGAAAGCCGCGGTTCCTTGATCAGAAAACGATGTATAATTAGAATTTTTAATGGTGAGCTGTTGAAGGTAAGTAAATTGTCAGGTAAGGCTAATGTGCTATAATATTTGCGAAAACAGTGGGAGCCAGCTTAAAATGAAATAAAAAAATACTACCCTGCATTTCCTATCATGGAAAAATTATGGAACATTGTCGTTTATTATTGATAGCTAATGTAAAATACAGGATATGCACCTCTTTGAGTTTCAGGATTGGATGGGAAAACGAAAGAAATATTTCGTGGTTAAAATAGTCCCCGTGATTAGTACCTGGGGACCTTAAACTATAATGGAACTTCTAGAATTTATAACTTAAGATGAAATGGGTGGAATTGCAAATTGAAATAAAGTCAAGCGATGATTAAAGCCATCTGAAGTCCAAATTGATGGTAAATGAAAGGAACCAGAAAGCAACTAAATGATTGGAAAGTTGTAAAATGTGGGCAAACACAACTTATTTATTTATTCTTCGTGTGCTACGGCACGATAAATGGGTTTGCCCACTTCCTGAACAACAATAAATAAATTAACTGCTTTCAGTAAGTTATGATTTCCATGCTAATGAAACTTCTCGGGATAGAGCTCACGAGAATCACAAATCACCGCATGGAACTACTCATGCTCGATAGACCTTAAATTAGTTGTATCACAAGAAATGTTGCGCGCAGCTATGGGTGTGCTATCGGACAATCAGTTGAACTAAATATAAAGGGTCGTAATTCCTCTAAGCATTATTAAGGTAGCATTAAGAGTGCAACTACCGTCCCCTCCGAGATCTCCAAATTATCTCATCTCTCGATCTTCATTTTGTGGAATGCCAAAAACATATAATTGGTCAAATATAACCATAAAAAAAACTTGACTCGATTACTATGGGTGTGTTTGGACACGAAATATAATAATATTTGATAGAAATTATTTTCTAGATATTTTGCCTGACGTTAGAGAGTTCCCACCAACTACATATGGAGTCGTGTGTGGCTACTTTTACCGACAGTAATTAATGGAACTAATGTTATGCTCTTCTGGAGAAAGATCACAGACATATCAGTCGATCATCGCCTCTGAATTGCATAATTTCTGGAATGCTACACCCCACCCTGACACTCATTAGCATTTATTCATGCAGGATGTAAACTGAAAATCGACTTTAATTAACCATCTTGATGCATGGAAATCGAAGGTCTATAAGGGAAGTATACGGTACGAGGAACTGCCTTTTGCATCGAGCTAATAGATGAAGTCACAAATGGTTCTCAAGACTACTAGACCTCACAGCAAGAAACTTATGTCTAGGTCTAGATGTGTCTCACGATTCATAAAAATTCAAAGAAAGCAAAAAAGCACTTTAAAGGAATAAGTAAAATACGCCTTCCATGGTGTGAAATCCACCAAAAGATTCGTGATAAGATGTATTCAACTCAGAATAGATCTTAGCGAACAAAACTACCACAATGAGCCTCTTATATTGACGCTTTCGACCTTCTTCCAGATTCTGAAATTTGTACAAATGGGATAGCATACTTTTTTTATTCTTAAGCTTTCATCCAAGCTGTCTATTTATCGCCTTTCATCAAATGCTAAAACAAAAGAGAAGAGGAAGAGAAAAACACTATGCTAGACTTCTTCAAGTCTCACTACGTTGGAGATTCGTTCAAAATTGAGAATGTCTTTAATGTATTTTAACGTACGGGACAGTAAGTGACAATCACAAACAGGCTTAACTTTCTATAAATGTGACAACTCAGTATAGCTCTTTAGTTATTTATTTAACTTTCAGTCTTGGTAAAAGTCCACCTGGGAGTCCTGTCATTGTACTGCCCCACCCGACCGCCCCCACCTCCGAGAGCCCGTCCTCCAGGCCATGCCAGTAGACCCCAAACCCTTCTCTATGCCAACAATACATATTCTCCCCGAGTGTTATGTCTTCATTCGTCTTCTGGGGAGTCTCGGGGCACTGCACTCAGTACTGATTCATTCCGAATGAATAAGTGCACCAAAAAAAAATTGCTGTTGCGTCCTAATAGTAGAAGACCCTATAGTAAATTTAGAAATATTTTCATACAAATCCAAATATATTGATTCTTGTGAGTATAGAGTACGAATATACTGAAAGTAAACGCCTCTGAATGGAAGACATGTGGCACGGGCGATACTGCACTAAATGATAGGCAAATTTGATAATGCCATACCGACTTGTCTGTCGCACACCTTTCGATTGCTAGTCGGTGTTGACAACTTGTGCATTTGTCACAATTAGAAAGTCTTATCTCCTGCCTTAAGCATTCCAAGATCAAAGTATCGCTGGACAAATGTGTAAGGTAATATTTCATATTGCTTTTAAAATATTCATAGTTAAATTGTTACTCATGCCGCTCATCAGATTCTGCCGAAAGTGGATGATGCAGGCAGAGACAAGTCACTTGTATGTGGCAGTTCAATAACGTGGCACTGTGCACGCAACGGAGCAATAATTCCACTTGTCACTTTGGTTCTGCTTTACTGTGGCGTGTCCTTTTGGACGTAAAAATCTCTGCAACCGTACGTAAAGTACAAAATCTCCTAACCTTTCAACGCTGTCCCCTGGCCAAACTGGCGTCTATAGGGCCAGGGTCACTCAACTGCCTTCGAGAGGGGCTGGTAAACTTGCCTTCACCTACTACTTGCCTGCTTCTACTAAAAAGTCGACTGAAAACTAAAAAATTACAGATGTCCCATTCAGACGTGAAGGCTGGGTAGCATTTAGCAAAAACTAAGGTCCAATAGATTGCAAATCAGCGGTTCAGAAGAGACCGCGTTATTTTAGGTGATCCAGTCAAGCAAACTGTATGAAAACTCGTCATTCAATACCATCGCTAGCTGGCATGCATGCAAGTGTTTGCCCCTCCTTGTTCTTCTCAATTATTTCTATCAATAATGGGATGTAGAAACATAGTTTTTATGCAAATTTTACACAATTTCAATACAAAATCAGCTATGCTGATGTTCGGTTAGTCGTCTGGAGCTTGGTTTATCTTTAATTACTTAGTTCTGATTAGACCATGTTTATGGCACTCCGGCCACTATGTGTGCATCACCCACTCACTTGGCTGTAGCTGCTATCGATAGGGAGCAAAGGCATAAAACCCACGATTTAGCACAAAAATAAATACAGACAGGTTGGCCTTTCAGTGCACAATATCATTATTGTGCTTCTCAGTTTGTAAAAGAAACTTTGTTAGAATTTTATTCCAAGGAGTGAATTCAGCTTACGTCCAGCCTCCGATTGTAGTTCTAGACGGTGTAGACTATTTCCTGCATACGATTTTACTTTTAAATGAGAAAAAGGGCCCACCTAGAAACAAACATCTTCGTTGGAGATGTAATGTACAATGGGGGTTCCCCTCCTTTGCCGTGATAAAATAATCCGAAGTTTATTCATGATCTGCTTATCTAGTTCACCACTTGAAGACTCGTATAGGCAAACCAAAGCAAGTGGATACTCGTGATAATTGAGCAAATAGGTGTAATATGAGGAGCTCAACTGGAATTCGCAACTGAATTATAGAGAAGGCAGTGGAAGAAGCGTTCCTAAATGAATAAAACCGTGTTCTTCTTGAAAAAAGTAAGAATTAAACAAAAATGAGCCTAGTTCTTCAAACAAGGGATAGCAGAATGATCATTTTCAGGTTGATCACTGCCTGTGCTACTACTCATGGCCTCCGACTTAGAAGATATGCCTGCCAATTGGTGCTCTTAATCTTACAAAAATGCTGCTTCTATGGTGAAGTACAGTGCGCAAAAGTGGCAACTACGCAACCCGCACTGATACTTAAAGCTGGCAACACCACAGAAATGCATCACCTCGCTACTACTGCTACTCTATCATTTGTAGTAGCACTAATCCAAGGGAGACTACTACGCGAATCGCCCCTCCAGGAAAACCCTCATGGTGATTACTGCGACCAAAAATATATCCCACGACTTACGAAAGTTGCCTACTCACACCAAGAGGAGCCAATTTGACGGGAATGCACAGGCATCGTACTTGTGCCACTGAGAAAAGGCTAAACTTCAAGATCCCGCGCCAACCACACACACCTAGATGGGAATTTAAGTGAATTAGGAGTTTCCGATGAAGTCTCACTCAAAATTTAAATAACTTCCGACATACGGCAATTCCTAGCAAGCACCTGAGAACGTAAAATGTGAGCTTTCATGGGGAGTTTAAGACAATTGCAGTGAAAGCATGCCGAAAAACAGCAAATAGCCCCCTAATCCCATCATCGAACGGCTGATCGAAAATGAGCTACTACAATCTTCTATACACAACAATATTTATTGTTTTTTGCTTGTTGCACCCTCACCAAGTGAACATTTATGAACGCTAAGCACAGTATCGTTAGAAGGGGAAAAGGCCTCTCGTCCGTCCAAACAAAAGCCAATATCTTAACCAACAATAAAAGAAATAGCCACACATAACTGCGCCGTCGTACATACATTCAGCAATAAATTCGAAAGAGTACAACAGTGGCAGAAAGAAGAATTGAGGCTGGTGTCGTTTATTACTTTCAGAGATTGTTGCGGTGATCTCTCGCAGCAAGTATACAAAATTGACACTCAGGAGTAGATATTACCGAGATTAAACGTGGAAAGCCCGAATATTAAATATTTCACACATTTCATTCACCTGAAAAAATATGCACACAAATGCATTAGTGCAACATAAGCGACCATGCAAAAGGCAAAAGCAACTTTGAAAAAGATCATATGAACTGGGTTGTTCCTTCTTTTGATGATAATTTTGCATTACTAGATTATTTACGCTTCTACCGAATGACAATTTAAGAGCTCATTCACCAATTGTCAAGAAATATGCAGGATTAGGCGGTTCTATGATATCTCTGTTCGTTTAATGCTCACAAATGACTAGGGCGGACATGCAAATGGATATTAGCGTAGCTGATGGAAGCGATTTATCGAGACGGCAAGTGCACACTGATCAAGTATGAATGATGATTCCCTTAAGTGAGTTTGTTTATTTCAAGTGAAACACGACGTCAATTCTATAGTCCCATTCCTGCCATGCACATACAATTGCAGATAGCAGGAGGAGACTACGACAAAACCAATGACCTTCCCTAGTGCAAATCAAGCTTACAGGATTGCAAACATTGCTTGTAACGGATACACCGTTGTGAATGACAAATGCGCACATTACAATGTGATTGACAAAGCAAAGGTGAATAGTCAATCAAGCTAACACAGTGGGGTACAAATAGTATGAGAACACATTCACAAGAATCCAGACTTTTAGTCTTTCTAGAAACAACGCACAGTATAAAAGGAATTAGCGGAAGTGAAACAGTCGCTAGAGGCGCTTACCACGGCTCCGAAGAAGAGTAGATGGGCAACAGTGATAAGGGAGGTGAGGGCGAGCAAGCAGGGAAATTCGAGTTTTGCGGCTGCGGTGGGTGGAAGACCGAGGCAGAGAACGAAGACCACTAGCCCGTAGACGCCCATTAGATGGCACCACATCGGGGCCTTCGTCTTGGTCACCTCAGCTAGGATTACGCGGCACTGCATAACGAGTACAAAACATCACAATTTTTGATATATGGCATCATTTGTGTACTCACAGGCATTATGGTATTGCAAAGAAATGATACCTTTTTACTGCCATAATAAATGCTATCAGTGAGACTCCTACCTAATCGGGTTAACTCTATTAGAATTATAAAAAAATAAAAAAAGGAAGCTTTAACAATTAATACTATTTTGCAAATGAGTGAATTGTAAATCTCCCAAACACTAACTTAAAGGTGCAATCAAAAACAAATCCCAAAACACTGATGAAGAGTTGCTAAATCTATTACGCAAGACACTAACTAGCAAAATTGAAAAACCACAAGAGGACAGTCGGTGAAGCTACTCTGCTAGAGGCGCTGTTCACCGAATTCACACCAAAGTTGGAGGGAGTTACCCCCAAAATTCAGTAAACATAAGTTTAGTATACGTGCTAAAGTAAATTAGATAATAGTGAAACAATTTAATGGGAACCTAATGTAGGCAAAGCAAATAGATGTACAATACACGACGTTCCTGCTTCAAACTGTGCATGAATGACTGTACGGGTAAAAACACGAATTAATAAAGTAGACCTGATCTCAAAAGTAGACCGCCAAACTTCTCACATGAAAGTGAATAGACTCACACTGGATGCGCCCCGGTGGTCGCAAACAGGATGCGAAGTCTCAGACAAGAATGGTACAGGGTGCAAAAACTCACGCTAAAATTTATCACAAAATTAAAAACCCTTTAAAGTGCCCTATAATGATACGCGCAAGAACAAAATTAGGTGTTTGGAAATGCGACGTGGAGAGGTAAGAGGGAAATCTAACGGCCCAATGGTGTTAGGGTGTCCTAAAAGCGAAGCAGAAAAACAAGGTACCTACTATAGCTCAGATGGCCAAAGATATTTTGATTAGTTGCATTTCAAATACGAAGAGATTGCATTAAAATGAAATCGTGATCCAAAGGTAGGGTGAAGCAATGAATCAGAAGCTAGAACTATGTTGTAGCAGACTCTGTTGGCAAAAGAAGTCTGCGATCGAAGCGCCTACGTGCCCCAGTCAGAGACGAAAAAAATGGCACTGGGATGATAGTAAATCGCAACGAGAACTCCACATGTCTTTGAGATGTAAAAAGATTTCTAAAATAGCTCCTACTCGGTATGCATTTGGTAAAATGTGATTGCGCTTGAAATGGAATATCCACCCCATGTACAAGTGACAAGCGCCGTGCTGAACAAGGCTGATGACGTGAAAGCCAAGTTGCATGTCTATTGACAAAATTTTGACCCCGTAAAACTAATGCTTGTCCATTCTAGCTTCTTTTCAGGCTCATTTTTGGTATCACTGATAAGTAAACATTCATGCATCTGATTGTAAGAAACCATTTCGCATAATCATGATCACAGTTTACATGAACAGGAAATCATAGCATTTAAGTGGCGGTTGACCACGGAGGTCAAAGAGTATGGCACCGTCTTTATGCGTTTCGTGTCCTCAAAAGAATAACGTTGTGACTCATGAAAAGGTAGTTGATACGATACGGTACCCGCATCCTGGACACACAGACAAACGTACAAAGCGGCAGAGGATGAGCTTAAGCAGCGATTAGTAATTAACTTACAGTGATGTTGGCAGCCAAGGTGCCGCCACAAAGGAGGAAGAGGCGCGGTGAGTGCTCCATGATGCGTGTCGGAGAGAGGGTCATCCAAATCCACGAGGCGAGGAAAACGAAAATAGTTCCCACGAAGGGTCGAACAACGGCCCCTGGTGTTGGCACCTTCGTTCTGTCCTTGTTGCAAGCTACAACCACATTGATCACGCTGGATGGAATGGCGCAGAGCCAAAACACGCCTGGTGTGAAAGCACAAAAAATAAATGGCGGATCCCCCGGTTTTTTAAGAGGAAGGGAAATTGAATTATTCAGCACATGTGGGTACTGCGTGCATCAGTAATTGATCATATCCGACTTGTACTCAAAAAATAATTCGAAAATGTGGGCATGTTAAGGAACATTTAGAAGAATACGCAATATGCCAAGCTAATTTGACCCAAATAGGTTGTACTGATATCCATGCAAACACACCAAAGGTCTTTGTGGTAAATATAAGCAATGAGATAAGGAAAGATGTAAATAAAGCTAAGCAATTTTCCCTCAACAATTCCCATCACTTCGCAATGTACAATATCCATTTGATGAATAAAAAGAACCAAAAAATTTGGAATTGGATCTGAAAAGGTAGCTATTAATAAAGTTATCAATGGGACTAACAAAGCACGCTTACAAAAAATAATTGAAAGATTATTGGTTTGATAACGCAACTCTACCAACAAAATGAGCATAAAAAAGATGGCATCCAAATAACAACTTTGTTAATTGATTAGCAATAACCGGCTGATATATCAACACACTAACATAGAACCACAAGTGTATAAATTGTAGAGGAACATACCATGTACTACATATGGCGTGAGTTCAGGAACGTTCATTTGTATGATCGGAAGACGGTTTGCCCAGATCGAAGGTGAGGTGAAAAACGTCGTAACAAAAAGAAAGATCGTCGTCTGAACGGACCATCGGAAGAAGTCACATAAAGAAGAATGAATAACAATCGCGAAAGCAGAAACGGTGCAATAAAGGTCCTACGAAGCCATACAAATATGATAGAAAATAGCACAATGCGTATAAAACGCAAACAAAGCAAATACGTACCATTTGACCCAAATCATATGACCACGGAAGGAATAAAACTCCAGTAATGGACTTTTCCCAGTGTGCAAGTAGGAAGCCACAGATGATAATCCATTCACAGGCAAACAAAATGTTCGGATCTACTTGACCTGAGAACAGAGAAAACAGGATGGGTGGATAAAATGCCGCTGTCCAAGCATCGCAACAGTGATCCATTAGCTCCCCCAGTGGAGATGAGAGCCCTAGCCTCCGTGCTTGCTTACCATCGATACCGTCTATATCTATGGTAAGAACAGTAGAAAAGTGGTACCCAACGTGTGTGCGACGAAAATCAAGAGGGCCGATAACAGCCATATGACGCGCGGAGTATGGTAAGGAGATTTGAAATCCCAATCATAAAATGTAAGCATAAGAAAATTTGAAACCGTAAGACCAAATCCAATGATTGTGAGCATGTTGGGTGCAACCCATCTTGGGCAGTACTAAAAACTAGTTAAGCGCATGACACTCAAAAAACCTGAACTATATAGTTCCAGAATGGATGAAATATGTAATTCGATAGAGGACTTGTGTCAACACATGAATACTTGTGCCTACGAACACCATCTATCATAGTATCGGAGAGCATTGGCATTCTTTGTCTAATTTATAACCCAAATAATAGTGATAACAAAAATAGAGGGGAGACAGAGAAGTAGGCGACAACACAGCAGCGCTGCACAAAAAAACAGCCGAAGTGTCCTTGCAGTAGAGGAAAATTTACCGTAGTTATTGCCCTTTTATAAAGGTCGTAATATATGCTGCTAAGAGTGTAGTTGATTAAAAAACACTAAATATAGTCAATGTATACCGGATTTCCCTATAAGTTTTACGTTTAACTGCAGGACTAGTTATTCGAAGCAAACGAATTCGTGTAGGATTATTTACTGATTTGCATTTCACACGCAAATACTCCCATTTTTGAATAATTTATTTTAAAATTTCGTAATGTTCGCTTAGACGGGGGCTATTTACTAGAGGTGGCTCAGTGGCAAATGCAGTACCGAGGGGTTAATTTTCATTTTGTGCTACATATAAACGTTTTTTTACATATTTAACTTAAAACACTCCAAGACGCTTATTGTAGGTTAGATGTGAGAACAGAGACATATGATCTTTTGAGTTCAGCAAATGTTTCTTCTCTTAAGAAGCCTGCAATTTTGATCAGAACGCACAACTTTAATAAAGTGCCAGCTTTAATTCAGAAGATTATTTCGTTTAATTTTTCCCATCTTTAATTGCGCCCACGCGCCTTATACAAAAGCAGAGCACATAAGTATTTTCGTGTACGTTTAATAAGTGTCATGGGCGGTTCTCCTAGGTCATGCCTCCCAATTCGCCCCCAAAAAGTTTCATTCCTACAGCTTTATAGTAATGTATTATCAGTACTAAGCTCATGCTGCTTTTTTTTCCACCTACCTTTCCAAACGGATTACCGTCTAAGGCCTGTAGTATTTTCAGATTCAGACGACCAATGAGTATTTGTTGGCTGGTTATTTCTGGTTTGTTTCATGAGGTATACTCTTCTCTGGTTAGTTCAATAGTCGACTAGGGGAAGTTAGTCTTGGTGTTTTCCTTTCTGGGGAAATGTTGTCAACGCGTCCTTAGTTTTCCACAAATTTGAAATGCTATCTTTCGGACCCCATAGGTCGAATGTCTAGAAGTTCTCCAAGGCAAAAGCAATACTCACGCCATTATGATATCGTTAATGGTAACTCAGGCTCTCCTGTCAAACCCAGTCACCGCTATACTCAAGACGATAATTCCCATCGCAATTATCATCATCGTGGTCGCCACTCGCAAGAACGCGTCAAGGGTCTCTGTAGCAGTCGACGAACTCCCAAAGAAGGATGTCTCAACTCTAGACATCGCTCGCGTCGCTCTAGCGGCAACATGTCACCCGATTATTTTGCCAGGAAGCATTCTCGACGCGATTCAAACAATCAACACCACCACTCCTACTCCAAATCCCCACGGAATCGGCACCGGCATGTGAATAAACGGTCAAATAAGGCCAAAGAACGCTCTCCTTCATCGTCCTCTCCCAACAGTTTGCGTTCAGCTATAGAACCTAACTCTCCTAACCGTGTTTTAATCAGTGCAGAGTCCCCTGATAGTTTTATCCCACCTATTGTGGCATCACCGATCTCTCCCAACTCCTCATTTGGAAATTCTCTTTTTGATCAGATTTCTGATCGTAAGTTTACTTACCTTTGTTCATGTTGACTGCACGACGCTACTTACCAGTGTCTAAACGTTGTTCGTAATTGTTCAGGCCCTATTGGCAAATTTTAAACTAATATTACCGTGCTGGCAGATTTATACAGTGGTTCATAATTCCAACTACTGCAATGTTTATTGGTGCATTTGCTTATTTTCGATCAAGTTTGAACACAAAAAAGTGTCTTACAATTCGTTAATGTCTAAATCGCATCCTATAATTGATCTATTGTTCATGGGTTATTTTCTGTTATCCATGAAGTGTACTTTTGTACAACCTATTATCGATGCCATGATTCCATAATAGGCCTTGGCATTTATTGAGTCCGTCAACCCATTTTATGCCTGAAACTTATCAATGCAAAGTCTATGTAGTCAAAAATGTTAGATTTGGGAATTTAGACCGCGATTGAGCATTATTGCATGACTTATTGCTTATTTATGCTGACTTCGTCGCTTTTATTGTGACATTTTTACGTGATATCAGTTTCCGGTCGCCAAAATCAAATACTGCTTGAATTTTGTGTTTCTACCCCCCAAATTAGGTTTCTGATACTTTCCCGTTGATTTAACTATGCATAGTTACGCATGGACAAGAGTGCCGTCCCTTGAATAAGTGCGTAACTAGTAGACAAATTCATTATTTTTTTACTCAGAGGTATTTGAAAGTCGTTTATGAAAGAATGTTGCTCCTCAAAGTAATCATGGACTTATTGGTTTCTTCAGCGTTTCTGGTTACTCACTTGAATATTCAGGGTTTATCGTGGGCTGACCTCAATGTGAACGCATTTGAAACTATTTTTTACCCAGGTTTCTAGGCCTTGTGGGAAGCTTCGTTGGGATTTTTGTTTTTCTACTCAATATCACTTTTATTACATGTGGCTTATCTCACCTCCAAGGATCTTGCTCACCTGTCACTATATCTGTAGTATCGAAACGTCCTTATTAAGAGGACGTTCCTTTAGGGGATTGAATTTAACGCGGCTATATCATTCTTCTAAGTAATTGCGTTTGTTTGGCTATTGCATGATCGTATGCGTGGGCAAAATGATTGTAAGTTGTTTGTATACATCATTGCGCAGTGCCTCGTATTTTCAGCTGAAGTGACGCATATCATCAGACCTCAACGTTGATATTTTTGTCTATTTCGTTGTATTTTGTGTATTGCTTTTAAAAACTGCACTTAATGCGCAAATATTTATTTGCATTGATCAGCAACAGATCAGCCTCCTAAGCACTGTTTTTCATTCAGTTTCGGAATATTCTCACCTCACACACCTTACCATCACCACCTTCCTAATTTGATCATTAATGCATGACAAGAGTAAGTCTCAGCCCGGTTTGAACGTGCCTTGCAAGATAATTATGAAATTGCCTGTTACATTGCATTGACTATCTTGACAGAGCCAAAGAATCCGATTTCAGTCCCCCCAGACGAAGTTTACACACCTGAAGACTTGTATTTGTTGCGCCTCCCTTCCTCCTCTTCGGCTGTGATTCCTTTGGGAGCACCACAGAAGGCGGTGGCAGCAGTGGGTAACGTAGATGGGGTTGGGACTAGGGTGAGGATGTTTGAAGAGAATGCGGAGGAGGGGGAAGAGGTGGTACCGATGGACCTTGCTTCCAGTCCTTTTCCTCACCACAGCCCCGAGCCTAGTAAAGGGTCCATCCACCATCCCTCCACTCCCCCTCCTCAAAAAGACCTTCCTGCTGAGCCTAAGAAGGAGTACGTCTTAGTGTTTACACTCTCTTTTTTTCCCTTACCGGCTCTTGTTTCTTACCTGTGCATGTGGTCCATGGGCCGATTTTTGAGTTACGCCATTCAATTACATTAACGCTATGAATTTCATATTCAGTGTTATTTGCCTAAGTAATACAAGTTTCTGTTCCTTCAGACGTAATTCCCTCACGGATGAATCATCGATGACTGGTCCCTCTGCAGGTATTGAAGTCAGCAAAGCTACTAAGGTGTGTTTATTAAAATTGCTGTGCACATCGTGGTTTAATGCTCAACAATGGCATCATTCCCAGTTCATGCTATGGCTAATGTAGACATGAAATTTATAAAACCCCACTTTTCCCATTTTAACATCGGTGTAAACTGATAGGAAAAGTTGTGAATATGCTTTGATGCCTTCCTCATGCAGTTCGTGATATGCTGCTTTGCGTGTTGTCCAGCAGTCATGTAAGTGTTATGTTTTATGGAAATTTTTAGGAAGCAAATTAGCAATAAAGGGATTTCCGTACACGTGTTTCTGTTTCGTTGTAAGTACAGCTGATTTGATATCAGAACTACAAACTCACTCAAACGTGCGGAGGACCAGATTTCTTTGTTTCTCAGACATATTACCCGGAGTTGGACAACCATGTTTTCCCGATCTTTTTTCACCACTTGAAAAGACCACATCTTTTTCCTATATTTTACGGGTCGCATCATCTGTTCGTCAGTTATCAACTTGAAAGCTCTTTTTACATAACCCATTGCAATATTTTTTGCATAGCCATTGAATTCTGCGATAGCATTTTGTATTGTATATGCAGGTAGCTTACCACTTGGTCCACCTGCTTACAATTTCCTCCACTATCTTCCATTAACTGTAGGTTCTGTGCTACCGATATTATCTAAAGATGTGCTAGGGATGTCTGCCCATCCCCGGAGTCGGAACTTGAGAGAATATGCGTCGTTTTCCGGTACCGACGTAAATTTATGAGGTTTTCTTCAATAACCCAAGACTTCTCCCTTTAGATGACCTTGGTGACAAGTGATGAACAAGTTATTGTTGGTGACTTGTAACGTGCTTTCACTAATCTTAGTCAAAGTCAGCTTTGTTATCCGGAAATATATGGCAGTCTTCCAAACTTATGTGCTAGTGCTCTTAAATTTCTGGGTGTGATGCATAGTTTTGCTGAGAGAATCTCTAAACTGAACTTTAGGTGTAATTTTATGACATACATCAAATTTAGTCACTTGTTACATTTCATTTCGTTTACTTCGTACCCACTCCCCATATTATCTCATTCCCTCCCAGTGGTACCCTCTTTTTTGATAGTATACTTATACCAGCTTAATTCTCGATTCCTTTCTGATCTTGTCAGAGGTAATATAGAGTTAGTTCACTAGAAGTGGGTATCCCAACAGTTTTCCGTTTTAATCCCGTCGCAAGGTCACTCGATTGCTCTCCCAATGTTTATGAACGGCGTCGAGTCGATAACTTTGGGAACTGTATACAAATCATTGCACTTAAACGGTATTTAGACAGCTTAATGTTTAAATGGAAGTATTGTCATACCTCACAAAATTCACCTGTCTATTGTGGAACCTGAGACAAGGCAGCTGCAAGCGATTTCAAAATCGCCTCTCAAACACGAAGCTGTGATCCATGTGCATACTCTCCCCATATCGTCGCTTCATTGTTCCATCTTGCTTATTTGGCAACAAGCTTTGGATAATATGAAGCTTTTAACCTCCAAACAGTTGCTTGAGTTGTTAGGTTGGTTACTTTATTTCTCCTTCTTCCTCAACATCCACCCACTTGACATTTTCATCAGATTGTGTCACAACAATGAAGTGCCTCTATCTTACCCCCTCTCTGCGTAGGCTCATAACGAGCGGATGCGAAGTAAACTGGTGCCGGCGAAGCGGATCACATTGCCACCGTTGCATCTGTACCTGTCAGAGGATGGAACCTCGCCGCTGCCACCGGGGTGGCAGCGGGCACCAAACCCTGCAGCGACGCAAGGTGGCGAGGACGGCGGCTACCCCTACTACTACTACCACACTAAGACGCGTCTCACACGCTGGGACCCTCCCGTCTATCCCTGGGATGCCGACCCCGAGGACAACCTCATCCCCGACCGACCTGACGACGACCCCGAGGCGCCCTATAACTGGAACTGCGCACATCGCTACGCCGTCACTCATGAGGAGATCGAAGCTGTGAGTCTTGTCCCCACCTTTAAACCTCGCTTGTTGCAGCTTTCATCCTAACATATCTTGGTTACGCTCATGTTATTGAACCCATTTTCGACTTCAGAAGATATCGGACCTTTTAGCTGCCTCGCAAAGATGATTTATTGTTGTGATGAATCTGACTTTAATTAATACGATGTCTTTTATGAATGCTTACATGCGAACCCATTAGCAATATACGGTAAACGGAGCGGGAATTCCACTGACCTCGTTTCTCAAAATGCCAAATTAAGGCTTGTTAAGCTGTGAATTCCATATCACATGTAATCGTTCAATGAAGTTGGTTTTTTTAAAGCTGATTACGAATTTAACGCGTTTTGTTTTCCTACCATTTCGAAGGCAATAGGTCATCGCCATCTGAATTGACATCACCTAAACTATTGTTAACCGCTTAGAGATGCTATTTCAGTAACAAGTGAGATGTTTAAACGTGCCTCTTTGTTTTAAATTGGAAATCCTATGTGGGGTGATTGTGAAATACCTCGGGAAATTGTTGTACTTCTCTGAATTCAATAGTTTTGATATCGCTACCCCAAAAACCTTCTATGAGGTGCCGTAAAAATACTCTATTTGACCACAGTGGTTTTCTTAGCATTCATGGCAGATGTCCTAGTGACTGTATGTGTCCTTAAGCCAATGCTCTAAAAACACACTTTGAACTTGCAGTTAGACGTGTGTGTGTTGTGTTATAAGCATTCACAATCACTCATTATCAGCGAAATTGCAGGGAAGGGTGCCACTTTCTTCGCTGCGTTGATGAAAATCGCGTCCTCAGTTAGTAATTCCCCGTGTTCGACGGCTTTGGAGCTACCGTGATGCAACCTAAATCTAATCATTCGGCTGTCTTTGATCACAAATACCCCATACATTCTGTGTAGTGATTGACAATACAAAGGAAAGCATGTACTCTTAAAAGTATGGTTTATTTAGACACGTCCATTGGAATTTGAATAGCTAAATCTGGAACAATAAGAGGCCACCTTCGATCATTGGTCACACCATTGGGAAATCCACCACAAATACGCTCCCAGTAACCCATATCAAGCAAGATTAAGATTGAAAAGATTCTCTTTGTAGCTATCTATCCAAATGGTGGAGTAAATGGGCATAAATTTACCTGGTTTTTGCCAATCACGGACCAGCAGCAGCGTACGGCCTCCTCATCACCCCGCATGCATACTGTACACGTCAACGGCAATGAGGACAGGGAATACTTATGCGCCCCTCTTCCTCTTTAGATGTACGCGCAGTATCGGAGCCGCATGCTCGAGCGTCAGTGCATGGAGCTGATACACGAGATGGGCGCTCGGCCAGATGTCCCGCAGGGCGCACAAGAACAAAGCTTTGCCATCGAGGTAGGCCCTTAGGACTGCACGTTTACCCAAAGTTTTTGTGATCCATGCCATGAATCACATACATGGGACCAGCGAAATTTTTTCAGGAGTATAATCAAGTTATGAGTTGTTGGTATGGGACGCCATCCTTTATGAGAATAAGATTATTGTTCAAAGAGGCGCTGTTCGTAGCATTAATTGGGATCAATGCACCCGCTGAAGTAGTTCCAAAGGAAAGCGAGCCACCACGGCCCAAACGTTTACTGTTTTATTTGAAGTTATATTACTCGAAAATAAATTTAATTATCCCCAGATCAGGAATGTCCTGCGTTTACTTTATCGTTCGAACCACAAAGAACATATCACATATGTGTGACATCGGTAGCGAATGCGTTAACTCTGCTTTGATTATGGTGTGTTTGCTTAACTTTTCTTTGTTCTCTAGCTTTTTTCTTTCATACACAATGAACTGCGAAAATTCAGGGACGCGAGAGTGGATCTTGGCAGGATCACAAACGATGAAGATCTCCATCACCTTACAAACAAGGTACGCGCGCCATGCATGCAGTCAGCACTTATGCAGAATGCTTAGTTTTATTAGTCCTTAAACAACGGTAATGTCAGGGAGTTATGCTAGGATATGCGTCTATTCTATAGTTGAGTCGCACTGCATGATTATAGCTGGCTCAAGAAGTCATTCCGAAGGAGGTTAGGAACCTTCACCGGGCCCAGCAGGCAAGTGCCTCCAGCCTCTTTGCCGCGGTGGTTGCCGAGGTGACACCAGCCATACGGGATCGAGTGTCGAGCTACGTGCGTCGTTACATGGAGTCGAAAGGTCTGTGCTACCGCAAATTAATTCCCCACCACCACAACCACCAGCACCACTCTGGCCACTAGAGCTATTGCCCCTACCTCCCCCCCCTCGTCCTCGAAACCGTGTCTGCGCATGTATATATGGCTGTACGTATGTGATTGCGGACGATCGTTGAAAAAAAAAATAATCCGGCCGGCACGAGATGACAATGGGTTCCAGTGCTCGGCCAATGTATTTTGCACGCTTTTGAAATATAGATATACACAAACAGCATTCCTCATCAGACATCGTCACGGTTCCCATTCGATTCTTTTCGCCGATGAAAATAATGTTACACACGTGGCTGGTCGACACGCGTTCATTTTCGTAAGTTTTCAGTTTCACAGACTAAGATGTGGGTGCATTCTCGTTGGTCCGATTTCGTTTACATACAACCAAATGGGATGCTGTATTTTGTCGATGCACAGGATTACCTGGCTCTCATGCTAAGGTAAATGTTGGTCTCATTTTCCACCATTAACACCACTAACACCATACGTAGACACTGCCTATCCAGTCTCCAAAATCAGGTGTAATGTCACGCGTACAGTGCTGGTATCACAAATCTTGGTTTCTTAAAACATTGGGGGTAGGGTGCTTCGAGTGACTTGACGCTTTCACCACTAACACTGGTAGCATTCCGGAGTGGGTGGGTGGAGAGTAGTGGAACGTCAAGTAAGACACGGCAATGAGGTGCAAGACCTACATGAATAAGATGGCGTGAGGGATTGGCAATTGGTCCAGTACCCCCATGTACCTGAAAAGCGCAACAGACCGGGAGGGCGGACGCGGGTTCAATGCAAAATTTGGAAGGACGATTAGAAAGACGGGGGGAACTTGACGAAATCCTAGATTGTTTCTGGAAGGGTGCATTTGTAACTGAGTAGACTGGATCATGAACTAGACGCGTTGATATGGGAGGAGAACGTATGCGTTATTATTGACAACAATATGCTCGAAAGCTTCGTTTTCTTGATACCACACTTTCATTTTTGGGATATCCACTAAATCATTTCATCGCATACAAAATCGACTAATGACTTAAAGGTGTATTTCGACGAGCAAAGAATGCCTTAAAACCCATCCAACACGTAGGTGGCTTATCCCTACTTAGCTTACGTGTTATGGGGGGTAAATAACCCCTGTGCAGTCGGCAAGATTCACCTAAAGTAGGACATTCCTATATACTGCCTAGGTACGAACGGTTATATTTCAACTCTGCATCTTATAACTCACGAAGCTGACAAATGCTAAGCAGTCAAAAAGATAACATCACGAATTCCGCACCCCCTGCTTCCACAAAAGCTAGCCCTCGACATATAGGTGTAATAAAATCCACTCCTTTCTTTCAATTCCGGTTCCTCACTCTTTGAGCGGAAAGAGGAGAACATCTCTATAACGACAGTTTACAAGTTATCAAGGTTTGGAAGGATTCAAAGTTCGCCTCCTCCCCGAGTGTTGATGGTTTCGCCCAACCATGTTAGCGCAAGCTAGCCCCCCATTTCTTAAAAAGCATGTTCGAACAAGCAAGCACTAGATAGGTGACACTACCATAATACTTGTGTTGACTAACTGTACCGTTTAGAAAAGAAGCATTCAGAGAACCCCAGTCTCAATGCAGGAGTTGTCGGTTCCCCGAGGAAGAGTAGAGTTTGGAACCCCAACCACCCCTTAAAATCCGTACTCACCCAAGCTAACGTTAGCTAAAAAACCATGCCCCTATCGAATCAAACTGTTCGTTCAAAGGATTTAAGAAGCAGAGAGGGAGGGTTAAACGGAAAACGCATTACTATTGTGCGTTTAACTGTCAGTGCGCCAGCCTAGATTTTAAATTGCTTTTCAAATCTAATGTGGTTCATAAAACTGGAGTGGGGAAGAATGCTAAAAATAAGTAACTTTAATAGTGGTAATGTGCGCTTAAAATGTGGTCGCCTCAAACACATATTTAATAATTCCCACTGAAATTTGGTGTCGCAAATAACTAGGTATGAGCAAATATCCTACAAGTAGCTTAGGAAACTTCTAGTCGTGCAAATTCCAACATTTTTGGGTTTTCGGCACGGTCGTTTAAATGATATAATGTCTCATATAACTTGGGTTACAGGCCTACAGATCGCATAAAACGTCCAAGTAAATTTATTAAACTAATTTCTATTGCATATCCTGTTTGTCAAAACGACTGCGGCTATTTTGGTCATCGTTAGATTGTCCAGTCACTAGACGTATGCGGTTCAGAAGTAGCAAATTAGCGCGTTTGGGGGCTGAACTAGCCTCAGTATTCATTCCCTCGTGCTTTCCTTGCTAACAATGGATTCCCTTGAGGAACTCGTAGAGCAGTCTGATCGGCTGCTTATGGAAATTCGAGGAGATACTGATCTACCGTTGATCACGCGTAGTCTTGAACAAATGGGGGCCTATGGTGAAAAAATGTGTTCATCTCGTGGTGTAAGAAGCGATGTGAAGGCTGCGCGTCTACTGGGTCCCACCATTAACTATGACTTACCTAAAAATTTGTCTGCTAAATTGGAATCTCTCTCACAAATAAAAGAAGTGGACTTTGCTAAGCCGAAGATTGACATGGACATACACACATTTCTGAGGTGCGAGCGGGAGAATATCCTATTTACTGCTACTGAACAAGCAAAGCGGGCTGTGAGCTACTGTTACTCAAATAATGCGATTTTGTATGTTTTGTAACGTATGGGTTGGAAGCATGCTTCATTCTATGACCATTTGTAGACTTCATTATTGAGCTTTTTTTACCATCTCCAATGAGTACAAGTTTTTTTATGTGTTTATGTGGAATTGCTTCTTAGTGGAATTAAATTTGAATTCCAGGTCTTTGACGAGGTTGACTCGATTTGTCGCAGGTCTACATCGTCTTGGTGGGATCGTCAGGCTGCCGCCATTTTGACAGCCCTTGCTAGTTCTACTGGTCCAATAGACACCGCTATTTTCCAAACTGTTCCAACTTCTGTTGCAGCAGACACCGCCATGGGTCGGGAATTTCTTTCTCGTACTGCTCCAATCGATTTTTCCGCTGACTCACAGGCGTCTATTTCGAAAGAGGAGCTTTTTTACGCCAACCAAGTTGATAAGTATCTCGTCGATTCTCTCGCCACTACACAAACCGTCTGTCTGCGTCAGGTGTCGGTTAGCTCTGGCCTTCTAAACAAGCCATCGCTTTTTGACTACCTGTACAACACGAAAAATGCGAAATCTGTTCTCTTTGATGAGTCTAAACAAAACGACTTCTGTGAAGTTTTCCGTCTCATTAAACGTATGTTTTCAATCTCGGCTATAAATATTGATGACGTTGGACCCTCGGAGACCCCGCTTCTTGATCTACCACTTCCTGCCACGCACGAGAGAGCATTAGAGTTTCGTTCCGGTTCCTCTCTCCAGTCGGCATTTCTGAGAAGAGCGATTGCTCATTTAGAGGTGGAATTTGCGACTTATTTGCAAACTGTCGTCTCATCAAATCCACGTCTGGCTCTGTTGGGTGGTTGTCCAGGTGTCAGAGCCCTCGTTCGGGCTTTTCTTAATGTCAAAAATCCTTCCTCCCAACCATCCGGAGACTGCGACTTCGACTCCTTCGGTGATTTTGAGGTATGGGCATCATACCACTAGATGTGTGCGCATTAACTGTGAAATTTATGCTAAATGTATTGTTGGTTTTTAGGATGGCGTTGTGGATAGCAAACCAGTTTGGCCCATGATATACTACTGCCTTCGTTGTGGTGCCTTGCAGGATGCTGCTAGCGTCGCATCCGATGCAGCGTAAGTTTCACTTGAAACATTGTGGGTGTATGCTTAGAGCAGATGAACATTCAGTGTATTGATCCTTATAGTAATAATCTGGGAGATTTTGTTCAAATTCTGAACACTTTCATGGCTGAAGGGAGATGTCTGCCTCCAAAATTGGTTGCAAATGTTCGAAAGACGTATCGGCGAATCGTGAAAACTTCTCGTGACCCATACAAAAGGTAGTGTTCGCTTCTCGTTTGTGTTCTGCAAGGCCCAATATTCAAATAATCCTCCAATGGCTCTTAATAGGCTGGTATACTGTCTTCTGGGCTGCTGTGATCTTTCTGATGCACATACAGATGTCGGTCAAAGTATTGATGATTTCTTATGGCTCAGGCTTTCACAAATTTCTACTAATGAGGGTACAACTGACCAGCAGGATGATATTGAAAATCTTACTGTCGGCCAACTACAAAGTCTCCTCTATGAAACATATGGTAAGACGAGATGTCTGACTCTAAGATTGCTGTTTATTCTCTTCCAACGTTTCTGAAACGAAATCCTTTTGTAGGTGAAACATACTTTGATGCTTGGAACCAGCCCCTCATGTACTTTAAAATCCTCTGTCTAAGTCAACAGTTTGAAGGAGCATTGGCTTTCCTCTCGCGTATTGAGGGACTGCGTTGCCACGCCGTTCATCTGGCTCTTCTACTTCGCGAAATGAAAATTCTTCTCTTACCGACCTCAAAACAGGCACCACTCGGTTGGTCATTCTTTCCATTCTGACAATGCGTGATACCGTTGAGTCTTAGTTGACGTGCTACTGATAATTCCTCTTAAGGATTTATATTTTACTATCAGGTTTCAAATGAGTTTTTATAGGAGACAAGTAATATTTTCTTCTTTTAGTCTGCTTAATCTAGGCGGTACTGATTCACGGTTGGGTTGTGTTTGGCATCACCTTTTACTCCAAATTACTTTCTTTTAGTGTCTCGTGTGGACTCTGATCCCTCTGGTTTCCGACGTCTTAACTTCGTTCGCCTATTACTCCTTTATACACGTAAATTTGAGTTGAGTAACCCGACTCTGTGCATAAATTACTACTACTTCCTGCATGATCTTCCCTCTGTGACCGAGGGCAAAGAGAAGACGACAGTAGCGAGTCCACCTGGTTCTGGGATGCACAGTCTCTTCGTCCAGTGCGTGGCTGAGTTGGCCATTCAGACGGGCGAGTTCGATCTCCTCCTTGGCCGCCTTACTCCCGAGAATAGGGCTCTGCGGCAGGCTGGCGCTATCGATCGCTTTGCGAGTGTGGCGCCGCCTATCTCGCTTATCACCATTGTCGCAGAGATGCTTGAGGCCCGGGGCCAAATGGTGCAGGCCGTGAGTGTCTACCTCCTCGCTGGAGAAGTAAAAAATATCCTTTCTGCCGTTCGTCTCATCAATCTCCTTCTTGTCGGCGTGGTTGCTACTGACGATTCCAACGGTCTCAACGTCACTGGTAACTCCGAGAGAGAGAACATATTACGTCTAGCTACTGAAGTCAGTAATTTTATCACATTCATATAACCTTTTGATGTTTCCTACGGCCAATCCGTCACCAATTTCCTCCGCCTTTTCAACTTTGCCAGGTTGGTCTTAGCGTTCGACGCCTGGACCCGATTACCTCAGCAGTTGGCGGAGCGGTGAGCTCAGACAGTGGAAGTTGCGGTGACGTCTCGCCGGCCCTTCAGTCGGCCGCTCGAACCCTCTACTACCTTCTCGATTTGGCTACCTTCTTTGACCTGGCCAGCTCGGGTCAATGGCAGGCGGCGCTAGATCACATGGATCGATTGGGCCTCCTGCCCACCACCGCTGCCAGCGAGGAGATCGATGCCAAGGTAGCTGGCTTCGCTGCCATCTCTGACTTCGTCCGCAGACCTATTCCCGCCGCAATTCTGCTGCTCCTACGCTGTCTCACCGTCAAAGCCTCCACTGCGAAGGCTAATGAGTGGGTCACATTTCAGTTTAGCTTATGCTTTGGACAGTTTATGCCTCAGCAATTGCCTTGATTTCAAGGCGCCATTTCTTCAATCTCTGCGTTTCAAAAACACATACTTCGCAGAAATTGGTTATCCGATCGAGAAGTTTACTCTCAAACTCTCTAACTGTTAGCTAGATCGCTATAAGGTCATTCCACAGAAAAGCGGTCGAATGAGTATCTGGTGATTGAGGTTTCTTGAGCACAAATTGAGTTCGATCACAGTGTCAAATTTCCTTCCTACCCATTGAAATGCCACTGAATGTTGTATTGTGGATTCTTCATATAACTTTTGAATTGCTTACAGAAAAAACGTGGGAACTTTAGTAGTAATTACTTAAAATTTGTTAAACGAAGCTGTATCGAAGTTGAAACCACACCGAACGGCGTCTTATCCTTGATTATTTCGATTTAAATGAGATTTCCGGGTTGGTTGAAATTGAAGTTGACCATCATTTAGGAAGTGATATGCTCATGAAATAGCTAATTCTAGACCATGAATGCCGTGGTAGATCGATTGCCATTTGGCTTCAGTTCATCAATGGAGGTATTCTCGACGTTCCAAATCTGTTCTTTTAAATCCTCCGGAAGTTTGATTAGAAAATTAGTCAGTGTTTACTTTCTACTGACGAGTTCAGTCCCATAAATCCCATACATATTCTATACTTATTTAAATATTTGGTCAATCTTGTCAGCAAACTAGAAAATGACGAATCCACGATATAAATCGCATTCGGGAGTCTGATGCTAATGCAGATAATGTGTTGGTTTTACTCTGCGTATGGCCTCGTAGAGAGCGTGGTATCTCCGTCGGGCGCACACCGATCGGCATCAGTGGGCACTCGGTGTGTCTTGAAGAGGTTCGAGCGAGAACGCGGGCCCTCATCACTTTCATCGGGCGGATTCCGTATCGCATGCCTAGCGAAGTGTATGCACGCCTCTCACAGGTGGAAATGCAGCTTTCTTCCGCTTCCTCTTGTACTTGAAACCTTTTCCTCTCTGGGTGTGTTTATACGCCTTGTCATTGTTATCATGTTGTAATGAATCGCAGATGCGCTCCAATTTGATAGGATATTGACGAGCGAAATATTTCGTTCTTACTTATTATGTTTAAGTAAGGTACAAACCATAAGCAGCCATTCTTCTCCGAGAGACAGAAGGCAATTTTGCGATACTGTGAGTTCATTTATTTAGGCTGTAATGCATTTGGTTTCGTAGCAGAAAATAGCATAATGTCGCACTACTACAATTACTACAATCTGTACACTGCTCACAAATGGCACGGTATACGGGAGAGGAGCCTCGATCAGAACTAAGTAGTGTGTGTGAAAAAGAGGAGATGCGTTTCGATGATGTAGTGCGGTGCGGCGTACACCATGCGATCGGAGGAGAGGGACCAGAGCGGTGGTGTTGTGAGAAGAAAATAGGTTTGTGCGTTTTGGATGTAGTTCTAGGTACATGAGGGGTAGGAGGGAAAGAGGAGGATGGTAGGGTCGAAAGGCAAGACGTAGGCGTTGAGTGGGAGCGAAGCGTGAGAGGAGTGAAGAATGAGTAGAGAAAATAAGTATTAGTATATATGGGACGCGGGAGTATACAAGATTAGAACTCCGCATCCCAGCCCGAGAGCTCATCTGGCGGTACGTCTGTGATATCAGGATAATGATCGAAATTTGAGACGTCGGTGGGCCCCGAGATCTTCAGCAACATTAAAGCAAGCAAGATCACTACTGCACCTGGAGTACGTTCAATTAAGTTGAAGTTGGGTGCATAATATTCACGATATAGTTATCTATGAAGTCATTACTTCTATTAATAGCACTTGAAACGAGCTACTTGCATTAATATAACAATTCTGGAAAATAAACAAATTACAGACGGGAAAGAATGTTAAGATTAGTCGTATGGCCAAAACGCTAATGACAGTTTGGCGATGTGATGAGAACTCACCTTTGGCAGGATTGGCGCTTGAAGTGTGCCTCTGCACAGCCCAATCCAGTCGAATCCCTGAAAGTATCTGAAACACAAGAAAGGATTCAACGATCAGCGAGGCGTCGATGCGAAAGCTCATGTGTTCACATTTTGGGAATCCTGAAGGAAACCTCCCAGGTTTGTTACTTATTGGTAAGCATCTCCTCAACAATTCATAAAGTACGTGGGAATTGGAGGGACTTCTGTAATGTTGTTCCGTTTGGTACAAATTCACAAGCCCTGTTTAAATCGACCAGGCCCGGAATGGAGCCAAAACGGACCAATGCAGTATCTAGCCAAATTGCAGTTCAACAGTTGGGTGCAAGGGGCCGAAGCCAGTGATCACCCAGCAGATAGGCTCGAATAGCAATCACGCAACTAGTTCATATGGCACCATTTATTATTCACTATTATTGCTTTATGAGGAAGGTTTACATTACAAGCAAGGCAGATTTGCCCATCCGACTTTATTCTTTGCAAATCTTACATACAAACAATTGGCATTCGGCTCGGGATGCAATATTTCCTTACCAATTCCGCCATTCCTTCTTTAGCTCGACTGAGCAAGCCAAAGGGTGCCATTTTTCCATAAAAGTCAGATCTCATATCCTCGTATTCTAGTTTATGGCTTTCCGATACTGAGGTACTTGGGCTTTGTGGCCAACGCTGTTGGAAGAACTTTTCGAGTTAACTTGGGACGCCAATTTTAGTTTAGCTAGAAGAGTTGAAGATATCTTCAACTTTAAAACGTCTAATCAGCGTATAACTATTGTTGTATTTTGTCAGCAGCTTTGCCAATTTTGAGCGTAAGCCCCTGCCTTAACAAAAGCAGCATCATGTGCTTTGATTGGAAAATTTAGTACATTTGACACACTCAATTACCATTAGCCATTTGCATCGCCTCCGGAAAAGGGAGTGGAGTGAATGACTAAGTTATATGGAGCTTCACAGTATCAATTTTGGATGAGCAACAAACATGAAATCTGCACATTTGTTTGCTTGCGCGTGTTGCGATTCCACTGCACTGTAAAACGTTACACATGTTGTGTTGAGCTACCTTTGGGAATCCGTTCGAGTCATGGGGGAGAGAAAGGTATCGCCTAGGAAACCGTCAACTTTACGAAAACATGTACGATGGGAAGAGGTAATTACGGGTCTACTGGGAGTTGTTCTAAGTGGTTCAATCATAACAGTCGAAATTAACGAGGGTATACATTACATGAGACTAGTGAATGATGAATAGGGATGGCACATAAATCTGTTGAGCCACGAACCTTGGATCAATTTCCAAAGAATCACAACTAACGATAAATGTGTTTTTAACTAAACGTCCTATTACTAAACGGAGTGTGACAGTCAATTCAAACGTCTTCTAGCTCTGCTGATGAAATTTATTGAATTAGTTTGGGAACTTGCAATAAATAATTAGAGCAAATGTACGCCAATGCTAACGAAAACATTGTGCATTTCAAGCTTTAAAGCAGAAACCGGTTTTAATCTACGCGTTAGAGTAGTGTAGTTGTAAGACAACCGATGCATCAATGTAAAAAGGCAGTATCTGGTTCAATAAGTACCTGAATGCCTGACTTTCGCATAATCAATCAAAATACACAGGAAACCGCTTCACATTCACAATTAATGGACTCAATTATATTTGCATTTATTTGTCAGAAGAACTACAAGGAGGAATCTGATTTAAGAACCAAAAATCACTTCAGAACGGATCAGTGCAGTTTGTGTGATGTAAATATGCAAAAAAACTCCTGTACGCCTCAAGGCTATGTTGCGGTGCCCTAAGGAGCAGCATAGGAGGTTTGACTGCACAGAGAGTCATGGTTGGTGAAGGAGGCACCACTCAATTTCGGTTGGAAGTGCTAATAATGGTGAGACGGCCAACCAGGCCGGCAGTTCCCAAGCCAGTGAACTGAGAGTAGACTGCTGGATATTGGAATAAATAATTCAGATTGGCGACGTATGCGCATTAGTGTGCGTCTCTCTACGTGCACCCACCGCAGCGCTGTACGTTGTACTTTGGAGTACGACAGATCACGTCAAAGCCTAATTCCTCAAAAAGTAATTCAAAAAAGGTGCTATAACAAACACACTTTAATCTGAAATATTTATTAAATGACTTGGGCGTTACTGGTGCAAGCTAATATGTATATTTTTTATGTCAAAGAAATATCATCGCAATAGTTATTTTAAAAGTGAGGGTGAGTAAAAAGCGACAACTCTAAGCTCTTAGTGCGTACATAAGCTACCAGACTGATGAGTCAAACTGAGCGACAAGCACAGCACTTGCAACTAAATTGGCCTCGGCAGACACTTCAAAACATGCTGACGGAGGCACACCTTGTCTCAATTTTCGACAAAGGTTAGCCTTTTAAGGCTAATGCCATATATGCAGACATACACCCTGCTATTGAAATAAAGCACTATCCAGGGAAGGAATGCGTGGTTTCGCAGACAGTGGAACCGACGCATAAAGGCGTCATGGCGCAATCCAAAGAATCTCCTCGTTTGTTTGCTCTCTAGAAACTCCAACATTCCGTCAGTGGCTGCTATCTGTTTTGCCTCGAGCAATGTCACGCCTCCGGATAAGATTGATGTATCTATATCTAAAACCTAATCACATCGAGCACCAAAAAAGAGACAGGCAATTTCGTGTTCCACGTTAAAATCGTTTGGAATCTTTGTGAATTTAAAAAACAGTAAAATAACCATGAAAATCTAAAAAAAGTGTGAATTGAATTGATATAGATAAAAATACGATCGGTGTACTGCGTTACAAAATGCCAATCCAGATCTGCCGGAAAAAAATTGATAGAATCCCGCCTATGCAACAACAGGAAAATATGAAGACGAGTTACCACCTCAAAGCACAATTTAACAGGACGCCTATCCACTGATTAGAGCAAATGGACTGTCTGCTCGACATTCTATAGACACAATTTTTATCACATGACTAGTTTTATTAGGAAAGTTGTGAAACAATCGGCAGTTTAGATGTCAAAATGCGTAGGTGAGCAAAATCATTTGAAGGGAAGTGGGGGTGTACTAATATTAGAAATTCAAAGTAAAAGCGTATGTGACTGAAGTTAATAAGATTGTACCATGTACGATGGAAATTTACTTAGTATAACAAACTAAAGTATCCAACATTGACACAACTTATCAAAAACTAAAAAGGAAAATAAGAGCAGAGACATAAAATCATTATAATTAATGACTGAGTAGTTGCCATCAGGAAGGCACAAGGACAAATCGCAGTAATGTCCAGGTGAATGTAAGAGAGGGCTGACGGACTCACTTGTGTTGTTTGATGTCCACAATGCCTCCACGGCCATAGCCAAGGCGTTCCACTGGGTTCTGCGCACAGAGTCGATGAATGAGTGCCGTCGCCGTCCGGTTGATTTGGAATGGCGGAAACATGATAGCGTCGATGCCGCGGAGGATGATGTTATATATCTTCATGGGATCCATCCCCGTGAAGGGCGGACTGCAGGACGAATCGCAAAAAAAAAGAACGTCGGAAATTATTTAACGCTATAAGAACCCGTACAAAAGAAAATTTATGCCTCAGAATATGAGCAAATGGGGAGACATGGGGTTGTGCGTTGATAGCAAAGCTACTTTAAGATTCCTATGGCCGATAACGTTTTCATGAATAACACTGGTGCTACATTAAGATACCTCCTTTTGGTCTGACGAACAAGAAAAATATGCTGAATATTTTGTGGTTGAATAAGCTAAAGGTTTAACCTAGAACATAATTGGCAATAGAAACTAATAAAATGCAAGAGATTTACTTGAAAGCGCATGACGGCAAATAAAGCGACAATAGTTTTATCAAATCTAGAAGGTTGGTTTTAATGGCTTAGAGTATTTCAACTTAGAGCATCGTTAGATCGGGACACTATCCTAATCAACTACAAACTCGACTGAGAATGAGCGAATATTATGAATAGAATGGATTGGCCTACACCACACTTTTGACATTCAAATGCGAAATCCAACATCAAATTTCTGGTTCACTCCTTGATTAGAAACAGGGGGTGGAAACATCAACTGAGGTTAGGAAAAACTTCATCTGAAATGTAATTTCGAAAAGGAACTGGGGACACCTTTTACACGGTCAAGTGAGACCCGATAGTTAATCGTTCAGTAAAGTGATTGGCATGAATGTGGCACTTGAAGGTAGAGAAGACAATAAATGATTGGGGCGCCACGCCTCAACTCTAGTTGGTACCATACCATGATTATTAAAACAAACGTCCAAGACAAAATATCGGATGGCTCTTCGTGGAGGCAATTGATAGGAATGCATTAGCGGTTGATATTTCAAAAAGTTGGGGGATCAATTAATCAAACACTTCTGCGGAAATGGATCTACTAACGCTGGACGCAAATTTGATATTCCCACAGTTGGAAAAACACAGCTACCAAATCCCTTGAACAAATTGTACGGAGGAATGTATTTTGCGTCTCCATCGATCAGCCATTACAGAGAGGCAACATTTATTTCGTGTACTATTTGATTATCTTATCAAAGAGGATTATAGTACAACCCCTATAATTTCATAAAAGCTTTTAATCCTAAAAGCGTTTGCTTGCAATCAACTAGATAACTGAGGAGAGAACGCTTCACCTTCCTGTGAGAAGTTCGAACATAAGGATGCCCAGAGACCAGTAGTCGGCGGAGTGATCGTGGCCCTTGTTGAGAATGATTTCGGGAGCGACGTACTCAGGAGTTCCACAGAAGGTCCACGTCTTTTTTCCCGGACTTATTTTCTTGGCAAAACCGAAATCGCACTAGAGGAAATCAACAATATTACAACCAACATCAGTTAGCTGTTATTGAGCTTGATAGAATTCATACAAGAAAATGAGTCCTGTTAAACTCAACACTACAAACTTTGTTACAAATTTTGTTACATTTACTAACAGTTAATGAACACAAGTTAACTTTAAATTTCCGCGTCCGATATTCAGCACTTTGAAATTGACACTTATCAAACAAACTTATCGGAAGTTTCATGATTGTGGTACCCTTAATTTTCAAAAAAAGTTTTGAGCTTTTAAACCGCAAGAGAACGTTAAACACTTATTTACTTTCTCGTTAATCTATTTTTAAAAAAGGTTTTGGAACGTGGAGCGCATTGACAGGGAACGCTGATAGCCACTGAAGACCAGTGGGTTGCACCATAAATTATTCTCGCAGGACTGACTGTCTTGCATAAAAGAATATTGCATAGCAGAAAAATTGAAAGTAATATGCGTTGAAATTTGTTTAATCGTAAGTAATAGTGCATGGATTGTAAATAGAGGATTTGTGTCACCATGATGCAGAAATACTTATAGATCTCCTATACGAGGATTGGTCAGATCTGGTAGAAGAACCACTGATAAAGGAGGGTAGACCGCCGTGAACCGTTGCGGAAACGCGAGCTGCACGCACATGGTCACGCCAAAAACAAGCAGGGGCACGTCCACCCACACCCGGCCTCAGTTTCAATGCCGCAGCAAACCAGTACTTGACAAAGTTTTATTAACTTGAAAAGTCTATAACTAGCTGCTTTCTACCAGACACCCCGAAGTTGGTTGAGGGGGCTACCACTCCGTTTCAATAACCTTTCATGATGAGGCATAAAAGGTGGTTTAGTCATCAATTGGCAAGTGGGGTAACTGAATCATTCCAACTGACATTCTTTAAAAAATACAACAAAGTAAAGGCGCATTTTATATTGCTGAAATATTAAGTTATCCGATGCTTGGACTTTGAAGCAAAACAACTTTTTTGAAAGTGTAGGAAAAGTGCAAGTGGAATCGTCTTGCCTTGTAGTTTTTCTTCATAACTGAATCCCATAAAGTTGGACTAATAAATGTTGCACCTCCTTAAACATCTCCGATGAAATTAAGTCTTTTGAAGGTTTACTTGAAAATGCAATTACGCAGCAAAATATAAATGAAAATTAGTATAGGTTTTACTATGTTTACAAAACACCTACAGGCTGTGTAGCATTATGCAGACGCGCAAAAACTTGGCAACCTGCTCAAATAGCAATGCCCAAACACTAGAATACAACATTTGTTCCCAAAAGAGGGGAGAACAAATGAACACTTTGTGCGCACACTTGATTAGGTCGCTGACTCGTGAGAGTTGGCATTGCCCAAAGCCGAAAAAGGGCGCACAAAAGTAAAGTCGACTCGACATGAGAAAGTCACTGAGCTAAGGGGACTCAGGAGTGACTGCTAGCTATGGGGCGAGGATGGTAAGCAAGAGGAAATTCAGCAGAGATCCAAACCATATTAAAGAACAGGTAAGGGCATGAAGTAGAATTAGGTTTGACACGTTGTTCACCTTTTTAATAATAGCATATCACCTTGTTTATTATCGCCAAATCATATGACCATGGAATCGTTTTTTATTTACGTATTTTCAAAGTCTAAATAGATTTGGAAAACAGAGTAGAAAAAACTAATTTGTGTTAAAGGTATATGCAATGAAAATAATTTCACTCGTGGGAGTCACGCATAATTCCAAAACAACCAAAAATTAATCATTTTCGGAAATAGTGTCTTGAAGTCTGCAAATAAGGCTATCAAGGCTGTTTTTGCCCACTCTTAAGGAGAACCAATGGGAAGGTGCGGAGAGCTTACCAGTTTTATGTAACCTCGTCCGTCAAGAAGGAGGTTTTCCGGTTTCAGATCGCGGTAGATGATGTGATTAGTGTGGAGGTATGTGAAGGCTTCCAGCACACTTGCCACGATAAACCGAGTGATGTTATCGTCAAAGTTTCCACTAAAAGGCAAGTAACATGCAACCGCATCATCACGAAAAGACAACGCCACAGCCTCAATTTTCAATCCACAGACAAACACAAATCCCTCCAGAGGCCTTTACGGTGCAGAGGAATAGCGTAGAGCCATAGCATATCAGCCTCTCGCACCTAAATTTATTTATGCGGCAGATACAGGCTTAAGGTGGCGTACTTTGTTGTGGGGAGTATGACGCAGTAGTGGCCGCTTTGGACCTCAAAAAATGGAACAATTGCAGAGTTGCACAAGTACCACACAACAAATGAGTCACTTTGAGGCTATCCACAGTGCTTATGCTAATGTGATCCGATTGTGAGTTTCGTGCACCAAATATTCCTGCCTCACATGCCGTACAAAAATTTGCAATATTCTAGATGGATGATCTTTCCCACAAAGTGATATCACTATCGTTGGGGCAGTGGAATCGCATTGGAGTCCAATGGACAAGCTTTTCATGCTGTCGACTTTCGGACCTCATAATGTGGTTCCGCTCAAAGCTGCCCAATTTGTATGACAAGCATTTTGTGCTGTTTGAGGGGAAATTATCGAGAAACAGGATGATCGCTTGATTGGCTGAACTGGTGAGAGAACAAACGCACAGCAGTATGTTGTTGGGGTAAAAAAGATTGCTCACCGATTGCGAAGTATTGTCCATATCTCACCACCAAGACAGGCCTCCAAAAGCATATAGACATACTTGGCGTCTCGATAAGTAGCGTACAAGCTGAAAGTAAAGAAACGGTTTCAGTTTTTGACACTTTCAATTTTAGAATAATTTTGCCACACTTTCTGTGAGCGACACTGATGAAACTCGATGAGTTAAAATGCTTTTATTATGTGCCTACTAATGATTAAAGTGGTTAGACCGATTTTACGCAAAGGTATAGCTGAGGTTTAATGCGATATTTTCCACTGAAACTCGACTAGAAGGCAATTAGAATACAAAATGACAGCTCTGTTTTGCAGTAAAAGTCCCACTTGGCTGGTACTGGAGCGAAGAGCACATACACATACCAATCATCGCAACACACACACACACACACACACACAAGGCAGACAAAACTTTTTCCGACGATTATGCCAAAAATTCCACAGCCCGACCACGTACAGCTGCGCTTTGGAATAAAGAGGCATAAAATAATAGATAAACAACAACAGCTAATGAGTACAAGTTGGGCAACTGAAGGCTAACTTGTTGTGAATAGTTAAAGTTCTACGACTTTCAAGAAATGAGAATTCCGGAGTAAAAGGGAGGGGGCAGCATGTCATAGTCAGTGATCAAAAGCACTGTTTGCATTGTTTTAATTTGAAAAATAATTAAAAATACAGGCAGATTATCATGCTAATAACTTCCGAAAATGTAGCTTACGACCGGAAAGGCGTTTTATGACTTCCAAATCGCTAAGGGTTGGCAGTAATTATAAAGTAAAGCATCCCTGATCAAATACATAGAGCCAATACACTAGTCGTTGAAGATGGCACTTATATGGGAAGTTTCGATGTGTCAGTCAGCAGACATACACATCAATCTGACATATCTGTAAAAATAAAACTATCAATTTAATAACCTTCGAATTTTACACGGGAGATGGTAAAAATCTCAAATACGACGCCAAATTTTAAGAAAAATCCACTTTGGAATAAAACGCTAGACGTTGAAATCGCAAACCACTCCGTCATCATGCCAATCGTTGAGGCCTTTGGAAGTATCAAATGAGTTTTTTTAGCCCTTTAAGGTATTTAGATTAGCCTCTTTTTTGGAAAAAATTAGGAAAAAGTAACTGACAAAAGCGTATTAACATAGAATGACTTTACATAAGTCTCCATTTCTACAAGGTATAAAATAAGGCGGAATTTCACAAAATTCGCAAATAATGGATAAATTTGTGATCTAAGGGTAAGGTTCTGTAAAGCCCCTGTAAACTCACCGACAAACAAAAGAGGACTTAATTTCAAACATGAGATTCCTTTCAGAGAAGATGTGCTTCTCCTGTCGAGTATCCACAATGTGCTTCTTTTTCATGCACTTCAAGGCAAACGACTTCGTCGGATCGTACCTTAAAACCACCTAGAAAACGAGAACAAGAAGTTGGGATTTTATTTAGATTTGATAGAGTTTAGATGGGACAAATACGTGGTGAATGCCTAGCACAAGGCATTAGTGACTTATTACCCACTGAAGGAGCATCTTTGCCTATTTGTAGATCAAATTCTTCCTTTTTTACGTATGACCAATCTGATACTATTATGTAACAATCGGATTATGTTAAAACTCCAGTAATCCATTGAATTGGCGCAGGTATTTAAGAAACCTGTTCTATCCTCGTTCTCAATTCCATTCTTTGGGCTCAAGCGCATGGATCAAAGACGCATCTTTATAATACAAAGCTTGCGTTTGCTATCAACAAAGGCCTTTATTCAAGGATATTTCATTACGATATATGCACGAAGGATGACGTTTTGGGGTTTAGTTGTAGAGACTAACAAAATTTGGGGTAACGGGTGCATTTAGCCGCGAAAATCATGGCAAAATTATATATCCCATGTACTTTGGTACTAAAAACATGACCTAGAAATAGCTTAACGCAAGTACTTTACACTTCGTGTGCACCAGGACACCACGAGGTGAGGAAGTGGAGGACGATATCACATCTACCGTAAGTAAGGCAATTCGACACATTTTCATGACTACATTTCAATTTTAATGTCAAAACAACTTTCAGGTCACTGGACCCTTAACTCATACTTGGGTCACTTTGCTTCCATAATAAAGTTTTTTTGCCAGCAACCACCCTTTCGGCATGATTGGAACAATTCCAATAATCGCCATTCTAGATATGTTGCTAAAATTTTTTCCAACAATTGAAAGCACTTTTGTGTGTACTTTTAAATTCCACTTTGTTTCATCATGGATCGATTCACCTATCCAGTGTTTGAGGAAGATGCACTTCAAACCACTTTCAACGTTGTAGAGTTAATTCTACAATTGGTGATGTTTTTGAATGATTCATGATCAATTTTCTTGTAACTAACAAACCGTTAAAAAGACTATGACAATAGGTTACTTTATAATCATTTAGCAAGCAACAACATTATGGCCATTTACCAATTAAACTTTTTTTTACAGTTTACAAGATCATTATTCATTTTGAAAGCAGATGAGTGTGCTTGTTCATGGGGACAAAAGTGACCAAGATAAATATTGATAAGTTGAAACAGCAACTCCACATCACCGGACTATTTATAATGTCCATTAAATGAGTACAATTTTAATAGCAATAAATTTAGGTTCAGTACGTTTATTTACTTAGGGACGAAAATAACTACCCCTGAGGAAATGAAGTAGCTAACTTTTATAGAAATACAGCGAATCCCATTGCCCCTTTCAGTAATAATTAGGAGTCAATCTTCCTCCAGTAATAAGATAAATTGCCAATATGGGAGTGCGAAAAACACTGAAATGCTCATTCTAGACGCAACCTTACTGCACACGGATTATCGCCCAGATCTGGCTCAGCTACCAATGTATGAGTGCAGTGCCTCATAAACTCACCAGTTCGACACGTCCGAAGCCGCCGATACCGAGAATGGCCACAGGGACGAGGTCCTCATACTTGATGTTCTCCCGCGTAGCGGAGGCGCGGGCGTTGCCGACGCCCGTGTCTCTCTCCGCCAATGCACTGGAGCCACGCTTTGAGGGTGCATGGGGCACGGTGGAGAAGAAGGGCGAGAGATTCGTGACCCCCGACCCCCCTGCTCCTCCTACTGCACTCTCCTCCGTCGACAACTGCGAGGTCATTGACGCACGCTTTTCCCCCGAACTGAAGGAGTCCTCCACGTCTGTGGCCGGCGATTGACTAGCAAGAGGAAAGCAGACATTTTTAGACCATGTTGATTGTATATTCCCCAATCATGCAATTGTACACTTGTTTTCACGAAAACGACAACTTTCAATTAAGTTGGTAGGTCTTAACAGCAACAATTTCTACAATCTGTTATATTTTAACCAGCAATCTATTACCATAATGATTTAATGATAGCTGAACGCTTTCATTAAACAATTAAACATCATGTGGCTATATTTTGGCAAAAACCATGTGTATATACGAAATATGTCAGTGCCATTCTGAGTAGAAGGAGGGAATCCTACGAAACGATGGTTTTGTACTTTTATTGTTCGCTACTGTCGGCGAAATTCCATTAGGCGTAATCGTCCCAATGGCTTTGGACTCGATGAAAAAAGAATGGCAGTCAAGAGTAGCAATTTTAACGTAGCCAAAAACGAAATAAATGAAGACAGGGAGTAAAGAAAATTGAGAGACCACACACACACGTACACACCACATTTGACGTTTAAAGTGTGTTGTGAGGAAGAGGTCACGAGTTACACCTCCCCGGCACCCTCACTGTAATGCCTCCCAAGGCAAAGCCTCTGATCGCCTAGAAATAATAACTTTTCCTGATAATATATGCAGTTTATTAAATGGACTGAAGATATGGACACAATCGGTCGCAGAATTACACAGCTTCACATCCAAGACAACGAAACGTAAGCATGCTAAATGAAAGTTATTGGTTTGGTGAATATTCTTCGTTAGCACCTGTAACATCTAACACTTCCAGGGTGTCTTCACCTAACTTCATAAAAGTAGGTCTGGGGCAAGAATAAACTTGCGTGGTGCCTACAGCGCGGCATCACAGGCGAATATTTGACTGAAGCTCCGTACCATTACTTTGAAGGAGTAGATTACAAGAAAATGAGTTGGATTGCTAAATATCGGTTAACCTACTTTACTCCTGGATATCATTAATTACTTCGCTTAACGAAACTACTATGACATATTAACTGATGGTTGTTAAATAAATGGGCTAGAATTTTGCCTGTAAAACCGTTAAATTTTTGACAGTGGAACTGAAACATCGAAGATGCGTGGCGTTTCAAGTCGCACAAAACAAGAGTAAAGACCAACCAGCCTATACTCGAATAAGAAGCAATGAAAAAAGTTCCCGTTCATGACTTTTAAATAATGTCAATTCAAAAAACGACTGAGCACACACGAAACGTCTGAACCGGACTTAATCCAGAGGCCTAAAAGAGTTCCCGCAGACCCAGCGTTAATCTCTCCAAAGAATTGAAAGCGACACTTATTGGCAGGACTATAAGAGATGCTGATGGAGGTTACGCCTTAGGATGAAATGATTACTGATACTCATAGCTTCATGCACAAATGAAATTGCAAATATTTCATCAAGCTAAAGTACAATATCACACAAATGAAACGTAAAATTTAGGCAAACGCATCCAAACAACCAATTCAATAGCTTTCATTTTACCAAGGATTAAAGCATCCTACTGTGGAAAGATAAAGACAACGTAAGTGAGCGCAGATTGACATCTTCAAATGCGTAGTATGAGCCAATGTAATACACACTTAAGTGATGCTTATGCGAGGGAAAATGAGAAGTTAGGGTACTTATAAGTTTAAAAAAAGGGGTAAGCCTAGGAGTACGTAAAAATCAGCTGAAGGACCTTGAAAGGTTCTATAAAAGGCAGAAAATAAATGAACAACTCACCTAAGAAGACTTTGATTGGAATCGCCGTATTCGCGAGATTTGATTTCATTCAAGTCCCCAATAAGATGAATGAAATTGCTAAAAAATTAAGTATTAATGCGAATAGTTAATGTAGGTAGGAAGCCCAGTAGTTAAGCTGGCTAAGGACAATTTTCACAAAGCAAATGAAGTTATCTATTATTTAGTCATAGTAACTACATACGAGTCGCTAGAAGGAGGGGCTTTGAAAAGTGCTACTGGCCAGCTGCCATTAAGATGAAGGCTGACTACCTCGGGGAGTATCAAAAAGCCTGACATTTGTACGGGTGGCGCACTCCTTGTCAAACAATAACTTGTTTACCTTGGCCTTTTTTGCACGTATAGTGAACGACCCAACGAGTGCTGTATACGTCGTGCGTGGCTTGTAGGATTAGAGACTAGGCGCAGTTATTATCAGGGTGGGTTAAAAAGGATAATGCTCTTAAGGCGTAAGAGGTAGGATGAAGCCGGATCTTATCTAACGAACTAAAGAACTCAAGTGATCGACTCCTGAGGCCGATTTCTAGAAAATTGCGTCTGTTAGCACCATCAATAATAGTTATCAAGATTCTAATCAATGAGAGTAAACATTTTTCTAGTTTAACATTTGAAAATCAAATGCATTCTATCAGACCTGGGGATAAAAAATGGTCCAGGTAAGTAAGAGGGCGTTCAAACATTAAATCATGCAAATCCGCTTAGTCGAACTGATAACACTGAAAGAGAACAAGTGGTGTTTAAAAGAAACGGACCGTTAATTTACTCTACTGTAGAGGAGAATAATGTAGAGGGTGCATTATTTCGAAGAAAAGGACCCACCTCCGATCGAGACAGAGAACGTGGACACCAGGAGGCATGGCGACAACATTTGCACTCCGTTTATCTCGTCTACAATGAGAAAATTTTAATTCGATGACTTCTCCTATAAAAGTTGCAGCATCTTCTGCCTTTTAGTTCTTACAATCCAGTGAATATGACAGAAAATATGGGGCGTTTCAAAGGCCATTCTCCGCACCACCGAATGCACACTTAAGAGTTCGTCTTTATGAATTTTGGGCTAGTAAACTCTTGTAGTGGTACTAAAAATAAGGGAACACGCAACAGTTGTAAATAGAATTAATGTTAAAAATAGCAAAATAAACAATGAAAGTTGAAACAGGGATAATACTAAACATTTACTTGATCAAACAGGAATTAGGAATTGAGAGAACAGACGCCAGTGTATTTGGAGAAGGCGTTTAAAAGAGGTGGTGGAGGGTGACAACTCACGTGTAGAGCGCGCGTTCACCAAACCAGTCGCCGGCCCCAAGAAAACGAATATCTTGTGGCGGTTCGCCTGGTACTTTCGACTGAGTGATTTTTACCTGAAAGGCACCAGAAATGGGGCAGAGAGGGAGATAGTTTATAGTTATAGTTGCCTAAAAAATACAATCGGTGTGGCTGAATGCCTCAAGTTCGGGTCAAAAGCTGGATGGAAACGCCACTTATAAGGAGTTACGTGAAATGAATGAAAAACGAATAAAATCAACGTCCGTAACACAAGCTAAGAGAGAGATTGCAATAAGGTAAGGGATTTCCAGTAAATAGTTTTCAAGGATGGTTATCACCAAGTGTCCAAGTTTTGAATATCTCGATGCTCTGAGTTGACTTAGAAGCAAAATCAAGAAGCTATCTTTATTCCACAAAGCACGGCAATTTTTGTTGGTAAGACTTAGGTTCAGATGCAAAACTGCACAAATGCATGTGTAAATGTCGGAGATGTGGCGTATTTATAAACTTTGACAGTGTAAAGCACCGTTGATGGTAGAAAGGCATACACAATCCAGACGATATTTAAGCTTGAATGCGAATTCCAACCTTTTCTCAAGCACAAGGTTCGCGCAAATTCACTGATGCTATACACGCTTATTGTTTAGTGAGGAACTACGAAAAACGCTGCAGTTGATTGATGGATAGGGTGAGAACCAGGAAGTACCTTTCATTTAACGTGATCAATGATCCTTGAGGAAACAATTTATTCAGCGTCAATTTTTCTGAAGCTAGCAACTTTTCTACCATGAGTTACAAAAACCGAATTAGACGCAGGATAGTAATCCAAAAATAAAACGACGTTTTTGCAGAACTTTAACACCCCACGGTGGATGGGTGTCATCTGACGGATCAGCACAGGCAAATGCTACAGGTGTTACAGTTTGTCAAGCAAAAGTGCGCTGTTCATGCATTTTTTACTAAAAAGTGTTGTCCCAGTCTTTGTATAACAAATAACGGTCTTACAAGGCGAAAGTTAATTACTTTTTTGGGATAAAGGCGTTTCAAAAATGCTAATAGCACATGTATTAGGGTGGCTTTTTTAATTATGGTTGGAACAAAGGGAGCATTTGGGTGAGAATGAAACGCCTCAAAAGGAACTGAGGAAGGCGTATAAAGGGGATAAAAAATGGTTGGGAGCGCGTACCTGACCGGAGTGAATGATGAAGAAGGTCTCACCAACCTCGCCCTGACGAATGATGTACTCGTTACCCGGGTAGTAAATCTAAAACAGCACGTGGCCACTTTAAACACCTTGGAAATATAAAATATACAACATGTATTTGATGAGGGTGACATCATATTTCGATAGTACTAAAGCGTCGTACTATCTGTGAAAAAAAAATAACATTGTAAAAATGAATGCAATCGTACTTACCAGTTCCAGAACGTCTGCCAACTTATGGAGCTTTCTTTGTGATAGGTTCTTAAAGTCTGATACACTAAATAAAGTGGGAAACAGGAAGGGACAAATTCTTAGAGAGTATAAAGCTTACGCGATTGATAAATGGCATTCCTAAATCTAAGTACAATGACGATCTCCTCAAAAAGTATCACAAGCTTCATTAATCGGTTTAGCTAAAATGTCCGATCATGTGCGATCAAACGAAATAACTACTTAAACAGCTCGAAAAGTACTTGCTGACACAATGCTGCTCGCAATAAACACAGACAATCCAAAGAAGAAATTCCATCTTCCAGGCGGACAGTTACAGCAAGCTGCGTCAACACTTTGAATTTTACTAACCTCAAAAGGAATTGGAAGTTTTCCTTATGCTTGTGAACAGAGGAATTCATCATTATCTGTTGGTAGACTCTTCGGTCAAGCGTCCAGAACTTGGCGTTCGTAAGGGCTAGAAAATTAAGAAACCCATAAGTTACCAACGAGAAATGATGTAAATATTGATTGTTTGGATAATATGTCCTCCACCGATACCGACATCTTTGTAACTTAAAATAATAATGGTCACATTTTGAGGAGCAAGAGCTTAGTAATTGCATGAATGTGCTATCTGGAAAATGATTACAGAGACTGTTTCCAAAATGGCATTCAAAATATTCAGCGCAAATGATGCCTATCCGAATGGCGGTATCGTCGGCGCTTGCGAATGGCCCTTTGATAAATGCTTAAGGCAAAGCAGCCACTACAATGCTGGCACATCAGAGGCCACGGCCAAATGTAAAACCTCATTGCGGTTCAAAGCACCATGATAAAAGTAATACCAACATTCAACCCACATAATGTCTTTCATTAATGTTTAGCTGCAAAAGGCATTGCTTTTAAACTCGAATACAAGCCATTAAAATGACAGTACAATAACTACAGCACAATGATTTGTTAAAGTGATTCAAAACGACTTCAGAGCCGAATGATGGCTCGCTCTCACGATCCACCGAAGAGTAAAACATTGTGTCTAAGTTTTATTATACAGATCATTTGTTCAGGTGAGGTGCAGTCGCTAGAACCACAATGGCGTTGTCAATCTTCAAGAGGTCTCGTTACCTAAACTTCTCGTATGCTTCCTTGTACATTTAGCTAAGGGAATTTTTGCTCAACCGTGAAAACATTTTTAACAAATCAAAATATGGTAGTGGCTTCATGAAATTACGTACAAAATGCTGGAGTGAACTAATGACAACCCGCAAGAACCATAATCCTAACTGCATTCACGCTAACAGGTTAACTGTGAATACTGAGGTCTACCTTTGACCGAGGCGGTTCGGTTACAGTTATAGAGGAGGGCCATTTCACCGAAGGCGCGACCCACCTCCATTTGTCCAATAACCTGATTGCCTTTCAGCACTTCTAGTAGGCCTTCTGCAACATAAAAAATAATTCTCTAGCAAACGCCGTTTGGGAAACAAAAGGCATCAGTGAATCGCTTTAATCCTCTCCAAAAGATAACGAATAGCTTAAAATAGCACGATAAGTTTTGTATAAATTGGCCCAGAAATTAGCATAGACAGGAGAGAAGAAAGACCAAGTCTTGAGGCAATTTACACCAATTTTTTAATCAAATATTTAAATTACGATTTGAGGGAGTACTATAATGTGAAGGAAGTTAAGATTACACTTTCCCACGTACTCCCCTGCAGTAGTTCTTGGCATCGGAACTACGCGGTTTAAGCGGTCATTCAAGTCTACTCAGGCGATACAAATTCCACCTGACAAGTGCCATCACCTCAGATACAGAATAGGCGGAGAATAAGTTTTAATAATAACCCAGCATATCTTAAGGGAGACAACTCCATCTACATGAAGGTGAAATACTTGAGAATTATAATAGACGACTGAAAATAGAGCCGTTTTACTGGGTGCTTCAGACCAAGGTGCGAATTTACATCTCATTTTTAAGCAAAATGCGGCGGCAAAAGGTGTGAACGGTTGCCTCCTTCAAGGCCGCCTTGTTTTGGGGGGGACCTACCATACGTGTCTGCCAAATTCCCGAATGAAGCACCCGCTAGCATTTGGAAGGCGAGCAACAGTGACTTTATTCACTAAACGTGACAAATTAACACAAGTTTTGTGTTTTTGAAGCGACAAGTGGGAAACGCCGTTTGGTGTTGCCTATTAGTGGCAACAATTGCATTGCCCTTGGTGAGTACATCTATCTCGAAAAAACTTTCACGGATTGATATCAAAATTCTCACTTTTAGATTGAATTAATAGTTTTGAGGGAACTTAAATTCGTCATTTTGAAGAGGTAAGCCGTGTTCAGAGCAACGATATTAAAATAGCAATTTAAAAGTTTGAGCCAAAATTTGTCCACCTTAGCCAAAAAGTTTTGTATTTAGTCCTGTTTCTTTTAAGAAAAAAAAACACCCCGGAATGGCAGAACCTATTTTTCCCACAAAAGCTTGATTTGTCGTGATTTATCAAACCCAACTTGACTCGGAGATGAGGCTGTCAAAACAGCCTAATTGATGGTCTCAAGGAATGCAAAAAATTGTGGACTGACAAGATATTCAGAAAAGTTTCCCTTTTAAACTAACAACCGCCTCTGCAGAAATGGTAAGGTCGTGAGTTCGCACACAAAGAAGTTGTCCATGCATCAACGAAGGAAGTATAGCCCATTTGGACATCAATTTAAACAAGGTTGGACTAGACAGTTGGGAGTGGAGATCGAAACAGCCACAGAATATGCGCCGGATAGCAGTTATCCGAGCGGACAGTGAAATTTTCCCAAGAGGATCGATGCGAAAGCGTTTTGACAGCACACTCAGGATACCTACCCCGAAGAACCGAGAGATAAAAATGGAAAATTATCCGTAATGAATGGCTAGCGCGATGGTGGCGTTATCAATCGGGCTGGAAAACGGTCACCAGCCTCTTACGCATCGGTGCACACAAGTCTGGAAATCGTTGCATTTCCATTCCATGTTTACTGACGTGGTGGGCACAGTTGAGCACCCATTGCATATACTAAAAGCGACATTTGTTATGAATGTTTCAGCCAGACAAAAGATATTGTTTATTAAAGTGTTCCAAGCACTGATCGCCCTAACGCGACTGTGCATAAAATAGTGAAACGGGCACATTAAAATTACTCAGCTTATCCATATACTACAAGAACTCAAAATTGGTATTAATTCCTGAACTATTGTTTCAAAATCTGCTTTACCCGTTTTAAAGACCTATATCGCAAAGTAAATGTACTTTGACAAATTACATTCACGATCATTCCACTGGTGTTGATTTTTTGGCAGTGAAGCCTTTTTAAGGACAATTTTCAGGGCTAATTCACAAATCAAGGTACTGCAGAAGGTTTCAAATCTTCAACACCATTGGAAGAAATAGCTCATTGAAGGACAGCATAAACGCGTTCTTCGTTAAGAAAAACACAAAGGAATGATAACCAGGCCTAGACTTCTTGTTATGCCCATGATACACGAAGAAGCGTAGACTTTTCATACGACAAGGGCATTTACGTGGAGGCTAGCCAGTTCCCATTCATTGGAATTTTCCAACGCCATAGATAAGGCAAAAGTGGAACATCGAAGGGGTTTGGAACTTGGTGTTCAATACAAAAGCCTGTTCTTCTTGTAGCGTGAAGAACATTTGGAAAGGTAATGCAAGCCTTCAACATATCGTTGAGGTGCCATAAGTAACCGTTACTAAGACTGTAAAGCTGGTGCTTCAAATCGTAATTTTTAAGGAGAACTTTCACCGTTGCCCCTTCGAAAGTCGACAAGCATAATACACAAACGGGAAATCGGGGTAACTCGAGGGTTATGAATGGGATTAATGATCTGCTAAAGGCAGGATGACGTTGCAGCTGCAAACAAGGTACAGCGGAAGCGGTTCATTCACACCCGAATAGGAGTGCTTTACTTTTTCTAAGTCAATTGACTTTCATTGGGTTGAAAAGGATGTTTTATCTAGGATATCATTGCTGCAAAAAGATGAAATCAAAAATATGCCGTTTCCACTTGATACAAAAGGAACATAAGAATAATGAAGAATGCCCCACTAACGAACGACAACCTAGTGGTCATCCACCTTAGCACGTTAAAGGTGGACGCCTCAAATCTGAAATTCTGTAGGCAATACATACAGGTAAAAATTCCGAGTTACCTTTGGATGTATTTCAAGTAATTGTGAAAGATAAACCGTTAGATTGACTGGAAAGATTTTGGTTTTTCGAAAGAGGAAGGTGAGTTAAGGTCGTTTAAGTGCGGTTACTTCAAATGGACATTTCCTATAACAACGTTATGGATTAACAGTGATTCCAAAAATGTTTTTTTTTGAGTTAAAAAAGCAACTCATCATGTTTTTAAATATTGTTTTTCATCGATATGCGCGTTACTGGAATATGGTTAGTCTAAAAACGGTCCAACTTGCGGTAGGCGGTGTGCGAGTAGCAAGGAAGGGTGGAAGGGAGAAACGGACCTGCAGTGACGTAGAGCGCATCACCCGGCTCCCCTTCGCGGATTATGAAGCAGCCCTTGTTGACGCGCTTCTCGTACATGCAGAGGACAATCTCCTCGATCTGGCTCTGCTCCAGGTTGTTGAGGAAATCGTTGCTGGTAATCGCGTTGTAAATCAACGACCGTGAGCTACAAAGGACCACCGCATGCAAAATAAAATGGCTTGGTGTTGGCACTGATAAATAACTATCCCTACCCATGAAGGGGTGTATTGCGTAGTTGTACAACAAGTCCGACACTCTCCCGCTTTATAAAGTCAATAACAATCTTTAATGGCAGGTCATTGGGTCAGAGGAATGCCTAATGAGTAGAGCTCAACTATGACGCCTCACTAACTCGGAAATCCTGTGTCAGGGGCCTCTGAACTCATACTGGAAGTTAGGATGGATATATTGCAGGTGGGAATATGAAAAAAAGTTTTACAACACTTTTAAATTCAGTTAACAAGGCACGAAAAATAAAATACTTATTTTAAATTGGTAGTTTTGGGGTAGAATATCCCCGTATGATGTCGGGTAAATATTGCGCGGTCTTAACAATAAGCACTCAATGTCATAAAAACATATGGCTACTGCATGAAGGCTTTTCTACCACATTGCGGCAATATGCCTGTTTACCCCTACTCAGGGCTATTTGTCCTGCTACCACGAATTAGAGGCCATTAGTCTTATTAGTGGGAGGCATTCCGGAATCCTATTTAATCCTTTATGCAATGAACGTTTTTAGGTAAGTAATCTGAGAAAAAAATGCCTGCAGGTATGCACTTACACAACACTTTGATGTGATACAGGAGAAAATTTAAAAGCGAAAAGAGAAACCTTAAGTGAAACACTGAAGAGGGAGCTTTACTTTCTGAGGTCTGCTTAGGCGCTTTAGTATAATGAATGTTTTATTTTAATGGACAGAACTTCAAAAGCAGGAGACAAAGCTTCACCCTAATTCCCCTGATGACATTTCTCATGTAATTGTCTCTTGGTAATGGGCAATTGCATGCGAAATAAGGTAGGCAGTTGGGAAATAAAAGTGAGATGGAAGCAGAGATGGCTAGAGCCATCTTTTCTGCTTCGAAGGACAGTGTTTTATAAAAGTGGAATTTGCATGCTAATACTTAGTAAAAGGATTGTAGACCATACTAGTGATGAGTTAAACGAATAAAATACTTTACAAAGCTTTCTGGGGTTATATTTTCATTACTAGGGTAAAACGCACAAACTCACTTGATCACCTTATCCCAGACAAAAAACCACGATTTTACTAAATTAGGCAATCTTAAAGTCACAAACGGTAATGACTGATGAGATAAATAAATTTGTGACCATGAAATGCGTAATCGGCACTACTTTCCTAAATATTCAGGGGATGCAATTGTCGGTGAGGCATATGTGGAAGAGCCCCACATGGAGCCAATTTGTTACCCCTCAGCAGCCTCCTCGTGAGCAGTCATTTGGTTTCACCACGCCGTGATTAAAAGTGAAGCGAGTGTTGAAAAAACCCAGCCCCATGGCAAGGCACATTCGCGTACTTTGTGTGTGAGAGAGAAGAATTTCGTGCTGCGTGAGCCTACCAGGGCGTTGACGAGGTAAATGTCCCCACGAGTCGCGCACTTTTAGGTAATGAAGCACAAAGGAAAGTGGAAAGGGCCACGTCTCGAGTGTACCTTCCACGAGGAGTGGAATCGGACGGTATAGGGTCGCGGGCTCATACCTGTTCATCTCACAGTCAGTAAAAAGTTACCTGGAAGACAGCCCCTCAAGTGCCTAAACACGGCCCGATTTGTGTTAGATAGTGTTTATCTCCCTTCAAGAATGTGGATACCCAGACCTAAACGTCTGTCAACGCATCGCACATTCCAAATGATCAGAGAGACTCATTGTTAAAAAAAATATTACAGGTTTAGATACCTTTTGCCGCAGTGAATCCTAGAACCCTCAAGATCTGCTGAAGGTGAACACATGGCGGGGTAGATTTTTGAGAATGGCCAATATAAACATACGCACACACACACGCATACACATTTGATGACGTTTGCACCCGAGCTACCCACACTCAGATGCGCTATAAAAGGCTACACCAACATACTCAACGCAATGGAGCAAAACAAAACGTGGAGGTCTGTTGGGTCGCTATTCACGAAAGATTTCAGTAAAGGTGTACATATGGCAGGTGCTCCACCAAAACGCTTTACAAAGCGGACAATTTCCACAGGTGACTACATACCACAAAATTAAAAGTCAACTGAACGATTTCCTATGTAAAATACGGAAAAGAAAGTGGGCTCGGCTAAATTTTATTACTATTAACTCAAAGGCAATAAAGTGTCGGGGAAGTAGACATGAAGATGTTTTACAAGTCAATTAGACCAGATAGCAGTCATAAATTTTCCTACTAATAGAGAGTGGATATCATGAAACAAAGTGGTCGACGGAAACGCTGGACTGATCCATCACATCACGGCTCAAACGCCGAACTGAGGGTAATTTATTTGCACACAGGGATCAGTGTGATGTGGCTATTCCCTTGTGCATCCTGGAGACAAGTCGAGGTAACGACAAGAGACTCGTTGCAACACTTTTTAAACGTGTGCCAAAATTAAAATTGACACTCCCCTTAAGCACATTTGATTTATACACCAAACAGAACTAAGTAAAATATTGTATCGTGCGACGTCAGTCAAGCAATGGAAAAAATGAGACTTTCATGGGGAAAATACATTTTGCAATGAGATGTTCCCATTTGGGACTTTTAACACATTCACACCGATTGATGAGTTACTTTAAATGGCTGAAAAAAGGAAGTATTTTGCATAATCACTGCTAGCTGTAAACCCAGTTTGTAACTCATCTTACGCGCAGATTGCTTTTAACACCTCGTAGGATGGAAGGATTTTTCGTACCAAGGTTTCGGGATTAATTTTAATAAAGGGATGTTTAAAGATTTAGTATAAAGTCCACTAACTTATGGTCCTTCTCATAATGAATGAATCCGATGTTGGCATTGCGCGAAACGCTCTCCCCGCACACGCCCTGCTTCTTAATGCGTGCGGGGGGCATGGTAGTGGGCTGGGATGAGGACATCATGTGAAGGGGTGCCACACCGCCCTCCCCGTACTCCATGCCCTCCTCGACCGCGCTCACGCCCGCCGAGGTGTTGGCAACATTATTGTTACTGCTACTGCTACTGCTGTGATTGGTGCCGTTTACAGCCACCATCGGGATGTACTTTTGGTCAAGCACCGACTTTAGCTGATCCACATCTCGATCGCGGTCGCCTACTATGCGACGCAGACTTTCGACCTCGCCTGTCAGACGGGCGATCTGGGTGTTGCGTAGAGCGATCTCCTCCCGTAAATGAGCCACTAGGCTCTGGACGCCCTCCACCGACTGCAGCTGACCGTCGATGAGGATGCAGTCTGAGGAATTGATAGCGGAATACGAGGGTTGAAGGACGGTGGCCAGGGTAGTGGTGGTGGTGGCGGTGGTGCTGGAGGCCGCAGTGTTCTGGTGGGGTGGGACGGGAGGGGGCGTCTTGTAGTCGTCCACTGAAGGCCGCAGGTTGAGGGGAAGAACGGGCTGAGCAAATAAGTGGGCTGAGGAGGTCGCATTCAGGAGGTTGGGTGAGGAGTCGACTGGAGGTGATGAGGGTGATTGGGGGTGCCGGTCAAGCACGGCTAGAGCTTGATTGTCGAAGCTGTTGTGCGAAGCCATTATTATTTGAGCCGTGGGAAGAGGAGCGAATGGCAAATTATACACCCATCCTAGATACCAGGTAGCACCAGAGCCACCCCGACGAAGACATGAACACGCGAAGCGGAATGACGAATTGATTTACAGTGGCGCGTATGCTGGTGAAAACCCACGACTTCGTCTCCACCTATCAGATACAAGGCCCGTTCTGATTGGCTTGGAGGGTTTAAGTGGTCTGCAGACATTCGCCGGCGCGTGTACGAGTGCACATGGAATGGCGAGGCGAGGTGTCTGTGCACCAGGCGAGGCGCTTTCTACGCCTGCTTCGCCTATCGACGTCAGTGCCGCGGCGATTATCGTGACCACGCCATACCCTCTGTGAGCGCGTGACCACTTTGCTATACATCGAAGGGGCCACATGAACTACTGTTAATATAGCTTTGTCCTCTTAACCCAGAACTCAAGTCCTTTTGTTTCAAATAGGTGGCCGTTCAACTGAAATATCCACACTAGCCGTTTTAGCTTAAGTAAGTCATTTCTTAGCATAGTTCATATTATTTGCTTAAGGTTGTGGAGTCTTTATCAGCATTATAGCCCATTTTATTTGCTTTGTAGATCTTTGATCAAATGTGAGAATTTCCAGTTTGTGTCATTTCTATTTTTACGACGCGACTCTTGAAGTCATTCTACGCTTAGCAGAAAACATCTACTTGCTTGGATGAATCTTGAACAGGAAGCTAATGCGCTGGTACGTGGATGAATCGTAAACAGAAACAATTCTGTTAACCGGTGACAAAAAAAAAAATCCCTGGCATCTCTGCGTGATCTAGAAGCACTTCGTAATGTCTCTTCGAATACGCGCCAATCGGTTCAAACATAAACGCTCTCATCCTATCAACACTACAAAAGATCCGGCTCCATGCATGGTATCGAGCACCCTTAGAGGTGGGATACCTAAAGGCATGGTTTTAACCAACGTGTTCACACAGGAGATGGAATTGAGTAAACAACAAAGTTTAAAGTACATTGTAGAGGATTGGACGAATTGACAGAGTCAGTAGTTGTCGCAAGCTTCGCACCGGTTTCTAATTAACTTTGTAGTCGCGACCATTTGATGAGAATAGAGAACAATCGTAAGCAGACGAGCATGTGGGACGCACTTTTGCTTTGAAAAGCTTTAGGATGGAATACAAATCTGTTCGGGAATTCACCTACGCACCAGTCGATTTCCTAAGTCTTCCACAAAGCATTCTTGACTATTTTAACGTGCTGAAGCCTGCTTTTGAAACATAATACCAGGAGCAATGGTATAAATGGCAAATTGGCGTTCCCCTGGAATATAGTGACGTTAGGTTTAGCTCTATCCACATAATTTCTCTCCAATATCATACCTCTACTTTTTTTACTACAAATAGATGAAGGGCAAAATGTTCGTTCAAATTTTCAACGATAAAGTTGGAACTCTACACTGGGGAAGATTGTTGCAGGAATTGGGAAAAATTCCTAAAAATAAGCGGGTTAAACGACGCTTAGACGGAAGAGGCAGTAGTGACGTTTTAGGGAGATTCCTTGTTGCACAGGCTGCTAGTGGTATTTTATACGTCAGAAATGGGTTTTAACACATTTGAATAGTTAATTTAACTAACAGCAGAACTCTACTGAATAGTGAGTCAGCAGGCGATGGTGGTTCGGTAAACACTTATGTAACTCCAATAGGATGATTTGTATGTCGTATGGAATATAATGGATGGGACGGGCGTGTGAATTTTCGCAGATATTTCCAAGACATAAAAACCTCCTAATATCTTTACCATTCTCCGCATCCCACACTTATAGCAGATTTTAATGACCCAATTACTTAATCTAGTGTTTTATGCTTACGTGGCAGCAAAACCACTCATGGAAATGCAGGCTTATCCAAGTGATTGAAAGGTTAAAAAGTGGTCCACCTCTAGGAGGTGTTTCAAATGAGGCTTTTTCTTGCTCTTTTTAAAAACTCTATTATAGGGCGGGGTGGCTCAACTCACTTCGTTCACATTTCATTGACATTGAATCGCGATGAGGTTGATTGAGCCACATCGCCTATTGTTTGCTAAAAATTTAATGTGTACTTTGTATGTACCCAAGCACAAAAGTAGTAGTAGGCGAATTTGGGACTTTTGGAAGACTAAAAATACTTACTTTTGGGTAAGGAAGACCTAGTGGGAACAATCGGCCCAGTATTTGTGCATGAGTGTGTGTGTTTTACCAAAAATCCGCCCATTCCTGTCTGACAAAAATACTGATTGCAAATTCGAGAAACGTGGCCATTCTTTGCAGAAATGGACCGAGTTTCTCTCGTGACTGAACGGGTGCTCATATGGGGTCAAAAGGATAGTATTTGGCACCGTCACATTATCACCTAGTCTTAAATAAAAATCGGTTTAGTTTTTTTAATCAATTGGATGGGTATATTGTTTAGTCTCTCCTTGAAATAGAGTTTTGGTTGTGATGACGCACCACACTGGATGCACAATTCAGTTGTCTTATTCTGTTTCGAGACATTTAACTGGATAATCTAACTAATCTTCTGCAATCTCGATGGCTCCTTTATTGCCAGTCGAGGTGACGTAGAACGTCGCGAATTAGTGTAAGTCGCCAGCACCACCTACAGTCCCTCTACCATTATTTTAACATAAACTATCACTTCATACAACGCTACTGCAATGCTGGTTCGAGCAGGACGCGTGTAGTAAATTCATAGATGAACAAATGGCTCGGTTTAAATTTTCCCTAGCTCCAAGGGATCCAGATGTCGTTGCCTAATTCCTTTGGCAAGTAGATGTGCACCATCTTTTTGTTGACCTATGACAATATCGCCTGTCATTTATCAAGGGCTTCCCACTGGATGTAGTTCATTGTACATTTGCCAGATTCTGCACAACTTAAAGGCCTCCAAACTTTTGCACGTCATATTTTAACGAAGCTGCTTTAACCTGCTTAAATACGACGTGTTCAGGCGGTGAAATATTTCACACCACAAAAAAACAGGGAACCAGTCACTAGCGTTTGAAGGGAATTTTTGTTAACCAGGTTAAATGGGAGAGGATTGACATATAAAATCATGTAAATATATAGCTTGTTTGCAAGCTTTTCTATGAAGTTTGTGCGTTTTAGAAGCACGCAATACCTCCGACTCCGAAAGAGGCCCTGACCTCTCCAATTGTTTTCGGATTGAAAGAACTCTAATTACGTATTTCTTCCTTTAAATGCGCCCACAACAGGTGCCCACAACGTTTACAGCGCCAGAGTTCATTATGAATAAGCATGAGCATTTGGAATCCCGGATTCCAGATTCCTTTGGCACCTCGATCACTAATAGCTATTTCTTTTTAGACTGTGAAAGTCGTGAGAAGTTAAAAAGACAAATCTATATGGGTTTGACATTTTCGCTGGTATTTTCTAAAACAACTTTTAATGTCATAACTTTTCAAGCCATCTAAAAGCTTGTTAAACGCCTCTTCCTCCCTCCTCTCCATCCCATTACCATTGGTTAACGAGGCTTCACGGCCATAGAAAGGATCAACGCCATCAAGTGGGCGTCTCTGAACACGAATGCTTAAATATAATAGAGCTGATTGTGCTACGCATTTTAATTGTAGAAACAAATTTCACAGGAGGTGAAATATAATAAAACAAATTGCCTTATGTAAACCTCAATAAAAGTTGCATTAGTATGAAAACAAATGTGTGCAATAAAACTCGCTTGAGAATGCTATAATAATAAAATTTTGTCCTACAATACCTACAAAGGGTGGTAACTATGGCCTAAAGAAATTTTAGATATGTTGTGCAGCAACAGCAAACAAGCCTCACTAAACTACTGAAACGCCGAGTTTGGGTACGAACCCGATGATGGAATGGAACCTATACGAACCGGATAAGAAAAGGACTTCTAGGATTCCCAATTTTTGTACTTTCATTAAAACGGACTCATTATTTTGGTCTATATTTATCCAGGCATTTAAAAAGTATCCTCTTATTAAAGTGAGTAATTTTTTACTTTCAGACTAAGGATATATAATTTAAAAGAAGATTAAGTAATGAATCCCACTTTAGGTTGGTAGATTTTATGCGAAGTTATTACGCGCATTGAATGACAATTCCTTGAATTAATTCCTTATGGCCTTGCTTATCTTGCAAAAAGTCAAATAGAAATGAGGACTTCTGCAGACCCTGACCGTAAGCTAACTGTGTGCAACATCTTCGGCATTCAAAATTAGCTCTTTATATTTACCTATCATCTCGCCTCTTGATCTGAGGGAACGATTGCTACCTCCCGCGCAAAAGTAGCGTTCTCTGAGAACTGCAAACACTTTCAATGTATCACATAAACAGTTCTACAAATGAAATGGAAGCAATAATGTGGCAGAATTGCTATACATTCTACTAGTTTTGTGCAATTAATACTGTTTGGTATAACATCGTTGCACTACGCGCAATAATGCTAATTTGAGGGAAGCTGGCTTTTTGTTCAAATTTATGACAAAGACCGAAGAATCCGCCCGATTTTGTATAAATCGCTCAAGATATCTGCATCCATTTTTATGACAAGACTATATTATTTTTTTTAGCTCAAAGGACTATTTCTCAAATGAAGAGTTAAAAGACGGGAAATCGTCTAAAGTCAATTCATATGCTACTTATTAAATTTATAGTATTTCTTCCCAAAATTACTAGAGAGGACGATGATTTTAGGCGTGGTGCACAGACGAGTCATGTGGAGCGGAGAATTCGAAAAGGGCTAGTAATTTTGATGAAGGTGTTTATTGAATCAAGGGAGACCGTAAACGCTAGTCACGGGTGCATCAGTTGCGCTGGCAGGTAGGTAGGTAGGTGGAGGGAGGGCCGCCAGGTGGCGGTGACTATTTACACCAGAGCTCCCGAATGACTGCTTTGTGAAGACGCATTGTGTAAGCTACATGCATTTACAGAACGTAGCCACACCCTAAGTAATGCTAGAATCATGGCACAAAGTCTCACTACACCTACAATGACTGATGCCATGCTAGCTAAAGAGTAAAGTCGTGCTGATCCGTAATCCAGTCCTACGTCTCGGGAACATCCTGAAACAGTGTCAAGGGGCAGGGATTAATGCCTAGAGAAGAGCACTCTCAAGAAAGCTAGGCTAGCCTAACAGCTTTGCCAACGATACCTCAACTACGTCAGAAGGAAATATCACTATTTTAATAAAACTTCACTTTCTCAATCATTGAACAATCGGACTCTTAATACAGTAAACTAAGCCAGTGAATCTACACACATGCATTTACATTGAGTGAGTCCAGGAGATATTTCAATGTGTACCAAATGAATTTTCTCATTTCTCTAGGTGCACATACATTACATATAATGCGATGGTGGTCTGCCCCTCGGTATTGGTGAGGCGCCACTTGCGGACTTTTAAATTTGTCTTCCTGTACCTTGCTGGGTTAGCTGGCCTTCGGGCCACGCCAGCAGCCCAAACACCTTCTCTGTGCTGAATATGTATATTCTGTCCGAGTATTGTGTCTTCTTTCTTCTTCAAAGAAATCTTGGGAAGCTACATTGCGTACTTAGCCTATCTTCTATTAATCATGCCGAAAAACCGATCTGGTCGTCTAAGCAGACTTATACGAAGATAAGTGAAGACTAGTGAAAAGAAAGGTTTAAGGGTAGTCGTTTTAACTTAATAGATGCGGAAAACAGCGTTTTATGAAATTGATCACAGAGAGCAAATCTGCTTAATGTAAATAATTCAGCAATTATTTGTTGAATCAAATAAATTTCACCAATTTCGCTTCATTTCATCACGAACTAGAACAAAACTAGAAGCACATCAGTGTGTAGCGTCCCGAGACTCCCTGAAGACGAAAGAAGACACAATACTTGGGCCGAATATATATATTCAGCACGGAGAAGGTGTCTGGGCTACTGGCATGGCCCAAAAGGCCAGCCCACCCAGCGAGGTACAAGAGGGCTAATTCAAAGTACAAAAGTGGCGCCCCACCACTATCGTACTACAAGTGTATCACAGGGCCGGATAGAAGGGAACTTCGGTTGCCTTACTCAAAATGCACAATGTGTAAAAAGGACGATGGCCCGAATCTGAAGCGATTATCAACCCACTTATTGTTAGCATGATTTTCAACGTTTAGGTATAAGGACTTTATCTGCTTTTAAGTGTTCAAAATGTATAGCTGGTATAGTGGGGCAAAAATCCACATTAACTAACACATTGTGAGCTTCCAATGGTGAGGAGATTTGGCTTTTACACTGTTAGTCCATTATAGGTCATTTGAATGCCCAGACGGGATATCGCTCGTGATATAATCAAGGCGATAAGTGTACCGGTAGAAAATATGGGTCAACATAAAACATCATTCGATCAAATAAATGCCTAAAAATCCAAAAAAGTGTAGGCGCAAGACAAACACAGGTGTACTTGTGACTTTTCTGCAATTAGGCCCATTCGTTTTAACAAACTGATGATAAACAACATTCTACTGGTCTTCCTATGGTTTCCTTTCAAATTGTTATTCTAGGTTCGTGGTCTCTGTCAATAGATAAGAGAGTTGAGTACAGAAGCAGGAGCTTTGCTAAAATAGGCATGAAAGTCATATGGTTCGTGCAAAGCTTGCCTGAAATGGTCTGGAAAGCATGCTAGCTTTTGCGGGGATTGTATTTGTTTTTATGAATTTTGCACGAATAAATTTTCTACCCGGTATTTGTCCGTCTAGGCGTTCATTAAAGTAACAGCATTGTTTAATGAGCTACAGTTCTGGTGTCTGAATTAAGTCAGTTCTTGAAATCAATCATTCGCCTTGCAAATATCTAAGGATATGCGTAATTGTTTTATTTTATTCGTTTTTGCATAATGGTTTATTTTGTTGCATTTAGAACGCAATATCTTTTCTTGCGTAATCTTTAATCGAGCAATACAACCTATTTTAGCTCCATAAATCCGGTATAATGATATTCACAACCTTCTGTTACAGTCTTACATGAGTTCAAATCAAGAAACAAGTTCTTTATTATTAACCACCACCCTTAGAATTTGTTATTCACCGTTTAATGTCAAAGACAATACTTTACTAAAACGGGTGATTTAACTTAACCTCGAAGCCCTCTTTTATTATTCTTTCTGCCACACCTTTTACTCCTGGAAGATACAGAACCTTGTACTTTATGTTAATTTTTCCTTGAGTTATGCTAAAAATTGCGAGGTGGCTCTGAAATTCCAACAATAGGAGGTGACAATAAGATATATTTCTTATTACAAAGTGTGTCGCTTTTTACTCTTTGATCATTTTAGGTTGGTATGCAGGAATGGTTAAAGGGCCTTGCTACAAAGCAAATGAATTTTCATGAAAAATATTACAGCACTTAATTTTTGCATGGAGGATTTCGAAGCAAAACTGTTCAAGAATGTCAAACAGCCAAAATAACTTGGAATTTCTTTCACACATTCTTTGAGTATTGCATTTTATTATACTTCCCTAGGATTAACTACGACTGCTTTAATTCATCGCATAGGGTTCCTTCATTGCTGATTACCAATAATTAGATAAATGGATGTGAAGGTGGGATTGTTTGTATAATTTTACATAGATTATAAGGGCCTAGAAGTAGGGGTTGTGGGTTTGGATATTCGCATGAATGGTGTTGTGCCAGTGACTGATCGGTAATTTTCTTCATTATAACCAGCGGTCTCATCGATTGCCAAGTTGGACTTTGGTAGGCTTAACATGGCATTTTGTGCATTGGGAAAACAGCAGACATGTGCAGCTACCCATTGATCCTGCTCACTTGAAAGGTTCATGACACAGCATTAATATTAATGAAGTGGGGATGACTTAGCATTTTACTTGGGGTATCACTGAGTAAAATCGTGATAAATGCGCCTCTAATGTAAGTTTACACGTTCTTTGAGGGTAAAATACTGTTAGACTGTTGTGTTTAGATGGTTTATTTAACTTTGATAGAGGTGATTTAGTAATTTCATTACTTAACAGATGAGTGCTTACTGAGTCAAAAGAAAGAAAGACTGTCCAGTCCTTTAAGTTAAAAGTACATAGAATTATCATATTTGACATCAATGAGCATACATAGCAAATAATAAATTAAGACTCGCGTTTCTAATAGGTGTCAGACCTGGTTGGACATCTTTCAAGATTTTAAATGTGTCAGGTTTACGACGAGTCATTTTAATGGCAATGACACGAAAAAATTACTAAGGATTAATTAACCACAGAATGTTAAAAAATCAAAGCAGTATGTCCTTATGCTATGCTTTTTTGACAAAATCAAAAGCTTTAGTTATATTCAACCATAAGCAAAAAACTAGTGCACAAAAAGTCTTTTAGATACCTCAGTGCGAAATAAACGAGAAAGTGGCTCTAAAATTCACTAAGCAGTCTTGTAACGTTACAAATCCTAGAACACCTATGATGCTGAGATTCAGAAGCTCTTAGAAAACGATATATTTCCGGTTTATAATTTTGTAATGGTCGAGCTGTCACTGACGATACCTAAGTCTTTGTCTCTTCAATTCAATTTTCTAACATTTTTGGCTAAGTTAGTAAGGATCTGTTTTTCTGAAATCACCGACGATGATCCTCAATTTGGTATGAAATCGCTTATTCCATAGTGGTATTCATGTTCCCCCTTATTCACGAAAAGAAGTACCAAACTTTATTAAAATGACGATAGCAAACAATGCTGAAGTAGTATTAAACATAAGCATCTTAATTTAAATCCACAATAGTAATCCTATAACAAAAGCAAATTGCAAGACTATCTATTGAAGCGTACTCAAGTATCGCAGTAATTTTTTGTGTACGTTAAAATATTCCTTTGCTAGTTTTTGAATTTTTGTTAAAGCCAAGTCGTGCTTTTCGGTCTGGTATTGTAAATGCTGCTTTTTATTATTAAAAGTGGATTTTGCAAGTACTATGGCTTTTTTTATACTTCTACACTCCTAGATTTATTTAGACATGTGAATGTGTGCATAATAAGTGCGAAGGAATTTAAAATCCTCCACATTCATTTTCTAATGATGCTTTTACGATTATTCTGTAGACACAGTTCCATCTTCTTCACTTTATTCGTCTCAAGAAAGTAGGTCTCTCCGATTCTTCTTGCTAATCACCTTTGATCTTGGCAAGGATAATAAACTCTCGTGATAACTTTTAAGGCCAACTTACGTCCTATTACTGAACTAGTCAAATATATAGCGATTTCGGCGAAAAAATGGCAAGTAACTTTGCCAAGACACTTGACTGAAGTAGAAGGGGTTCCAGATACTTTGGACAGAGTTATGGGGAAAAATAAGGCAATTACCCACAATTATTAAATTGGATAAAATCAGTGGAAATAAGAACAAATGTCCAAATGTCAATAACCAAAGTACAGCGAGTATTTCACTTTTAAATTCATTTACGCAACGTCAGTGACCATGCAAAACTAAACTGCTGAAAATTGACCATTTTAGATAAACATAAGATAGGAATCTGCAAAACGATTTTCTAAAACCTCTATATATTAGGCAACTAAACTTCATCTCAGCTGGAAGTTAAGAAGTATATGATGAATAAGTACGCGACGAATGGTGCTTGCTGCCAAAAAATAATCATTATTCAGTAAAATCGCTCAAGAGAGAAAGAATACCGAAATTTTTCCCATTCATAAATGGACTTATTAAACCACATTGATTGAAAATTCAACCATAAATAATTTTAATCCAACTTCAGGAAGATCATGCATATGTTGATGGGGGACAAAGCGTTTTTTGGAAGTGCATAAAATAAGGAAATACATGGAAAAGACGAGGAAGGAAATGTTGAGTGTCCATGAGGATTGAGGGCCATCGAATTGTCACCTGAATAGTTAAGATAGCGTTACTGCACGAAGCTCTCCGAGTTGACCTCAATGTTTTGACGAAGCATAGCCTCCTCACAGCGTTTAAAGTGTTGCAACTGTGCCGTTGCCATACTCACAAGGCCACTTGCGATTTTCTCCTAAAGCAAGGCGTTGTGCAAGCCCGATTATTAGCATTACCCTATAACAGAGCACTTTAGATTTGGATGAATTTTAAAAAATACCAGCCATACTGCCAGATACTTACATATCACCTTCTATAGATAGGGACTGTTAATGCTGACATATATGGTGTTGTTCCGGCTTCACAAGTATAAAACTAGCCACATCAAAGATGACCACAAAAGCGACATTTCATGTTAGAATAATAATAGGGAGAGGTGCATAACAAAGCCCTTCCTTGACGGAAACTGCCGATACGCCTCAATACTTCTTCAACTTTGAAATTTCCCTAATGGATGGAGTTATTTGAGTCTGCATCACTTAAATGCACGGCAACTACTTAATCACAGCTCTGAGTTTCCATGGTCTAGAGTTCGCACCACTTTAAGTCTCGTTGTGGACTCACAGCTGGCACCAAACGAGCTCTTGTTTCCAAAATGTAACGACACTTTCATCTGACCGTTATTTTTGTTCGATTTAATAATAATAACACTAACTTTCGATGGTAAGACCAAACCGGTTTCCCCACCATGTGGATGAAAACCCAATTACTACATGTATTGCTGCAGTCCAATCGGAGATGGCGCAAGGGCTTATCACTCTACGGACATTAAGGAATGGATCTGACAAGTGAAATTATGTTTCATTACAGCTCTAAGTTGGTTAAATTAATTTGTGGACTATTGGGAAGGCGGAAGATGGACACGTCCTGGATCGACCAAAGTTCAGTCAACTCTTGCAAATGGTCTAGAGGCTAAGAATGCCCAAATTCGTAAATGACTAGTTTTGGCATCGAATTATGAGTTTGGCTACTGCATAATACGTGGCAGTGGATGCATTCTGAAAAGCTTCACTCAGGTTGATTGCGAATTTGCTGAAGGTTAGAGAACCACTAATGTGCAAGTGATGTGAAATGCACCCTTGTTGTTTTGCACTGTTGAAGGAGTAACTGAGTAAGATAGAGCTGACGATCAAAGTCCTGCTTCGTCATCGCAACCTTCTTTTCATCCTGAAAAGAAGAAAAATGCAATCAATGGTGTCATAACGTATATCTTAAGTGTAGGGGAACAGGACCGTGGTAAAGAAAGTTGGTTACTTAATGAGCTTAAATAATCATTTGTAGTAAACTTTAATATAGGCGAAGTGATTTATAATAAGTTAACTCTTGGAACACATAACAATGATTGTTCCATTCCAAAGCCATCTCAATAGGCTAATATATCCCATAGGAATGCCAACACCCCATCTGGTACGCAATGTCTGAGAAATTGTTAGGTTGAGTCATTAAAACATTCGAGATAATAGGAACGTGTCGTGAAAACTCGAGTATAACTGGACAGTTTGGGACAATTTAAAATAATCATTCTGACGAATTGCAGGACAATGAATTACCGACACAAATGCTCATAGCATTGAGTTTTCCAGTACGATAATTGGCAACTCATTTTGAGTCGATTAAACTAGCTTCATTAATTTAGCTTTTACGGATATCAGACACCTTTGCATAAGGTCACAAATGGTTTAAACTCCATCACCTACTGCGACAAAAGATGCACACACCGAGAAAGATAAATAGCTGAGGTTGGTGCGAGGGGAACGAGTAATGCTTGGGTTACCTACTACTGCTACCAGGACGAGCCGTCCCGTGATTGCTTTGCGAACTACTCACTATGTGCAAATAAATCGCTTTGGCGATTGTCAAGGCACAATTTTGCTTTACGAACCACTTTTTTCCATTTCTTGCGGCGTGCCCAATCGTAGTCGATACGCAAGAGATCCAGTTTGCGTCGCTCCTTCTGTTAAAGACGTAATAAGACCATTTACGATGTACTGTCTTTTAAATAGACATAAAGTAGTTCACATCAAAATATGCAAAAGCCTTCTCGATAACGAATGTATATTCACGGGGAATACTGTCAGAATATTCAAACGCGATAACCTGGTCAAATGTGCCTTAAAGTCCTAATGACGTATTTTCGCCTATTTCCCATTAGCATCAGGCGGACCAATTCTTAAGCATATGAATAGATAAAACAACCCAAATTCTGCTACCAAATTTTTGATTTATTAATCAAGATTTCAGTCAGCATATTTGTAGAACAAAACATATTTTGATCATACATCTATAAATAAAGTTTTTAATTGTTGCACTCGGTTTTGAAAAGGACCAGATAGTAAAATACACAGCAGTGCTATTGCACATTGGAGTACAGAACAAGGCTAATGTTTCCCATGCCAATTTTTGGTAATAACGGAAGTCCACCTTCACTACCTGGGTTTAAGTAGAGTGCAAAAATCTAACTCCGCTTCAAATTTCCCCTTAAGTGCAGAATGCACTAATTTATAATCCACCTAAAAGTACCAATTATTGACAGCCCGCACCTGTACTTCTGGCCAATATGAAGTGAGAAAATCCTTAATGACCAAAAGCAATTCGGAATGAACATCCATTGCAAATTCGCGTTCCGACTGACCCAGACACGAATATGCTGATACACAGTGGGAAAGTGTTACAGCTGAAAAACAAACAAGTACGTTTAAATCTTAATGACCATTCGGAAGGAAAGATTGCATGATTTTGAAAATAGTCATACTTTGTTTAGGTTGTAGCTCATGTAGCACACAATAGTAATGAGAGAAACATAAAGCCTTGTTACTGCTAAAAAACACTACTGTAATAAATAACGCACACAGATCGGTCCCTGGCAGTTCAGCAGCACATCCAGCGATGATCTTGGCTAGTTTTTCAGACCTTTGTAGATGCATTGATGGGAGGAGGCTAAATTCACCCCCAATTCTTTTCGCTATTCTCCTTGCTGAAAATAAAGGTGTGGTCTGTTAGTTCAAGCACGCTATAAAACAGTGCATGAACATAGACCAACTATACCAGCATTAGGAGTTATCATGGCTTCCATTTGGTCCTTCAAATTCGTGCAAATTTTGTAGGTTATATCGGCATACGTGAACAACTGGAGGGTCTCAAAATCGTACTCAGTTTTGCCTGAAGTCCCAAAAACTTCGTCATTCATCTTAAAAATGGTGTGACTGAAAGGAATTCTACCTGTGTCATTCGATTCAGGCCTGTAATAGTGGACTCAAAAAAGGAGTGCATCTTTTGTTCAAATGGCATAGTCTTTAATCTAAAAACAGAGGAGAGCCGTGTGATAAACAACAGCTAATACTTGCTGAAACTATCCTATAAATTCCTTAATAAGTTATCAATTGGGACCAACAGGGTGATCTAACATGCGATATGATCTAAATTCACTGCAAAAGAAACACGCAAATTAAAGTCCCACAAAAACGGAGAATGCCTTGTCTTCTTTATTGTTCCAATTTTAAATAAGTGTAGTCATTGTAAGCCACGCAAAAACACATATTATACTGCAATGATTTCTCAACACGCGATGCCCACGAAGCTAATCATCAAGGCAACGATGCTTTTACTTAGTAACAGTGCTTACGAAAAAAAACCGCGTTGGCGACAAAACCAAGACTAAACCATCACTGTTTTAAAGCGCCAACATAACAAAAAAACATTATAAAATAATGTACAACAAAATAGGTTGTTAAGGAGCTCCTTTGTCATATGAACAACCAATGCTGCGTATAATTATATTACGTCTCTCCGATGACCACTCGGGAAAATTAGAAAGAAAGCCCTTTTAAAACAACGCCAATCTATACTACTTATCCAATGCGTTCATCATACTTAGTTTTAATCACCGGTTGCTCGACGCACTCAATAATACAAAGAACAACCTAAGCATACCAGAAACATTAGCATTGGCCTACTTTTATGACATGGAGTATGACTTGTACATGACCTACGCCTATTTTAAAACCACGCAAAATAATTTCTATTGCCAAATTACTGTAAATAAAATAAGTTTATGGATATACAACCAGAAATACTGCAAAGCTATTGCGGTTAAATAAATCAGATTCATCATAGAAGGAAAAATCACACCGCCTACCAGCCAAACAACCTGCACTAGTATTTGTTCTTTGACGACCTTTTAGGTAATGTAAAGCTTTTGCAAAAAGACGCAATTGAATCCAGTAACGGAGCAATACCAAAATAGGAATTTTAGCAATGCAAACATACACACGACATTTAATACCTCGGATTTAAAGGATATAATATTGCATAACATCATGAATTTACTAATGTGTATTAAAAATAAACGAAATCTAATTAGAACAAAAGTAGAACTACCTAGAGTAAAAGCTGCTAAAACGTCAAGCAACCAGGCCGTTGGAACTTTTCCCAGCTGAGCACCTGTGTTTCACTGTGTTTTAACAAAATTTCATGACCTAACGGAAAAGAGAAAAGTATGGTTTTTTGTTTTGATACGTTCTATGTTTCTGTAGTGATTCACTTAAACTGCTATTCAAAGAAAGTATTAAGGGAAGATTTTTGAAAGGAACACTGATTCTTGGCCTCTACAAATAATTTTGTGACTGCTCAGTAAAACACCATAAACCAATAGACTTTTAATCCAAATTGTCATAGTGGCCTATGATAATGAGTTTTGAGCCTCAAACATGCAACGCAAGGTCTGTCAAATAATAAATGCATTGAAAATGAGTTAAAATGAGGGTGTCAGAACTTTTCCCTGTGCTAACGAGTACCGTATACGATGATAACAGTACTGGAAATTTCAACCCCCTCTTGGGTAAGCAATTTGATTTTACATTTTTACATTGATCTTCTACGAATGAAATATGACAGTTCACATATGTTCTAATTTCATGGTGTATTGCTCGAAGCAATGGTAAGGTGTGTTACAATGAAAAAAGACTTGTCGCCAACTCAAAAAGGGTTTGAAAGGCTGTGGCTGCGATACGAGAAAAAAGTCGTCCAGCTTTTTTACAGACTGCACAGTCTGCATTGCTTGTGAAGTTAAGCAATCATTCAAAATATCAAAACACTACAAGGCAGCAACTGTTCAGGTCTGCTCTCATATTCAATGTCGAGATAGCGATACTACCTGGTTCATGATAATCTGAAGAAATAAGCTAATTCTATGCAGGGAATTTTTGTCATATGATTGACCTTGCTTTAGTATTTTCTCAATTACACATTTAAACGTGATTTATTCACATTCGTATAAAATAAATGCATTTATTTTTTAAAACTTATATGATTCACTCTCGGAAGTTTTTGGACGAAAAATTCGCCCTTGGTAAATCAATGTATCACCCCAAGTATCCCACGTTTGTCGTAATATGCCTAAATATTATGGCAGAACATGTATTACTGGCGCATAGAAGAGGTGAAAGCTATTAGCGCAACCTATAGGCCTTGCCACAGGGTGAAGGTGCAAATCGTGGAGGCTAGAGTGTTCTAGTAGATAGGTGAAGGCAAAAAGTCTATAAGACATGTAATACGATAGTGGTTTATCCCTCGGCATTGGTGAGGCGCCACTTTTGTACTTTGAATTAGCGCCCTTGTACCTCGCTGGGTGGGCTGGCCTTTTGGGCCATGCCAGTAGCCCAGACACCTTCTCCGTGCCGAATATGTATATTCAGCCCAAGTATTGTGTCTTCTTTCGTCTTCAGGGAGTCTCGAGACGCTACAGACAACTACATAGCCCCTCTTCTCCTAATCGCCGTCCCATCGCCTCCTTTTTCAACCTCCTACGCTAGCTATTACAATGCAGTCGGCACTTTAAAAACCACCAACCAAACATCAACGACAGTCATTTAATTTTCTAGCATGCGAGATGGCATTTGGCCCCAACATCACTGGTCCACTATGGCAATTTCCTTGCATCTAGAGTTTGGGACTATTTGCGAGCTGTATTGAGGCAAGGGAAATGCACCGACTTCATGCTGCTTAAGACTGGACAATGATCCTTACAATACTTGTAAGGAAATTGCCAAAAAATTCAGGCCTATTTTATAAAAGGGAAGATGTAGAAAGGGTTGCGCGAAGGTAGTTCTTCGCATTTATTCCGCCTTGCCACTTTGTTAGTGTTTCAATGCCTCCCAGTCACTTACCTTTTTGGGTTCCACTCAAGTAGTAGAGGCATGGAGAAAGTACGTCTTGTTACCTCAACTAACAACTTCATGTAAGTACAGTAGGCGTCTAAATAATGGATTTCAAATTGTTTTAAGCCAGATACTGCTTCAGTTTTCGAAATCATTCTTACAAACCACAGGATAGGGATCAACGTCTCAGTTAGACGTTATTTTTAGCCATTCCTCAAGGAGACCTAACCAGCTCATCATCCGTGGCATATGTCATTCTTATGTCATGTTAAGGTTTGGCATTCAGTTAGAGAAAGTAGGATAGCCGCAATTTTGGCTCGAATTCGTTGCCGCTGCCACAAATGTTGCATTTCGAGTCTTTCTTAAAGTAGTACCAAATCAAGATTGCATGCTAAAATTCATTACACACGTTCTGAATAAATGGAGAACTATTAGTATGGCCTGATGGTCATGGCTCAGAGCGAAAGCACAATCCGCGCGGACTGAAATGCTCACCAATTTCAATACACAGTTAAGCAAAGTATAATATTACAACATTGGCCGTTGATCCATATATCCTCATGGTGTTTTGTAAAAAAAATGCTAAAAGAACCAGAATATAACCTGTGTTTTGCTCTCATTTCTAAAAAGGCTTAGCCGCTTGATTTAACCTTTAGATTCTTAATTTTAGAAAGGACTTGGGTACTAAGCTGTTTGTTTGCCTGCGTGCCGACTTTCCATCAAATCGCTTAAAAGTTTATGTGCTGTGTCTCGTTTTATTGTTCTCTATCCCGGAAGAGGCGGTGCAGTGAAAAAGCTTAAAGCTTTTAGTGCTAATCAGTGAGGATTTTCATCCGCTCATCATTCAAACTCAACCTGCATTGACTTATAAGATGAAGTTTGCCACAACGCTTTCTAACAATTCACTTCAATCGCTACCATGCGCTCCTGTCAATGGTTCTGAATGTTTTGGTAAAGTTTAGTGTTCCACTGAGCCACTGCAGATTCGAGAGGCCAACAGCTGGTACGGAGAGTCAATTCAATGCCTACCACTTTGTAAATGTTGTGATAGTAACTCATATTCCGTCACACCATCACCATAACATTCTTAAGCAAATACTTTGGGGCTAAGGGCGGTTTGGTACATATTCAGTGGGACATTAAATGCTAAAGTAAGTTGATAAAAAGTTAGAAAAAAGAGCATTTGACAGAACTTAGGGATAGTGAAGCAACTCCTCAGCATACTACTGAACGTTAGTTCTGATATGCACTTTAAGCGCTTTTCCAGGCTCCAAGAAAGCTGAATTTCTGATCCCAATAGTGGATCCTGACATCATGGTGGGTATAGGTGAATGCAATGTACAAAAAATGCAATAATGTATTCTGGTGTACACTTTGCGAGTACACATGAGTTTGAGCGAGAAACTTGCAAGCTAAGTTCACTATTTGTGCAAAACAGGCATCGCATCATGCACATTGTAGTTCTAAGAATCTTCTCAGCCTCCCACTAGTCAAGGTGTGGTGTGCGGGCTATGCCTTTCTAACGACTCATTAATGAACACTAGCGAAGATGCTCATCTCTGCATGTGAAAATGCTTTTGTACTTAGAAAGGTGACGAGAATTTTCTCCCACTATAAAAATCACTTCAAGACTGTTCAAATTTCTCTCTTTGCATTAACAAATAATGCTCTGAGCTGTACCGTCGGCAACCGTTTAAACTCGGTTCCTCCTTTACAAACTCGCAGGTTTTTAAATCGCCTTTTTATTCTAGTGGAGATTTCGGTGTCAAAACAATTTTCACTTAAAATGCATGCGCTCTTTACTCGGCGCAGATTGAAGACTTGCAAACATTCATCGTTTTGTAAAAAAAGTCTAGATATAAGGCAAAAATAGCTCCCAAAATGTCATTGCTTCACATTAGTGAAGATCGCAAGACAAAAAATTCTTTTCTTGGAAATATTCTAAATATTATACTTGCTAATTTTCAAGTCAAACAGAGGCTTTCGAGTTTAGCTGGGTTTCGTTATGTAATCCTGTGCCTCAGGAAATTCCGGTATTCTTTGTCAGTACGCTCTGTAAGCTTAACGAAGCATTCACGTTCTCCATGCTACACAATAACAGAAAGCCGCCTTACAGCCTAGTACTAACCATTTTTTTTAAATTATGGCTGAATGTGCGTGATTCCATTCATCGCTTCTCTACACAATTTGACACTTTCAACGGTACTCACATTGACAGCCTACAGAATGGCTGCTGTAGGCTTGGAACCACCGGGACCAGGCCTGTAAATGACGGGAGTCGATATTCGGAACGGTTACACCGCTTGCATCGATTTTTTCAGTTGAGCTAGCCATCAACGTAGGAAGTGTTTGAAGTATACCATTAACACCCGAGGGTTCAGATTTCACCCTCTCCTTAACAGCATCGCCCCCTCCGGTCGGCCTCAACAGGCGCAGGTAACACCCGCTTGCTTTAAATTTCACCGCCACCGAAACCTGGTCTTATCACTAATCAACACCTCGCAGTAGGCCCCCTACTGCCTTCCAAATTGTTACACTAGTACCGTAAACCAACTTGCTCAAACGAATGGAGACAGATTCCACACGGGATTTCCCACAGAGATTCGTACTCAAGCTAGGATTCACTAGCAACAAGCCCATTCGGCAAATGTTCCATGGAACGGTACCAAGGTGGACAAAACCCCTTTGTAAGACGTATACTTCTCCCTCCTTGTAACTGAATAGTTACCTATCCACTCATCATGAGATGAAACAATAGCGAGAAATTTTGGAAATGGGATATTTCTTCATGTGAAAATGCCACCCTCAGAACAAGTATATGGAGTAAATAGAAGAAAATAAACGACACTAAACAATATTAAAAATGACTTTTTTCTTTTAGAGGCGATTACACAAATCGACTTAGTGCTGTTATTTACAGTCATTCAGAGTAGCAAGTTACTTAAGAGAGATTTGGGTTACGAAAGAGTTCAGCTTGCTTCTTTATTCTGTAGTCATAATCCTTCCGGTTCTGGATAAACAACGTGTATGCGTCCGCCTGTGCAGGATCCTTGGGATTAGGGTGGTCTAATAGATCTTGAATTCCTAAAAGGATCTGGAACCTATTAAAAAAGTATATAAGCTTACCTGCTTGATGGTAACCGCAGGACGCCAGTGCTTTTCCTCATCCAGAAGCGAAAGACAAACAGTCCCCGAAGGAAAAATATTAGGATGGAACAGAGGCGGTTCGAATTTGCATTTTGGTGGAGTCGTAGGATATTCAGGTTTGAAGTACATGCGGAGGTGAAAAAGCCCACCTTCCCACAAAGTCTGGAAAGTTGCCAGGATAAGTGACCACCACTTACCCCTTTTTTGCCAGGAATGCTACAATCCCAAGTCATGAGGTCAAGAGTGCCATCAGCGTTTTTAGTGGGCTTAGCAACAAATCCCTATGACGTGAGAAGTTGAGAAAAACCCTTACAAATGGGTGGTCTCTGCGCCACGCTTTCCTTTCCTCAGCCAACCTTTTCAAAGCAATACCATCGGCCTCACTGTAATCACCCATCACTGTAAAAACCAAAAAACAACTATGGCGGCTTCCCCTCTGATTACTTATAAGTTGCAATTGAGGTACTGGATTACAGTTATGTGCATGAAATACCTTTGTATATAATTAAATCAACCTGTTTCTCAAAAAAGAAAAACCAATGGCAAACAATTTTAAAGGTTTTATCAGTCTAACTAGAGACTTTATGATATAAAAATTGGGACATTAAAAAGCTTAAAAAGCAACAAAAATCAAACGGAAGACATTTTTTTTAAAAAAACAGGTAATATGCTTGTCTGATGACAGCAACATGAAATTAATTTACGTAAAACAAATCGGTCTAAAAGCATTTATCTGAGAGGTTGAAAAGCTTTTGCAATAGACAAGAGCAAGGTTAAGTGGGGGGGGGGGGGGAAGATGCATTTCGAGATTCTTAATTAAGTGATAACTATTAAAAATAATCACTTGTAAAATGGCTGCCTGCTAGCCAATTTAAATGCTTGTTTACACTTAATTTTCCATCATTTTATTTTTTTTAACGTCCAACCATTCGCAAATGTGTTGCACGTCTTTTGGCATACTTCTAGTGTGCTAAGGCTTTTTCTAATTATTTGTTGTATGTCTGTTTCAGTCTTAGGTTTTTGTTGTAAAGGTGTCATTTTACCCAAATATTCTACGTTAGCGTTTAAATCCATCGAATATGTATCGCGTCTTTTGCCTGGCTAATTCTGGTGCATTGTCGATTTGGCGGTGCGAGTCTGATCCGGTTGCTTGTTGTGGTCCATATTTCCATTTTCACGCTATCAATGCCGTTTTTAGTCCTTTTGCGCCTTGATTATGCAGACTTTTTAGGTGGACTTTTCATGATGTGGTTTATTAATGAAGTGAGAACTCTTGCTCCATTTTTTATTCGAGAATCATACACCCTTTTTGTTCCTTGACCTTAACTTGTTTTCTAGGTTGCCAATCTTTTTCTTTCATTACAGTTCGAACTCAGCTAATAGAATGATGAGCTCACTTCGATGCAATACCTTTTAAGTCGTTTTAAAGTAGCCGTCTACATTCAGTGTGGTTTTGAGGCACATTTCAGCGCCATTTACTATTAGGATTTACACTGACAGCTTCATAATTAGTGATCGAATGTTTCGTACTTGCTCTTGTTTTTGGCTTTATTGTAATGCATAAACATTTAATTTCAAGTGTGAATAAAAGTTTCTCTTTTAGGAGAAGGAGGTTGCTAAATGGTGCTTGAAATGAAAGCCAATGATTTTGATATCGCCTGTACTTTTTTCAAAAGTAATACCTAGTCTCACCAGCATTTGTGTAGCTCATGTTAACAAGGCTTTTACGTTGACCTATGACCAAAATTTGACATTTTCGGCCCTTTTCAATCAGGCAAAGCATGGTCCCTTTTCTCCTGAAAAAGCACCTGATGTGGGTATTTTCGATTTTATTGGGAAGGAGCGTCGGTAAATGCTTCTTTACTGAAGTTCCTCATTATTAATTGCCATTTGTCTATACTTCAAAGATCTACATATTTAATTCCCTATCGTAAAGCTTTTGTCACTTGCGTAGACGGTAGTCTGCCTATGAATATACCATAGTAATTCCATTATCATTGACTGTCTGGGCAATATTTTAGAGCGAAATGGCAATCGTTGGGCACTATGTCTAAAGCAGAAGCCCAGGACACATTTGTTCAGTCACTCCTTCAAATTTGTCCTCAATTCACCGCTCATCTTGAGGCGAATGATGTAATATCATATCAGGATGACGCTGATGTGTAAGTGTATATTAATAACTTCTCTGGCAGTCATTGTGTTACTTCCGGGTCTCATCCCCGCATGATTCGATCCTAGGACATTTAGTTCCGTTACTTTCTTTAAGCACACTAAAAGTAGACTAGTGTAATCATTGCATTGAATACACTGTTGCTCCGCATTCTACGCATCTACTTGAAGATTTTACGCCTTTGCAATGCAGCACCTTTCAGTTCCAAAGTTCACATCATACCTGGTGTGGCTTGAACTGTTTTATTTCGCTAAAAGGTGGCGCTTTTATGTAAGCCTGGCCTTGTTCATAATCGTCTTATTTAACTGCGTTTTCAAGAAAAATTATTAAAACCTTTTGTATCAGGAGTGCTGTATATCCGATATTAGAATTGCACTATCTTGTTCCTCCGTGCTAATTTCAGTCGCCGGCCACATTAGAAATATTCTACGACTTTACATTCGTTTTACCATTACTAACACACAGTGGTTATGTTGACCTGAACCCTCACAAATAAATCTGGTGCTGACGTTTCTCTTTCAAGTAATACCAACTCTGCGTTTGATTTATGCGCGCTTATTTCCAATATTTTAGATTTTTGCTGGCGGGAATCTTGTGCTTGAATTGGTTTCATAAATGTCGTCACGCTATTAATAAGTCTATTTAAATTCTTTTTACACTTTATTATTCATCAAAAGGGAAATAGTGAATGACCTTTCAACAGTTTCTTGCCTTTGTTGTCTGAACAAACGGGTGACTTTCCTTTGATGCAAAAAATCAGCAAATTTATTCAACCGGTACGCGCTTTTTTTGAATTGCTCAGTTTTTGACGTGGGCGTGCTTTCCTTGGGTTGGGTATGCCTTAGCTTGCACTATGCGACGTAGAGGTAGGTCAAGTCTTTCCAGGTATGGAAACTGCGACGCGCATGTTATTCGTTATGTTTTCTCAACGAAAATATAAGGTGTAAATGACTTGTGTAATACATCGATTAATCACCATTTGCAAGTGTTCCAAAAACACCATTTAAGGAGTTGTTTGTGCCATTTTTTAATCGGACTTTGCGACACACTACTAATGTTTCATTACGTTCTTATCACTTGGCATTGGATTTTTGTGGTCTCCCAAATAACTAACGCTCGGGTTTTATACTTTATTTGTTACACCTCAGTTGTTATAGGGCAAGCGAACTGTTCGACGTTTCTGTTTTGAATTGCAATTCCTGTTTCTGTAGAGAACCTCAGGAGTGTAATGACCTCCCACCTACTGCTGTCCACGGCATAAATAGGTAACTGTTTCATTCTGTTTAACGTGCTATAATATTAAAGGAAGCTTTTATTCCATATCTAACTGAGGCGCACTGTTGTAAAATTTACCGCATTGTATCGGATACCGCGTGACTGCCATTTCGGCGCTTAATGCTTTCCACCGCCTACACATCAAGTGCTAGACATGTGAAGGTCTGCAGGTGCCATTATTAATGACTTCTAACGCTTTAATCCATCAATGGCTAACCTGTACATGAATCACCTGTCCCTACCGTTTAGTCTTGTGCGAATAACTTTTAATGATTCATTTCAGTCCTTGCTACATTCTGTTTCTAAATTTATTGACAAAGGCCTGACAATCCTTTACTTGTAAAGTATAGCATTTGTTTCACCCTAATTTTCGATTATGCTTCATGGTGTCGATTTCGCTGGCACACAACCTCGGAATTCTGGGTTTTGGGAACACTTGCATGTGCCGATGCTTTAGCAGTTTGTTATGTCAGGTCCAGTGAAATCCACTACATCTTTTTGTGCGCTTGCCTGAAATCAGTGTCGATTTTGAGCAATTTTTAAAAGGAGGCATTTATTGTCTTACTGGGGAGTGTAGACACAACTGAATGTTGGTGGACCGTGACAATGCTATGTGACTTAGTTTGGCTTGTTAGTGCTATTTGATTTCAACACCGAATCGTATGGCTGGGGTAATTCGATGAGGTAATATCTTTTGGGTCAAGTGTATAAGAGCAAGACTATGAGCAGAACAACATTCTGGGAATGGACTTTTCGTTTTGATTTGTGGTACTTGAGGGTCTTATTTGATGCGTTATTTATTGCTCAATTGACTATTTGAACATCGCTTCTGCTATATTATACATAGTCTTCACACATTCACTTGATAGCTTTTGGTCTCCGGGAAGCATTAGGCTTTCTCATTGCAAATTCTTGTCATATTTCTCTTTCTACAGTCACTCGCTCTCCGTCGGTCCTTCCCAAAAGCTCAATTATCACTTCTCCCCCAGTCAAGAGTAATTTTATGCCTTTCTACATCTTGTACTAATTTCTCTTATATACCTTTGTTGCTCTTTTTGAGCATATTTTTTTGTGATTTACCCACAGTATTTAATGTGGGTTATATGATTTGCCTTTGTTACTACCACAGTATGAAATCAAACATGGGGATTGTGGGGTTTGAAGTAGTTTTCAACTGGGAAACATTGATGACTTAAAATCAATTCTCACTGTGATGCTCAGCTGTGAATTAAAAGGTGATAATTTGGATTTATTGAAACCATCGTTTGCCTTAATGTAATTTTATAGATCTCAGATTCGTAACGCACTAAATACTCAAACTTTGGATCAGTTTCGGGCGTACGCCGCTCAGTATTACCCTGACAATGAGGCTAAGGTAAGTTCAATGCCCATCAACTCTATTTTGAAATCGTGCCTACACTACCAATATTCACTTTTACCTTGTCTCATAAGGCAATTGGCTCTTTTATGTTAAATTCAGTATCTGAATTTCAGCAAGCGGAATTGATCACACAACTGCAAGATCGCCACTTCCACCAGTACATGATTTACATATCCGAAAATCCGTCCGCTCTCCCCGGAGACATTTCCTCGCAGAATTCAGAACTAGCATCGCACGCATCACAGTCTCAGTCGAACGATGAATCTGCCTTGGTATGACCTTAGCTTTAGTAAGACGGAATAATTACGGAAAAGAAGTTGTGCATCGCTGGCACTCTGCACTTTATAAAAGATAGGAGAAAGACTGTCAGTCTGCTTCGTATTTACGGATTTTTGCCGATTTGGACCGTTGTATTTACTGCTGAATCTGGTTCCAAAGACTGCCCTCACCAACTTTGTTTCTATTTGTTTTCAGGCCTAATACTCCTTTTCTCCTTAGGTAAAAAACCAATCGCACGAAGCCACTGTTTGCAAATCAGCCAAGGACGGGATGGAATCCCGCTGTGGTAAATTTTATATTAACACTGTCAAAATGTGCAAAGATTACTTCTTCCCCAAACCACTTCCCGTCTATGCCTCTTAGAGGGTAGCGTCAGTGCCTGAGATGTTACATGTTTCCCACCCCGATATAATTTGCCCTTATGCAAGTCAGTTCTTTTTGCACTGCTATTATTGATGATCTGAGAGCCAATGACCATTGACCGCCACTTTAGTCAACGAACAGCAGATGAATGAAGGCGATCTCGTCGCCCACATCCCTGATGGAAGGGACCACCTAGCAGCGCCCCAAATGTGGACGAGAAATGACATCAATGAGTTCAAGGCCCTTCTCGCCAAAGATCCCGAATCTGTCCTCAACGTAGGGAGCGGGGAACTGGTCACAGTGAGTTCTCACATCTAAACTAGCATCCTAGCGCTAGGTCGCCTATTGGTACACACTATATCGTCTCGTGACGGTTTTCATCTCTACGCCAGATCCGCGTTTCCGTGATTCCATCTGGCAACTGTCTCGTTTGGGAATTCGCCACAGACGACTACGATATCGGCTTTGGCCTAAGCTTCGAATGGCCCCCAGAATCTACAGGCGCAAATAACAATTCGAGAGACAACGGTGAGCAAGCGACTCCAGATGGGGGATCGCTCAAGGCACCCTGGAACCTCATCCAGGGGTCCTCCCAGCCTCCCCAGAATAGCGAAGGTAAGTCAATGTGACTTTGAGTCAATAATGCGATCCTGAAGAACTCTGCATTCAGATGTCAACATCACCTATCCTTTTCTCAATACAGTTACTTCAGGATCTTCAGAGGCTGTCATTGAGGAGTTAATTCCAGTTTATAGGAGAACATCTCACACCGAGGTGTACTGTGGTTCTCACAACTATCCTGCCTCCAGTGGAACATACCTTCTCAAATTCGATAACACATACTCCCTTTGGCGAAATAAGATACTCTACTACCGGGTTTACTGCACACAATGAGAATTTTTTGTGACTTTTCCCTTGGAATAATGACTTGGTCTTAGCTGCGTCCCATTGTCCCATCCCAAGTTTTGTAATTGCCTATCTCCTGCGCACCTATAGATCGTTATCATTTGGTGAATCTACCCAGCTAAAGCTGGCCGTTGACCGGTTGAAGTATAGGTGATATCTGAGGGGACCGCATTAATGGGCAAAGTTAAAAGGCATCGTTGACAGAGGAGACACAATTGACGCAAATTGTACAGAACGTCAGCTAGGATGAAGTCGAAGGAGTGGGCCGGCTGTCACTAGCCATGTTTAACTGAAATCCTGGAGCGAGTTTCTTGAGGGCGGCGACGCGGTTGCGGAGACTCTTCATTCGTCTCTTGGAGGCATTTTTCGCCGGCTTTACTGCGCTTCTAGCACGGCGGAGTTTCTCCTTGTCGACAGAGGATAACCTTTGCGGAGTTCTATTAAACCAACTCGGGTAGTAGCTCTCTAGAACAACACCTTAAAAAACCATACATAACCATAGAAGACCGCATAATAGAGGAACAAAACTGCCCCTAAAGGAGACACTGTTGATTTACATACATTTCATAATCCTGTTGAAGTTGAGGACGTTGTGTACAGTTGAGGCGATTATGGGTGCTATCTCCTTATCCACCAAGATAAATGCCTTATCTCTTGCATTAAGTGTCTAGAAAGTACTAAGTTGCAGAGAAAAGTACCTTTTTCGATCTGGGCAAATAAATGCCGTAAACAGGACCAAATTGCGAGAAATACTTCCGCAACTGCTCTTCTTCAAAATGCTTCGGCAAGTGAGAAATTTTAAGGGCAGAGTATATTTTGCTCTTTCTTAGATTGGAACCTTGTACTTTTTTTCCAGATGTATGTTTAGAACTCTTCGCATTCATTTCAGCTGTGAAAAGAAAATAACGCGTCAGAAAAGTAGACAGGATTGCAATATCAACATATTACACAAATGTGCCGTTGAAGTGAAAAACTCTGAGTGAATAAAGCCTTAGTTGAATTAATGGTAACCTGATCACCACAACTTACACTGAAAAACGGGTAACCACGCCGATAAAAAGAGACAATTTGAAAGTGCCCTCGCAAAGATTTGCCCGACAAAATAAGAAATATCTGGGTTAAATACCGGAACTGAAAAAGACAACGTAAGCAAAACTTAATAAAAGATTAAAAACATTAAATAACTTGAAAACGGTAAAAGAATATTTTACAGCGCCGTGTGGCATTTAAACTTGACTTTTGTCAGTTCGTTCATGCTGACTCCGTTGGAGCACTTCCCTCCTCAGGCGTGTCTCTGAAGAGTCATATGAGTAAAAAACCATTAAATGACAAAAATGTCCTAGTATTTGTCATAAAGATAGTTAGTCGTACCTGCTGTTGCATGCGAATTGAGATTCGTAAGCATTTGTTTTGACGCATTGACTTTCTCCAACAAGTTCCTAATCACAGCTCATACAGGGTGGTCTGTTAGTTTTTGGGCGCGACTTCTGAGATCCCGTATGTTTGTTGCATTGCAATCACCAAACTTTACTGGGTTTTGTGTCATTTATTTGCGTGCGCATGTATATTTAGCTATGCGGGGGCGCTAAGTTCGTTTTGTGGCATTTTACAGTAGTCTCAATCGGTTGGTTTTATTATGTTTAGAAATCCATTAGCACTATATCTGAATAAGTGTTCCGACACAGAGTTTCCTAATCTTGATTATCAAAGCAGCCACTATTTTAAGCGAGCAGTTTATGCACTCAAATGCTTCTTCTGCTAGTTATCTCGACGAACCTGGGCGGTTTCATTTTCGCTTTCGAATTTCTTGTAGATATGCTATGGATTCACTACCGAAGGTATTTTTTAGATAGCTTGACTATCTATATTGCAGGAGATTTACGTGCGTTACTTGTCATCGTTGGTTGTTTCACTGGTATTCAGTGCCGCCTTTCTCATGTGTGGTTGTTCAATTGTCAGTTTGAGCATTTTCTCCCCGTTGTACCCAAACAGAATGTGGGACCCATTATTATTCATGCTTAGCATTGGAATATCATTGTTGGTTGTCAAAAGTTTCTATACGCATTTGAAAGGTGTGTGCATATACTCCTATTTTATTTGTCGAAGCTTCGGATATTGCATTCAGCAAAAATAGTGAATTTATCCAAATTCTGGTCGATCAACACAATCTCTTATTTTCTTTGACCTTGCTTGTCCTGGGGTCCCTGCAAGCGTTCACTGTGACTCGGTTGATGGGCTACAGGTAGGTGGCCTTATTTTTTACCATCCTAATGTATGTAGTGGGCGAATTGCCTGGATTCTTCAGTACGGCGGCTTCATTGGCTTTTCTTTTGCGATCTATGCTATATCTCAAAACCTGCTTACGTTGACTTTTGATAACAAGCCGGTTTCTCTTCTTGATATATTCAAGGATGCAATTTTGCAAAATGTTTTGCGAACCCTGGGTCGAATGATCTATTTTGTTTTGTTTTACACTTCATTAAAATCCGTTGTGCGGTTGGGATATAATTCCCCATTCCTAAACTCATATGTTGGGTTGTTGAAGGATTTTGACCTCTCAGTGGTACAGGAGATGTACATTGTTGGACTTTTCATTTTCACAACATGGAGCGCATCTCTTAATATTCTTCAGAATGCCATCACCAAGAGTTTGCCTCTTATTGATAGTGATGAAAGTCATTTGATGGTGGTCAGTGATTATCTCGACAATTCAAATGCCAATGGTCTCATACACGTAAGTGTCCAAACTTCTAACCAATATTTCTAGCACCTATTATTGGGTAGACTCGCTGATTCTATTGCTGCTGATGCAAAAACCCGGGAACAAGTATTTAATATTACGGATATAAGTAAGTTTAACCCTAGTGCATTTTGGGTGCCATTATTGATAGGGTGAATTAGAAGTAAATGTTTGTGGTCACATGATCTTCCGTCGTCAGTGCTATGCGATTCTTAGTCATTATGAGCGGTAATTTGTGCAGTATTCTCTACTGGGGGCTCAATATAAGTCGTTGATGACACCATAGCACTTTACCTGTGGCCAAATAGCTTGTGCTGTCCCATTCTACCTTGTCGCCTTTCTAGATGGTCAAGTGACTGTGTGGCTTCGGTTGAATGAGTCGTGCCTTAAGAAATTGGAGACCTTCCTAAGTGGCGTGAATAAAGCTAATAAGCAGCTCACCGCTGGCCATTCTGCGATGATTGGTAGGCAGCTGTCTGCTTTCATAGTTCTCTTTTTTTATTTCTTCAATTACTTAGTTAGTCAGTCGTTTAATTTTTACCTCAACTACACTTAGGAAACGGCTCGAACTCGACTTTACGGCTTGTGCAAGTTTTTACTAAATCCATCGTTAACTCGGTTTTAGTGCATTTGTCGTGTTCAGCCTGTGAACCCATGATAGCATATTGTTTTTCCTCCATTCTTGAAGAGAATGTCCTAAAAATTTTTTAGCTTTCTTGATGCATTTATTATTATGTTTGTAGCGATTTCCCGTCCATTCGAGCACCTAAATGCGCCATTGCTGTTCCCGAAAACTGCTCCTTTAAAAAATCACAGTGATCAAGAAGCATTTGGACCAACTATTCGCCATCTTGTGAACGAGGTACCGCTTCACTTTTTTAACTTTGGGCATCTCTCTTTGCATACCGACACTTTCCAGACAAAAGATTCGAATTCGGTTTTCTAAATCCTTTGCTCGTTGCGCGATGCAAATTTTTTTATTCGGAGACGTGGTTTATGATGTGATGTTATTGTTCTTTTTTCAGTATAATCACCAAAAGTTTATCCAAATTTACGATTTAGACTTCAGCTTTCTGCACGAGGCTACCGTTTCTCCGATACTTGCTTCGAGATGTGCCATTCGCATCCACATGGCGCCTCTTCAGTTCTGGCGGGACAAACCAGGTGGTGAATATATGGAGCACTGCCGAGGAGTCTTACCAATCGGGGCAGGCTGTTATTTGGGCTACAGAAATCCTTGGAATTTTGACTCTCTCTTCGTACATAGAAGATCGTTTAGGAGCAGTGCAGCGCTCTCTTGGGCTGATATTGAGTACGATTGATGAGTGTCTCGAGGTACTACTCCTGGCTCAAAATACCGTTGCCACCAATTTATTTCCCTGATTATCCCTCAGAACCGGACCGGAAGAATGTTGGTTCTACGTCATGAGACTTAAGGAAGGCTTTTGAGGTGCTAACACCTTATGCATCTTACTGGCTTTTATTTTCGTCAATTTAGGCTATGGAATTGCATTTCAAGTTGGTTGGTCTCGCACCCCCTCACAGCAGTTTGACTTCACTCAAGTTGGAGACGCACTGCCAGATTCCCAGTGTGCCAACACCCGAAAAGGAGAATGCGACGACGGTTAATGCCTACCGATACGCATCGGATACCAACCTTCCCTGGCGCATTCATGCCACGCTACGTTGGGCCCTGGTCTCGTGTCTCCGCCAGTTTGGCAGTCATCTTAGGTACGAACTGACCTTTCTCCAGACTGTCCTAGTCGGCAAATGGTTAAAACAATTTCCCCGTTCTTACCTAAGACCTTTCAAACGTTAGGAAATCTCACGTTCCCAAATGCTCGCTGACTCTTTAAGAAACGCTTTTGCAGCTCAAACACGTAAGGAAATGTCTTCTTGTAGGACAATGCAGATGAACGCCAAACGAAAAGAAAGACTTCAGCATTTGTGGGAAATGATAGTGGTGACGGACGACAAATGTTGAGGGAAGAACAGACTACGAAGAGAGGGCCTTTGTAGCTATCGCGTTGCGTTGAGCGTGCAAACATTTCCATGTACTATTTCCAGAAATGTATGACACATACTTAAAATGAAATAAAACGATTTTTCGAAACATGGCATTGTTTTATTCAACATTTGGAGGTCTCTGGATGGAGTTCTTCTTGATTTTTTCCGCCATCCATCGGATCGCATCGATTACACCATCACTAAAGCGCAAAAACTGTTTGTGAATGATCCTGCAGCAAGGCGCTACGAGTTAACAGTAAAATCAACCAAATTACCACTCGTGTGGTTAAAATGCAGAAAAGATCGGGGGCATTAGGAATCTTGAATTAACAGAAGGGGAGGGGTGTTGTCTAAAAGCCTAGAGATGGTCAGACGCACCCTTTCAGAGCGGATGCGCCACGCATTGAACAGTCTCTAGATCCGATAAGATGTGCACTGTCCTGGAAGACCTGCCTGATCTCTGATACTGGAAAGGCAAACTACAAAAAACAGATGAATATAAGGCTCGCGGCCGGAGTGCTCGTAAACAAGATCGAAGGAGTCTGAATAGTCAAGATGTAACCATTAGCCGTAAAAAAACAGTTTACGTAGAGAATGAGAAACGGGATAGAAATAGATCCTGTCAATGCAGAGAAGCTTACGTCGAGGTCTTGCTTGTTGGCGATGATTAAAAGAGGAACTCCTTCAAGTGCATGATTTTGGATCATTTTATCTTAAAAATAACTCAGAATAGCATTTACCAAAGGCTCCCTTTGATTCGTCAAATCGGCCGGGATCTGAAGAATCGATAATAAAAATGACACCGTGAGACTCTATGTAGTATTTGTCCCATAATGACTGAAGTTCAGTCTGACCTCCAAGGTCCCAAAATTTCATTATTATACCTTCAAGTGCGATCTGACCAACTAAATGTGACAATCACTACAGATGATAACGTTACTATTCAATCCTACGGTGGAGGTAATTTTATGAAGCGGTATCGACTTGTAATTCTCGTTGAATTTCGTCTTTGCCTGTTCAAGGTAGGTCTAAAGGCAAATGAGTAGCAATTAAAGTACCGTTTTTCCCGCTTGATCAAGGCCCAAAATCAACACGGAGTACTCGTCTTTCTTAACAATTTGACGGCAAAATCCTCGAATAAGAGTATACATCACAGGTCAACTATATGTAGTCGCTGTACGTCAGCAGCTAACAAGTCAATAAAGGTCATTTATCAAAAGTTCTGCCATGCGATGCATTTGATGCAGGTAGAGATGATTATGAACGTACCCGATCGGCAACTAAAAAGGCAGTATTAATGTAGGCACCAGACATAATGCTAAAAAAAATGACCAGCCAGTATATACAAGATCTTTTGGACATTTGAAAGTTTTCACTGATACAAATCGCAGAAATTCGAGGTGAAAGTGTTTTTGGGTATGAAATAAAAAAAATGGTAAGCTAAGCATTCATCATTTGAGTGTAGTTGCACAAGTATTGGTTAGGGTTAAAAAATGTTTTAAAATCTGATAATTTATGCTTACTGTAGGAGAAAACGAAAGAGTTAATTCTTAGCAGGTCGTATGTGGTCGTTTGACACCAGACCTGTGGTACAGTCGAACAACGTGGGCACCTTAAATGCCTCAGGGCGAGACACCTCTTACTATAATGCCTAGCGCCGCCCTAATTACTAAAAAACGCTAAAATTCCCATCCTAGTATGTGTCAAAAAGAATGCGGTTTATCTAGCGTGACAGAGCACTGGCAATAGGCTGAGATGACTTTCTGCCTTCATTAAGAACTTACGAGTACTGCTACTGGCTACCAGTCGGTTTTTGGATCAAAAGCAATTGATAATGAAAAAAAAGATATTTTTACACAGATAGAAAGCGTTTGCCTGGCTTTCGTATTCTAAATTCAGTCTTTGCGCAGCTTAGAAATGAATATGGATGTTTCGCCCATACATTAATGAAATCAAATCATCATAAATACGCTCTTAATTACAAGGTCAAATCCAATATTTGGGGTGAGGCTCATTGGATTTTTACTGATTCGCAGAAATGAGTGAAGAGGAGGAGCATCCAAAGGGTATTCTGAAACATACCGATACAAATGAAAAAAAAAACAAAACCTTTCAGTGGGACGAAATGAATATATTGGCCACTTACCATCCTACGGACAAAACATACGGTCATATGAAAGTGGATGAGCCACCGACCCCTTATAATTTTGAATATAATGCCTCTCAGACACCTAGCCAGGGAGTCTCAGCTGAAGCACTTGCAAGCAAACTTGCCGGTATATCTGATAAACCACCCGGAATGCTTGTCGTAGGTTATTTATTTCGCCAATATCTGTGAGCTCGCTTTTTATCCTATTTCTAAGTGACGGTTTAGTGTGTTTTTTTACTATCAATCGTTATGCACCTTTCTTCTGATAATTTTAAGCTTACTCATTTTTACCATGCATCATGTTTTCTTCCAAAAGCAACATTAAATTATTAGCTTTTTAAAAATGATGCTGTTTTGGATTTGGACATTTGATTGACGCTGAGGATTAAACATGGGCGAATCTGTGGTAAATGTCCGCATATTTGTAGTTTAATCTTGGATACTTGGTCTTTTTGCAAGTTTTCATGATGCTCTTGCTCTCCAATGAACTCAAGCGTTGGTACGAATCATTCTTATGTGGCATTTAAAAGGATTATGATCATTTTATGTCCACTTGAAGGTTTATAAATCGGTCGGTAATTCTCGGCATCGGCTGCTTTCTTATAAAAGTACCCGACTTTTGCGTCAGCACGTGTATTTTAAGTAGCAACTGTGCACAACCAATGTTTGATCTATGGAAGGGAAACACTTTCAATCAATTTCTGTTTTTAGTTCACCATTCTTGGGCTTGTTTTTTTCTACTCAAACAATATTATCACAACCCATTCGTGTAGCCTGATCAGCACAAGTTCTCTTGAATCTGTATTCCTAAAGAGTGTTACGGAGTGACGCCACGTTGGTGCATGGTTTAGTTACGCCATGTTGATAATGAGTGGGATGTTTACTAATGTCATACCAGTGTGTGTTTACCATCGTACATGTTCAAAATTTCCTTGCATTCTTGTTTTCCCGTAGCTGAGGACTTCATGTTTTGTATATCCTCTAACTGAACTCTTAGTGAGACCTACATTGTCTTACACTTCACTTTTGCTGCTGCTAAATTTGTTGCAATTCACCTTTACACTATAATTTGTCCTTTCCATGCCTTATTTGTGAAAACTAGATTAAATGATTTGAAGTCACTTATGACCTAGTTCGTAGTGAGTTTTCGCCTCAGTGGATTTGAAGCTCAAGCTCTAGTCTTTCAGGATAGGAAGCACGACGCTGATGCCACTTTGGCACCTGAAGAAGCGGAACATCGTCGGCAATTTGAGGAGAAACGGAAGAAGCACTACAACGAATACCAGGCCGTTCTCGCAATGCGAGGATCACACAGCTCTGGAACTGGGGAAGATGAAGATGAGGACGATGACTATGTGGATCCCATCGCGGCGAGGAATGCAAAAATAAACTCTCAAACACACGCTCCACACAATCCCAAGTGAAGATTCACCTTCATGCACTCACACTTCCTCCCCCGTTCTCCTCTCCTCAGTATTCTCAGAACTACATTCGTATTTTATGTAAACTTCCGATACATGGGTCTGTGACCTGTTTTCGTAAGATTTAGAGCCTGCCTATTACGTTTGACAATGGTGCCCCTTAAAACACCATCAGAGCAATGTTAATTATTTCGACTGGTGCAAGTGGAACTATTTCCTGATGCTACTAAGGTGCTCTATGGATATTGGAGTTCATCCGAATTCTTAAGTGCAACAGTGGGGCCCACTTGTGTAAATCATGCCAAGTTTGTCAAAATAGTGGGAAGGTTAGATTGTTTATCTCAGAAAAAGGCGAACACGGATTCACGGCTTGGGTGCTGTAGTCATGCTGAGTCGAAAAGCTTATATTTACAATAAACTAGTAGATTACAAGATACAAGTTTTGTCTGTCTCTAGGGCCTAGATATCCACGCTGGGGGATTTCTATTATGGGGTGCGACGGTTTTTTGGGCTCTTGGGCCGTGCGCACTGGGAAGATCGCATTGTTTGGCAACAGGCTGGGTTAATCAGTTTTGAGACAAACTATGAGATGTCGCGGTGTCCGCCCATTCCACTTTTCTACTTCGCGCACTAAAGTAGACCTTTAGGTGCGCCCCATCACCTCACCATGACTGCCCGCACTCATTTGATAATTTCCACTTGTGCTTTTACTGCCCCTGCCTAGAAATTCTAGCGTTTTTCCTATGACTGTTAAAGCAGGTTTTCCTCTGTCCTTTCAGTTCCATGGCCGAACCGTCTTTCATCTTTTATTGTGCAGTGATGCAAGATTCCCATCATTTCATTAATTTAATGATGCACTTTCCAACGCCAAATCTTCCTTAAAAAAATCAAAGGCCAGCTAGCGTGTTCTGTGCTGTGCCATAAATTGTAGAAGGAAATTCAATGTATGCTTACACAGTTTTCTCTGATTCTTAGAAAAGTCTTCACTATTCGCGTAATTAGTTTGATGGCCTGAATTGAACCAGTATCGACACAAGAAATCGTTTTCCACTGATATCTCAAAGATACCTGGGAAAACGATTGCACTTGTTTTGAACATGGTGGTAGAACTCGGGCAAAGAACAACACAGAGGTGCAAATGTGTGCTCTTCCAAGTGGTCAATGTATGCGGCAGGAGCAGGCAAACCATCGCTTAAATGCATTTTGTTGTTCGGTCGTTGCTCACCTGATAACAGTTTTATCTTACGGTCTTATCAAATCAAAATCCTTCTCTAAAATGTTAAATTGTATACTAAAAATGTTATGAAATAAATAATCTAAAATGCGTCCGAAAGTGTTGTGGGCAGTAAGGAATTCAGTTAGGATTTTTGAGTTCTTCCAACCTCTGAAGGAAAAACTTTTTTCTCGGCACAACTCAACTGAAGGAAATGTTTTTGCATTCTTGTGTGTTTGAATTACTTTTCACAGGCATGCCAAGAATCTGGTGTTGAAATATGCGTTTCATTCAGCTCAAGATCCCCTTACATTTGGAAAGTTTGCGAGCACAAATCGGAGTCTGTAATTTTGGAGAGACCCGCAGTTCCCGATTTATGACCAGCATAATCAAATTATTGTAGCATTAATTATTTCAAAACTCTCATACAATTAAGGCTAGAAATAATACTTTTAATTCATTTTACTGTAGGTGGCATAAACCCACAATGATGTAGGTTAAATAACGAATAAATACCCAGATCTTTGCAGATCTTCGGATCACTAACCACTACGCGATATTATTGAGCTTACCTGCGGTTGAAAATACTTGATATGATACACCTTCATTCAGTAATTCACTATAAGGCCAAATGTTTGCTCTTTAGGCTGTCAATCTTCCCAACAAGCAATGATTTGTGAACGCAGGGAGGGGAGAACAATGATTCCCGTTGTTTCCTTTGCAAGCAATATTAAGGGAGGCATCCATCAACGGACGATATGACGACCAAGGCAAACAATGCATTTGAGACGAATCAATGGAATAAGACGAAGATAACGCTAAGGTGCTAATTGAATGTAGGAGGCTGACACAAATTTTCCGCTTCACCATGGACTTTTCCTCAGACATTTAGTACAAAGTCCAAACTTTTGGGCTTAACATATTTAGGAAAAATTAAGGCTTGTTAGAAATGCTCTTGCAAACAAGCATGAACTGGCTGTGAATTAGGTCAAACTAAGGATATTCGATCAGTTAACAAAGTTTTTGTCCAAACCCAATTCTCAAGACTAACCTCCTATATTGTTCTTTCTTTAGTTGTATCAGAAAAGAACATTTAAAACTTAGTGACATCGCAACGGTTCTCACTTAAATCGACATACCTATCGTTAGGGGTATGTGTATACAAGCTGGATCACAAAAATTTTTTGATTTGTGTGGAATGCTGTCACTGTTTTTCAGTCTCCGGATTTTTACAAAATGACAACGAAATTCGGGTTACATGCGGATGTGCGATACTACGAACGTGTGTAAGGGAAAATTATCATACATACAGATTAAAAGCCAGGTGATCCGCCCTTGGGCGATGGCGTAGGGAGGATATTTAGCACCAAACATTTCAAAATCATCAGGTAGTCCGTTAGACTTGCCGTTCCACCACTAGTTTCCCTCGTCTAAAGTTTACGTAAATTACTGGAAGTTTTTCCGCTTCACCTTTAATTTAAACATTTTGGAATACAAAATTCTATAAAAGCTAACTATTAGAAGTTGCTTCTCGAATTTTTAGATTAGTCAGCAAAATTGACAGAGCATTTGAATTTTCACCATTGCCCGGAGAACAGGTGGTAGGTGAATTACTATCGCATCGGAGTCAGGCTGAATGCACGTATTCGCTTTACCTCATGACCTCGGGATTGCGTCATCCCCTCCTGATCGCTTGTGTCAAGAGGTGCTGTGCCATTCAAAGTACGCATTAGAACCCTCATACCAAACAATATGGGTTTCCTGATCAGCTCAGACGAAACTACCTAACAATCCTTTAACCCCGCCGGCCCCCCCAACTGATTAAACTAGGCGTAGATCTGCCGACCAAGTAGAAAAATACCTAACTCCGGCTATGATTTCGCCAATGTCCTACCACAAAGTCACCTCGACTGGCGTTACGCCAGAAACCAACTGCAAACAAACCTGCGATACATCAGTCACGCGCAATTTATGCACTGCAGGAGCCCGGGTCTACCGACGCGCCGCCCATTAGATCCCAAGCACGGATACCTACTCCCGGTGCCGCACTCCACTGCACCTAAACCGCCACAATTTCCCTGGTGTGCAATCCAAGCCTAGCTTACGATTGGAGCAGACCGCCGCCTAACATGAGAGAACCTTTGATGAAGCACCGGGATAAACAGACTGAGGCCCAAAAGCCAAGACGTGACAAGGCAGTTTTAGCGACATCGCGCATCCCTCCTTCCCTCAAACCATAGAAAGGCGGCACGATCACTTATTCTTCAGGTTCTTCACTTTAAAAAGATAAAGATTAATCAGACAAACAATGTTAGAGAGAAAGAAGAATCGGGAAAGGTTGAGACGTGAATAATGGGCAACAGCGAACCAGTGAGGGAAGGACGGGTGTATTATAGGGATCATACAGTGCGTGCACAGAATTGTGTTAGTTGGAAACATCAGACAGGTTGGGCGGTTTGAGATGAGAAGATTGTTGAGGGGGCCAGAAAGGTCGTAGCTAAAGGACAGAGGGGTCAAGACGACAAGAGCCACTAGTGCGCACATTCTTAAATGTGAGGTAATGCGAGGCTATCAGGTTCACAGGACAGCGCAGAGTTGCAAGTTTTAAAAGTGCAGTCCAGGCGTAGTCATGGGGGCCGTAGGAGGACCAGCCAGACCATGAACGGGAATTGCAGCGGGAGCAGCTGGGAAGGGTGCGTGAGAGGCATTGATGAAAACCGGAGGATGCGAGGTGTGGGGGTGGTCACCAAGAGATCGAGCAGATCCTGACTGACGTTGCGGAGCAGCCAGCAATGCAGGGCCTCCCGCAGTTCCCGACTGGTGCGAAAAAACACTCGTCGAATTTGCGAGACCTCCGCTCGTGTAAGCGAACTAAAGGAGAATAATATATGGATACAATAGCAGCAACACTAGTACAACGGTTGTCCCCGAACAAAACTGAGCGCTCATGAGAAACTAAGAGAAGATAAGAGCAGATTCGGTGGTGAAAATCTAGTGAGAAAAATTGCATTTTAAATCACACCCTCTGATGAGAGGACCTTACATTGGGATCAAACGGCAGAGGAGGTGGAGGTGTTGGATGCGTTGGAGAAGGGGCATAAAGTCCACTAGGGGGCGGCATGGAAGCAGCTTGAGGCGGAGGCGGCGGAGCCGGTTGGGCGAAGGGTGGACCTCCCACACCAGGAGTCACACCGCTTCCACCTCGCATTGGTCCAGAGCCGTAGAGTGAGGCATTCGCATTGCCTGATTGAAGACGAGATGTTACCGATACAGAGGACGTCGATGAGGGCCGATCTGCACCAATCACACCAACATAGGGGGCATGATGTGGTGGGGGTGAAGGGGTGTAGTTAGAGGACCAAAGGGCAGCGGCCTGGGGCGCTACGGCACCAGCAACAGCGGCAGCCATAACAGCAGCCTCCTGATGGGAGTGGTGCTGTTGATGCTGCCATGAGGGGAAACCGCGTTGCTGAGCAGGTGGGGCGGGAGGATACAAGCTGCGCGGTGGCTGCTGTGCTCCCGCTTGATTCACATTCCCTGCTCCAAATGGGGGTACTGTGAAGTAGCTGTCCGTGCCCATTCCGTTCTGGGAACAGGTACCACTCATTTGATTATTTTGATGCCGCTAGAACAGGCACGTCAAGTCACTTATTGGCACTCGCATGGAACTCAGCATACTTATATAAAAAAAGATCCCAGAACCCCCATTCAAGGACATAGCTGCAAGCGAAAGATAAAAAGGGCGGAAGGCGTAAAATAAAGGTGTAAATTTATGCTTAACGCAACGCCGAAAGCGTACCATAGTCAAGTCAGGTAGACCGAATCCCATCATGGGTTGCTGTTGCTGAAGGGGGTGTAAAGTTTGTCTGAAAGGCTGCTGTTGCTGCTGTTGCAAATACACGGCAGCAGCTGGATTCAATGCGAGTGAAGAGTCTGGTGCAGTTTCAATTTTCTTACTTCCGTAACCGTCGAAGAATACAGAAGATGAATTGCTCGTATAGACACCAGAAGTTTTGCCTAGCCAATCTCCAACATCGCCGATGGGTCGCCGTAACTGAGATGTATTTATGAGAACTGTATTACCAGATGTTGAAAATGCCGTGGACATGGGGAAAGAAGTAAGCTCTGGTTTTGATGCTTGAGAAACAGGGGCTGCAGAAGAGCTGCTAATAACAGCGTTTGTCGGTTGTTTTTGAGGTCTGACCTTGCAGACATTGGCAGAAGTTGCTACTGCGGTAGATGCACTCGGAGCAGATACCCCCGAGGGATCGGGCAAGTGAGTTGCACCTTCGTCCTGTAGCATCTTCTCTTCGATTTCCGATTGTCTTGACTGTGGAATTGCACTCAATTCGAGCTCAGCTGGCATGGTTAATGGCTGAGGAGCGCCAGCAACTGCCACCGTCGACGGATGATCCGAGGTAGCGCTCTACAAAGTCCAAATGATACGAATGCTCGTGGACTCCAACAATTTCCACAAAACAACTACATATCAATTGATGGAACGGTACAAACAGGCAGATGTTATAAAGGACGAACTTGCAGTCAATAGTAGGATGAAAACAGACAAAACTGTTGAAATAAAATAACTGAACAATCAATCTTGAAATAGCAGCAACGCACCTCCACAGGCTTTGGGACAACCACTTTTTCATTTGTCTTAGCCGTCAACGACATTGGAGCATTCTCACTAGGATCACAGCTTGTCGATGTTGCAGTGGTTCGCGAACCGACAACAACGGACCAAGCGTAAGAAGATGAGACGGTAGTCGATACAGTCGCTTTAGTCGACGAAGCAGCAGAATCGGGTAAGGCAGTTTTCGATTTCGTGCTGTTTTGAGCAGCCAAAGCGGCGGCAGCGGCGGCCTTCTCGTTGATAGTTTCTTGAAGTGGTTTCAACCAAGCATTAGTTGGTTGAGGCATGGCTGAATTTGTCAATTTTTTGACAGCAGATTCCGAATGCTTTGAGGACGTTTGACTAGAGTTAGCAGAAGCAGCTGTGACTGTGGTCGGAGCAGAACGCTGCTTATCTTTTGCAGGTGCTTCATCATTCTTGAAAGGCTTTGAAGGCTTCTGGTCGGTCCTGGACGATGCCGTCTGACCACGAGACTTAACAAGATCACGGCTAAACAACAAAGATGCTCGATTTCACTTAGCAAAACGAGTATGATTTCAGTGGCGTTTCCCACCAATGTAAAAGACCAAGTTTAACCACTAATTAGTCACCATCAGAAGTAGAAATAGGCATAAATACCCATTAATCCTACTCACTTTTTAATTTTAACAGTAGAAGATCGCTCGTCGGAAGAAATGGAAGATTTCTGGCTCTTTTGCTGCAGTTTTGCCTTTTGTTGCCTTCTGCTTGACTTAGAACGCACCTCCATAAATCCATCCTCGCTGGAGATGGAAACACTCCCAGCAACAGATTCAGCATCTTTTACTTCCACAGCTGATCTAATAGGAGCTGCATCATTGCCAGATGACTTAACGGTAGGTAGCGGGGAGTCTAGAAAGCTCGGGTTGTCGCAATAAGAAGGTGGAGCCTCCGCGTTAATCGACATCAAGGGGACGATTTTGCCTGTGATCTTGGGAGTTGGGCGACGCTGTGCGGTTCTCTTGGGAGGATGGCTGTAACCGCCTGAGAGAATTAATGGAATATTGCATACATAATCCGCACAAATACAATGCCAGAAACGAATACATGTCAAGCCTGCGACCGCGCGCCCTGCTACGTTACTCACCCTCTTCATAATCATCATCAACAGCAGCAATGCAATCTTTATGATCAGCTGCTTTTGCAGTACTTGCTGCAGGTGATACGCTTGTAAAATCGGCAAAGGAACACCCCGGCGAAGTCCCCAACAGAGAGGAACTGAAACCTTCCGAGGCAGTCTCCCAGACCTCTACATCACTCGCCAATGTGACTGCAAGAAAAATAAGGCATGTGTCCTTCTTTAACACCGATCGACGGGACACATGCATGCCGGTATGGTGTCCACTGCATGCAGGGAATTGGGACTAGGGAAGACATGCTGCTAGACAACACACATGCGCGTCGCGAGGCTTGATAATGTTGGAAAACGAAGTTATCTGATATCGCTTACTTGAATGTGCATGGCTCCGAGATTTCGCAGCAGATACAAAGATGCTGGTTTCGCAAGATTGCACAGCGTCGACAGACCCACTTTGTTGCTGACCACTGGAGGTAGTGCTACCGTTTGATTCCGTATTTGCTCTACCTTCGCCCCTACTTGTATTGCTGTCGCCGGTAGAAGTGGTGGTGGTAGCAACGGTAGTTGAAGTGACGTTTGTATTAGAAGGCCCACCCTTAAAATCTTGATCATCATCTTCGTCCGGATGGCGACGGTTAATCTGCCGACGGGTGTTTGCGCGATCGATACGACCGCGGCGATGAGGCTGCCTTTGGGAGCCACCATGCTGTCCTCTCCGCGCTCTTCCACTGTTACTACCGCCCCGCCGCGGTCTGTGCGAATGATATTGTTGAGAATCCGATCCCGTCAGTTGCAGAGGCGTAGTGCCTTGCTCAGAGTCCAAAATTGCGTTGGCACCGACCTCATTCACATCATTTTGAGACTAAAAAATCGGAACATTTCACCGCCATGAAAAAGGGGCATATATATCAACCTAAAAACCAGCTACTAGGAAGCATGGATAGTTATGTAATTTTGACCAGTTTTTCGTGCTGATGTGCCAAACTGTAGAATCGAAGTATTCATTGCGACAAGAGAAACCCGAGTTTCTGTAACGATTTTTGTAACGTACAAGAAATAGCAGACTTCTAAGGTGCCGAATACATTTAGCAGATCCCATGAGCGTTGAGAACCCCCAACACCATAAAAACAACATACAATCGTGTTGGTAGTTTCTGGATTTTCATCGATCTTCCGCTGGTTTGGATGGTGCCCGCGAGGCTTCGCAACATCTTCATGACCACTGTACCGACGGTCGCCAGGACCACTGCGTGGAAAACTCTTTCTGCCTCGACCACTACCCGCTGATACGGCAGAGCCCGCCTTTTCAATAGCACGGTCACCTAAAACTCATAGACGTAAAGGCATGGAACGGATTGCTACCATGTTGATTCCTTTCAAGCCATAATAAGGTCGTTAAACACGTCGAAGAAAGCATTCTGTAAAAGTACGCATTTCAAGTGAACTACAATGAGACGTTTCAACCTTCAAGCATTTGTAAAATTCCGTAGGAAATCGCATGTATCATCACACTGTCTCCGAAGAGCGACATTGACCACGTTGTTCTTAAGTAAAGCTTCCAGTACTACAATGCTATTATGAGTACTAACTGCACATTTTGAAAGACACGAAGTCCCATAACCCATAAATTAAATGGAACACGAAAAAGCAAAATAAACACATTTGAATTTTAACTACCTTGTCTATTGTTTTTGCATCCACTGCTTCCACTCTTCCACCTATCCCGCTGATTGTGTGAGGAACACGCTTGCTGTCTACCAAAATCACCATTTTGCTGTTTACACGCATCATAATCAAGGAGAGCCCCACGATTTGACCTAGACATGCGAGTTGAGCCCCAAACAAGCTGTTGGCGTGGGAAGGTGCCGCTGACAATGTCGTCACGACGCCTCGAACTGCCCTGTTGTTCCTCGCTGCAATCACAGACAACAGGCTCGTCAACGGGAAGCTCCTCAGTACGATCATCATCCCTTTCCAATGCTCGTCGTGTCGAGCGCTTCACCACGTCCCTTTGTGGTGGGCCACGGTTCTGCCGTCCACTACTATTATAGGTTGCGTACCGATGGCCGCCATTCCTTTCGTCTACAATCAGATTAGAAGTTCATTGGAACATTTAAGCGGTATCCCGCATCAGCATTCTAACACGTACCGTTCGCATTTTTCGAACCGCCGCGGCTGGATTTGAACTTAGCATAGTTATCACGCGAAGACACAGGAGGAGGGAACGTATCAAAGTCCTTTTCGCTCCATTTACCAGAAAGATTGACTTCCATGAGCGGAGTAATGTGTGGTTGCTTTTGAACGAGTTGTGGTTGTGAGTTCTGTGGTGGGAAAGACTCGATTGTTGACGGTGCTGGGGGTGTAAATGCAGTGCGCAAACCCTCAGGATGAGCAGAGATCTGAAGGGGACGACTATTAATTGCTATAGCCCGTGGTAAAGAAGAAACAACCAGTTCCTTATTAGAATCACTCTCCATCCGCTTTTCCAGGACTGGAGAACTAGAAGGATGTTGCGTGATGTGAGGTTTTACAGAATGGAAAGGAAGGTGATTGACCACCGATGATTCCCCTATAGTATTCCCGTACGAATGTACCGAACTTTCGATAGGACGATCAGGTGGAAGCCCTTGAACGTGACCACTCTTTGGATTTGGCTAGTAGAAAGAATAAGATAAAATATGCAAAAACTACCTGTTGATTGAAAGCGTTCATCGCAAAATGATCGGATTTGAAATAAAATCCCTGACTGGTTGGTAATTTTGGAGAGTTAGAGAGCGGATATGAAGGATGCATAAATGGAGGCTGACTATTCGTTGAAAAAGGGCCAGAATTCCATGGAGGAGAAAGAGCGCCAGTCAAGTGTGCTTGTGATTTCATTTGCGACGCCAAATGACCGTTTCCAGAAGCCACCGAGTGCATTAAACTAGAAAACCCATTATTGTACAAGGCCGCAATCACAGGCTCCATAGTGTGATGCTGGGGAGAATGATTAACAGGGCCGTGCATGGAGAAGGCGGGAGTACCAGCAATAGCCGCCGTACCAGACTGCATAATCGACTGGGAGAAAACGCTAACATCGGTTAGGGTACTTTTCGTCGAATCAATGGACTGATCCTTCCGCTTAGACTCCATAACCTCAGCATCGCTCCGCTTCTTTCTCGCCATCTGTGCCCTATTTACAGCCGACTTAAAGGCCAACGTCCGCTCTTCACGCTGAGCCTGGACCTGGGCCTCAGAGGTAGTAAAAGACGTCCGTTGAAGCTGCTCTGACAAAAGAGCTGCTTCACGACTAGGAAGCACGTCTGGACGGGTGCCGGCGATAGGAGCAGATTCCGCAAATATGCCCTCGTTCGGAGCACAGAAAGATGTGTTGAAAGAATGCTGCATGGGGGACACGGGATTGAAACAATTAGGTTGATCCCAAGCAGTCCGCGGATATGGCACCTGTGCAGAGACCTGAGGTTGAATAGATGTCGGTGCCCATGAAGCCACAGATACAACCGATGTTTTTGGAGATTCGTTGGACATCTCAACGACAGGCGTCTTTGATAAATCCTCCTCATCATCACTGAAATTAATACGTTCTTGAAAGTCTGGTTCCTCCGTCGTTACCGCCGCCCAACCGGTCCGGGGTGCCGTACTTTCATTGGATACAGCCTTGGTTTCAGCTGGTTTCTCATTAATGCTAACTTCTGTAAGTTCAGGATCTTTGGGAGAAATCGAGTCCGATAATGACTAAAAATAGTGGAAAAAACGGTAAAAATACTGCTTCGTGAAACTAGAACATTAAGTAACACTAACTGAAGTGGCAGGGCGCTGGTAAAATGGTATCGTGGGCCCTGCAGTTTTCCCAGTCAATGGCCGACCAATATCAGAAGAGCCGTCACTGAGCGCTTTTATTGGAACGCTTTTCGAGGAACGGAGGGCGAAGAATGCTAAAACAACGGAGTGAAATTGCAGCAATGTGTATCCAAACCACGTAGAAATTATTTGGGGAAGAATTACGTTTTTGGGGTGGTTTAACCAAAGCTGCGTGAAAAGATTCAGTACAGGATGAGCGTTTAGAGTCACCATTGTCCTTCTCTGAGGCTTCAGCAACACCCTCGAGAAGAGAAGCAGTAGCTGTTATTTTTGGGTCACTTTTGGACGAGTTCTCCGAAGTAGTAATAGTGGAGGATCCAGTGCCCCAACCAGAACCTCCCGGCGGAACAATGTTTATTTTTGTATCCTGGCCACCCATTTCAGCCTTGATACTCGGGACCCACGGGGGCGGTGGAGGATTACGCCTAGTCCCTTGCAGTTTACCAACAAGCTGAAGGCCTCCGCTTCGAAGAGCTTCAAAGTCAAATACAAAAGATGACACTGAAGAGCACATTCTAAATAGATAATATCATGCAGAGAGACAAAGGTTCGGCAGGTCACCTTGACAAAGTATTTAGTAAAAATCGGTGCTCGAAGCATCCACAAGAAAATCAAAGCTGCCCAGCACGAAGAAAATGCACAAAACAAAATACATCTGCATAAAAACACTTACTAGGTTTTGACTGAATTTCACTAGCATTTCCTCTGTATACCAAGTTAATATTTGACTGTGCAAACTTTCCCTTTGGCTTGTCTATTCTTGAAAACTTCGTGTTCATTCTAGAATGATATAGGGTAAAAAAGAATGAGCTATCCTTTTCGAAAATTGCAAAGTTTATCAAGAGCCAAAAACAAGAAATAACGCAAAGACAGAAAACCCAACGCTTTACAATAAAGCCGCCCTAACAACAATGGAGTGCGAAAGCATGATAAATATAAACAAAAAATGATTTAAAGCTAATATTATTCAAAATCAAATTTGCTAAAACATCTAACAAATTAATCTTAAAGTGCTGCATGCTCTTTTTTAATGCTAAAAAAACCAAAAATTTAATTGATCTATGGCATAAATGTTATTGTTCTTCAAAACCGAGCAGTACTACTTTAGTCCCAACTAAATCCGAAGTTTGCTATGATTAAATTTGTGTAGACCAAACTCAAAGATCACCCTGATACTTCCTACAAAGGAGTTATGCAATACGATGGCAAAATATTCACTTTATGCATTTAAAAACGGCACGGGCTTTTGACATAAAACAGTGCTCTTTACCTTAACCAAGGGTTAAAGTGAAAGAGTCCAAAAGAGTTAGGGATAATGAGATATAACGAAGGCCACAGAGCCCATGTATATCAATTTGCCATAGTTCTACATTCCCGTAAAAACAAACGCCTTGCTTCACAAATAATCAACAAATTATGCAGGAACTTTTAATTTAGTAAAATTGACAATAAGGCACAAACTATTCTATTTAGAGAGAAATAATGAGGCAAACAGTTAGGATTAGGGCATGAATGGCAATAATTTTTAAAGTATAGACGCTTAGTAAAACGTAAACATATATTAATTAAAAATAAGTGAAAAAATGCAAATCAACCCAAGCATTTCTAAAGTAATAACAAGCCGCACAGGTACAAAAAAGTTGTCAGAAACAGCAGTAAGACTATGCAATTGTTTTAACATAGTAGATTGCTAAAGCGTAGCGTCCCGAGACTCCATGAAGACGAAATAAGACACAATACTCGGGCAGAATATATATATTCAGCACGGAGAAGGTGTCTGGGCTATTGGCTTGGCCCAAAAGGCCAGCCCACCCAGCGAGGTACAAGGGGGCTAGTTCGAAGTACAAAAGTGGCACCTCACCAGAACCAAGGGATAAACCACTATCGTATTACAAAAGCAAGGGCATACGTCAGAAAACACAAATTCTCAACGTTAATGGCAAAAGTCGGCTAGCCGTCAAACCCTTTTTAATGTGCATCTATGTGAAGTTTAAAAACTGCAGTTGGTGCTTTTCTGTCATAAGATAGACGTTTGGATTTGCCAAAGGAAAAAGGGGAGTCACAAATTCGTTATAGATTTTCAGGGATCTAAAACCGATCAAACTAGTGCGAAAAATCCATCTACAATACGAAAAAAATAATATATTATGATCACGACAAAACTCTCCTGAGGTATTAAAGATTTGTGGTGCTTCAACAGATCGTTTACATCTGCTCTCTAATTTGAAATCACTTAAGGCCCCTCAAATTCCACACTTTTTCGTCGGTATGCTCTTGGAGATTAACCAATGGCTCTAGCTGCTTTGCCTATCGGAAACGCTTTTCCTGCTGTGCTACAACTATCTCTTGCGTCTTCATGAGGCCACAGAGCTGTTCAGGTGAAAAGTTAATTAATCTAGCTTTTGGGTTGTTGATTGTCTCTGACACTTGCAAACTATAGGCATATTTAAGTTGTTTAGTTTTTAACACTTAACTTATTTACTATTAAAATCTTAACTGTCTTAGTGCTATGAGTTTTGGTCTATTCCGCAACTACTGCACAAACCTGCATTTGTTCAGGTCGCGCAAATTTTACCCAAAATCCTTAAAATAGATTTAACCAAACTTCGTGACCCATTTTGTGATATACTTTTGCTATAACATTTAGAAATGTCTGTACACCCTAAATACGTTTTAACGCATTGGAATTATTAGTTGAAGCTTATGCTCCGGTTCGTCCAAAGTGTGGAAGTTTTATCCTTTCCGTTGGTGGGCTGTAAATCTTACTTTTCTACACAATGTATTTTTGCAACCGTCGCTTTGCACATAATGCATATAGCTGTTGCGTATCCATATTTTATTTCTCTCTACATCCTGAAACATTCTCACATCACGCGGCACACTTTTTTATTCCCTTAGTAGTTCCATGCTTTTATGTATATTTACCTCGTTGGCTATGCCAGAAATTTTGATCGTAATACGTGAAATATCGCATGTATGAATATTACTGACACTTGCATTCATGCGTTTTATCCTAGGAAATGTCTCGTGAGGTCAGCAAACCCATTCGTATTAATAATCCCGCCTCTGAAAGCTTCCACGATGACGATGATATTGCGGCTGCCCAAAATCCACTGTGTCTGGTCCAAAACATTAGTGAGTCCCCAGATGTCACACAAAAGGTTTGTGCCTGTAATTTTCACTATTTTTTGTTTTCATTTGATAGAAGCTCATGTCTGATATACGTAAGCTAACGCTCAAAGTGAGCGAGTTGGAAAATTTCTGTGATGACTGTGAGAGTGAAAAGCAGGAGTTGTTACAAACTAAACTTGAACATGAAAGGGAGATATCTGCACTTGAAGAAAAGTGTCGAATCAAGGAAAGGGAACTGGTTGAACTTCGTGACGCATGCAACGAATTGCATATTTGTCAGATTGACAATGAAAAATTGAAGGCAGAAATAGAACGGTTTGTTTTTTTGGTTTCTCATTTAATGGGTTCAAATGCCTCACCCAGTCTTCTTGTTTCAGATTGATAGCCGCGCTGAAGAGTTCTCAGGAAATTAATGAGGCAGTCGAAGTTTTGAAAAGAGAAAACGATGAATTAACCAAGGAAAATACCATGTTTGATAACAAAGTAGGATCCATTTGCAGTCATCTTTTATAATTGGTCGATTTATATTTGTAAAAAACCACATACTTTCAGATAAAGCTTCTGGAGTCGGAGGTTGCCAAATGGAAAACTAATAGTGAATGGAAAAAGCAGTATGAACAAGTCAAGGACGCTCTAGAAAAAGCTGAGAAGGAAGTGAGCCTTTTACATAATTTGATTTCTTCCCCTGTGTGTATTTTACTAGTACTCATGCCAGACACATTGTCTTCTAGCTCTTCGAGTTTGTGAAAGAGAGCGAGCACACCAAGGCGGTGTCGGAGGTGGAATTGATGAGATCACGGCAGAACCACTCTCAGCCGGTACAATGGGCGACAATTTCCTGCTTACGTTGCACGTGCACTTGCCACCATCGTGCTTTCCAGTTTTCTCAAATCGGTGAAGACTCAAGACCTCCCTATGGCCCTAGTGACGGTGTCGGCGACTTTTGCAGCACCTCGTCTCCTTCCTCCCAGCCCCCGGAGTCCACACAGAACATGGGTGAAATCTCCGTGGTCGATGTGTCACTATGGAGAGACACTCGCTCCAGTGGGTGTATCGATATTGAATCGGTGTTAGCTAAAAGCACGTCCTTGCGTTAGTGTTTTTCATGCGTTTTTTGTCTTATGATTAGGTTTAACTCAATCAGATGCTACTGGTGAGTGTTTGGGGGAGATAATGGCCCAGGACACCAAAGTCCAGGATCTGCAAACCCAGTTAAATGTTGCTCGTAATGAGGTGAATCCCTATTTTTCATAATATTTTTTAGTCTTTATCATCAATCTTATTGTCCTCGGACCTGATAGGGCATAGCGACAGCAATACTTTGCTCAGTCATCTTTTTCTTACTGAAATACCGTGCATGTAAATCTACTCAACAACCACAGCTGCTTTCTACGCTAATAGGAACCCATTATGGTGTGTGTAGGTGGATCGCCTCAATGTGGAACTATCTCGAATCTCAACTCAACATAAAACCCTATCGAATAAATACAAATCGGAGCTAGAAAGCCTAGAAGCACGAATATGTGATCTGAATTCGGAGAGGGAAACCCTCCTTACTGATTTGAAGGCGAAGTGTTTAACCCTCGAAACGGTGAACGACGAAGTATCTATCCTTTCATCTCAACTGAAGATCACATCATCTGAATTGACGGCGGTAAAAACGGAAGCAAACCATCTTAAAAATGAGCTGGATCGCACTTTGCACAAACTGGATGAATCCGAAATGGATAAGCTTGGTCTCAGCGACAAATTGAATTGTTTTGAGTGTGAATTGGCCCAGTTTCTTGAAAAGGAGAAGGAATTTAAAGAAGTTAAACTTGGACTTGAGGAACAGTTGAATGTTGCACAAGCGGAAATAAGAAGTTTACGAAGTGAGAATAAAGAAACAGCTGCTGCCCTGGAAAATAAACTTGATGACTTGATGAGGCAATTATCCGAAACACAAAGTCAACTTAAGTCCAATGAGATCCTTAGGACCGAACTTTCTGATTACTTGGATTCGCTGCAGAATGAGGGGAAGAGGCTGGGTGAGGAAAAAGTTATACTCTCCGAACAATTGGCGCTTTCCAAAAAGGCGGCAGATGACTTCAGTGCCAGACTGCAGGAAGCGATTACCGACCTAGAGGAGAAAGCAAGTCTGGTGGAGCATTTGAAACTGGAACGTGTGAAGTTGATAGAAGCAAGTGATACAGCCCACGAGGAGCTATCGAAGGTGAAGTCTGAACTGTCTCGAGCCCGGGAGGAGGTTGCTCGTTTATCCGATGAGCTGAATGATAACGATGACGCTGGTATACGAGTTGAACAATTGGAGTCGTCCCTCAGAACCCGTGATTCCAATATCGCATCGCTGAACCAATTGATTTGTGAAAATGATGCTGTCATTTCGCGTTTGACGGAAGAAAAAAGCCGTCTTGAGGTAATTACCCGTGCTCTGAAAGTTGACTTAGAAGCGCAAACATCTACTTGTAATTTGTTAATTGAAGAGCGTGATAAGGCACTAAACGACTGTGATAAACGTACTCAAGAAATCACAGATGAAAAAAAGCGCTTTCTTAGACACATGAATGCATTGGAGTCAGATCTAGTGAAGCACACGCGAGTGAATAAGGAACTGAGCGAAAAATGTGCATCTACGGAACAGGATCTTTCGAATTTACAGCAAAAATTGTCTTTAATACAGGATGAAGCAGTCCGCTTATCGGAAACTAATCAATGTCTGATTGATGACAACGCTAAGCTTGCAGAGGAGAAAGTAAACCTTAAGCAGCTTCTCGAAGAAGAATCTTCCCTTATAGCAAATTTACGCAACGAGAATGGTGCCTTGACGATGGAGATTTCAAAGTTGAAGTTAGACGCAGAAAAGTACCAACAGGAGATAGTCGAGACCTACGGCGAAAAGTCAATCATGACAGAAAAGTTAGAGAGTCGTACCATTGAGTCAATGAACCTGGAAGCGCAACTGACTGATCTCCGGAATCAGGTACTTTTCTCTGCTAAAACTTTTGTAAACAGATTTCGCTTAAAACAACCATTTATGCACCTATCAGATGCTTTCATCAACTGTTGCTTACGTCACTTCTGAGCCTTTTAATAGAGAAATATGGGAGACTTATCCGAAATCGCAACTGATTTTTAGTTGGCACTGGTGACGGCAGATCAGGAGAGACTCTTAGGGAGCAATACGGAGCTCAGCGCGACTGTGGCAGTGATGGAAGCAGACCGATCGCATCTAGAGAGTCAGCTTGGCGAGATGCGACGGAAGTATGCAGAAGCGATGGCAGTGGGGGCACAGCACGAAGAAGCTAACCATCTGCTGGAGGAAAACGTGAAGCGCCTGCGAACCGACTTCTTGGCTGCCGAGCAGCGCTTGGCCGAGGCTCGCCAATCTGCCTCTGTTGCTGCCTTGCATCGTCAGTTTGCAGAGAATGAGTGCTCTCGTCTCCTCAAGTTTATCGAAGTGAGCTGAGGTCTATTGCGGATGCTACCTTCAAGATTCCATTACGATTTGATTCGCTAGATTTCCATTTTTGATTTTAACTAATGCAAAATTAACGTCATAGGGACTTGAGCTGCGCCTGGACTCCGCGACAACAGAGCGGTTAGCTTGTGAAGAGCGTGTGGCGGCAGAAGTTGTGCGCTGTCGCCAGTTGGAGGGGTCACTGAACGAAAAGGACACCGTAATAAGTGCTCTCCGGCACCAGCTTAACCAACTCGACGCTCAGTGGAAGTCGGCTCAGGAGATGGAGGCGTCGACTCTAACTAAATATCTTAAATCCAGGACGGCTCACAACGAGGCGGAGAAGCGTCTTGCTTTGCTCGAATCCAGCTCTTCTATTATTGGGGACAGAAAAAGAAGTATGGGCGGTATTGCATAATAATTTTGCATTACTAAACATAACTACTTAAGTACAGGTAATCCCACTGTTTTGGGTTTCGCAAATGCGTTAGTGTCTTGAGAAGTGAAAATAGGTAGTCCTATGTAGTTGTTTTGGTAGAAAAGTAAATTATTCTTGTAGACTTTGGGAGTTCGGATCATATATCACGCAATCCACCGAACGCAGAAGTTGTTCTTACCCCGATGACAATGAGCGAGTTCCCTGAACTCCCCTCTTTGAGGAGGCACTCCGATGGTACAACTCCCCACAGTTTGCGTAAAAGCCGCAGTCATCATGAGCAGCCTTCGGGAGGTCTGCGAAGTGTCGCCGATATGGTCAGTTCAGCGGGAGAAAAGGGCAATCTGCACAAACCACATTTTGAAGTGGGTTGTCAAGTTATTGTTGATGGGGCATATTTTCAAAATGCTCACCACTGGGTTGCGTATACCTGAGGTTCTTATCTGTATTAATTTAAAGTCCGTTTTTCAGAATGAAAGGAAATTTAGGCAATCGCCGCCGTTTGGAGATATGTTCCCGGCACCTCTTCAGGGTAAAATTGTCTTTTTATCTATTAACAATTAATTATAGGACACGGAATTAATAAGTTCTAGTAATTTCTTCGGTTTTGTAAATTTCATTCTTTTTTGTGCAATCAAATAACTACTAGGTTTCATCTAATAACCGAGTTTTTCTGCCAGATGACGTATTTATTTTTCACATTACATCTTCGGGGTGTTAAATCGTGGTCTTAATTCCCAAACACCCTTAGGGGTTGTACGTCCACAAGGTGTGGAGCCCTCGAGTCCGGAAACTCGGGAGGTGACCTTCGAATCGTGTTCAGGGGAGGAGAGGGGTCGTATGGTTGAGGGCGAAAGTGTCCCTGCTCCCTCTTTCTCTCCACCATTGCACTTCATTCACATCAAGGACTTCGCTTTGTGCACCCCACTATTTGACCAGGAGACGGATACCCTCAAGGATAAAAGTCGGCTTGTGGTCAGTCCAATTAGTCCGCAGGAATTTGAGCAGTCATCCTCGAATAACGTTGTTTTAACGACCAAAAGACCTATCCATGTCGCCGAAACAGTGGAACTACCGAGGTGTGCTTCAGGTGAGGTGACCTTGCTTTATTTGTGAATCAAGGGCGTTACTTTGGCCTCGTTTACCGTAACTGTCACCTTATTAACAAAATTTGTTAAGCATTAGTTGGTGATCAAAGTGTATTCAAGTTAAAGCCATTGACTCGATTGCACGCAATTTGCCATAAATTCGACGAAACTAGGTATTTTTTGATTTGCCTTCTGTCGGAATGGTTTGTTCACCATTATTTGCGTAGTGGCAAGCGCATTTAACCATTTGAAAGGCGTCACAAACTGTTCAAATCCAACTTCTCTGCGATTAGCACAAAATGAGCCGTACCTTAGTGGCTGTGATGTCAGCCTAAAAGATTTACTTCTTATACACCTCAAAGCTGCAAGCAACGCAACAAACACTGATACCGACACGGTTTCCGAATTGGAGGGTTGGCCGCCGTACAGCAATTGTGCAGCCCCACTCAGCCCCCAGGCTTTACGCGGGAATAGAATATTCACAGTTCCGACCCCATTTGAATTTCATTATCGCCGCCTTCGGCGTCTGCTGATCGCCCCTGCAGCGGAGGAGATGGACGTAGAAACGGCCGCGAGCTGCCTCGAGGCCAAATCCATCCTTGGAGGTAGTCGCGCAAAGCGGTTTGGCATGCACTTGCCCTCCCTTGTTTTCCCTCCTTTTTCAAACCTATGCATTTTAAGACTACATTCATTTCCAAGTGTCACGCATGTTAACCTGTTTCTAGACGACTTCTCGCAACACATCTCGAATCTTGCAGAAACTCCATGCCCACATATGGATGAGAAACCATCCACCAATAGTCACATCGTCGCAGCTTCTTCCGAGCGACAAAATCAGGTATTATCATCCGAACTCTCTCTACTGATTAGTCGAAGTTATAAATTTCCACATCACTGCTTTCCCTTGACCTAGAGAAACGTCAAACCAGTCAACGTTAATGCAAGCACGAGAATCACTCCCATCAAAACTCTCACGCCAGAGACCACCATTCGAATAAAGGATTTGTCTAAGGTAAAACTGCGTGCACTACACAAAATGGCCCAGATAAAGACTCTTCTTTCACGCGCCCCTTCACAGAAGACCTCTCTAAACGTGAGGACAGCGCAGTCCACCATCTGCACCTTATCAGTATGTTGGAAAAACCAACAATCCCTGGCTAAACGCGATTATCGACTTTTAGATCGAAGACTGTAATGAATCGGACACCTCGGAGGGCAGGCAAGTGGGCGTCGATCCCGCCGCCTCGAGGTCCACCTCGGCATCTCGTCCGCCTGCGGCCAAACTGGCCCGCTTTCAGTCTGTCCAGGAGCTCTGTGATCTCGACGCCACACCATTGTCTCTGCGTTGCAGTACCAGTATGAACGCACTGGACAGGGCAGCAGCTGGCCGTACACAGGGGGTCGCCTCGTCACGGCCCGGTTTTCGCCGATTTAAAGACAAATTCGGCAAGGTGAGAGGCCGTAAAACCAGCGCCGAGGGTACACCAGTCGCATCAGGCAGACCCGCATATTGGAGCGACAAGGAGAATGCCGAGTTAGATCAACTCGCGCGTATCTCATCTGCGTCTAGTGTCAAAGCGAAGAAGCACAACAAGGTGAGCGTTCAGACAAGTGAGCTTGCACAAAATGCATCTTGCCACCCGAACACGTACATCTCCATGGAGCGCATACAAGAATCTTTCTCATTTTAGCTGCGGCTTTCAAATGTCTTCAAGTCGAAGAAAAACAAGCCATAAGACATTAAACAACCACTTTGATCGATTTATTTCTCCTTCACTTTTAAGTTGGATGAGAATGCCGTTTCCTGCACCGTTATCTGAAGTAAACGATGAACTTTGAAAGTCATTCGCATTTCTGTTCAATGTTTGTAATACTAGTTCTAAATGCTCCTAACGTTTCCAATCATCTTCTTTTATGATCGATTCATTAAAGCTGCTGCTGTAAAAAGGTCAGCTTCGTGGGTAAATAAATTTAAAGGAAATATTTGTTGGTTGCCAATATTTTGTTGAATTCCGCTATCGAGAGCAGAAAATAGCTAAACAAAGAACAGTTAATATCGGTTCGGACGTTGCACCTTAAATGCATCGCCTCAGAAACTCGTATCCGTTTCTGCTCTTGTCGCATCACTAGAGGAGGAGGTTGATACTTGCCGACTTTCGTGTTCGCTGTCGCCAGACCGGTTCGGTGTGGAATCAGCCAAAATTGGAGCATGTGCGATGACTCCATCTTGAATCTCACGAATCCGTTCGCGAATAATGTCCAGGTTTACACAAGCATCCGTGGAGAGAGAGGTAGACGGTGAGGGTACAGAGAGGTCCAATGGGCCTGCGTGGAGCAGGAATAGAATCTCACTCTCAGGTGCGCGAGATGTCTCGCATGCAAAACATTTCGGCAAACAAGGGACGAAAAAGTGCTTACTCGAACGACTCGTGAATAGATCGCCGTTTGACGGCAAGGGGTCAGATAAAAGCAGATCACTAGAGAGAAAAAAAGAGCAAATTCCACTATGGCTTGTAAATATCGCAGCGATTGTCGCTGAAATGCACCAGTCATTCGACTTCAGGACTAGCGGTCAGAACATAAATACGGAAGTTAAGAGGATTTGGGACTGTTATTGGCATATGGATCCAGATCAAGTCCTCGAAATGAAGCAAGTGCACGTACGTTTCTGGTCGACCTCGGACACGTTCGTCAGCTAAACGAGACGTAACTGTGGAGCCTGAGATCCTTGAGACAGAAGCGGAGCGTTGTCCGCGTGGGCGACGTTCACCGTCCAGAGTTTGGTCCGCATCTCCATCATCAGGCCTTTGTCTGAGAAAGACATCACCAAATATGTCATGAAATGCATTATTCCTATTGACATCGATGTTGGAGAAAAGATCACTGTTAGACCGTAATAATTTGAGTTTTTGAAGGCTGTGTAGGAGGCCGTAGACGACTTCAGACCGGTATTCATCCTCACCGCCGTTGGTGTTTAACTGTGCCATCACGCTCGTTCCTCTTTCACTTTCCTCTGCCTTGCCCTGTTCTACTACAGACAACCTAGCCGAAATGCGCTGGAGAAGCTGTTCTGTATATTCAGCTGCCCGTGTGGATGATGCTCCTGCGCTGCTCCCACGGGAAATCCAGCGTGGCGCAATCTTCAGGTAGTAGTAGAAGAGTTGTCTCATGTCGCAGCGCATTGGGGAATTAGAAAGCCTAGGAGATTATGCAAATACCCTTGAATTGCCCTCCTCAGCTGCGACCGTTGCGCCACAAAGAAATTTGAGGAATCGTGTCAAAGAAATTGTCACAAGCCTGACATCAACAACAAGCACAATTCGGCCTTAATTAAGAATAATTTAGAGGTATTGGGTCAGAATTACAACAAAATTATACGCAACGCAAAGTACGAAAGTGTGAGGCTTCAGCTGACGAATCCGTTGAAAAACTCATGACTTAGTAGAGGAAAGAAGAGAAAGTGCTTGTTTGTTATCACAGGGCATATATTTCGGTGTTTCTAAAAATAGGTTACAGCGTTATGAACTCAGGGGTACCTAAAATTATTAAATGTGCAATTTTTGTTGTATAACGGCCAAATATCAATAAGATTGAAATAGCGAACTAGTCAAAACTTATAATTAAAGAAGGCTGAAATACGAGGCGTGAATTAAGGGGAAAAGTTGTCGTACTGATTGCCGCCGACATCGCCAAAGTTGTTACTACCGTTGCTTTGGGGCACCGTGACGAAGTCGGCGTCTACTAGAGTAGGCACTTGTGCGTAAAGAGAGTGTTCCACACCACTTTTGTTGAAGTCCTCTTCCTGATCCCTCTGTTGCCGCTCCAGATTCCCAGTTCTCTCCTCTCCCTCCTCTTCATCCACCGACATGCCCTCTGCTCCGTCCTCCTCCCCTTCCTGGGAGCGAACCTCATCCGGTAGGATATTGAGCACAAGGCCTCCCATATCGCCCTCACAATCTTCACTATCAACATCAGTATCGCTGTCAAAATCATTGATACCCTCGCTTCCCACCTGAGTGTCCGCCTCGTGCGTTTCCTCTTCATGAACAGTGAGTGGTGCGGACGTCGACACAGTATTTTCTCCTCCTCTTGCTTCCTCCTCACTGATTCCCGAAGGCTGCCAACAAAAACGCAGTAAATCAAAAATTTCCACCAAGACGCGCAATCATAAGCATTACGATGCAATGACTTATTCACATGCAATTCCAAAGGCCCACTGATGCGCAGTAAGTCATAGACGACACTCAACCGAGGTAATTAAAGTGGTCATTCACCTAACCATAAGAATTTTTGACAGAATTGTGAACTATATGAAACAAAAAACCACAAGTCCTACTGTGGCGGGCCCGGCGACGGCGGTGGCGGGGGTAGGAGCAGGACAACGCTCTGAGGTGATTGAAAGGTGAAGGGTGTCGCCACAGTCACCTTCACCAACAATGCTGAGGCCTTGGGAATCTCCTAGTAAAAAGGATCCTGGCTGTTCATTTGACAAAGCAGTTGCAAACGTGGATGCGGAAAAGCACCTCTGCCTACGAAGCTGGGTGTCCAGTCTCCGTATCTGTTCTCGCAACTGCTCCTTCTGATCTTCCAGCTGTGTAATATACCACAGATAATCACGGCACTGTTGCTGGTAGGTCTGCGGACGAACCTAAGAGGTATAATGATTCCTAGGTAAGTGATCACCAAGAAAACAAGCAATTTGCCGAAAGGCACATTCTGTGTACCATATAATTAAAGCAGAGGCAGTCATCAAGGGAGGAGACGTAGCCCTCATTATCAAGGAGATCCAGTCGGATAAAACGATTGTAGCCCCAGCATTCACCAACGGCAAAGTCGGAGGCGAATTCACGGGCAATGCACTTTGCATTGTCTTGTGGCGGGCCCTGATGCATTAGCTGAATATAGTATTCATACCTTTTGGAAAAAGGACATTGACGAAAAAAATGTGGCGAGATTATCATTACAAAATTGAAAAAAATGGGAATAGAAAAGGCGAAATAAGAGGATCTTCTGTACCGAATCTAATAAAACTTATTTGTACGAAGATGCAATTGAAGTCATGGGACCTACTTTGAGGGTTCCCTTCTGCCAGCGGTCATTTCGAGAAAGACGGACAGATATTGACCGCGGACGATGCCGTTACCGTTGGGGTACACTTTGAGTCGCCATTTTAATGCGCCACACTCCAGTGGAGGGCTGTAAATTGGTTCTGCTCGCTGCCGCACGCGACTAAAGCCGTGGATCACAAATTCGCCCGTCGCATAGGGCGGTACGAGTTCGCTAGAATACACGAAAAAACATCAATAAGCAAGCAAAAGTGATCATCATGCTTAAAATTGATAAACTGTCTTTACAATCTGCAAAAAAGCGTAACAGAAAGAGGAAAATTCTCAGTATTTAAGGCACAGAAACGTGTGAAAGTCGTGGCGATACCCATCGTTACGAATTCATGCAGCACCGAACGTACCAATCAACGAAACCAATAAGATTCTTTTGATGTACAAGAACCTAAAAGTGAGTGAGAGTCACGACATCCGGGTAACACACTATGGATAAAATTTACGAAGCATGGACGCACGAACACATAATATTTCTTTAGACAGTATCAGAACCCCACATTACTTTTGGGTGAAAGTTTAAGCGGTATGATTGAAGGCTTGAGGTTTAAAGGCACAGATTGTCTTCACTAAAAGACGAAAATAAAAAGAATAAACATCCGTAGTGATTTCTGCTACTAAAATTCAATTCACAAATGACGGGTTAGTAATCCTACAGACTTTTTTGGAATATTCCTCCACGACTAACGTAGTCAACGTGAAATTTCGCAAGAATGAAGATTGGTTTGGCAAACTAGCGGAGTTTGCAAACAGAAGGCGGGGAATATCGTGGTTGGAAAAAAAATGTGAACGACGAAAAGTGGCGAATACAATGCAAACTTACCTTGCAAAGTCATAAGGACTATAATCACAGTTGACGGAAGGCATTGGAGTCTTATGGACTTCAGCAAACATTGCCGAAAGAGCAGGCGATCGAAAGATAAGATTCGCAGGAGTTGTTGAGCTCAACTGAGCTTCAACTTCGTGCAGCAAAGAATTCAACAGCTCTGTCTCCTAAACAGGGTAAAAGTAAGGATAAAATCAAGTGGGTGAATAAGTGCGGTAAAAAGTTCAAACTCTGGAAAGGTCACAAAATCCGATAAAGCCACGCAATTTTAAGCTATTAGGGGTAGATTGTGCGAAGAAACTACCAGTGTATCTGAGACCATGGATAAGTTCGCAAAATGAATAAATCTAGCGTAGCAGTGCAGAGTAAACAAGTAAAGCGGTTACCTGCGTTAGGTGATTGCGTTGGGCAGTCAACGTTGACAACTTAGAGGTGTGACGCGATTCTAAGCGAAGGATGATCGACTCAACAACTTTTTTAATTTCCTCTACGCGGCTCTCTTTTCTCGCGTTAAGTATCAAAATATTGTCTCCCTAAAACAATTAAAAGGTAAGTCAGCGACTGTCTCATGGCTTACAAGAACAAAGCGATTCTCTTAGTACTTTGATTATTCGCGAATCAAGTGCCGTAGTTCAATTTATTTATTTAATAAGTGAAATACAACCAAAAGACATACCACGTCATCAATAAGACGTTGAACCTCGTTACGTCGACTCTTAAGTTTGTCCATTTCACTTTTGATGGCATCTACGTGTTCCTGGTATACGTCGTCCAAAGGGCGGAAAGTGTGTTGCCCATGACGACCGTCAAAGAGAGCGCAACGGTGACAAATAACACGATCACAGGTGGTGCAGTAAACCGTCAAGCGTTCGCTATGAGACTCACACCTACAATAAAAGTGAGAATAGGTAGCATACTCAGATGTGGATTAATAAATACACGAACGTTATGGCTCATAGAATTCGACCATGAAGACCCACAGATCTGTATTGGAATCCGGTGTCTTTAATGTCAAGTTCTCATCCGCATTTTTTAAACGGTCTAACTGTTGGATAACGTCATCGGCCCATCTGCAGTTGATCAGAGCATGTGTATATAGTGTTCGCCTAAAAAATTGGTTCCATAAGAGTCACATAGTCACACAATATTACTACATAAAGCAAAAGAAAGAGGGAAGCAAATCTAGACTTGAAAAAATTGACAACGCATCTCTAGTTACCTTTTCGATAAAAACCCACATTCAGTGGCAAGTGAACATGTAAGTAACAACTGAAATACCTGCAATGAGGACATTGGGCCTTATTTTCTGTAATCCATTTCTAAATCAAAGCCTTAACAGATCCATGTGGGACTTACACAAATACACTCGAAGCAGCACAATTTAGAACAGTGTGGACACATTCGCGCATTATCCAGTTGTTCCATACATATAAAACACTTGAACACGTCAGCAAGAGCCTAAAATATGTCAGAGGAAACTTAGATTACTTCTAGAGAGGTATCATTCTCTATGCGTCTACCGCCAGCAGAAGTAGCCATAGTCCACAGAACCTACCGAAGATCAAATTGTATGACATGCATTGACTACTACACAGTCGCTATTTAAAACAACTAAACTCTTTTAACAAATTTTAGGTTGAAAAAGGACAAAGTCGAGTCGTTTGAATTAGAATTGACTAAAAGCGGTGGGAGCACACATTGGAAACATATTTGCATGGGGACATTAATTTTAGCTTCGATTAATGATGTTAAAATGGACAATAAAGTGTTGAGTACTTGTGACTTTATTCGATCATTTGCAATGCTTAAAAATGAGCGACCCAAAAGTAACACTAAGCAAACGAAAACTTTTTTAAAGGTCTCGCACTTGTTAGATGTCATTTGGGGAGTTTTTGCTGCAACAGGGATAATTTTTGTAAAGCAAAGGTGTTTTGCATGACGAGGCTAATAAACCTCTTTTATCCTAGCCATCGTACTCTTCGAATACTTAGGCTGATTTGGCTTCGTCATGTTTTTCATATTTCGTTATATTCGTCATATTTCGTCATAGTAAACGGAGATGAGTGTGTAGCGCCCCGAGACTCCCTTAAGACGAAAGAAGACACAATACTCGGGCAGAATATATATATATTCAGCACGGAGAAGGTGTCTGGGCTATTGGCATGGCCCAAAAGGCCAGCCCCAGCCAGCGAGGTACAAGGGGGCTAAGTAGAAGTACAAAAGTGGCGCCTCACCAATACTGGGGATAAACCACCATCGTATTACAAGTGGGTACAAGTTTGGGAAGGTTTTGACACAGAACCATTCTCCGGCTTGTCGGATGATTACTGCTCCTCAGTCACCAAGTTTGATTCTTCCTTTCGCCTCCTCTCTGACTGGCACATTTTGAGCAACATAGGTATTAAAATTTTGTTTGGGTGGGAGCTAGATTTTCGACAGATTGTACATTTCTCAACGGTGTGGTAACTGATTTATGCCAGTATCCATAGTGTAGAGCCCCAAGACTTCTCTGAGGATAAAAGAAGAACCAGTGCTCGGGCTAAATGCATATATTTGCTATACAGTTGGGCTTATTGCTACTGACATGGCCCGGAGACTATTCTACCCGGCATAAGTACAATGGTAGAGCACCTAAGTAGCCCGCTCATTAAAATCGGCAGTTCAACAGATAACCAATGCATTGCATAGTCTCTTACCTCTTCCGATTATCATCCTCGGCGCTCTCCATGGTCAACCTCCCGCGTCATCCATTACAACGTAATCGGTGCTGGTCATTGCGCATGCTCATCGCCAGTCGTAGGAACACCGGCCCAAAAGCAGAGTCAAATACCAAAGGACGAGATTTAGTACAGTTTCATGGGGGTAGATTTCCCATTCTATCTCTCCTTGCCACGTTGTTCTCACTTCGGAGCTGCCCAGCCACACCCGTCTGCATGGGTTCTATCTAGTTATCAGAGAATTGGAGGAGGTATCGCAATTTCGCGTGCTTGATGTCTCCATGCAGAAGTGGTGAGCAGTTTTGTAACGAAACTTTTCTTGATGGCTCACGGCTAGTGCAGCTTCAGTTGTTAATCGCTTACCTGTAGACCACGGTAATGGGGTGTTTTTTGGAGGTAGACGCCATTCTCAGCCTTCCAGTTAGGACTGTCATTGATTCTCCCATCCACAGCATATCTACCCCTACCTCGCCAATGTTTATCACCCAACAGTAGAAGTGGAAATAAATGCTTTTTAAGACCGGGTCCGCTTTCTGCTGCAAGCATAATGCTCGGAGAGAATACACATATTCGACTTACAGAATTGTTTGGTGCTACTAGAAATGCCCGAAGGGCACCCATCCGGCTAAGATGCAGTGACGGAGACCCATCTATGCTCCTTTACCAAAAGCGGGAGATAAACAACCAACATATTGCAATCAGCTCCTCTGTACGTCAATAGTGCATTTTCTGTCATGCTACTATAACTTCTTACAACTGTAAGGAAGACGAGGTGTGTTGCGATATTTATAATAGAGTGCTCTGATTTTCCTTCCGGATCTCTTGACTTGAACTCTTTTCTACTGACTCATTATATGATCTTCTAAACTTGCACATACAATCCTTATTTCATAGTTTTATGGGCCTAAGGTATCGTTTTCACCTATTTTGAATCTGAGGCCAATTTTGGATCACTTGAGTAAGGGAATCTGGTTATAATATCGTAAATATTTGATATGCGTTAGCATGCGCGTACTACCAGTAACCATTTGTTAGTAATAACCAAAAATGGAGAAATTTTCGGTAAAACATGCGTCGATGCTGTAAGTACCTGACAAAAATAATGATTTCAATAAAACTAGTAAAGCTATCTGCAAATTTACTTAACTATGCCAGTCATTGAGTCTACCCACGTTGCACTTCCGCCCAGTAGCGTGGCTTTGGTACCAAGCCAGCAGTCTTCCAGCCCTTCTGTCCGTTAGTAATACACGTTTTTTGGAGTACTTTGGCTTGCCAAGACTTCAGGGAAGTCTCGGAATGCAATATTGTTGGCGGTGGCAGCGAACCCGAGCCAAAGTGAATTTATCCTGCTTCCTATGACAGAATGCCCGGCCTTAACATGACTGAAGAAGAGCATAAGCCACAGATGAGGAAATTGGTTAGTACTCTTTGAAGAATTGTTGAAAATATTGTCTGACGGCGACATTTACTCCAACCCTGGGTTCCGCAAAAGTGCCACTAGAAAGTGAAGCAGCATTAGTCCTGAACCAATTTGAAAATCTAATTTGGAGCTGCCCACGGTACCTGTATGAAAATGCTGATTAGGGAAACAAGCGGTACTTCATAGTTGAGCCTTTCTATCTTTCATACGTTAAATGTAAGTACCAACCTATCACAAGAAACTTGGCTATGTATTAGCTGCTAAAGATTTCAAAAACCGTTGAGTAGCTTGAACTTCTTAAAATGCAAAGTATGTGCGGACTTGATTAAGGCATTCAGCATTCGATAATCATTAGGGTCATAAGAGTAGTGAAATCGTACCTCTTTAACACAACCTTGCACTTAAAACCCACTATTTGGAACAAGTTTATAATAATTGATTTATTAACATTACCCACTTTAATGTTGGTTGAAAAATGAGTTGGTGCAGCGCCTCACGTAGTTTCCTAGGTCTTGATAAGTCAACGTGTTTCCAAAGAACGTAGTTTTAAATAATAACACGTACCACCTGTAAACTATAGTTGTACGTAGCGAAAGTCTAATATTTCTGTTGAAGGGCAAATTCCATCATAACAACGCTTGATAAAAAGTACCATTCTCACTGTCTGGGTGTCCTCATACAAGGTTTTCATCGCTTTAGACCGTGCATATGGTGGAAGAACCCCAGGAAAGTTAGAAGCAATCTGTGAAGATGTAAAAATCTTAATACATCTTGAAACGTTATAACTGTGCTTGACTACCTGAACCCTTCAGTCTTCGCGGGTAGTGCTTTCACTACGCGGCACTGCCTTCGGGTCATCGCATTAGCTTCCTCGTTCCTCTGTGCAGTGGTACCATAACAATGGATATTTGTATTTAAATTTGGCTTAGTTGGTCTAGAATAATGCAACATTTGACATCTTTTTTTACAATTTCACAAATAATGGTAAATATACTAGTGGATGAAGAACACTAACTGTGTTATTTTTTTGGCAGAAGAACTGGTGCTCTTGATAGATCATAATGATATTCTCCATAATTCTTGAGATTTACGATTTCGATGAATGGATCCGCACACTCAAATAAGTGTCCATGTTAAATCCACTGAAAAGAAAACTGTATCAGAAGAGCACTCATTAGTGCTGAAATTTAGTCGAGCAAGCCCTCCAACCACCGCAAGGTTGATAGTTGCGGAGACTCAAATGACTAGCATGTAAAACTAAGTCCTACCCGTTCAGTACTAGTGACTCAATTACTTAATTGCTATAACATTTTGGTTTGTCGTCAGTTATCGGCAAATAGATGAAAGCAATTCCTGACTGGGATAGGTGTATGCAACGTTTTTCATGAAATTCTTACCATCATATTTGTTCCAATTACCATGACGTTCATTTCAATCCCAGAGCACGTAAGACCGTATTTAATTCCGATAATTATGCCCAGAATGAGCACGGTGGATGGATGGTTTGACCGTCCGTACCGCCAGAAGACGCAATACGAAATGGAAATACTATTAACGCATAGATGTAGCATCCCGGGACTCCCTGAAGACGAAAGAAGACACAATGCTCGAGCAGAATATATATTCAGCGCAGAAAAGGTGCCTGGGCTATTGGCATGGCCCAAAAGGCTAGCCCACCCAGCGAGGTACAAGGGGTCTACTTCAAAGTACAAAAGTGGGCCCTCACCAATGCCGTGGGATAAACCACTATCGTATTACATAGAATATCTGGAGACTCTTAGAGCAGGTGACACGAATAAGATACCATGACACTAGACGTCCAAACGACCATCGTTCTGTTACACTAGTCAGACATTGGCCAATTTTAGTTAAACCAGCAGTGGCATCTTCTCTCTTCCCGATTTTTCTGTTCATCATGACACCTGCAGTTGGTAAAACCAACAAGCAAGCTATGCTAATGACGATGGGTAATGGTCGCTTACAAAACCGCCCCCAAACGATGACTGTAAGGTAAGGGGAAGCAATAAAATATGACTGCTTTTAATGTGGCAGCTTAAAGCTAGTCGCCCCTTACCTGATAAAAAGTCTGCTGCTATAGATGAAGTCTGACATGTGGGTAGGTCTGATGTTACCGCCAAATTCAATGACTTTTGTCTTTTTGTGTCTGCATATCTAGTAGTCTAGGATTTTATGAGGGCGATGGCCCAGACTTAAAAATGGAACGTCATAAAATTGTCTACGGTGTAGGGCCATTTGATGTGGAAAATTATGGGGTCTCAGGTTGGAAGAGTTGTTCATTTATATGTATATTTGAAAATCGGGAAATTTTTAACAAAAAAGTGGGCAATTTTTACCAAATGATACAAAATGAAAGTATTCACATCAAGTTTGCCATTCATTTATGGTTTTACGAAACCCCTCAGTGTTGTTTCGGTTTTGCACGCTTATTTTTTAAAATGTGGCTGCTAATACATACATATAAATAATTAAGCAAAGTACTCAGCGGGCACGTCATTATGAAGTGGTGTTTCACGTTACTCTATTGTGGTCCAGCATATGACACCGTTTCTGTCTTATAACGGTGAAACTTCAGCACGATTTTGGTTCGCAAGTTCTTGATATCACCCATCACTATGCTCACAGTGAAAAGGAACCAGGACCTGTTGGCGTTCCCGTGGGCGTCACTGGTGCACCTGAGGAGGAATATGGAATAATCTCGGCTAGTTGAGTGTGATGGCGGGAAGAAGACACTATGATGCTGCGTAATCAGCGTAGGACATGAAGGTTAAGTCACCAATGTCGATAAAACTGCAAAAATAATTTTTGATGGTGACATTACATTTCCCTCTCATCTATATCTGTCGAAATGCATTCTTAAAATAGCTAATTTTTAGGAAATATCAGTCATTCATAAAGATACGAAGGGTCGTTTTAAAAGTAGAACACCAACTGTGATGCTTTCCATTGTGGGTTAATTGACCCGAACCATGGAGTAAATATGTTTGGATTCCAAAATCTATAATCAGTGATATTTTAGAGAGAGATTTGATTAGTAGGCAAAAGCAAATACATTTTTAACCAAAATTTTTGTAAATCTTTATAATGCAAACCACCAATGCAGCTGCTTTGTTTTAAGCGAATCCGAGAAATTTGATCAACATCACGTCAGCGTAAGCTCAACCCGGACAAACTATGGTACTGGTCAGGATTAGTGGTTTTCTTTAAAACTTTAATGCAATTTTAAATGAGCACGAATGGAAGCAAATTATTGTAACCCGGTAACTTCGGTGCTCGTTCCGAAAAGCAATTAAAGAACGAATGTCCGTTTTAATGGTGCCATTAGTCATTATTTCAACTTGAGGATATATTTTGCGCAGATCACAGTTACAAGGGCATATCGAGATACCCATTGTTATTTTTCAGTAGGTACAAAAAATTGCTTCCAATGGTGGTGGGGTGGGTTGGTTTTCAGCGGTTTTATTTACCTGGTTTGAAGAACTGCAAAACGGAATTGTATAGTGGTTGAAATTGCCGTTATTTTCAACGTAGTTTACTTAATAAATGAGACAGATTTCATGCGACGAAACTATTAACCATTGCAAAAATTGAAGAAGTTGGTCACGGAGTTAAACCATACATGTTTACCTTCATACTTTAGGTGTCTGTAAACGCTAGAGACACACGTGTCTGTTCATTTGATTCCCAGTTACATGCACTACCGGGAGTGAGGAAACTACTCAGATTTTCCCTGCTTAGCTGCATAAACTCTTTGTTGTGGTTACCCATCAACGACCAAGTTCCTATCACCAATATTCCTTTTCGAAATACCTCACCACGCAAAAGTTGGAATGCTCATGCCTATTTTATGTCCCGATGACCGTAAAGCTTTCAACTGAGCTTAATTTATTGCAGTAAAATCTGCACTACCGTGTGTGAGCTAAGACTTGAGAACTAAAGTACATTTAGACTGACATTTATGAAGTAGTTATAAAGGGGGAAGTCAAAAGGGGATTCTGATCAAACGTACAGATTTGGAAGCGTTAGACGTGCAACGAGTGGGACAAGTGCGTGCTCGCTCAATCTTTGCAGAGCAAGTTTAATTGAGTCACCTCTGAGCCGACATTACATATTTTTGGTAAATACTACAATCTTTTAAGCAAATTTTACCGAAAAAAATGGATATAGACGAACCAATTTGCAAAAGTCCCAGAAAAATCACGCTGAAGTTTTGCAGTTGCCAATTTGGGATTTAAGTACTTAATTGGGTAACATTTAAAGACTATTTTGTACCATGCGCTTTAGAACTTTGAATCTGAGACGTTCGCGTTCCCACGTTTCAAGTGAAGCATTACTTTGGTAACTCAACTATTTAATACTGTAGCGCCTCACATCGTCTTAGAAGACGCGGCAAGACATTCCATTTTGAAAGAAAAGCTTTGTCCTTAACATGGAGAGGGCTTGGAGGCCATAGGTTGGGGGGAATGTTCATTCCACCGGGATGATGCGCATGCCTAACTAAGCAGGTCCTCCAGTCTTCAGAATTTATTTTGTGGAGCCTCGAGCCTCCTCTGACGGAGATATATTCACAATTTACAGAGTGACAACGAATCACGGAGCCCAGGTAGGTTAAAAGTCCATTAGAGGTGGCCATCTTTGCACCACAATATCAGAAAGCTGAATTAACCTGTTTTACATTTTGAAGAAAACTAGTTGATTTGGTTCCTTCAGTTGTGTTATGATTATCCAGGACGAAGTTGTGTGTGAATGCTCGTACAATATTATTCATTGCAACAAAAGGCAAATGTACATTTGTCAATTACACTCCAACGCACATGAAAGTAGGTGGACCCAAATAAGTCATTCTTCATTGAAAAAGCTGTAATGACTCAATGTGAAAACTGCATCCTGTATAATCCCCCGATTAAGTGCATTAATAACAGCTAATTTTAAAGTAGATACATCCGTTTTTTTAGCTAAAGAGAAAGTTGCATGCAATTTTGCCTGAATTAAATGATCATTTAATTTTTGAATCTGTTATTCATACCGGGTTTGGCAACTAAAAGCCCGAGCATTATGTTAAATAATCGTAACATGACCAAAATCTGGAAGTGACATTCAACCTTATGTAAGCTTCAGATTATGCGTCTTCTTCCGGGTCAAAATTGCGTTTATTGCCTTTCTAAATTATCAGAAAACGGTTTGGAACTAACATTCTCTCGGGGTTTGATTTGATGTCTGTGATTATCAGCAGAAAAGGCTATTCTCCTGCATGTCAGTGGGTAAATATCTGCACGTAGCACGATCACTCAGCGCCCCACTCCCACTGGGGATTAAAACGATGATGTAAGTGGAAGAGGAGCTTTTCCTGCCTCCTTAGGTTATTTAATCCCTGTGATGCACTCGATCATAAGAGATAAGCCAAGACAGTATCTCTATAAAATGAGATGCTTTAATTATATGATCATGGTTTGAAATAAGCGGTTCCTAGAATGTGTCCACTAAGACAAGATCAACCATAAAAATCATACGCACTTTATAGCATTTGGTTTAAATAAAGTTGAGAATATTCACTGTCTTTCTTGGGAAATGTGTGCTAATAAATATGCGGTAGGGAACTGATTTCAGACATCCCGATGTGCATGAATTGGTGTTGGAAGTTAAATAGATCTTCTGCATCATTACCTCTATCCGACCATTATTAGCAGCGTCATCATCTGAATCCATGTATTAGATGTTCGGTAGCTGCGTCTACGATGAGCATCTTGTTCGTGCATTCGTTTGCCCTTCCATCTCCATGCGGCTGTGCTCCCCTGCTGATACGCCTTCCAAGAGCGCATGTTGTTGCCGGGCGAACAGCCAACATGTAGTCAACGATTCTGTTCCCATTTTCCCCTCAAAAATGTGCAATGCCCTTTATTAAACCCTTGCCGTTAAAAAAACGTCCAGTAGACAATTACGTAAGGAATGAGTCATGTAATGTAGAATGGGTTGGAAAGCACTTCTAAATTAATTCAAAATGGTAGTTCAAGGAGAAAGCATTATAGTACTTGGGGGTGTAAATGAAGATAAATCATTAAGATGGAGTTTAGATGTTTTACTGACCTTTTTCTGCGCAAATCGGAGCCTTACGTTATGCTTGTGGTAGCCAAAGGAGACAGGCATTTCCGACCTATTGAAAATTATTCCGCGGGAAAATATGACGAAAATACATTACAATTAAACAAGAGAAAATAGAAAACTGCTAGTTTGAGTCCGCTCCATGTAATTTGAATGCAACTTTGATAGCTACTTTAAAACCTTTGGTTGTTTACCGAGCCCAACAGAAGAAATAAGGAGGTGTAAGAGCAAAGATTTTTCTTGATTGCGTACATGCATGCCCCCACATTAGATATTCAAGCAAACAGATTTGGAGAAAGAAAGTCTTGTTGCAATACTCGCATTCACAGCAGGCATTTCACAAGCGAAATGCGAAAAATAAATAGCCTCTAAACGTGTTTAAACTGAAGGATGTAATTTCCGTATGCTTCTGCGGTTATTTCACATTTGCTTCGACAATTAAAATCTGTTCAGAAATTTCTATTCCACTTTAAGTCGTTTTATTGCAGGATGATTATTTTTATTTCGGTTATAATTGCGCCTAACCGTTGTATGAGGCAGATCGGACTTTTGATCTTGCCGCTTCGCGAATGCGTTTAAACATAGCCATCCGTTGGCGATATATTACACCTATTCACAAAAAAATTCCCCATTCACACACGAGGCTTAATTGTGCACAAGATTAATGCCTGCTTCTATTTTACAGAAAAGGTAAATAGGACTATTCAAATAGATAGAGAAAAGACATGAGTTCTAAGTTTGTAATGTCCAAAGGGCTGGCCTCCGACAAGGGATGCGCAAATCTGGGAGCCATTAATAAGCGCTATCACAAACAAATTTTCCACTGAACGTGGATCATTTGCGTGATGGTAGGCCTGTCCCTAGAGGGTATTAATTTTTCCGCTCCCTCCCCTCCTCCTCCATTTCCCTCTCGTTATTTCCGGAGAGGTCGGGAGTAGTGGAGCCAGAAACACCTAGAAATCCCCATCACTCTTCGCGCTCACTTGCGCCTGAACAGGCATGCAGAAAATGAATAGGTTTTGTATGTGTGTGTGTGTGTGTGTGGATGCGCGTGTGCGCACGTGCTCATTTTTTCCCATTCGCCAATGGTCTGTGCTAGCCGCATAGGCCATGTGCCAATGGGAGGACGGACCTTACTCCTCCGGCATGCAAGCACATATGCACACATACACTCCAGCCCGAAGGCTCAAGTTTTGATTGCCCTGCTCTCCGATGCAGCAGTGAGAAGCGGTAGTCACTGGAATCACCCATGGCAGAAGATTTGCGACTTAGCTTCACTCGTCCCATGGTCCCCACAGTGAGGGAGAACCGGACACCGGGGTTTAACACCCTTTCGCCCAATTCCATGCTAATCCACGCGCCGGTCGGTGCGCTAGATCTCTCCCTCTACAACTACCATCCAACGCCGCAACGGGTGCATCCGTGTTCGAGTCAGCAGGTCATCTCGGATGAGTTGGAGGAGGGATCATGCGGGCAACCACAAAAGCAGCAGGCCCCCGTGGCCGGTGACGGTGCCGGCTCTAGGGGGCCAAAAATGAAGAGATTCAAGGGACCGAGGAGGAGCAATCTGTTGGAGAAATTTATTGCTCTGTTGGAAGATAAGAGGATAATGGAAGACAGTGAGGATGCTCATCAGTTAGAGGACCTAAAAATGCCACGTCTTAGAAACGTCCTTAACATCATATTCATCACAGCGGGAGTGTGCTTCCTACTGGCGGTTGTTATCGTCATTCTCTACACCACCTTTGCAAGGTACGTTTCCTCAAAAGTTGTGACAATTTAAATGTTCACAATTAATTCGGACTAATAGTTGGGAATTCGTGATTCCGCTTTCTCTGCTACAGTTTGCCATGTCTCTAACTTCCGTCAAATTGCTAGTGTATTCTTCGGTTTACCAAGCACAAATCATTCTCCCTACATTTTGAATGATTCATATCTGAGCGCCTCGAAGTCATAAAGTAATATTTAAATGACTGTTACTGCATTATGAAATGTTGGTATAAGATAGCCATATTTCAAGTTTTTTGACGTCATCATTACCAGTTATTATATGATAGCTTAAATTGCATGAGTGACGTGACATTAAAGTGTTGGTTAATTAATACTACCTGTGATTTACATTATCAAATTTGTAATAACTTCTTTTAGCTGTGTTATACTACTTTTGTGTCTTTGTCCCTGAGCCTTCATTACTAATGTCACTTGTCAAAAATGAGTTTTTTTATCAATCTCCAAATACACCTGTTCGACTAAGGATAATTTTCTGTTGCGTGAGGAAAAAAGTTAAAAATATTTTAAACAGTAGCAATAAATTAAATTTAAAAGGGCTTATTTCTAAGAAGCTACCATTCCCATTAGCAGCTCCCGTTTACGCGTGACAGTGGAGGTCTTTGATGGCATCGGTGCGAGTTCATTTTCGACTGTCCTTATAATCGTAAAAATGAAACTGTTTATTGACCATGGCTTTGTTGGTCTTTTGATTTTCCACATACTCTACTTTCAACGTCGATTTTGCAATTTTAATAGAACTGCTCTGGGATTCAATTTGACCAAACTTTGAGGCCTCTTAAGGACTCGTTCATTTAAAAAAATTAATGAAAGTTGGTTTGGTGTGGAGTTTTCTTCCCTTTGATGCAAAAGCATTTCGCTGAAAGAAATGCACTTGTATTCCTGCCTTTTACTAAAAGTTCATAACTAGCTTCCATTATGGCGTTAAACCACTGCACGTATATCCTCTCAATCCCACATCTTATTATTACTCTCAAGTGTTATTTTTTCAAAAATACATGTTGAGAAACATGATGAAAGTGATATGGAGAAGTGAATGAGGCAATATTACTTGATGCTTTGGTACACCACATTAATAAGTTGTCAGTGCTACAAAGTGGTTGATAGGTTTCAAGAACCAGTTACGATGTGCAGGGAGACCCGGCCAGATAATGAATGGTAGGTGTTTCCACTTTCCCTGAAAGTTAGTAAATAAAGTATGAAGGAAGTGGTTTTTTGTTCTGAGCGTAGAAGTTTTTTTTTGCAGACCGACAAACTAGCTAATGGGAGAAAATATATTTGATAAAAAGCCTCACACCGGGCCGAAGACCTCAGTGTGTGCAAATTTTTGGTCATATGCAACTAACAGACCGGAAGTAGTTGCGCTTTCACCGAAAATTGATACCATTCAAGGAAAACCTACCCATATATGTCCACTTCTCAACTGCAATACCTTATGGCAAAATTACCAACGTGAATTTGCTTCCATGTTCCGAAAGACCTTCTGCCACTAGTACACACATAGTTAATGGAACGAGTATCACGCTAATAGCATTTTTTTCTCTATTTAAGTATTTATGCAGAGGAAATCCTCAGAATGCAATCTACAGTACTTGAGTTTGGCAAATATTTTCACTGGATGAGTGGCTGCTAAACACAGGGATTCTTATTTTCCTTTAAATTGCAGTGATGTCATTAGCAGCCAATTCATACGCTTATTTTCGTTGAACAGGAGACTTAAAAGTACAAAAACGTACAATTTTTTCCAGCATAAGAAGTATCACTTTTGCGGTCAACCATTGTTCTGCCCGGCTGTAGTAATGCCGCTGCATATGGAGAGCATTTAGAGCTAAAACATGCGCGTTATCTATGACAGTTTTTTTTGGTAGTTACATATTTTGGTGCATTTAAGACCGTCTAATCAGTCATTGAACAGTAACAGAAGCTGTTGTCTCTTCCTAAATAACAAGTATGAAATAAGTGGAAATTGCTATTTAAAGTGCCGCATTGAGAGGGATCAAGGCAATCAGTTCACTGCGGAACTATTTGCTATCAGAAATCAGAGAGGACATTTGCTTCCCTTTTTTAGAAATAAGTCTAATGAAAACATTCATAATTATGCCTGTTGCTACGTCCACCCATATTCAGGACATTTAGAGCATTCACTACACATTTACGCTCTATAATTTCAAACATCCTTTATTTGCACTCACTTCCCCACAAGAACCTGGATTTCGTATCAGTTACGTAAAAATTTTTTATGTGAAATTGATAAAGAACACTGGCATCGCTCCTCCCACTGTCTTAAACGTCTAAATATTTCAGATGTCTCTTGTGGACGCAGATTGAATTAGGCTAAACCATTTTACAGAGTGAGGATTTTGTAATAAGACCGCCCATGAAATGGAAGCGTTTTCCGTATTTGAGTCTTCTTGCCACTTCGGTGAATAAAAGTACTTCAAAGTGTTTTCAAAACATTAAGGTTAATCAAGGTGAAAGGCTACAAGGGCAACACTTTAGTGCCCAAGACACAGAAAGTCAAAGACATTTCTAAAACATTGATTCTATTGAAAAACTAGAAATCATTTCTCCCTAGCATTTTTTCGTCGAAATACTGCCTACCATAACCGATTTAGGGCATTGCTTTTGCCCAACAAAATCGTTTAATCTACATTAAAACAAAAATTATAATAAGCTATTTATGCCGTTAGGCATTTCGATTGGCCAATTTGTCGGCATGCTTACAATCGTGTAAGCTTTATTGCTCTTAGCAAAACTAATAAGTGTTTCAAAACTGCAAAGACGGCATCAGTGTGGTTCCTTATGGCAGTAAACGTCCACTACCAGGGTCTTAGAGGAAAACGGATCGTTACAGCGCATGCTTTTTGTTGTTCCGCTATGGCAACAATAGTCATTTCCTTATGCGACCAATTCAGCATCCGCTTAGGATAAAATGTGTCAGCCCCTCAATTGCAGAGCATCCTGCGTTCTGTTTAGCCCGCGGCACGATTTGGGGTAGGTGGACGTCATCAACCGGTAAAGAGCACACGCCACATATACGCGACATTGGCAATGAATTTGGTGGTAAAGTTAACTTGTTCTTCAGTATCGTACCAACCACCAGAGGCGCTTGTCCTTTTCAATGGTTTAATTATTAATTTAAATATTGGCACCACAGTTTAAATCCAGTAAACATTTCAGAGAAATATTGAAAATACATTCTCGTAAATACACGTGTGTATTTTGACCTTTCACTTGTTGTGCAACAAATTATTGCCAAAAACGACGATTAATTCTATTACTCCCACAGGAAAACCTATATTTGTAAAAATTTGAACGCTCTATATTAGCAGGCAAGGTCGCCCTGCCAGCCTCTAAATTTACCCATTTCCAACCGGATGTCAGGCTGCCGTTTTGCAAGAAAAAGCGCAACACAGCGGTGCCCTTCAGAGGGCGAATGAATCGTGCGATTTGAGTGCGTACGAGCAGGCTTTTTTTGTCCAACAATTTCGATCGTGCATATTTTCTTTACAACTTCAATGGCAAGTAGAAACAGGGGAAAAGCTCCGACTTCCTTCCAAAACAGTCATTCACAAAGGACGTTGATCACAGTCGGATGCTCATAGTGACGGTGGAAAGTGCATATTTTGAAACAGTTACGTCCCATCTTTCAAGTTTTAAGCTTTGATTCGACCATCATTGTGTGCATTTTTACGGATCTTATGGAAGAACATTGGTGAAGTGTCATTTTAAAATGCTGTAGAGTTCCCTTTTGATTTCTTAGGGTCTTGAGTTGCATTATTTGGCTATTCTTCTAAAATAACTTTTTGTCTTACATACGGCTGCTTGGACACACTACCATATAAAATGAAAAGTGTGATAAATAAGTTCGACAACAACAATCCACTTTGTCATTTCGTCAAAGTTGACAATTTCGATGTCAAGTTTCATCCTCAGTTGTTTGCATTGAACAACACGAGTTCTTTCATTACGTTCGCGTCAACGGCGCTTGACACCTTGTCGGCATTTGCTTTTGATGTCCGGTTAGTTCTTTGTTTACTACTGCATGTCACACAGTCAGGGGTCACAATGACACTGCCATATTAAAATTAATCTAAAAGAGTGTTACGTGAATTCGGTGCAATTTATCAAGAGGGTGTTTTGAGTTTTGGTGGGGATTGTTCCACAGTCAAATCTTCAGCGATTTAACACCTATATCTTCTTTCTGCCTTTAGGTGAATGCTCACAGAATTAATTGCTCAATTATGTTTAGGCGACAATCCTTTACAAAGTATTTTCGGCAATTTTAAGTGGGAATAGACTCTACCCTTTAAGTCGTGCGATTCTCCTTAATAATTACTGGAGACGAGTCTTTCGTCCTACGAATGGTTATTCGTAGTCAACAAAAAATACTAATGACTTCTTTAAAGTGCCTTGTTTACTAAAACGTTGTCTTCAAGAAATTAGGTGCTAGTTTCATGCCACTGTAGCATGCATTTGACACCATTAAACTCACTATTTATGGTTTGTAACTTGGCGAAAAATGGCGTTGATAAAGCGATGTGATTTGCACAAAATAAACGTTTTCCTGTCACTCAAAAAGTTATCAATTATTTATTTGCTACTTTATTTCAATTATTGCCCAACTGTATTAACTATAAAACTAGTTCCCTTCCGATTAACCCCATTTCTTTCATGCTGAAAATGAAGTAGGCTGTTAGAGATGTCCCTTGAAATAATTGCTGTTTGTCTGCTCAATTCAACAGCAACTGCAACATTAATGATCGGGCACAAACTGTTTCAGTATTCACCAGCATTCTCCCATGCAAAAACCAACTTGTCGGTTTCTCTCAGTAGCACTTTTTCTTCAAAGTTTTTGAAGACAATAAAGGCTCCGCTCTACGCACTTCACTGGCGCAGCAACTAATTTTGAGGATCACGTGCCCTCTCGACTTTATGGACAAAATTGCCTGAAATAGTGCGGATGATTAGATTTCCTTCATCTACACTAGCCACTTTGATCTCACTCAGCGGGTGAAGTAATTTTATGCGTATATCCTCTTGCTAAGGTTATACTGTTGAATATTTCAATTTTTTTCGGAAAATAGGAACACAGTAATTTCTTTTTTTAAGTTTCGAGACTGTTCCACGTCATCCTGCCCAACGATGCTCTGCCCCGCAATAATTAACGGGGTCGGCACGGATACTTGTTAGTATCAATGATTAGCTCGGCGTCCCTCTTTATTTATTCATAATAATAATGTGATTTACCTCTAATGGGCCATGAAAGTGGTCATACAGTGTGTTCGTCTTCTTTTCACGTTATATGTGGGATTTTTGAGCTGCTTAAGGAGAAAATCTTAGGATCGTTTCAACGTTTTCTCGTAATTTTGTAAACTTTAAATGTCACAAATGAAGTCTGCTAAAACCGTATTTGCGTTTTACTTAGCTAATTATAGGACATTTAAGTCTCCATGAAATAATACCAGCTAAATGAGCCCGAACAATAGTTTTACTCATTAGGACTCTTCAAATTTCGGAAATAGGACTCTATCGAGCGTGACGGTGCAAAATATTTCGGCTGTATTCAATTTGGTGAAGTTCCAATTGAGTGAGTTTTAATTCTTTATTTTTTTCAGCAATATTTCACTTCCAACTTGAAAAAAAGGAAGGATAACACAATGTAGAGGCATTTGTCATGCCTCCGCAAAGATTATTCGCCTTTACCTACGAAGTGCTCTTCTGCGAAACTCCTGCCTTCTGACTGCTTTAAAAAGTGTATAGGCTGATGTACTTACTGAATGAAATTGCCGCAAATAGGCCTTGTTAATAATTCGCTTACCGGTCCTTCACCCCACTTTTTATATAAGTGTGGGAACGTGGAAAATAAAATCGTCACAGATTAATATAAACTAATATCAATGCACAAAAATACAAGTGAAATTCCTTATTGAAATGTATACGTGTAGTGAATGATAAGTAAACGTCTGAATTCAATGAGCAGGTAATTGGCATTTCCTCAAAACCCTTGGAATGGCCTTTTACTTGTCCTCCTGCTAGTTTACCTTTTGTGGTTTGCCAAATCTGCTGAGGGTATAGGCATTCTGCGTAAAGCCCACTTGGGGGACGTACTCTATGACCGATTAAATTAACTTACCAATGTTCCACAATTTTTTCCCCCAAAAGTGCCTGTTTCACCTTATTTGTAGTCCTTGCATAACTTTTAAGCCGTTCTTTTAAAGTAGCAAATTTGGGGTAGGTGAAAAAACTGCGGCCACGGAAGGAAATCAGGAATTTTTTGTGGAAATTGGCTCATGAGGTGATCGGGAGGACTCATGCAAAACCGATGGATGATTTAAGTAAGATAGGTACATGCTTTCATATCTCAATGCGGTTTTTCAGAAACCAGAATAGACACAAAAGCATCTTATCATTTTGGCCGAACAAAGGATGTAAAAATTTATGTTGCGTTGCCAATAGCATGGGAGCATTGCAGAAACACATGTGATGCAAGATTGCTGAATAAATATGGTCAAGAACTTTAGAAGTAAAAGCTATCTAATCTCGTCCAAAATATGTTAGATTCCGATTTTTGTCACGAGAATAAGATTGCCAAAACTGCGACCAGGCTTAAAAAGGGGAAAACAAGAAAAGATTTGGAAGTTTAATGAACCTATGCTTCTCTAAATGCAAGAGAATTCTCCACTGACCGTGGCTTATACTTCCGTCTACCCTGTCAGATGCCACCCCTTCATTTGTCTCTTTCTTCAAATTGTAATAAAGCCCATTAGTATAGAATATTTCTTAATCACATTCAAGATGGAAGTACATACAATGCGCTGCCCCTTGTAAATCTGCTTCGGCCATCACATAGTGGTCGGTGTTTTAAAAACCATGCACGAGCTAGTAACATTAAACACCAGACATTCATGGAGGCAGAAAGTCATTTCGTCACTTTGTCCGTGACCCATCTCATCAACGTGATCGTACCCGGGGCTACTTCCCCTTTTTGAAACGCGTTAAGAGAAAGGTATTCATCTGTTTGTAGTACTCAAGACCGGCATTTCGTGTCACAATTTTTAACTACAATAAAACTAAGCTAGAAATGTAGCCATTTAATAAAAGACATACCAATGTGGCTTCATGAAACTTTATTCTGCTTTTATTTCCTTCCCACTCTGTTTGCATTTGTCTGTTGCCCAGCCACCTATCTAGGGTCTGCTCAGCTCCTAGGGCAATGGAAGCGACCGGATTTGGTTATGCAATTCCCAAATTTTCATATAAGTTCCACAGGTAACTTCGTAATAGTTCAATGTTGCTGTAATAATCCGTTTCCTTCTCTTATCACGTATTATTAAGATAAATATCAAGAGTCAGTGTGGCATTGACAAACATCTGATGAGGAGCTTTGCAGATTTCGACCTCTATATTTAGTGTCTTCCGGTTGTAGCAAGGAAGCTTGGTACGTAGCAGAAGAAATGAGGTTAGTTATTCACCATATTAGTACTACTAATATGGCATTCTTAGTATTTTCGGAAGCAGAGAAACGCCGCGGTAGGGATTTATCATTAACGCAGGGGAGACGTAGACAGGGACGGACGACCTGCACATAAAACGGCAAATCACTTTGATATATTTTAGAAAATGCAACTTTAGCCTTGACTAATGATTGATATTTATGTCATTAGACGTATTTCTATAAAAAAAAGCGATGCAATCATATTCACCTTTTGTTGTATTAAATTGGATCTAATTTTAGTAAGGTAGACAGGAACATTTAGAGTCAATTAAACAGGCCAACCAAGAAAATATATGCATTGCCCTTTTTTATGCGAGAACCGTATTACTGAAACAGGTCGTAGATACACCCATTTTGAGGTAGTTAGCTTATATAAACTTATGTGAGCTTCTTTTTCAATTTCGACGTGTTTTACAAATAGCTGGGTATTATATTTTTTATAAACAGTTAAGTCAGTGGGTATTTGCGGCTCCATATTACTGTCCAATATTTGTTTAACTACATTGCGACCCAAAATAGTCCATATAATTATAGGTGCTGCGGCATTTGGTTCTTGTTGTTATTCGCCGAGGTGGGTTTTGAAGCTTTTGGTTCTTTGTGCTTCGGCGCATGTAGTTTTGGGGTATTTAACGGCCTTGTTTAAAGTGTCGGTATTTGCACGGAAAAGGTTACAAGCCTGCCCCATTTTGATGGTCTGTTTGCCTTAACTCTTCTTTTGGTATTCGCTTCAATTTTACGCTGTTATTTGCCTAGTCATGCAGGAGCGGTCCATTGTAGTGCATTGCTCCTGTTTTTCAAATTTTTCCCTCCTTTTAGATGCCTTTATATCCTAGTCTCGAAGCCCTAACGATTGGAAAGGAGGTGGATGCCCAAAATAGGCTTGCCACCACCCTGATGTCTGCCCCAGCAGCATCCGACTCCACAGGTGGTGTAAACTACGCCTTGTTGGCTAGCGAATTTTTGGGCCTGGACCTTTCCTTGGTTACTTATGATGAGTACGGTAACGCCTGTTATGGTGGGCAACCTAACGCAGACGCGATCGCAACCCACGTAGGCGGTACTGTTGCTCTTCCGGATCCCAACGCCATCGCAAGTAGAGATCCTGTCAATGTATCACAGGGAGTTCGCGAAGTAACAATACGAAAGAACAAACATGGTTTTGTGGGGCTACAATTACGCAATCAAGACCGCGGAGTGTTCGTGACTTATGTCGAATCTGATTCTCCAGCCGCCGAGGCTGGTCTTCGCTTTGGCGATCAAGTTTTGAAGATTAACAGCCAATACACTGTCGGTATGACTGGGAAAGAGGCAATGAGCTTTATCAGGCGATCTTGCGGACCAACAGTTGATATTATCATACGCGACCGGTGAACCAATTAGCTCAGTGTTAATTGAAAACCGTTGGTTTTTTCAGTTCATAGTCTTATTACGTACTTGTTGGAAGTTCTTTGCCACTTAGTGAGATTTCGTCGCATTCTTATTTCAGGCCCCTTGAACGCGTCGTTACGCTGGCAAAGGACAGCCTGGGGTGTCTGGGCATTCTCATCAAAGATGGAGATATTGAGGCCATTGTTAAGGATTCAAGTGCTGCTAGGAATGGTGTGCTGATTAATAGTCACTTGGTTGAAGTGAATGGCATTAATGTGCTCGGTCTTTCCGATAAGAAAATTCGCGAACTCATCAAAGTCTCCCCTCAGAACGTCAGGGTGACGCTTATTCCCGGCTTTTACTATCAGCACCTTTCGAAAAAGTGAGCTGCGTTCAATTGCGTTCTTTTATGCCTTGGACATTTGGCTAATTCGTAGACTTCGTTTATCACGATGTTCAACGGAATGTTCTTTGTTTTTACCACGTCAACGGGTGCCTTACCTTACTTGTCACTAAAATATTTATTTGGTTTTTGTTTATTTCAGACTTGGGAGGGGGCTAATGAAGAATATGGACCGCTCCGAACCAATGGCATAGAATTTCTCCTCCCCACTCTGTTTGCCTATTTCAACCAATTGCCATCTCAATTCCGTATTTTAATACACCAGTTGACTTCTGTTTTATGTAGTATTGTTTTTTTCGGTTACTTTAATGCATTAAAGCTACTTTGTCATCACGCATTTCCTGTTGTTGGGGGGGGGGGGGGTGTATGTCTTTCTCCAAAGCTGACCTCGCGCGCGTGGGACGTAGGGCTTCTTGACCCACCATATCGATTAGCCAAGCACCATTGAATTGTTCACCTCTGGCGGGGGCACGTGCTCTATGCTGTGTTGGTTCTGCGCTGACTTGAAATAGTGGGCGTCGAGGAAGCCTGGTACAATCGATGTCACATTAGGTGCTTACGATGCCAGTTTAACCGGTGGGTGGATTTCACCACTCGCTGATTCCCGTTTCCTGCTCGAGTGGATGTTTTGTTTATTGACATGGCCGTGTGGTTTGTCCCCTAATCAATGACTCGAGGTTAGTGAGCAGAGGCGAAGCATTCATTCGCCCAAGATGAGGAGGGTCGGTGCTCACCAGCGGCGTTGAGCAATGGGTGTGGCTGAAGTCACCCATGGCGTTCGGCCTTTGCACTGGTTATTCACTACCCCAGCAAAAAGGAGACGTGCAGCGTTGGCGCTGTGAGAAAGCCTTTACTAGCATTCAGCTGGGAAACGCGCACCGTGCATACGCCTACCTGTACTCGCGCCGTTCCCTCCTACCGCCGTTTGATGGGGGCTCCACTGGGTACACCTATTTCTGTTTTGATTGTAGGTCTCATTGACTCACAGTTCTTATTTTCAATTGCAGTACGATTTTGTGATCAGAATGAAAAATACATTTTCTTCTGTGAGAAATGAGTTCTCTATTATTTTAGACACCTGCTATTTTTATATGCTTCGATGTATGCATATGTAATTTTTTTCAACTCCATTACACCTAATTTTTCATATTTCGGAATCCAAACAATACATAAATCGGAAATGATATTTTTTGACGCGATTTTATTTTCGACCACTTTTAATTATTGCTTTAGGACATTATAGTGTGTGTGTGTGTGATTTACTGCTCACGGGGCTTATCTGTTAAGCCATCTAGAGATAAGCGACACTCTGTTGATAATCCAACTTGAAGTGCTAGCAAAAATTTAAGTTTTATTCTACCATCTGGAACCGAGTTCAGAACATGTAAATTCGTAGGTAGCGGTAATTCTGATATAAGTATCCGACAGATTCATTGGAATCATTAGTGGGGACGAGCTACCTACGGAAGTAATTGGCTCCTCTTATGATAAAACACTTCGCTACAACGGCATTTACCAGCTGTTCTGCTTGAATTACATAGGAAAGAATTGCTACAGCATGGTTAGCAGCCTATTGTACATCCTTCCAACGGGTTTTCAACACTCTCGAAAGTGTAAATGGAAGACGCACATTTTGCCCCTTTTAGTGCACCTGAATTAACGTGATTTTGCCCATCGAATGAAGAAATAGGAAGCTTGCTCGAGATTTGAGCGCCACCAAATTATGTCCTATTTCGCTACCTCGTGGTACTTGGATCCGCATCTCCTGCGGTTCTTCTGTAATGGCGCGCTTGTTGCACTGGTTAAATTGCAAGAAGGCGTCTACTTTTGCGCATTCCATCAGTTTGTTCGTTCAATCGCCGCATGAATCCATTGCATAAAACCAATTTATGGGAAACAATAAGAGAGTGCATATGTCTTTTTCGGTGTAGCATCATTTAGCTGCTATTAACAGCCTTATCTTTCCTCTCGAATGCCAAAATGTACTTGGCTAACTTCTAGATAGTAAAGTTCTAAGCGAGTGGCCCGTGCGCTCACGTCATGTCTCTCTTCCTCTACGCCCATCGAGAGCACTTCAGTCAGTAAAAAGCATTTAAACTTTAAATTAGAGGTATGCATGCAAGTGTTCCATCCCCGCATCATCCACTCATTCAATAAATGTTTTGATGGATGAGGTAAATCAAATGATTTTTACCTGCCACTAGAGCATTTTCGTGTTATTTTGTATCGCTGTGATAGCCCGCACATTATTTAAGTGCGCATCGTTGCTAGCAATGTTCTTTTCTTTTTGTGAAATCTTTTTAATAAGTTGATTTTGCCTGTGCTTCTCGTTGCACGTTGAAACAACTAATAACGCAGATGTATCATTTTACTAGCCTAGGCATCAACCGTTCCATTCTCCCGCATGGAATGTACGATATTGCCATGCGAAGATAAGGCATCCGTAAGGAATTTGTTACACCGACCACCTTCCAATATCCCCATTTATCTTCTGCTCCAAAGTCCATTTATCCAAAGACGTTATTTCACACTAGAAACACGCTTGCTTATGGGTTTTTCCATGTTGGTCAACTAACATCGTTACCAGTTACATTGGTGGTTACTTACCTCATAGATGTGCTAATTCTATTTGTGTGGATTATGTAACTGTGAGTGGTGTAGTTGGGTGAAGTTTGTCATACAGCTGACAGATAGACAAATTTCTGTAAAAGCAGAATTCCAAAAGGTTCGATAAAAGAAGGATTATCTGGGACATCAAGAAGCGTTTATCACCTCGTGTGTAATACTCTAAGTCGTGAAATGCGTCCTGTCTTTTCAAACGTCGTTTAACTTTACTTTATTAAGCGTTGTGTAGCTATGCAATACATGTACACAAACTCACTTATTTAGCTACTTCATTTTCTACTAGTCCATCGCCATACTTGCTCACCATTCACTTAATAAACGAGTTGATGATTTTAAAGTTGTTATAAAATTACTAAGAAATAAAAATGCTAAATTAGATGCTAACTTTACTTAAGACCGGACAAATTACAAATAAGAAGTTTGTACTCCGGTGAAGGTAGTGTTGGTGATATTCAACTAGGCTTAAGCTGCTTTCACACTTTTTGCTTTTACTAAAGTATGCTTCGTCAAGTGCTATGACATGAATGACGCTAAAAATGCTTTGCCTACACCCACGGAAAACGTGTGTTGTGCATGATCTCAATGCACCGTGATTGACGTAGCCTAACTCACATCTTGGAGAAAGATCACTCCGCCAATCTGAGCTGATTTCCCCTCTGGCATTGCTGTCATCGCTGACAGTCACTCTAAGGTTGACCACGTGGTTCACAAATGGCACATCATGCCCACATGAATGGATTGACAGACTAATTCCACCTCTCAATAAGGTCTGAAATGATTTCGTTCTTCTCTGGAACCAAATGAGACTTACATTCTGAACTTGCTAAATAGGTAGAAAACACAATTTTGTGGCTAGAAGATGTCACGTCATGCAGAGTGACCAATCGTCCACTTGGCAATGGCATACCTCGAAACTCCTCCTGGAAGGTGGAGTATTAAAGCTTTGATGGCCACGGTCGAGTTTAATGCCATCAGATGCACTAGTCGAACGTCAGAATACGCCGATCAAAGCTAAGGGGTTTTTTTTAGCCAAAATAGTTGGAAAGGCCCCTTACTAATGCTCAATTTTTAATTGGAAAACCTCATACGCCTCAGACAAACAGCGAGACCTGCGGCGCACACAGACCAATCAGGTGGACAGCTGCAGCACGCACATCGCACGCGTTGGTGGTATCCTCGCTCAAGACAGTCAACCAGGATGCCCGAGGCTGGCAAAGGATCAGATTTAGGCAAACGAGAATATACATCCGCACGCACAAGCTGGTGAAATCGAAATGAGTCCTGGCCAAAAATTGCCCTTAGATGGTAGTGATATGAGGAATAGCTATGACTCGTTCGCACCCATATTCGGCGGTAGTTCATCGAGTCGTTGTGGCTTGTGGAGCGCTACTTTCGGCTCCTCCCCGTCATAGCCGCGCAAACTGAGGACTTTAATACTGCTAGCAATAAAATGGTGCGAAATGCTAACAAAACAGTAACGTCGGAAATGTTCCAGAACAACTTTTGTTGATTTGAAAAATGCTAGAACGGCAAAACTATGATTTTTAGGCTTGCGCCATTACGGAGTGCGGTGTCACAATTACAATCTTTGTAAAACGGTACTACGAGTTCGCACAACTTAGCCCACGCAAACCACAGCACATTTAAATTCGTGTTCTTTATCGCGCCTAAATTTAACCTAGGGGCGAACTATCACACTTAACTTACACCAGTGGACTAATATGACGTATGATTGAGCTGGTTACATCCATTCAAAACGCTCGCAATTACAGCCTTATTTGATAAATAACGATTTCAAAATAGTGCATGAAAGTAGCTGACCATTTCGGGATTGAATGCAAGACGAGGCAAGATAAAACTAATCAAAGACCAGTATTGCTATACCGCATTAAAAGAGCACCCAAAATTGGAGAGTGCCTTTCTCGCCCATTTGCATCGAATTGCTCTCAAAGCACGTGGTTCTACCTTCAGCCAGAAACCATCCTCACAATACGCCATTCCCTTGCGATGAGTACCAATTTTAAGTTTTCCACCAAGGTATTCTAAGCAAGCTACTTCCACCCAACTTTTTGTGGAAAAAAGGAACTCCAAAATGTTGTCTACGGATAGTTTCAGCGTTACCCTTTACGATAAATACACGGTTGACTGCTACAATCGGTTATGTCATGGCTAAAGCGAAGCCTTCACACGCAAAGCTCCACCATGGAACGTCATGTGAACAGTTATCCTAACAAAACTAAACTTCCGCCGTCCATGTAACCAACCTCTGATAAAAGGCGTAAACTATTTCACTAGATTCCGCTCACTACAGGGTGCCATCACAGTAGGAAATTGTATCCCACCCTCACCACGATTGCCACGTATCTAATTGATCTCCAACTGAATAATTTCTACTGAACAAATATGAGTAAGTGAGCACCCGTACAATCATATCTCACACCCACAATTAACAGATTTCGTATTACCAATTTGGACAGGAGCGCACTTGCAACCCCAGTGAGGAGCGTTCCCAATCTACCAAACCACCATAGCGATAGCCTCTGGGGACAAGACTCAAGCGAAATCAAGATTCCATAAAATCAATGATTGTGAGACAAGGGCAGTGAGTCAAAGGGAGAGAGGAGGAGAAAGATTGATGAATGAGCCTGCATCTATGTACACGCCAGCATACATATCCGAGGGGGGAAGCTGGAGGTCTATGGGAGACTGTCACTACCCTCTATTGTAGCCGGAGTGACACCATGTCGCCCTGAGATGACGATGTCCTCGCCCACCTCCAGATCGGAGTGGAAAGAGGAGGAGGAGGGAGAGGCGGCGGTGGGTTCAAGGCCGAACCCGCAGTCCTCTATCGCGGGAAGGAAATCCTCCTCGTTGTCATGACAAGCATCGCTTGAGGTAGAGGTAGCAATACCGGCGCTAGTGACAGCAGGCAATGCGAAACCGAGGCAAACAGCCACCTCATTAGGCAAATGATCCTTAATCTCCAACAACTGATTATAGATGCCCTGGGCGCGACTCAATACGTTCTGAAGGTTTATCCTCTCGCTCAGACCGTTGATGTGCTAAAAAAGAGAAAAGGTGGGGAGGAGAGGAGAAAGGATACAAGGAAAAGCACAATTACAACGCTTTAATATAGCAGTACTATTAAATTAATCATTTCTGCTGATACTCAACACTCCTGATGCGACGTTGCGAAATCATGTGACATTTACAGATCAAATGAGCTTTGTACTTTGTAATGAATGCACGTTAATAAGGTGGGAAATACCTGAAGTATTTGACTTATGTCTGAGCAACTTCTGATTATAGTCTCAGCCTCAGAGTCGAAAATGGCGACTGCGATAAGTAGTTGGAAGTTCCTTGGAGCAACGCCGCTGTAAAGTGTCTGCAAGAGAAAAAAGCCGATCACCACTTAGACTTCCACTCAGGCCCTTTGTTTATATTCTGATAGGCTTTTAAGTTACGCCCTAAATCTTCGTGGATAATTTAAATATCGATGCAGATTAAGTAAAATGGCAATAAAATTATCATCCGCTCTACCATGCCTGCAATAAGGAGAATATCCCAAGGCCATCGCTGCCAGGAGAATGTTTGTGAGAATAACTAACCTCCCAAAGTATTTTGATATCATCGTAGGAGAATTCGCGTTTAAAGATGATAAAAAACCATCTGAAGCAGAAACTCATCGATGTTGCCTCCTTTTCACCTAAAAAATAAACAGTGTTGGGTAAAAACCGTATTCGAGGCAGTGGGCAATCGGATCCAAATAACAAGGCTGAAGGTCGTTTAGAACAAAAAGAGGTAAGCTTACGCAAAAATCGTGCAAAACGAGGCATAAGAATTTCGATTAGCTTGAAGAGGCCGACGAATTGACTGGATAGAACTGATGAATCGTCGGAAAAGTGACCGGACTGTTAAAGGAAAAGAGTTAACTGTCCGATTGGTTAAGAGGTAAACTGAAATATGATTTACAAGCCCCATAATTTTTCAACACTCCACCCTTTAGTTCATTTTAAATGCCAAAGCCTCCACTCGTTTATTAGAAATTGATTTAGAGGATGGGAAAGGCATGAGTCTGGGCAGACTACCAGATTGGCGTAAATGAAACCAACATTATTATCGCTACAATGATGGTGATAAATATAAAATGAATAAAATTGCAGGCGCGACTTCTATTAAAAGTAAAAAAACCCTAGTCATATCTTCGTTTTAGGTAATAAATAAAATTTCGGTGCAAAGTAGTCCACGACTATCGACATTTTAGGTATTCCTCCACCAGTGACAAATGGCATCTTGTATGATGCTTCATAATTTTTTTTCATATACAGATTAGCATTAGTTTGTTTTCAGCTCGAACTTTACCGCAGAAAACGTTGAAGGTACCTACTACATGCCTCGATGGTACAGCTACTTACAAAGTGCAATAAGAGGTGGCCATTTCAAGAAAAATGGAAAGTCGACGCTGGTCGGTTGCAGCCATAAAATACCGTCACCTGTTCTTTGAACCAATCAAGAGTAGGGACAAAGCATTCAGCTTGAAATTCCATTCCCACAATCACTTGAGATATCGTAGATTAATAGCAACAGGGTAGCCACAAACATGAATGCAGTACCGTCAGTGAATATGGATAAAAACGTGGATAAATGATCATCTATAGAGAGCCCATCGCAACAGCAGTAGCTAGTAGAACTGAAATGGCCATAATTGAACGCGTGATCGTTACGGCAGGGTCTAGCCTCGTTTATTTGAGTCACTCATATGGCACTGCGAGTCACGAATTAAGTAAGTTCACCAGGACACAACTTTGCTCAATGACCTACGCAACAAACACTATACAATTATTCGCGAAAGTGGTTGAACAACACTGAAAGCTGTTACTGCTAAGGGTAAACTGACCACACAAACGGACTTTTGCTATCTATCCGACCGTCCACCAGTGAACAAGATCACGTGGATCAGTAGACCGAATGTAAGACTGCTTTGCATTAGCTTAACATAATTGTTGAATGCGCCTCAAACTCTTTTTCAAGAATGTCATTTAAAAATATATGAAACAATTAAAGAAATTAAAAGTGGAGGTGAGAAATGAGGGAAAAAGAGACGTACAATATGATCGAGGAGCCCAGCGAAGCACCAAAAGGCGTCCTCTTCACCATCAATGACCGACATTATGACCGCCAACAAGTCATTCATTCCTTGAGAATACCCTGAAGGTTGAGTGTAGAAGAGGTAAACCTTTCAAAATATTTCAACACTAATTTCATGACAAGCGACCGGAGGCCTGTTATGGCAGTAGGTTCACGCCTAGTTGGAAAGATGAACGATCATGATAATGAAGGAGTTCTGATTTTGCCTGATGTCTTCTGTGATCTAATTTTCAAACAAATAAGCGTTAGCGTCAGATGCGCCAGGTTGTCACTTTAAAAGTTCAAAAAATATCTTTAAGCTATAATTACTTTTCAGAGATGGTAAATAAACTTAAAAAATAAGGATATAGACGACAAATACAAGGCCGAACAGCGGCGTCGCTAAACCCAGCATCGAGCTCCTAAACCACGGGAAACAAACAGAGTGCGATGTGCAGTTTTCTAACTGAGAAAATGAGTAAACTGGACATTTATGGGGAGTGAAATGTGGTTATTAATTGTATTCACTCACCTAGATCGGGATTATAGAAAGTGTACGTCATGAGTATGTTGTAAAGCCGTGTAAGAGCTCCCGATGAATTGTCTCTGAAGAGGGCTGTCTGCCGATCAGTCCGATAGGTGTCCTTTTCTAAAAATCATGTACACACCAACGGGATAGTTTGTCGGTCGAAAATGACTCTACAAGAACTCGGTGTGAGCAAACGAACCTATAATGCTCTTGCGCCCTCTAAAAACACAAGAGTTCCTTACTTGCTTTGGCGACATTGATCGCCAAAACGTCTTCATGATGTGATAATGCTGGCTGAAGAATACAAAAGTTCATTTTTAAAAACGGAAAATCGATTACAAATGATGGTATGATGCAAACGTAGGTAACAGTAAACTACGAATTGGGGCAAATATGCGATTGAGTGTCACCTATTGTTGATATGAAAAGTTAAATGAGGCTAACTGCTTAGCCTGAACCCTCTTAGCATTCTCCTCCTTTGTGAAATCCCACTTCAGATAGCCAAAAAGGTACTTCCATGCGATGGGTCTGAGATCCGGTTCAATACCCTAAATCCAATGTAAAAAGTATTAGGCAGGTAAATCAAGGCTTGTTTATTAGGAGCCATTGCATGGCGGATGAGTCAAAATAAATTAGGTATCGTTCCTACTGTGAGAATTACACCATCTCATGGGGGGCACTTCCGGTGATTTAATAAGTGCCCACGCGATCAAATGATATGAAAACATTGACTTTATATGACGAATTTGGCTTGGCACAGAAGTGACTCATTGTTGGATTGAAGGGTCACTCAATATAATAAAGATAACAAGCGCTGACCTTCGACAGGTAATACAAATGAAATTCAAGCGTAATTTTTATAGGAATGCATTAAAACGGTATTATAGAGGAAAAATTAATGAATGAATTCTAACGATAATCACTCAACAATAAGCAGATAATACAGGGACTGTCGTATACAGACCAATGAATTTGAGAAAAAAATCACAAACAAGTGGAAAGTATCGAAAAGTTGTACTATTGAAGGTGAAATTGAGTTAAAAGTACTGATAAACATGTTGATGATAGAAAATTGAATAAACGAAGCGCAATTCATCCCATTAATATATGCCAATCTAGAACAGCGACTAAAGTAGTAATTAGCCATCCGTATGTAGCGCGTGTAAAAGCAAAACAGACAACCATTTACTCCATTGTAGATGGAGGTCTGTAGTTTCTCCGCCACAGTTACACGTCCGTCACGATCGAGGTGACGCTGCCACATTGCCAGAGTAACTGGATGTCTGCGTGGCACGGGTTTGAGATTGGGAATGCAGATAGGGCGGGGAGGACAAGAGATGAGTTGATATTCGGCATCGTCGGGCGCTGCGATGGAAGTTAGAGGTTCGTCGAGCTGCAGTCGGTCGGCGTAGATTTGGTTCGTCATGGTGCGCTGTGCAATTAAGTCGGGGTCTAGGAAGCCCTCGGTGTTGGGGGAGCGGCGCCACGAGGTTGTACCATCGTAAACACCCACACTGTTCAGCGCAGCGTCAGTGCTCACCCGCAGACCCTCGAAGACACTCATGAGTTTTGTACCCACGCCATGAATCACAGACATAGGAGAACTGGAGAAGCTAGATGAAACAAGTGTTTTAGTGTTTTATAAGCAAAGATCACTCCTGCTCCCGAGAGCAAGGAAAGTAAGAGAGAGCGACAAATCTTACTCTGACGTTGGTAGCTGATAGGTTGTTGTCCTACGGGTAGCCCTGTAGACTTCAGGATCTGATGATACTCTAAAATGCAGAAAACCTGTGAATTTGCCAATCAGAGGGTAGAAATAAGAAAATCGTCGACGGCAGCCTGAAAATATCGCGTGAACAAGAATAGACACACTAACACCACTATCTGAAGAATGACAAGCGCTCCATACACAGCTACCGCCCACATAGCATAAATCTTCGAATAGAAAGCCTGTGTTTCTATGCGATATTCAAGATGGTGACACAACAATAAGTAAGTCTTCGGGTGATTTGAAAAAACTATTAACAGTTTCGTTAGACATCACATTGCAAATTGACTTACTGTTGTAGATCAATATGTGACTGGAGTTTTTTAATGAAATCAATCGAACCACCCTGAGTGAACTCAAAAGGACCAAAAATCTCATTTTGGTTAGTTCGAAGGAAGATGCAGGTGCAACGGCGGTTAAATGACAAACGTCGGCGTTCCACTTGACTGATGCTGGAGAGAGGAATTTTAGGGGAGGCTTGACGCTCTAGCAGGCTATCGCTGTCAGCAATCCACTGGATTATTGTATCCTCCGAATTCTATGCACATGAGGCATAAAGCCAAAAGAAGAGGCACTTACAGGGGGGAGGAGAAACAAAGTTCCAGAAACAGATTCGGCGTCAGCCGTAAAGTTAACATGGCACCATTTATTACAAGTTTCTTCGGGAAAAGCCTGAAAGGAAGTAGAGCAGATGAACCGTAGATACCGGAGAAAGTCTAAAGCACCATATATCTACAACTAGTTTATCCGATGAGGACTTGTAATGTTAAACTACCCTGATATGACAACAAAAACCAGCCAATTCCGACTTAAAAAAAGATGTGACAAGTTTCAAATTAATGCGCCACCCATGTCGATGCGAGGCAGCAGTACATTTTGCCAGGCGACCAAAAAGTAAAGGTGGATCTAAACTGATCCCAATACTACAGTAAGAAATGTTCATTATGGCTATAATTAGGAATCCATTATAATAGACAAGCATACCACAATATCGATGCAACAATGGGTCTGGCCCGAAAAGTTTAATCATGTATACTAACAAAGCTAAAAAACAGAAATAATCTTCATTCGTAATTCTGTGAAAAAATGCCAAGTACGACAAAGACATAGACAACACAGACATAAAGTCTTCATAAAACCAGACAAGCCACCGAGACATGAGCTCAGTAAAACATTCCAAGGGTTAGACGTAGAGGTGTCTTGCTCAGATAAGTAACAAAAGTAAAAACAAAATACCTAAAAATTTTTGAGCAAAATAGTTTAGTTTACTGAGTGCAATCACATATCTTAGCGATTCCTAGGCATGATATAAGTTGACGTATTAGCAACTTAAGGCAATAATTAGCTTTCTAAAGCTTGATTGCTGTTCCATTCATTTGTTGCGCAATTGTTGGAAATGCGAAATCTGCTGCTTATTCAATTTTGCAAAACTTGTAGATTACTTATTTTCATAAGAACATCACTTCATTGCAAGCAAAAAAATATTTCCTACACAAACTACTGTAGCGTCCCGAGACTCCCTGAAGACGAAAGAAGACACGATACTCGGGCAAAATATGTATTCAGTGCATAGAAGGTGTCTGGGCTATTGGCATGGCCCGAAAGGCCAGCCCACCCAGCGAGGTACAATGGGGCTAATTCAAAGTACAAAAGTGGCGCCTCACCAGAACCGAGGGATAAACCACTATCGTATTACACTACTATTACGTAATACAAAAGTGGTTTATCCCTCGGTTCTGGCGAGGCGCCACCTTTGTATTTTGAATTAGCCCCCTTGTACCTCACTGGGTGGGCTGGCCTTTTGGGCCATGCCAATAGTCCAGACATCTTCTCCGTGCTGAACATATATATTCTGCCCGAGTGCTGTATCTTCTTTCGTCTTCAGGGAGCCTCGGGACGCCACAATTAGCACGTCTAAAAATAATGACTTATTTATTCCAGTTTTACCATTCTTACTTTAGACGCACCACCTTGATACAAGAATATCGGCAAACATTTTTTGGATTTGTGCAGATCGAGAAGGATTTACGACGTATTCAGATGTATAATTGCCGTTTACGTCCTTTTCAAACAAATCAGTAGCCTACGCCCATACATAGGAAAGTCAGTACACCGACTGTCACCTTGGGGCTCTATTGTAGCGTCCCAAGCCTTCCCTGAAGACGAAAGAAGACACGATACTCAGGCAGAATATATTGAAATACTTATGTTGTTTGAATTTGCCTTTCAGGGAGGAGACAAGCAGGAAATTCGGACCTTGTAACTGGACCGCCCTCTCCCTTACCTAGTGACTGCGGCTCCCCTCCTTCTTGAATATTGTATTTTCCCTATACATCTTGTCGTCTTTAATAAAGATGTCCAAAGCAAACCAACCGGGCTTGTCTAGGAACGCTAGGAATCGGGAAGCGAAGACCGAGGAGTCTCGCTCCACAATATATATTCAACACAGATGGTGCTTGGGCTACTGACATGGCCCGAAGGCCAGCCCATCCAGCGAGGTACAAGAAGGCTGATTCAAAGTACGAAAGTGGCGCCTCACCAATACCGAGGGATAAACCAGCATCGTACTACATAGCCTCCCTCCTCTTTTGAGCGCCGTCCCCAGGGCTCCCGCAGATCAACCTTCCGCGTCAGCCATTTCGTCGTAGTCGGTGCTGTAAAGTAACGCCCCCGATCCGACCGTGCCAGTCACCAAAGTAGCATGCAACTGAAGAAATAACTGACTTTAATGTCACTGATCCATCTTGGCAATTTAACTGGATCTGGAGTTTCGTCCGGTCTAGGAACTTGATTCAGGAGCAGGGGAATTGCGCTGGCCATCATACGTGTCCATGGATAAATGTAGGAACAGCGGCCCAAAAGGTAATTTGTGTAAGGAAGGACGGGATTTAATACAGGTCCATGGGGGACGGTAGGTAAAATCTATAACAAACCTCCAGATGGTTCCACGGCTAGTGTCGCTTCAGTTGTTAATAGCTTTCCTGCAGAACACGGGACTGGGATAGATGCCAAAGGTAGACATCGACTTTATCCCTTCTGTTAGGGGTCATCGCCATTCTCCCATCGGCAGCACATGTGCTTCTTCCGCTCCGTAAACTTTAGGATCAGGGTCGCTTACCGCTACCACAAATGTAGCGTTCCGACACTCCCTGAGGACGAAGAAGGACACAATACTAGGGTTGAATGTATATTCAGCACAGAGAAGGTGTTTGGGCTACTGGCATGGCCCCAAGGCCAGCCCACCTGGGCGAGGTACAAGAAGGCGAATTCAAAAGTCCAAAGGTGGCGCCTCACTAATGCCGAGGGATAAACCACCGACGTATTACATAATACCTAGACAGTTTAAGAGCCTACCTTTCATACCATTCCACGGAGAACCACTTCTTCTATTTTGCACGTATTGCTCATCTAACTATCAGATTAGAATTCCATCTTCGTAACGATGATTTCTTAACTAGAATAATAAGTTTGCCCTCGAAAAAACTCATCGGATTATCCTTTAATTTGATAGTCTGCAAGCATTTAATTCTAAAGCGCCAGAGAATATATAACAGCACATTTATTTCGTGTTCCTATTGGTCCAAAAATAATGTGGTACAATAGTGGTTTATCCCTCGGTATTGGTAAGGCCCCGCTTTTGTTCTTTGAATTAGCCTTCTTGTACCTCGCTGGATGGGCTGGCCTTTCGGGTCATGCCAATAGCCCAGACACCTTCTCTGCGCTGAATATATATTCTGCTCGAGTGTTGTGTCTTCTTTCGTCTTTAGGGAAGTCCCGTGACGCTACATTACAATCGTCGTTACGGTCAAGGAATTCTCAGTCCTTTTACAGCTTAGCAGGATTTTTTGGCAGTTTTATTAGTTTTGTATTAAAGGTTTTAACCTAAGAAAACCGTCTCTTCTTTCCTTAATTTAAACAGTTTATAGAGGGATTTTCATCAAATCATTTTGCACGATGCTAGAAGAAGCCCATCTTTTGGGGCGTTACATTTTTGTGTGGAGCGAGACTCCTCGGTCTCCGCTTTTCTATTTCTAGCGTTCCTAGACAAGCCCGGTTGATTCGCTTTGGACATCTTCACTAAAGGTGACAAGATGGATAGGGAAAATACAATGTTCAAGAAGGAGGGGAGCCGCAGTCACTAGGTAAGAAAGAGGATGATCCGGTCGCGAGATTCAAATTTCCTGATTGCCTCCTTCCTAAAGGCACATTAAAACTGCATAAGTATTACATTTGAAATGACTTAGAAGTAGTTAGGCAAATGCGGTGCCTCGTTTTAAGTCTTGACATCTAGGGATTACTGTGTGCTTATGTAAAATTTGTGGTATGTTTAAACATTGGTGCACAAATGGGAACAGCGATTAACAGCACATTTAGCTAACCATATCAATATGTAGAAATTTTGCATTTCACTGGCTTGGGCTTCTATAGTGCGCTGTAATTAGCATATATTAAAGCATTATAAAAGTTGATAGGCTGGCATTTTTAAATTGTATTTTTGCTTTTTCTGAGTTTTTTGTTGTTTTAAATGTTAAAACCATTTAATTAACTGTGGTGGAAAATTCAAAGTTGCTTGATCGTGTTTCTCTGCGCCGTCCGAAATGGTTGTTAGGAGTAAGAAAAGGCGTTGCGTTGCTCCCGCTCCAAGCGCTTTGAAGCGCAGAAGAAGTGAGCATTTTTTAAAGCTGAAGCAATTTCGCCCCCATGGTCGATTTTCTGCACTTGATTTTCCTATTTACTTCCTTGTTCTTAACATCATGCTTTGGCCCTTATTGATGTAAGACCATAGGAAACTGCTTTCATCCATTACACCTTAGTAAAAATCACTTTATTGCTGTTTTTTGGTATTCACTGTCAACATTCCTCATATTTCTGCATAATACTACCTGCAGGCTGGGTTATATTGCGATGCGTAAATTTACCAGTTTTTTACCATTAGTTGGTTTTTTCTTCTAATTCAAACCGAATTTTTTTTCGTTCCTTGGCGCTGTTCTCTTATGTCCTCTCTGGTACTTATATACTCGGAGTGCTTCTTGCGCGGCAAACATCTTTTATTCTTTTCCACTAGTTGATCCTTTTGCGGATGAAACTGGGGCCAAGCTTAAAAATCGCCATTTAAATAGACGCTCTACAGCAGGCATAGTTCTCACTCTTGGCGTTGGAGATACGGGTCAGCTTGGCCTCGGACCGGATATTACTGAACGCTTGAAACCGGCCCGGTTTTCCGCTGCCAGCCTCTCTAATGGATGCCTCAATGACGATGTTGAGAGCTTTGTCCAGGTTGTTGCGGGTGGCATGCATACTGTGTGCCTCACGGCTGACGGAAGAGTTTTCACCTTCGGCTGCAATGACGAGGGTGCTCTTGGTCGCCAATCTACAGACACTTCTCTCCAAGATACCGACGGGAAATCCGTCGATGGTCTTGTTGAAGAGTCAAGACCTGGTGTTGTCACTTTTCCCGAAAAGGATGTGCATATTATAATGGTAGGCAATTTTTTGTCTTCTAATGTAGTCATTTTTTTTCAATTGTAATGCTTTTAAAATGGAATAATGTGTTCGATATTTTAATGAATAATCACCTTTAACCAGCAGTAAATATATTATACTGGAGGCGAAAAAAACAATCATTTCCGTTATGTTTTGAAAATAAAATGCTCGGAGCCTTATGGTTGACTTTCCCTTAGAATTTTAGCTAAGGTGTTAAGGGCCCCATTCTTCGGCGGTAGTATCTATTTTCACTGAGTTCTTTCTGGTCATTTTGCATGTTATTTCCTTCATTGACAACTATTCTTATCGCCTTTCCCCTTACCCCACTGTTAGATTTCTGCGGGTGACAGTCACACTGCAGCCCTTGACAATCTCGGACGCGTTTGGCTGTGGGGCACTTTTCGTGGCTCTGGTGGGGCAATTGGGCTGACAAAAGAGGGCGAGATTTGTCGTTGCCCGATTCGTCTGGAAACGCTCTTGAGTGTTGTTGTGAAAATCGCTTCAGGACAGGATCACCTCGTCTGCCTCACTGAAGAGGGTCGCCTCCTTACAATGGGCTGTGGCGAACAGGGCCAGTTGGGCCGAATTGCCGAACGCTTCTCGAAGGACGGTGGGCGTAATGGATTTGGTAAGCTGACGTCGTCCCTGATTCCCATTCATTTAGTCATAGCAATTACTGTTACGACTGTTTTCAGTGAATTTGATAGTCTCGTTGTTTGCCGTATAATTCTACAGTTTGTGGCTTTAAATCGTGGTCATCAATATATGGTATAATCAAACCTGATCAATTGCTAAGCTGAAAAGTTCCTCAGCAAAATTTCACTTCAAGTTTACAAAGGTTATAGATATTCGACTAAATTGCCTCTAGATCTACTTCTTCAACCGGGGGAATGTCGTGTACGCGGATGCAAGCGATTTGTTGACGTCTGGGCTGGTGGATTTGCAACCATTGCGCGTTGTATGAATTCAGGTGTCATATACGCCTGCGGTCTAAATAACTACGGGCAACTTGCCCTTGTGAAAAAACGGTCTGTTGAGGTAAAGAAAAGGATGGAGATTGGTGGAAACACTCTTGCGGGCACGGAGGACTTCGTCAAAAGTGAGCAAGTTTCAGAGTCCATGCTGACGAAGAGGCAGGGTCCTCTCGTTCAGTTTATGCTCACTCCAGCAAACGGCTTCGATCCAGAGAAGAATTGGGTCCAATTTGCCATTGGAATGCACCACACGCTGGCATTAACCTCTTCGGGTAAGCCCATTGTTTCATCCTTGTTCGTATTTTCCTCGGAAAATTATTAGCTTGTCCGTTCAAAAATAGGTCTTATATTTAGGGGAAGTTTATGCTGTTGGTCGAAGTGATTACGGCCGCCTTGGTTTCACTGTCTCCAAATCTGACTCAGATGTCTCTGCAGTCCCCTCTCCTCACGTGGTTCAAGGCCCTTTACTTGGTCGGAAATGTTGCTGGATTGGCTGTGGCGAGGCGTGCTCTTTTGCAATAGATGATGCGGGTTTGTTTACTGCACCGATGTTCTTGTAAGCTTTTTGGTCCAAATGCCATAAACACTTTCCCACTATTCCTGCAGGGAAGGCGTTTTCTTGGGGCATGGGAAGTAGTCAACAGTTAGCTCATGAAGTGGAGTATGAAGATGCTCCAGAACCTGGTGAAATGGTCGGCAAAAACTTATTAAATAGGTTTGTCTACTCTAAATTTTCAGTGACTTTGGAGATCTTTTTGCTTTATCATTAAATCCCCTGACCCCTTTTCAGACGAGTTGTCATGGTCGATGCTGGTGGACAACACGCTGTCATGCTCGCTGCCGATCCCTCTCGGGTTAAACCTAGGGCCACGAAATTAGACACTGAAGAAGCTTCGGGAAAAATTGCACCCCCTAAAGATGAGAAATCAGTGGTAACGAATAACCACACGCCATCGGCACCGATGGATACAACTTCCGAAGTAGCAGTCTCTGTGACGAATGAAAAGAACTCTTCCGACAAGCCCCTTGTGAATTCACTAAGTGGATCAAATCTCCCCCCGGAAGTTGCTAGCACTGCAGGAGCCACGGTAAATAGCAGTTCCGTGCACAGCTGCTCCTTCGTCGCGAGCGATCAGTCTTCACTGAGTAGCGCCCACAGCACGGACGGCGGAGGGTCGAGCCGTCTGGGCGGTTCGCTATTTGCCCAGCCGGTGGATGCACCTTTGGCGTCAAAGGCAGGGGTTGCACCCGCTGCAGGAGTCAATTGTGGCGGCAGTACCACAAGCACTAGCGAGCCTAGTTTTCCATTGACGGACGGCGGCTCCAATACCGCCTCCCCCGCCAACACCCACTAATTATTCTCCCTCCATGGATGTCACTTTTATACCCATATCACATTTGTGTAGATGCAAACCGAAGGCAGCGACAGCCCTATTGGTACCTTAAGTCCCCCACTTGAACTTGGTTGACCACTACGGACCCTTTAAACGCATCAAATTATCGCATACACTATCGATGTTTCAAGCTCCTGTATTTATAGATGTAACAATTGTATTAATTTATTTGTGAGGAATACACAGTGGTTCCAGTCAATTGCATGAAGAGTGAGGAAATGCACAGTGAGGTTAGACATCAAAGCAAGACAACTGAGGGGGGATCAGAGTAGAGAGCACTTTCTCTTGTTCTTAAATGGATCGTCTTTGGAGGCGTTGATAAGCTGGTCGGAGTCTACGTGCTCAAAGCAGTAATTTTTGATGTCGTTGATAGCTAAGCTGAGTTTAAGACGTTTCATGTTAAGGCATGATTTGAGCACAAGAACCTCATTTTTCTTGCGCTCAATCTCATCCTGACGACTAGCAGCCGCACTTGATTCCCCAGGCTAAAACAATGACAAACAGCCAGACTGTCATCATGCTAATGAAATTAACAAGCTAGAAACTATAGTCAAAATTACGAGGAACCTTCATTTGCAAAAGCAGCGTACAACAATGCGAACGTTTTCAATTGTGTCAAATAAAATGTATACAACTGAGAAAAATCGTAGTTTCAATAGGCTTCCACACAAAATTAATTACTTAGTAAGCACAAACAAATGCTAGTTAGAATTCTCAAAGTCAAAAAAATAGAAATGAGAACTAAAAGGCCCACTTAAGGCACAGCCATAACAATCCTGCAAAAGATAATTAAGAACTTACAATCATGACAACTCCCTTAGCCTAATTGACGAAAGTGATATATCAGGTCTGAATGAGATCAATTGCCCATCAAGGAAACGTCATATGTGATATGGAAACCAGATGCTATTTGATGTAAAGATACCTAAAATATCTGTGAGTGTCGAGTTTTTTCAGGTTTTATATGTTGAAACGAAATTTTTACCCCTGGTGAACTCTAGTATTGATAGTGTTATTTTCAACTGAGTCAGGCAAAAAATCTTATATAGGTTGCATAAATAACATTATGTTTATCAAGTGTATGTAATAAGCTGATGTGACCTTTTAGCTGCTAAATGTTAGGCCGCAGTGGGGAGGAAAAGGCACATAGGCAACGGATGGGAGAATCGGCGATGATCGCAAACAAAGGGCTAAAACTGACGTTTAGCTTTAGCAACTCCCCCAGCCATGAGTTCTGCAGGAAAGTCATTAAAAGCTAAAGCATTATTAACTGGAATAGTTTTGTTGCTGGGTTTTCCATTCGTACATGCATAAAGTTGTCGATAAACTGAACTCGTTACGCCTCTACCACTTACCTACCTACTGGATAGAGCTCGGGTGGATGTGAGTGAGCAGCCCCAAGGCGAGGCGGAAGTAACAAAAACAAACAAACATAAACCCTTTTCCAACAAACCTGCGTTAAATCTCGCTCTTTTTTCATAAATCTGCGTTTAGGCCAGTATTCCAGAATCTCTCTGTGGACAGGCATGATGGCTGCACATCTACCGCTTCCGAATTAATTATCCCAATTTAAACAAAACTCTAGGTGCAGTTCAGTTTTTAAGAGGAATCAGTGACATTAAGGTCAAGTACCTCCTCAGTTGCATGGAAATCTGATGACTACCACGGGTGTTTCCACATAGCACCAACCATTTTGTGGTGGCTGACGAGATAGTTTGAACAGGGGGGCGCCGGGGATGATACTCAAAGGAGGACAGGGGCTATATAATACTTTAGTTGCTTAACTCGCAGTTTGCTTGTAGTGTGACTTTTGACTTGAACACTGAAAAAAGCAGAGTGGGCTGGTCTTCAGGGCATTCCAGTATTCCGAATGCCTTCTATGTGACAAAAAAGTATATCCATATTATGCTTTAGTAAAACGCCTTTTTTTCTCTTCAGTGGAATCTAGGTGTGCTACATATAAGGTCGCAAATTTCGTTTTGAAAATTTTGTTGTTACGTTATTAGTCAAGGCTATAATGATACAGTATCAAATTTTATAATTACTTAAGTAAATTTAAAGGCCTAAATGGGCGTTTAAATCACACAATAATAATGCTCCATTCGCATAAAAATGATTACATATTTGTGGCATGACTAAGTTGAAACTAGCCTCATTTTGAAGTTGTAACAAATTTTTTCGCCAGCTAAGATGGTAGATGATTTTTTTTCCTTGTGTCATTTTATAAACTTTTTATTAGGTGATTCTACTAGATTGATTTGATACGCGAAGCTAGTTTTTACCTTTGAAGTTAAACGCGGTGATTTCATTTTTGCTGCCGGCTGTTTTTTTCTGTCCTTGATTTGATATGGGTAATGAGGCGTCGCTTCCAGAGCTGTGTTCCACATTTGATGTTGAGGAAATTAAACGACTAGGCAAGCGCTTTAAAAAGCTTGATCTTGATGGATCTGGTTCGCTCAGTGTCGAGGAATTTATGAGTCTCCCGGAACTTCAACAGAATCCACTAGTTGCACGTGTTATTGAAATTTTTGATACGGATGGGAATGGCGAGGTAGATTTCAAGGAGTTCATTGAGGGGATGTCTCAATTCAGTGTTAAAGGGAACAAAGAGGCCAAGCTTAACTTTGCGTTCAAAATATATGACGTCGACAAAGATGGCTATATAAGCAATGGGGAGCTTTTCCAGGTAACCGTTGATCCCACTGCTTTGTATTCCATTTAGGTTATTACTTTTTGTGGCTTGCTACTTTGCCCTTTTGCTTATGTCATGGCTTCTTGATTCTGTCATCAATTATTGCATAGCCTTTTTATTTGCTTTACTCAATTCGTAGTTTGTATGAACATTCCCATGATAATTTGTATAGCAGTTTCCCTCCAAAGCGCTGTAATTTTGCTTTGTTGCGAGTTGGATGTTCTTTCTCAGGTTCTAAAGATGATGGTTGGCAATAACTTGAAGGATGCCCAACTCCAACAGATTGTGGATAAAACAATCATGTTTGCTGATCAAGATGGGGACGGTCGTATCTCATTTGAAGAGTTTTGTCAGGTCGTAAGCGGTCTGGACGTGCACAAAAAGATGGTAGTCGACGTTTAATATGCACTTATGAAACCACAATTGTAAGTTTCCCTCTCATCTGCGATTCGCCTTTCCAAATAGTAAACTTAAACCATTCTCCTTCCACTCTCGCACAAATTAAACGTTCATTTTGATATCGGCCTCTCAATTGTGCAGAATTCGACGACCAATTATCGAAATGTCCACCTTTCCCTCTGTTTATCGTCGTCTGTGATGTTACAAATGTAACTGTCGCTCTTTTCCCATCTTGCTCTCAGTGCATGTGCAGGTTTTTGTGTATATCTTCCCCACATTGTTGATAGAAAGACATCATGGTGGGTCATTGATGTACTTCCTTGCTCAGATATACAAGACTGACTTGCAGAATTGCGTTGCCTTCCAGAATCGCATTTGGCACTAGTCCATCCACATTTATTCCCACTCCTCTCCCACATCCATTTATGTCCATGTCTTCCCGGAACCTACAATCCATCCTAAAACTTGCTTGTTCCATGTAGTTTGCATTACCTTTGTGCAACCCTGCGAATTACCTTGACTTCACAGCTATTCTTCACTCCTTTTATGGCCGACGTTTCGCATTACCAACCGATCTGTTACAATGTGTGTATGACTTTTTTAACTACCAATGGTGAACTGAGTTTGCTTTCCCACTTTTCTCTCCTTGTTCTTTCTCCTCTACTCGTATTTTTTTCCTAAGCCCTGTTGGCTTGAATGGTGATCCTGCTTATCTGCACTTTATCGTTCTTTTGTATTTAATTTAACCGTGATTTTTAATCATGCGTATCTTATTCATTTCGAATGAAGCAAAATTCCTGCCGATATCAGCCCCTTATTTTGTAACAGCGGTGGTGTTCATTTCTTCAGAAACATCGTTTTGTTGTCTTAGCGTTAGCGTACGCAAGCTTCGACGGTTTTTCGCTTATACTGAATTACGTACACCCTCATGAGCATGTGAAATGTAGAGCTTCATGGTCACAAGTGAGCACTCGGCTATAATTCTTTAATTCCTTGTATTCTACTACTTAAGATCGGGGTGTCTCATCTCTTGGGCGATGTTGTTACGTTTGTGTTGAAATGTTGGCTTAGGTGGTGTGGAGTGTTTTCACTTCTCGTGCAATCTGTCCCTAACTGGGTATTGCATACCTGTTGTATTCAAAGTTCCTACATTTGTGCTTGGTGTAGTCCCAACGGAGTGCTGTTAAAGTGTTGGCGAAGCGGATCGCCGTCTGGGTACTACGATTTCTTGACAAGATCCTTGTGGGCTGTGTCAACCTTTGTCAGCTCTTTTACGGTTGAAAATGGTAGGCGTGGCATGCCTACCCCAATGTCGTCTACAGTGCCACTGGTTTACCTCGTGCACTTCGATTTTCCCAAAAAATGGGCTTGTAAATGGACCACTAACTTGGGCCGGGTTGTTTTCTGGTGGTCTTGACCACAGTACCATGGAATTTTACAAATTCATATGGGAATTAAAGATACTCGAAAACTTCAATTTCCGACGCGTACGCCTGGTGCCCTCCCCTTTTTTTCCCATGTGGGGGGCGCACCTTCGCGACCACGTGACTGAGTGGGTGAGCTTGGAATGCCTCTTCGTCCGCATCATCATTTACAATCTACGGGCTCTCAAACCAGAATGATTCCTACGACTTTTCAGTTTGTGAAGTTTATCTTCAGGCACCTAAGGTGACAATGGCAGCCGAATTGAAGTGCATGCAATGCGTTTGGAAGCACCGTCCTCGCACAGTATTCCCCAATTTTTCTCCTTTTCAGCCCAGTTCTCATCAAGTACCCGGTGTTTACTCTGTGTTAATTTGATCAATTTACAGCATGCCTTTGAGACTCGTGATGCAGTAATTCTGCTCCATGAGCAAGATATTAACAAACGCCGATTCGAAATAAAACAGTCACGACATAGTACTGGCATCTTATCGTAGTCATGATACGGAAGTCGCATTTCATGCCTAACCTGCGTGGTTCTCTTTATGTCAAAATATATTTACACATCGCTGTCGGTAGAACATAATTGCATAGTCCGATTTTTATGCATGTGCATATTAGTAAAGCGAAGTTTTGCCTGCAAAATGAAAAGCGTCCGCGTGCTAATCTGATCCAGCATCGAAGGCTCCCAATGACGTGCGTTCATTCCTCGTTTAGTTGGGTCGCCTCCTAGCGTTCCCTTCGCCCATGTGAATCGACAGATACGAAGTTTAAGAACTATACTTTTTGGAATTGTTAAGTCTGGTAGGAATGTTTGGCACAATTATTGGGTTTTCATTGGCTTTGGTGATATACCACATAGTTGCATTTAAGCGTGTTCTCCCACTTCCGCTGAAACTTAGAGGCTATGCGTATCAGCACACATTGGAGCGCTTATTTCAAAAAGCATGCCGCCATATTAATAGCATGGTTTTCTGAAATACATTCTTGTTCTCCGTGTTTTGGAATTAACGAGATTTTTACGTATTCGTGCCTTACTTTAAATCTATCGAGCGGAATCTCGGGTTGAAATTTCATCTATCTTCAAAGGATGCATTCCCACGGGCGTTAAACACAGGCTTACCTGCCTCAAAACTTGGGTAAACCTGTAATTAATGAGAAAAAATTCAAGTCGCCTCTCGAAGCGAAAGTGTAAATCTTGGCTAAAAGACTCGGATTTCAAAAAAGAGTTGCGTTTCCATCATTTCGATCGATTTCATTGAGATTTCGAATGGAGTTTCATTGTCCCATCTCCAGAGACAAAAAAGGCGCAACAAAGAAGGCTCCGCGATTGACGCGAACGGATGAGGATCAAAGTTTACCTAAATTCCATGCCAATGAGCTAGTAGGAGGAATTCAGCTAGGGTCTACCACAACTTCTTTCACTGAGTCTCAACAGTGGTGACTGAGAGCGGAAGTAATGGAGTTATTAGAGCCAATAGGCGACTGGCTGATTATTTGTTACGGGCTCCGATAGGCGTCGAATACCTACTGAGGGGTCCGCTGTAATGCGGGTTATGGAAAACATAACCAAATATGCTTAATGGTGCTCTGCTACTTGAATTAAGTCGGACAATCTAAATAAGTCAAGTATTTTCACACCCATGAAAGCCAAGGGTGAAAAAAAGACGGGACATCCCTTACCACAGTGAAGTCTGCAGACTAGTCACAATGCTATTTTGATGAGGCACATATTTAAAGTAAACGCAAACTCATCTATGCTAAACAGGTTCAAAGCTTGAAATGAAAGCGATTGTTTTTCGCACCTGCGGTCTCTCACAGAGTTTCTTCATAGCCTTTTTATCAATTTGTAGCGTGCCTGCGAATGACTCTTCAACTCAGTTTAATTACTAACATGAATAAAGGTCAAACTAATCGCCAATTTCTTCACTATCATTGTTAGTGATACACCCCGGCGCTGGGCTTTTAATTTACATTCCAGTGTCACATCTGGAGCCGAATCCCGGGGAAGACGCATCGAGGTGCGACCGGTGATTAGAGTAGCAAGACGGGAAGGTTCGCATCGTGTTTGCATAAGTCACGCACATTGTAAGGATGAAGGATGGCTGCGTTATGTCAAGCCACTTTTACTTGCACACAAGACACGCCGCTCAAAGACTTCAAGGAAGTTGGCAGCTTCTTATGCGAAGATTATTACAAGGTGCCCCCAAACGGTTCCATTATCTTGCGTCTCCCATTTTGCTCCAAATTAGACGGTGGGCTAGCTTGGTGCGCACGACTCAAAAAAAATGTAGGTGTGCGTGTAGCTCTAAAGAAATGATTCTTATGAAAAAATTTTGCGCACATTAGACACTTGAGCTCATTATTCTCCCTCTTTTGACACCCATTTTGCCATTTGAACGCAATATACGATGCAACAAAAGGGGCAACTAATAGTGGTTTTACAGAACTTCTGCGGATGTTCAAGTAATTTAGTAATTTTTTTCTGTAAATAAACTTAAGGGGCCTGGGACATAGTATCATTTCTACCTTGAAATTTAGCTATTTCCATTACGAACCGAGTTACATTACTTACTTTCTCCTTTATGTTCATGTGTCACTCACTCTTGCACAGCGGGACTGCAAACTGAACTTTTGGGCTGGAGGAGGGAATGCGTAAAACGGCTTACTTGAATAGTTTGTGGAACGCGCTATTATGCAACGAATGGCCTTTTACTTTTATCTTAATTCGCCCATGAAAGCTCTTCAGGCAAGATGATGAATACTACCTGCGTAAATTTTACTTTCTTGTACTTTTTACAATCCACGATTTTATGTAGGTGGTGATGTTACTTCAAGCGCTTGTCCAGTAAATTGATACCGGCGAATCACAAGCAGGCTGCCATTCCTGGCATGAATAAATATTACATGAAATCAGTGTATTAGCTTTGAATTTACTAAAGAATGGGGCTAATTAATTTGGGACATAATGTTATGAACATTTCTGCTAAAAACACAAAACACTTCTAAAATACAACAACACGTAATTTTTGACCCTTTAAAAAATACCCTAATTATAGTGTATGCATTGAATTCTGATTTAAATGTATTCTATTTGATAGGCCAAAATGACCCTGAAAGTTGGCTCTTACACTGCATGGCTCAAGGCAAAGAGGCAAACAGTACAACTAGCTAAATCATCTGCTTCTCACTCAAGGTAAGTCATCTGCATCAGATAAATTCATCGTAGATTGATCCTGCATGCGAATCGCTTCAGCACGAATAGAAGGATCCTGTATTCTGGTCTACCTAAGCACAAACCAGCAGTGTTGAACAGCATGAGACTGATAACATATAAATCCTTCAAATCGAACTGGGTGTCACAAATGCTACTACGGCGTGCCCAAATGAATGCTAAAACCCATTTATGTTGGTGGGGTTGTCATTCATTAGTCACACATACAGAATGCCCCAGTCCACTGTTCTGAGTTGTTTTACCACCTCAACGAACCTGCCGGTTAAGACGTTGTGCACGTGGCTAAGGTGAGGTAATTAAACCACCTTTCAAACTCCTATTTTATAATATTGTCTTTTTACTGATT